CCGGCTTGCTTTGGCCAGAGAAATGGGAATGAGAGTGACATCACTTCTATTTGGAAGCTTTTACAGCCAGTGTGGGATTTACCATCTCTTGTTTCACTGATCATGGAAGTATGTGCTTCTCCAAATTCTGAATTTTTACAAGTTTCTAATGAACGTTTTCCCTGTAGGCCCTTGCTGTTTAAACTACTGAAATTCTGCGAGTTTCATTGTAATATAATCTAGTTGAGAGATTGGCAAACTGCAGCCTGAAAGCCAGCTGTCCGTTTCTACGAAGTTTTGTAAACACGTGAAGATGTGTAACGTACATGTATCAACTCCCCATGATTAAAGTAATCACTATTACTGCAAACATGGATTAATAAAAATAAAAGATTTTATAATCTCAGCCACAGACATTTGTTTATATATCGCCTATGGTTACTTTCAGGTTACAACCGAGTTGAGTAGTGGAACTGAAGCCTGCTTCAAGCCTGCAAACCTGAAATATTTACTATTAGTCTTAAGAAAAAGTTTGCTGCCCTCAGCCTAGCATATCTTTGGCAGAACTGGAGGTCTGTGGCAAATGACTTTTTTTAAAAAATTATTTTTTGGGCTGGGGATTTAGCTCAGCGGCATAAGCTCCTGCCTTGCAAGCAGGGAGTCGTGAGTTCGATCCCTGGTACCGATAAAAAGGAAAAAGACCAAAAAAAAAAAAAAAAAAAAAAAAAAAGTCTCAAAAAAATTATTTTTTTTTTTAGTTTTTTGGTATTAGGGATTCAACCCATAATCCTTACTAAACTACATATCTAGACTAAAAAATTCTTTTTTTTTTTTTTTGAGACATAGTGTTACGTCCTTAAATTGCCTCGGCTGACCTAAAACTTGCAATTCTCCTGGCTCAGCCTCTAAGTGTGCTGAAAATACAGTAGGGTGCCACTATGTGCACCTGTGAATGCCCTGAAATGGTAATTTTTTAGTTTGTACCCAACATAAAAAAATGTTCACAGTAGCCACCCTGTACAATGCCCTAGGAAACCCATTCCTCATTATTCATACCTTGTGCAGCCCCTTTGCTCACTGAGTGGGATTACAGAACATGTGACCACCGTGGAGTGATGTAATATGAATCCAGGTGAATTCTGAACGTAGGTGATAAAAGATGTCATGGCTCCCACCTTCCTGTTTGTGACAGCACTCCGTCTGGGAGAAGCACTGTCATGTTGTGAGGACACTTGGGAAGCCTATGTCTGTCTTTGTCACTTCCTACACCGCTAGGACACAATACCTGACTCCCACAATTTAAGGGAGGATAGATTTACTCTGGCTCCCATTTTAGTCTATAGTTGGGTGACCTCCTGGCAGGATGGCACAGCACAGCGGCATGGTGGAGGAAAGCAGCTCATGGCATGGCACAGCCGACATAAAGCAGAGCGCCAGAGGAGGAGCCAGGGATCCAATTTTATTTAATCTTTCAAAGATTAAATTATTTTTCAAAGATTATTAAATAATCTTTCAAAGATTAAATCTTTTATTAATCTTTGAAAGATTGAATAAAATTGACAAACTCTTAGCCAACCTTACCAAAAAAGTAAAGACTCAAATCTTTAGGAACCAAAATTAGGAACCAAAAGGTGAAATCACCACAGATCCTGCAGAAATCCAGAAGGTCATCAATACTTACTTTGACAACCTGTATTCTCATAAGATGGAAAGCACAGAAGAAATGGGCAGATTGCTAGATACATAAGAATTACCAAAGGTGGATCAAAAAGATACAAGATTTCTAAATAAACCACTATCAGTCAATGAAACTGAAGATGTCACTAAAAATCTACCAACAAAGAAAAGCCCATGTTCTGAGGATTCACTGCTGAATTCCACAAGAAATTTACAGAAGAACTAATGCCCTACTTCTCAAACTCTTTAATGAAGTTGAAAGGGAAGCAATATTCCCCAATTCATTCCTGGAAGCAAGCACCTCCCTGATACCAAAACCAGAGAAGGACCAACCAAAAAAAAAAAAAAAAAAAAAAAAAAAAAGGACTACAGGCCCCTCTCCCTAATGAACACAGATACTGGCAAACAGAATACAGCAAATCATCAAGACTATTCACCATGACCAAATAGGATTCATCCCAGGGATGCAGAGGTAGTTCAACACACATAAGTCAATAAATATAATATACCGTATCAACAGAGTCAACGACAAAAACCATATGATCATCTCAATAGATGCAGAAAAGTCCAACACCCATTCATGATAAAAAAAAATTCTGTAGAAAATTACAATGGAAAAAAATTAGAATGGAAGGTCTTTATCTCAATCTGGTAAAAACATCTATGACAAACCAACAGCCAACATCATACTAAATGGACAAAAATTGAAAGTTTTCACTCTAAAATTAAGAACAAGACAAGGATGTCCACTGTCACCACTCTTATTAAATATAGTTTTGGAAATATTAGTTAGAGCAATTAGACAAGAGAAACGAATGAATAAGGATAGGAAAGGAAGAAATTAAATTGTCATTATTTGCAGATGACGTGACACTACACAGAAGACCCCACAAACTTCACCAAAAGACTTCTAGACTTAATAACCAAGTTCAGTAGTATAGCTGGATACAAAGTCAACACTCAAAAATCAATAGCATTCTTGTACACAAACAACAAACTCATTGAGAGAGAAATCAGGGAAGCAATAGTTTTCACAATAGCATCCAAAAAAAATGAATACCTAGGAATCGATCTAAGGAAGGAAGTAAAAGACCTTTACATTAAAACTACAGTACTCTGAAAAGGGAAATGAAAAAAGATATCAGAAAACAGAAAGATATCCCTTGCTCTTGGGTAGGAAGAATCAGTATAGTGTAGATGTCACACTTCCAAAATTGCTATATTTAATGCACTCTCAATCAAAATACCAATATGCATATCTCACAGAATTAAAGAAAACCTAATTCTAAAATTCATTTGAATCTGAAGAGATAGAACAGCAAAACAATTCTGGACTACAAAGGCAAGCAGGGGGCATCACAATCCCTGACTTGAAATCACACTACAAATTTATTGTGATAAAAACATGGCACTGGCAAAACAAAACAAAACAGAGCTGAGGATCAATGGACTAGATTAAAAGATGCAGAAATAACTCCAAACATATTTTATCTTTGATCAGGGAGCCAAACACCTTCATTATAAAAGAGATAGCCTGTTTAATAAACGGCACTGGGAATCTGGATTTCCACATGCTGAAGATTAAAACTAGACCTGAACCTTTCACCATGCACTAAAGTCAAAATAGATCAAAGATATAATTATTAAAACAGAAACACTAGATCTGCAGGAAGATAGAACAGGCAAAACTTTGGTGTAGGCAGACTACGAAAACCCCAGTTGCACAGGGTGGTGGCACACACCTGTAATCCCAGCACTCGGGAAGCTGAGCCAGGATTTCCATGCAAGGTCAGCCTGCACTACATGGCAAGACTCCTGTCTCAAAAACAAAACAAAACAGACTTATTCTGGGTAGATGTTTATCATGCTTATTAAATTGTTAATCATACAGATGGTCCCAAAGCAAAGTCTTTATTTGATAAACCTCAGGGCACTAATGAAAGGAGAAAATATTTGCAAACTCCTGAAAAATCTATACTTTCTGGGTATAAGTGTGAAAGGGAGGGGGAATTTGTGAAATCTCGATTTTTTGTGAGATAAGAGCACATATGAACAATGTAAGATTTTTTTTGTTTGAGACAGGGTCTCCATAGGCAGTTTAAGCTGGCCTTGAACTCACTTTGTAGCCTAGGCTGGTCTCCGAACTCACAAGAATTCTCCTGCCTCAGTCTCCCCAGTGCTGGGATTACAGGCATGCGCTATCATGTCCAGCTACAATGTATGTTTTAAAGGTAAAAGGCTGAGCTTTTTTTTTTCAATAGTTATTAAGTAATTTATAGACTATCTTACTGTCATGTATTTGGGCTTTGTAAGTACATGCCTGAGTAATCATTTAACTTGCCATAAATGCAAGACATTAGGATATCCCTGGTTGGTTGGTAAGGAAATGCCTGCCTAGACTGGTCTGGATTCTTCAGGCAGGAACCTGGCACAGAATTTTTACACCAGGTTATTACATTAAAACTGTAATGTAAAGTTTAATGTTTCCTTTAAAGTTTAATGTTTCCTTCTGAGTTTCAACAAAAAAGTTTCACTATGTCACAACGTATCTAATGGTGTAATTGAAAACTCCACAAGAGAAATTAAGCAGATATGTTTAGTCAAGATGTTACCACATTGTTTCACAAATCCTAAAGTAGCCTACCCCCAGGTAGGTCATTTCCAACATAAATGCACTTTCCTCGGAGTTGGTTAGCTAAATCTTCAGGGAGTGCTCCCTGAATTTCACTAAGGAACGTGATGGTCTTGGCTTTTCAAATTTTAATTTCTTTGATTACACCTACTTTACAGCCTTTCCAAGTTACAGACAAAATTGAACTAGAGGTTTTTCTTGCTCCAGCGCACACTGCTGCTACTTCCTAACTCATCTTACTAAGAACTAGCACAGTCCCACCGCAAGGTATTAGAAGTCACTGTTTTTGATCAGTTACATCCAATTGTTTTACAGTAGTTGAGACTAAAAGTTTATCTTTTTGGCTCAAAAGTGAAAAAAATCACAAAAATTTAAAGCTAATACATATTTATTTTACCAAATTTGCAGTAATTTGGGAGCTAGACTTCTAAAGTTATCACAGCCTAGCAAATAAAAGTGTACCCGGGCTTTGCTGAAGTGCGTATTGACCTTTGCTGATTACTTATATAACTGCGTTTTAATCAGCACGTTAAAGATGGAAATGGACTCACTGCACTTTGGTGTCAAGGACGGTGACTCAGCGACAAACGTCCCTCTACATTTTGAGGACGAAGCCTCACAAGGGACAAGATTTAGGTCTGCGGTCCTAGGGGACCCTAACAGAAACTGCTCCTCCACAGTGAGGAAAAATCCACGGCTCAGGTTCAGCTACCTCTCTCCTTGGCCACTGCAGCGCAGTCCCCCCGCAGACTCTGATCTTCTTCCCAGATCCGGCGCTCGTGTCCTCGCCCAGCCACGTGCGCCGGGGACACGAAGGACCACCGCAACACCGTCTCTGCTGCGCGGTAGAAGTGAATTCTCAGTTCCCAGAAGGGCTACCAATCGTAACAATGAAGTGAAATTCTCCTCCTGAATCCCTTCTCCCAAAGCATTTTCCTCAACCTCTTTCACTCCAGCCCTGCCCTCGCCCGCTCCCCCAAACTGTGCCAGCCCAGTCCAGCTGCAAGTCCCTACTGCCGATCACACCCGGGCAGAAAGACTCCATCCGGGTGCTTTGTCAGTAGGACGTAACGGCGTGGCTTTATGACGTTTGGAGGGAGGGGCGAGGCGCCAACTCTGGAGACTGACACGCCCTGACCATGGGGTGGAGAGAGCCCCTTTCCCCGCCCAGGAAAACTCCATATTGCAGGGGAGGAAAGCCTATATTTTCAAATTTACATTGAAGGCAGGAATATTACTGATAGTCTTTATTTCATAGAAAAAGCTTAGGTACTTTCCTACATTCATATTGTCTTAATTTTGTCTCCTTTTTTCTTGTTAACCAGCAAAACTCTCTCGCCTCTAGTCTGTCTCCCCCTGCTTTTGAGAAGATGGTGCGGGCCCGCACTGTGCGCAGCCGTAGTGGCCTCGGGGCGGTGCCGCTGAGGGGCGGGTGACGCAGGGCCGTCGCTGCCATTTTAAGTTGTTTGTTCTTGCTCCTTTTCTCAAACGCGACTCTGCCCCGGACCCGGGAAGACTCCGAGGCTGCTGCCGCTTCCGCAGCCACCGGTGGGGGGGTAACGAGCCTGTGCCACCGCGGACCCTTGCCATCCGCTTCGGCTTTTCACCCCTCTGGGTCTCCTCGACCTCCTTTGCTGAGCCGGAACCCGACTGTGGAAGAAGGACTTCGTAGCAGATGCTCGAACTGAAATAACTTTATTTTGGGGTTGACTTCGCTGACGGACCCCTTAGCGCAGGGCTCCCCGCCTCCCCTTCCCCTCCAGCTCCGCGCCGTCCCTCTTTCTTGACGTCTCTCTCTTTCTCTCCTACCGCCTCTCCCCCGCGTCCTTCCTCCGTCGCCGCCGGGGCGCCGAGCCAGACTATGGGTCCCAGGCGGGGGCTGAGCGGCGGCAGCAGCACGGGCGGCCGGGTCACCGTGCGCACTGCGGCGGGGATGGAGGGGCTCAGTTGGCTGGTGGTGTTCTCTTGACATGGCTCCCGCCCGAGCTGCGAGCAGCGCCCCCGCCGCCGCCGCCGCCTCTGCCTCCGCCACCGCTCCGCCCGCAGGCTGCGGCTAGAGGCCCGCGCCCGCCCGAGTCGGCCCGAGAGTCCCGGCCCCCCGGGGACAGGGAGGGTCCGCCCCGCCGCCCGCCTCGATTCCGCCCTCTTCCCCCTTCGGGACGCGAACGCACAACCCCACCCCGAGCCATCCACACTCTGGAAACATGAGCTGTTGAGCCAGAAAGCGAGTCCAGAACCCGGGAACTTAAATGTTTTGGGGGGGTGGGTTGGTGGGCTGACTTTCAAAAAGTAATATTAACACAGCTATTTTCTTCTCCCTACTTGATCCTTCCCACTTGTCTTTTCCCGCCTACTCTATCCGGGCGGGAATTGTTTCCACGATGAAATGAGTGAGAACCCGAGCGATCCCGTGTCTCCCGTGGTGCGAGTGAGTCGCTGTCGCTGAAGGCGAGGGGTGGGGTGGGGTCTGGGGGGTGGAAGGCAGGTCGTCCCTGCGCACCGCCCGGGACTTGGGAAAACCCGCCGCCTGCCTTTGCCTCAGCAATGCTCACTGGGAGATAAGTCGCACTCCCCACCATCTTGAGCCGGGGTACATTTGTAGGGAAGGCTCCCTTGGGGCATGTAGAACTCTTCGCAGGGCTGAGGGTGTCGCGATCCTGGGCGTGAATCAGGTCTAACTACAGCCGGAATAATTACTGATACCGTGTAACACCCCCCTTTCCCTGTGCCATCATGATTCTCCTTGGCAGCAGCATTAGCAGCCGCCTCAGGGTGAAAATGTGGGTGATGGGGAAGTTGGTAATGACTCCGCTGTTTTTTCTCATGGCTCCTTTGGGCAACAGCTGTCCGCCCTCAGTATACACTGTAGTTGATTGCAGGGAAACCCTGGACCTCTCCCCTTCTTTCTCTACTGATTTTGCACTTTTCTCTTTGCTCACCACCAAGTGTAGTCAATAACAAGCACTGACAATACATAGCAATAGTGAAATCTGAAATAACTAAGAATTAATTAGGTACTACAGCCATGGATCTGGCTGGGTAAAATCCAATTGGGTATTTCAGTTTCATTCTCCTACCCTGTTTTGGTGTTTTGTTTTTGATTTTGGGGGGGGGTATTTGGAAAGCAAAGATCATACTTTCCCTCTCCCCGTTCCTTTTCTTAATCCCACTTCTAAAAGGAGAAAAATCCGAATGGATTTAAAGGATTGGATTGGTGTTAGCTGTGTTTTATTGCACACCTAAATCCTGATAATAGGCTTTTCATTTCCCCTTAAAGCCTTTATTTTGGCATTCAGGCCAGATGTGTTTTTCAGGAAGTTAGTTGAAGTATTTTCTCCTCTTTTGTTCCTTCCTCTTTTCCTTTTTCCTGTCTGACCCCAGATATTATTGTCCAAACATGACTGGACAGCAGCTTTTGTTTCTTGACCCTGTAATATGACAGTCTGCTAATATTGCCAGAAGGTGCAGTTTTGGGGTTACAGTTGTGATTTTAGCTATTCAATCATATTAGCAGGGAAAAAATGACTTGTTTCTGTTGTACTTGAGTCTTAAGAAAAAGTGCCCATAGTTTAGTGACAATTTCCAAAGGCTTTAGTACCACCTGTATTTCAAAATGGGGGACCCAAACTCCCGGAAGAAACAAGCTCTGAACAGACTACGTGCTCAGCTTAGAAAGAAAAAAGAATCTCTAGCTGACCAGTTTGACTTCAAGATGTATATTGCCTTTGTGTTCAAGGAGAAGGTAATTTAAAGTTCTTAATGTGAATTAGCACAAGTGATTTTTGTAAGTGTATACTAAGTTGCTACTTTTAAGTAATTTATCAGCGTTAGGTTAAAGAATGGTGGAAGTATGCTTGATTTTTGTGAATTGTGAAGTTGTAAAATCATCAATGGAAAGTTGTTAACTAAAATCATGAATGGAAAGTTCTTAACTATCAGTTGGGAAATACTTAATTCTAAAGCTTAGCAGGATCCACTTTTGCTAGTTGACCTGGGCCGATAACATTGTAAAACTTAAATGTGGAGTAACAGGAAACTTTATAACTGAATTTAAGGATTATTTAAAGTATAAATAAAATGTTTGAAAGTGTTAAATTGGAATCAAAATCTGTGTTAGAATTGGTCATTTCTTCAGCTCTGTAGATAGCTTTTCATATGATACATGTAATGAAATAGAACATACCTAAATTTTTAGGAATAATTGAATATTGAAATGGTTAATTTGTGTTTGGAAGTGTTATTTTTAAAATTCAAAATTGCCTAAAATAGTTTTCAATTAAAATTATTGCCACAGTTAACTAGCAATTAATGAATTGTGGTTAAGCAAAAAACTTGTTTTTGCTTGTAAGAATGGACGGTTTTCTTAAATCGTCAACAGGGCTGTTTGACATAAGATTAGGTTAGGAATATAAGGAAGTGGTAATTCCATCATTGCACAAAAATGGTAACTAATTTTAAATCAGAAATACAATCTCAGTATAATTGTCTGTTTAGTATTTGGAAGTCCCTGGGTTGTTACTTCATTCTTAAAAGTTACTAAGGATGCTGTGCTGTTTGTTTAGAGTAATAACTTTATAAAGTGGTTTTAAAGTAATTGTTTTAAGGTGATTGTCTTAAGACTGGGTAGTACCAAGGATTTGTTTCCTTCGTCTTTTTGTGCTTTATTTTTTTAATATGCTGACTGCAAAACTGATAAAGTCACATTTTAGTTGAAGATATTACAGTGTATGCTCTTTATATCCAAGATATAAGTAAACCGTGAGGACTACATCTGTCTTTGTTATCTGTAAGGTGTCCTAAATTTTACCATCTCATTTTGTAACATTAGGGAAAATCTGCTTTTTTACAACTGGATAGGATCCTTACACTTGACCTGTGTAACTCAAGGTCTATATTCTGTAGTACAGAATTATAAGCTATATTAGTGATTAGCATTTGCTGTTAACTCATTGAAACCACTTGGTCCCCTGCCCCCTTTTTTCTCCTTTCAGATACTGACACTTGTGGGTATGTAATATCCAGAAGTAGTAATGGAAACTGACCCACTTAAAGAATAAAATAGTTAATTTGTCTGAATAGTTGTATTTTTGATCATACAGGTTCTTAAGCTGCATATAAACAGTTAAATGAAATTGTGTCAGTACTGTGTCACTGAAACATTTTTTGACTTTAGGGTTGTTTGATACTAGTTCCTCATAGGATTTAAGAAATATCCAAAATGAGTACATGTTATGAATACATAATGCTATGTAACTGAGAAATTAAGCGTTCTGTTAATAGCCTCTTTATTCACAGTTGGGGTGAGGGGAGGTCAAAAAGATCCAATTATCTGAAAATAAGGCGTTTTGTATATAAAAATTAGGTGATAATTTTACTGAGTTGGGATACAGTTACATACATTGTAATATGGGGTGGGTGTTAAAAGATAGTGTACTTCCAGTGGATCAGTACACCTTTCTTTATCTTTTAGAAAAAAAAATCAGCACTTTTTGAAGTGTCTGAAGTTATACCAGTAATGACAAATAATTATGAAGAAAACATCCTGAAAGGTGTGCGAGACTCCAGCTATTCCTTGGAAAGTTCCTTAGAGCTTTTACAGAAGGATGTGGTACAGCTCCATGCTCCTCGATACCAGTCTATGAGAAGGGTGAGTTCATTTTTTAAGTCTTGGTAGATAAAATAAGTTTTTGTGAGTTAAGGTTGCACCCTACCTGCCATGGGCATTACTATGGTATGGATCTTCAGGTTACTTTTTTTTGTCTTTGTGCTGTGTTTACAACTGGGATCGTGCCTTAGGGACTTTAAATGTGCTTTTTTTTTTTTTTTTTTTTTTTAAACAGGCTTGGGAACATTCTTATATGAATAAATATGTAGAAGATCTCCTTTATCCCATGTTAAGTGTTTGAACATCCTCAGTGTTAGTTTTAAATTCTTAAACTGGATTTATGCTTTCAAAATTGGCTTCAAGACCGGGGGTATAGCTCAGCGGCACAAGTGCCCGCCTGGCAAGCACAAGGTCCTGAAGTTAATTCCCAGTACCCCCACCAAAAAAACAGCTGGTTTGAAGTAGAACATAGATAGCTGTTTTTATGACATTTTGCTGCTAATGATAGTCCAGATTATTGTGAATGTTATATGTTTTGCTTGTTGTGTTTGCCATTTTGAAGGGAGCACTAACATGTCCCTTTATAAATAAGAAATTTAGCTGGGCATGGTGGCTCATTCCTGTAATCCCAGCACTCAGGTGGCTGGGCAGGAAGAGCACCTTGAATTTGAGGCCAGGCCTGGGCAATGTAAAAAAGATTTAAAAGAATTGATACATTGCTGCCAACCCTCTAAACTATTGTAACACATTGGAAATAAATCTGGACCTGTTTGAGCAAGAGATTGCCACAGTTGATTGTTGTGAGGGAAGGCTAGAGATACACCTGTACTGGACTAGAAGAGGTTTATTACCCTTTGAAAATAAGTACATTGGCTGTGTTAATGGAGAGGAGAAAAGTAGGTATTCTGTTAACATATACCAGTAACAAAGCCAGCATTTCAGCTGTGATAAGCTAGTGATTCACATCAGAAGTTTTAAAACACTTTGTAAATAGGTTCTAATTTTGAAGGGTGGAAATAAAGCTGCAAGGACTAACAACAAAAATGTCAGATCTTTAGTTGATATTTACACCATACTTTGGATGAGCTAGGTCTCCATGTGGGTGGCATTAGACTGTACAAAGTACACTAACAATTAGGTCATGAGCTATTCAGATTGTATGGTCCTATTACTTTTACAGTTTAAGCTAAAAAATGATACACAGTGTCTCTGTTCACTTGTAAAATGGTTCTTAGTCAAACCGTATAATTCATTCCTTTGTTTTTTTAAATTTAATTTTGCTTTTTATATTATTTTTCCAGGATGTAATTGGCTGTACTCAGGAGATGGATTTCATTCTTTGGCCTCGGAATGATATTGAGAAAATCGTCTGTCTCCTGTTTTCTAGGTGGAAGGAATCTGATGAGCCTTTTAGGCCTGTTCAGGTATTTTATTCTAAAAGAAAGTGTGATGAACACTTAATAAGTGAAAACTCCTTAATGGGGTCAAATTTGAGAAATTCTTTGGGAATGAATATGGTTTCTAATACCATAACTTTTATTTCATGCTAGACCTTTGAATATTTTGGTATAAGAGAAGAAAGCATTTGGATTACATAATCTCTTGAGACAGAGGTTATTCTGTATCTTTGAAATTAGAGCCAGAGAAAATCTTTTAAAGTGGGAATTTGATGTATAGAGGGAGTCTAGAGATGAACTTGAAAAGATGTGGTTTTCTAGAATTCAGTTGACACAGTACTAAGGATAATCCATGGGCTAAACAGAGGTAAAAATGTATGTTTGTTTATTGGATATTACTGACTTGATAGAAGTATGCCAGCATATAAGCTGAATAAAAAAAGAATGAAAATCAGAAATGCCATGTGTGTAGTTCTCAGAAGGGCTTCCATCTCAGTTTTCATTGGTCATTAGAGGCATTTTAGAGGGGTTTTCCCCTTCCTTGTGCTGCTGGACACTGAAGCTGGGACTGTGTTCAGAATTTCCAATCAAAAAATGTTAGGTCTCCTTATATTTCTAATATTTTAACTTTTCCTGTAGTACTTTATAATAATGATAGAGGTGTACCTCTTTTTGTGGAGAAAGAAACCTAGGGTAGAGATTAGGTAAATATAGTAGTAGGCCCAGGTCTTTTTTGTTTGTTTGTTTTGGTGCCAGGGATCGAACTCAAGACTTTGCACTTGCCAGGCATGCTTGGCCCAGAGTCTTTGGCAGTTAAGCAGTAATCAAAATAAAAACCTGGAGTTAACGCAAAGCAAAACTTCAGACTTTGCACTTGCCAGGCAGGCTCGGCCCAGAGTCTTTTACAGTTAAATAGTAATCAAAATGAAAACCTGGAGTTACCATAAAGTAAAACTTCAGAGTTCAGTTGTGGTAAATAATAATGCAAAATTACTTTAAGTAATTAAATTAAAATCAGTCCTGTGGGGATTGTCTCCAGCCACCCCTGCAGGTGTTCAAATTCTTGTATTATTTGTGTATAACCTCTTATATCTTTAAATCATCTCTAGGATGCTTGTAATAGCCTAATACATTATAAATACTATGTGAGTATTATAAATACTATGTAAGTAGTTAAACTGTGTCATTTAGGGAAAGACTAGGGAATAAGTGTATAAATGTTCAATGTAAATGTGATTTTGTTTTCACAGATATTTTCAGTCAGGATTGGTTAAACTTGTAGACATGGGACCTAGGCTAAGAAAGGTTAACTGCAACTTTTCTTTGTGTTTTGGGTGTGTGTGGGGGATTCTTTTGGCAGTACTGCAGATGAATGAAACCTAGGCCCCTTAGAACTGATTTTAAGTAACATTTAATTGCAATGAATTTTTTTGCTGCTGGCTACATATTGGACAGTAGGGGTATGTTTTAGGCTGTATTAGACATTTCTTTTTTCTTTTTTTTTTTTTTTTTTTCTGTCTTTTTCATTTTTATTGGTACCAGGGATCAAACTCACGACTGCCTGCTTACAAGGCAGGCGCTTATGCTGCTGAGCTAAATCCCCAGCCCAAAGGCCGTATTAGACATTTCAGGGAATGTAACACCTATAGTTTCATAAAAATGTTTATAATTTTTTAATTAGGCCAAATTTGAGTTTCATCACGGTGACTATGAAAAACAGTTTCTGCATGTACTGAGCCGCAAGGACAAGACTGGAATTGTCGTCAACAACCCTAGCCAGTCAGTGTTTCTCTTCATTGACAGACAGCACTTGCAGGTAAGTTTTTGAAAACTATTTCAGGGCTCAATGCGCTTTTTGATTAGTAAGCTGTTTTCCAAATAAGATGAGTGTTTTTGTTTCTCTCACTACTGTGTGATTTTTAAAGTTACTTAAAACAACAACAAAAAACCAAAAACAAGTGTCATAGTTCTCACTCAAGTTCACAAACTTTGTTGCCTATTAGAACTTTGTAAGGAGCTAATTTTGAAAGTCATGGTTCAACAGAAAAATACTTCTCATTTAAAGCAGCAATCTAAATATTCTAATTTAGTTTTTAGTTTATGAAACATTGCTTATTCTCTCAATTTACATCATCCCTTAGAATATATATTATAGTTTTATTATAAGTTATTAGCCCGAAAAAAAAAAATAGCATCCTAATTTATCATTCATTCAACAAATGATTGCCTACACAGTGCCAGGCAGTGAATGAGACAGAGAGCAATTCCTGTCCTCATAAATTCACAGTCCAGTATGGGAAACCAGTATTGAACAAGTAAAATACACAGCTACATAGTGGTAAGTACCAAGAAAATAGGACATAGAGATATGAACTGTGGGCAGTTTGAAACTCTTAGATGGTGTCAACAGAGGTTTTATTGAGCAGTAAAGACTTGAGAAAAGTATCTGTGGTATTCACTAAACTGTAAACCATATGTCTGTTTAATAGAACACACGAAGAACAAAAAATACAACAGTCTGTCACACTTTGAACTACCCTCAGGGTGCTGACAAGCTATTTGGGAAGATATGTTTACTTTTCTGTGTTGCAGAAAATTTTAGAAGAGAGTTGCTTGTGGGGGAGGCATTTGATAATACCAAGTAACACACATTACTTATCACTTAGTGGTAATAATGTAAGTAGGTCTTTTTCTTTTTTTGGTACCAGGGAATGAACTCAGGACCTTGTGCTTGCCATTGCCAGGCAGAGAATGTACTGCTGAGCTATACCCCTGGGCTTTTTTTCTGGTTGACTCTTAGTTTTCCTTCTTATTTTAATGTGGTCCTTACTGCCTGACAGTGGAATCCATGACACAGATTTTTAGTAACAGATGACTAATGGTGTAGAGAAACTAGATGTCACTGGAGGGAGAAGTGGGTATTGGGGATTAGACTCCAAGGGCCTTGGCATTGAATTACATCCCCAGCTCTTTGGTTTTTTTTTTTTTTTTTTTTTTTTTTGAGACAAGGTTTTACAGTGTTGCCCATGTAGAGCTTGGTCATCCTTGTAAGAGTCTGAGAGTTACAAGCATGTACCACCATTCCTGTTTCAGCCTTCACTTTCATGGGGCCATACTATGAAATAGCATAATTTAGAAGTGACTTCAAGGAATTGTTTTGTTGGATGCCAGGTAAATCAGGAGTTACGTATCAGATGCAGGTCTTTTTTTAAGTTAAGCAAACAGCTTGAATCTTTTGAAAGTTTTTAAGTTTCAGAACCAAATCTAGCTTGTAAGTAGGGTGAATTAATTGTCTTAATTCGCCTAGAATATCCTGGGTTTGGCAAAATTCCAAGTCCTGGAAACACATATCCCAGGCAAACTGAATAGTTAATTGTATATAAACTTGGTCTTTAGTGCTCTCAGTCTTCTTCATCCATTCAGGTTCTGTTTTTGACCTTCCTAAGGGGAAATGTGTTGCTAAATTTGCATTATATAGAAGACTCAACTTGTAGTTTGTAGGGAAATCAATATGATAGCAGTCAACACAAACTGTACATTCTTAGTCTACTCTGTACTCAGAGCTTTGTATGTATGAATTCATTTACGCTTCACATTAATCCCATTTTATAGCTAAGCAAATAAATTAAGTTGATCAGACAAAAATTCCCTGACAACAATTTTGTGCTTTTTGTCCTAAGATAGGTGATAAGGAATAGACCAGTGGGTAGTTTTGGATGGACAGGATACTGAGGCATAAGAGTTCATCAGTTTTGGTACAGGTGGAACTGTTTTGTTGACTCCATCATCTTGAATAAAATAACTTTTATGAGCATGTTGTAGGTTCAGGTTCCATCTCATTCACTGATAGTAATTATTTGAGAAAGCACCTAGCATATGTTATCTGTAAGTTAGATGCTTAAATATAACTGCTTTTTAAAAATTATACTCCCAGCATTTGGGAGGCTGAGGCAGGAGGATCACTTGCAAACTCAAAGCCACCCTGAAATGCATAGGGAGACCCTGTCTGAAAAACAAAACAAAATAACCTCAGAGTCTAACTTGGTAATGTTTGGGTTTTTGGTCTTGTAACTTCAGGATGTGTGTAAATCTCTACCTATCTCTAATCCCCTCCCAAGCTTTTGCTGTGACCACATCTGCTGTCTTCCTGACTAGAAGCATGACTTAAATCTTTACTCAGAACACCTTCAGCCTAACCTCTTTTAGGAAGTAATCTGTAGTTGACTTCCCTAACTTTATATGTCCCTTATGGATTTAATAACTATTCGTACTGTATTTTTCCTGAATCTCATATTACAAGACTGTCATCTTCACTAGACTGGGTAAGGACTGAAATTTATCCCATACTTTATGTTCTTTAGTACTGTACTTACGTTCTTAATAAATTGTGACAGACTGTCAGTGTATTGAACTCTTACTCATTAAAAATATTAAAATTTTCCCCCTCCCAGACTCCAAAAAACAAAGCTACAATCTTCAAGTTATGCAGCATCTGCCTCTACCTGCCACAGGAGCAGCTCACCCACTGGGCAGTGGGCACCATAGAGGATCACCTCCGCCCTTACATGCCAGAATAGTTACTAACCAGCGAATGGAGAAGATCAGAGAATGCAGCAGCAGTGTTTTTTCTTGTTTTCTTACCACTTTATTCTTTCAGAGTTTAAAGAAAATGGACTCATGCACAGAACACTATGCATTTTGAAACTTACTCATCCTGGATTTTTTTTAATCATTTGTATCTCAGAACTTAAAAAAATTAGATGTCTTCTGCACGGACTGTGTGAAAGAAGATGCTTTGCATATTTGCTGCACTGCATCAGCATCTTACTAAAAAATGTGAAAGAAAGGACTATTGTACACTGAAATGCTTAAATGTATCTGAAAGCACAAGGTGTGATACTCATTATTGATGGTCTTCCCATTTGTGCTGGTGTTTGCCTCTTTGACATCTGTCATCAGTATTTGGAGGGTGAGAAGTGAATGTAACAGGTATAAATAACATTTTAAAAACTTAATAGCTTTGGTGTAATCACCGTTGTTCAGAGCACTGTCAGATTCATTCTAATGACCAGAAGTGGTTGTTTAAAAAAGAAATGACAACCATGGGAAAGAAATCTTAAATGACAAAAGCATCTCATTGTAGGCATTCTTGCCTCATATTTCACTGGGCCATGTTTGTTTTCTTGGTACATAAATATGTATTTTTTTTCCCAGATCTCTTTCCCCAAGTTGCTGTTATAAAGAGTATTCTGCTGAGTGTGGATGCGTTTATACATTAAAGCCGATAATGGAGTCTGGAGTAGCTAAAGCAGCTATAAAACTGAGAAATACATTCATAGCTGCAGAAACTATAATAGGTAGAGGACTTTACTTTGGTTTTATTTTGTTTTTTGGTGTTAAAAAGATTTTAATTATAAAATAATTCGAGTGAATTGTTTTGAAATTCTGGTTTCTACACCGTCCTAAAGATAAAGCAGAGTTTTGAAATAGGAAAAAAGTTACTAAAAAGTTAAATTGTAAAAATAGCCAATGTCAAAAGTTCTAAAAGCAGAACTCATTTTGTGCAATGAACATAAGGAGAGACTACTGTATAGTTTGTTTTGTTCCTTTTAAATGAAGAAAATCTTTGCTTAAAAGTTGCATACTTTTATTGGAGTGAATCTGAGTGATCCTACTCCTTTGGAGTAAAACTAGTGCTTACTGGTTTCCAATTGTATTTAGCTTCTGGTTGGAATTTGAAAAAAATGAAAACCTAAATAAAAATAGGTGAAAGTTCCCTGACTATTCAGGTGAATACACAAAGATTGAAGTGGTAACTTTTTTTATCTTAAGTCACTGAGTAGTTGTCACTTAGCATTTGGGTTTGTAAATTCAGCAAAAAGAGGAATCAAAGACATGCGGTCTATTTTCAGTAGTTAGAAGCCTGTGCTTATGCGTTATGTCGTGACCCTTTTTAATTCAAAAATGCTTTGTCACATTTTCTCTGAAAGTTAGAATCCATTTGAAGTAACAGTTTTGTTTCTAATAGGTACTGTTTCCAAGCTCTTAATCTGGTGAGTGGAAATAGATCCAGAGGCTTAATTGCTTAAGCTAGGCTCATAAGAATTAGACAATTTCAGTTAGATTGGCTGGACTGTGTGTACCTATAAGAGTTAGGGATCCAAATTTGAGGCCAGTGTAGGCAATTTAGTGAGGTGTTGTATCCAGATTTTAAAAAGGCTGTGGGTGGTTAACTCAGTATACCAAGGCCCTGGATTCAAACTACAGTACCACAAATAGGCTGCTGACTGACAGGAAAGCCCAAGCTCTTAGTCATTTACTGTGAATTACATTACTATATTCAGTATACTAGGCAATTCAGCAGCCATTTATTTTGAAAAAAATTACAAAGTTGCAAGAGATACAGAAAGTTCTTATATAACCTGTGCCCAACTTTCAGTCTTCAGCTTGGGACATTCATGTTTGTTCTTTGTATATATCTTCTGAACCATTCCAGAATTTCTTGCATATATTAAAATTCTTAGGCCTATGTTTCATGAAGTACAAGTATATTTTCATTGCTGGTCGAGTTGTCCGCAATGAAGTGGAAAATTTCAGGGACTATCACATTGATGTATTTTGCCATTCATATCCTAGTTTTAACTCAGTATTTTTTGTGGAGATTGAACCCAGGAATGCTAGATGGGTACTGTATCCCTGAGCTATATGTCCTCAGCTGATATTGATAGCTTTAAAAATCCCCAGTAGTACAGAATTACAGTGTTTAGTTATGTCCATATCGTCTTTTGTTCCTCAGCCTGTTTCATGATCTTGACATTTTAGGAGTATAGGCCAACTTTCTATAAACTTTTCATTTGAATTCATAGTTACTGTGTTGCCTCTTCTCAAGTTGGATGTCCAGGGATACACTCTGTTCCCTAGTGATGTTGGTTTTCCTTGCTGGTCAAGGTGTTTTTGTTTATTGTTTGTTTTTCCTCTATGTACTTATTCCTGGCAATCTATGAGAAACATGCAAATGTCCTACCTCTATCTTGAGCTCCACTGGTGTTTCTTGCTGTTGGACCAAACCAATCTTAAAGGTGGCTGCAAGGGTAATACTCTAAATGTATATACCCCTCCACATTTTAAGATTCCTCCTATGTTGCCATTTTCCACTAAAACATTGTCTCAACTTTTCCCTTGATGTGTAATTTGCATGTCTTTGTCATTTTTTTGAGCCCTTCATTATTTTCAGGGATAAGATACCTTGTGTTGTGCACCAGCTTCCAGACCTGGTGTTGCTGTTCTACAGAGGGCTCAGGTTCCTTAAAGTGGAAAGTATACTAAGAATCAATACCTGGATCTCACTTCCCACTGCTGCTAGGGAGAGTCTGCATCTGCATCTAAACAGATAAGCATACATTCTAATACCAGCAAAGGATAACCAACTTACAACTTGCCTGGTTTTCCAAATTTTTTTCAAGCTGTTTCCTTTTTTTTTCAGTCTTCAGTCATGAGATGTTCACTAAGACTTGGCTATAGAAATAAAGTATTTTAAGTGCCATAGTCCATAGTATTTTGTGATCTTTGAGAAACAGACTAATTTGTGAACTTGATCTTTTTAATATAGTAGACAGTTTTAGAGGGGCTTATAGTATGCCTTTCCTCCTTTTAATGCAGAAGGCTGGCTGGTGTGTGGTAGTGCCTGACTGTAATTTCAGTACTTGGGAGGCTGAGACAGGAAGATTGTTTCAAGTTTGATGCCATTCTGGACTACATAGAGACCGATCCTGTCTCCAAAAATAAAAATGCCAGATTAAATCTATAATAAATGATCACAGGAAAAGGATTTGGAATATTTTCTGTATCACACTTTTTTACTTTAAGCAATTATGGCACAATCTAATTTTCTGATATTCTTTTATGAAGTTTGGTAATCTGTAAGAGAAATGGGCATGTGGCAAGGCATTTCAGAGCTATGAAAAGATATTAAGGGCAGGCCGCTACTATGGCCAATGTACTGAGTGTCCCCCGAAGTTCTAATCCTAGGGATGGCACTGAAGTAGCTGGGGTCCTCAGGAAGCCCCTACTGCTTCCTCTGCTCTGCCATGTGAGGATGCACAGAGAAGGCAGTCGGTGAGCCAGGAAGTGGCCTTCACCAGACAGTTCTGATCTTGACCTTGGCCTCCAGAGCTGTTAAGAAATAAGCAATGTAGACTTCTCTAGAAAGATCTAAACAGACTCGGCCATTAATTTATATTTATCTAGCCTCACACTGAACATTGGAGTAATCTTAGAGTGGCCCAATTGGCTTTAACTTCTTCTGTTTTTAAAACAGTTTTTTTCTTTGAATTATCATGGATTTAAAAAAAAAAAAAAAAAAGGCAAAGGGAAACACCAGGCACCCCCACCTTCATTCTGCCTTACTTGGTCTCTAGGTCTTTTCCCCCCAAATCAGTATTCTTCAGCTACTTCTGATTCTGCTCATTTATTTTGATTTTGTTCAAATCAAATTTACAGTTGATGTTCGCTATTGGCTTCGTTTCCACCTGCTGTTCACTCAGTTTCCCAGGTGTTTTGTGTGTCTTCCTTGTGCTATTAGTTTTCCTGTGGCCTTGTTGGTCACATCCACAGAAGCAAACGCAAGTGTCTTTCCCTGCTTCAGAATATTTGCTGTAATTACTATTTCTTCTCCTATTTTAGCAGGTGACATGTACCTTGAAAGGAAGCATATTTAAATATAGTTAATGCCAAATAATTTTTTAAAAGTAAAGTTACAAGTTTATAGCAACGTTCCTATATATCTTTCTTTACCTCCCAAACTATCAAGTTTGAATGGCTTGTAATAACAAGATTCTGTCATGTTCATCCCTTACCCAGTTTCTTTTGCTATAGATCCATGGTTTGCTTAACCTTTTCCACCCTTAGCTTCCCATTTTATTTTTTAAGACTAGTGAGAAGATCTCTTTTCACTTCCATTTAATGAGTTTTAACTTCTTAAGTATCAACTTGGTGGTGGGCTGTCTGGTCGTAGACTTAACTCTAAAATGACTAGTTTAAGAACAATAAGAAGTGAATGAGGCTCTTAAAATCCTAATGAGGAACTGGAGATATTGCAGTCCCTTGTGGGATCATGGAGGCTTGGTCTTAAAGCCCCTGCAGATATCAAAATCGATGGGTGCTCAAGTCTTTTACATAACAGTGAAGTATTTGCATGTAACCTATGCAATCCTGCTGTACACTTTAAATCATCTCTAGATTACTTATAATATTTAATATACAATAAATGTTATGTAAAGAGTTAATACTGTATTGTTAGAGAATACTGGTTGGGAAAAGTCTATACATGCACTTTTTAAAAAAGTATTTTCCATCTAAGGGGGTTGAGTCTGCAGGTGTAGAACCTTTGGATAATAGAAGACTGTTTACTTTTTTATTAGGTGGTACTGGGGGATTAAACCCAGGGCTTTTGCATGGAAATATTTCACTAGCCCTTTTTTTAGTTTTGAGAAAGCAACTTGCTAAGTTCTCCAAGCTGAGCTTGAATTTGCTATCCTCTGCTTCAGCCCAGAGTGCTGGGAATACAAGCCTATGCCACTGTGCCTGGCTTCTGACTACATATTTTTAAGAGATAAATTTCCTATCCAATTATAGTCTTAAATCGCCTTTAATTCAGTTACTATAGCTAACTTACAAATAAGATTAGAGGATGAGGACTGTTTAAATGGTATGTTTTTGGCTTTTTTGTTTTTTGGTTGAGAAGATAGTCTCACTATATAGTTCAGGCTGGCCTTGAACTCATAGCAATCTCCTGTCTCAGCCTTCTGAGTGCTGGGAACAGCAGTGTGAGCCACTACAACTAGCTATTTTTTAATACAGCTGCATTTTGTAAACCAAAGAACCTTAAAAGATGATGGGTTACTGTAACAAATTCTTACGGTTTTTTTTTTGGTACCAAAGATTGAACTTACGGCCTCACGCTTACCAGGCAGGCGCTTGTGCTGCTGAGCTAAATCCTCGGCCCTTTTTTTTTCCTGTTACTGTTTTTTTGGGACTGAGAATTGAACTCAGGACTGTTGCTTGCCAGGAGGGGCTTATGCCACTGAGCTATATCCCAGCCCACCAAATTCTAAATAACTTAAGTGTTTGTTGCAGGGTAGTATGGCAGTATGATAAAACTGAACTTTATTACTGGAAAAAATAGAGGCTGATCTTGAATTCAGGTATCCCAGTTTAAAAAAGTGAAAGTGGCATGCTTTATCATTTGCCTAGTTTTCATGATTTACCCTAATTTTGTCCTATAAATCAAGAATTTTGGCAAATGACCAAACTAAAGGAACAAAGCAACCCTTTGTACAAACATTAAATCTAGGAGATCTGGAAGCTGGTAATTTACCAACAGTATTTTTTGCCCCCAAATCAATTTCAAAGAGAAAAAGAAAAAAAACCCTAAAAATTTCAAAACATATCAATCTGGGTCAACAGTATTTTTTTTCTTTGTATTGGAGATTGAACACATGATCTTGTACTCATCAGACAGGCGCTTATGCCACTGAGCTAAATCCCTGGCCCCTCAACAGTATTCTTACCCAAAAGCCAGGTGTGGTGGCACCATCTAATCTCAGCACCCAGGAGGCTGAGGCAAGAGGATCACAGAGTTTGCAGACAGCCTGAGCTACAGAGTGGAAAGCTCTCATGAACTGCAGTGAGACCCTGTCCCAGAGAGCAAAAAACAAAAAACCCCCAGTATTCTTACCTTAGAATTTGCTGCTGTTGTTTTGGAACCCAATTTTTAACCTAAATTATGGTAACAGACATCTTTGGTCTGTGTGGTACAGACCTTACTGTGCAGGGATGAAGTACATTTGACATCACATCAAGTGGCAGTACAAAGAATGAATCAGGTATTCAAGGAATGCAGTATTCAGTGAGTTTTGCACTATTCACAACTTTTAAGACTATCCTAGTTTTTGTTCAAGTGAATCAATTTTGAAAGCTCAGGCAGCTCTGGTGATAGCCAATTTGGGAACATACACAGTACTTTGAAAAGTCAAAACTGTTTAACTTAATAAAAATTCTTGAAGTTATATTGTAGGAAGGAGCTGGATTACTGCCTGATACATAATTCAGCTTGCTGCAACAAGATGGCAGTGCATAAATGAAAGGCCCTTCAGTTTCCCTTTGAATTTTAATCAGAATTTTCTGTATGTATACTCCATATATACCCCTTGGACACTTGTCCAAGGGGTACTTTTTTTTTTTTTTTTTTTTTGGTCTTTGAGATAAGAATAAACTCACTCTGCAGTTCAGTTGAACTTGAAATAGTCCTGCCACAACCTCCCAAGTGCTGGGATTACAAAAAGGTGCCATCATGCCTGGCCCACCAAGACATACTTTTAAGGTATATAAAATAGTTACAAGTCATGAGTTTATTTTTCCCTTGCCAGTGTATGTAACTAGAAGCTGGCTGTTTTGAATATTTTGGATTATTCTCCCATTATTATTATCATTGCTATTACTGTCTTTTCAAGACAGTCTCCTTATGCAGTTCAGGCTGGCTTTGGGCTCACTTGTAGCCCAGGCTGGTCTCAAATTTGCTGGTTTGAGACTATCCTTCTGCCTCAGCCTCCCAAGTTCTGGGATTATATCTGGAAGGCCATCATGCCTATTTCTCTCCCTTTATTACTGATACATACTGTACAATGGACCCTCTGTATTTGTTGGTTCTCTGTCCTCTAATTTAACCAACTGTGGACTGAAAATATTTGAAAAAGTAAGACCTGTTTTTATCTTGTCATTCTCTGAACAATACAACAATTCTCTGTGTATTACTTACATTGTATTGGGTAAAATCCATAACCTAGGATGATTTACGAATACAGGAAGATGTGTAGAGATTATATGCAAATAATACCATTTTACATAAGAGACCTGAGTACTGGCAGACTTTGTTATGTAATAGGAGCCCTGTAACCAATGTCCTGCCAATACAAAGGGATGACTGTGTGGAAATCAAATGTTCTATTCCTAGGTTTTAAGGTCATGGGATAGTTAAGGCAAATCTATAGCTGTACTTAAACAGCTAACTGAATCTCATGATTCATTTATATAAATTATTCAGTCTTCATTTTGTGAGATGAGTTATCAAATTTAAAAAGTATCTGGGTACCATTTGGATACATACGTTATGTTCATGTCAACACTAACTCCTGGGACTCCTCTTTCTGTGAATAGCAGAGCCATTGTTGATATGCTGTCTATCAAGGTGGCTGTAAAACCACCATGGAGAGTGCCTTGTTTATTAGCGTGCTCTTCTTCTACTTTCATTTCACAAATCACTTTCTCAGGAGCAGCAGAGACAAGAGTTACCTACATGAAGAAAGAATCAAACATCCATTTTGTGGTAATAGAAAAACCCACACATCAGGAATAGTCATTAGATTAATCTGAATCTTTCCAAAAGAGTTTATTCAGAAATCCAATTAATTGCTTGCTAGTGTAGGATAGATATTAACACTTATACAAATTGTTTTTAAAGAAAAAGTATTTAGGAGAAAACGATAACTAGTTTTCACTAATTTCTACTTACAGTATAAGTGAGCTTTTCAGTCTCATGGCATCTCTTTGGCATCTCATGTCTCATGGTCTCTGTGGTCTATTAAATAACCCATTTTAGATTTAACTCAGGTGTTTTCCAGTTTTGAACAGTCATTTTAAAAATGACTTGGTAATGATCAGTTCAAAACAACTTGAAAAACAAAGTGGAAGAAATTCGGTAATTCACTGAATTACTAGAATTAAGCTTAACCCACGAAACCATTTTAATGTAAGCTTAACAACTGAATCTAACAAGTTAAATTACTGTTTTAAAAGTCTCGCTCTATTTATAAAGTAGCATAATGAAAAGGTATTACAGATAAGATAAAATGTGGAATAATTAGGAAGCATCACTGTTCAGAAATATGTCGGTGGTTTACTGGGTTTGGTTTTTTTCATCACAGGTTTGCTTGTAAGCAAATAATGCACTGTGAACATTCTCTATTAATGAAAATCATCTGTTGAGATCTATAAAAACTGCTAAACTAATCTTTACGGGGAACTTTGGGGTTCATTCAGTTCTTCATTTTCTTTTGACTTTCTTTCAATTATACATTCACTAAGTGATAAGCATTTTTTTTTTTTTTCTTTTTTCTGGTACCGGGGATTGAACTCACGACCACCTGCTTACAAGGCAGGTACTTATGATAGGCATTTTTTATCTCCATCATAAATTCATGGGGCCACTGCAACGCATGCAATCTGCCGTCAATGGCAATGCCATGTGACACACAGCCGTACTATACAACAGGGCAGGGATAAATTCTATTTTGCTGATAAATGCAAGTTGCTTTGTTTCAACCTCACTGAAAAAGTGATAAAACTGACATTTCCAACCAGCTCTGTCTACCTGCACATCCCCTTAACCACTAAACTGTAAATTTTCTAGATATATAAAAGCCTTTATAGCTCCTACCATAAAGACATATGAATTTCATAAAATAGAGGTTTTGCTGTAGTTTATCCTGCAAGAGATCATGAAGGAAAACAAATACAAAAAATACTATGTGTGTTTTACACACTAGGTAGATCAATAGAAAAAATGTTAGGTGTGTTTATAGCAGCAGTAAGTGATCTTAGCCACAAGATGTCCTCATAAACTGGTAGTACTCACCAAGCAGAAGCCAGGAGCAAGGTGTGAACTCATTCCAGCACAGGTCGGGATTTTGCGTACTATTATTTGTAGTACTGGGAACAAGGCATTATACATACTAGGCAAGCACTCTACAACTGCGCTATACTCACAATTCTGTGTGAATCTAAATTAGGCTCTGGCAGTGTAAAAGTGAATGAGATAGAATCTCTTCTCAAAAGCTTCAGTCTAAAGAAAAACTGTAAATTACTGCAGTGAAGGAAATTTTTGGAGATAGAATAAATACAGATTTTCTAGAGTAAAGGTATCTTTTTTACAGAGAGAAACTTTCATTTCCTTGTTTCAAGATTTCTGGGTTTTAAAAGTATGTTTTGGGGGAGGCAGAATCAGTTGGAAATTCTTGGAACATTCCATCTGAGTTAGAAAAGCAGGCAGGAGCCAGGGGAAAGCAGGTAGTTCAAGAAATACAAATGTGAGCACCTCACAGAAAGCAAAGTTAGCAGGGCATATTTTAAGGTACATATGTTTAGCACAGCTTAATTCCTAAAGTCTCATTTGATTAACTTTGGCTAGGATAACAAAAGTTCATACCTCTTGATGTTAAATTTTCTACTACAGAATAGTCTTTAACTTTTTTTTTCCTTTTTCTTAACCAAAAGGCAACTGGACATGCTAGTATACAAAACTAGTTTAAAATTTACAATGAAATAGAGATAATTTTGTACTATTTAGCCTGACACAGCAAGAGAGTGTTTTTTTTATGTATTACCTATTTATTTATTCAGTACTGGGGACTGAATCCCTGGCCTCATGTATGCTAGGTAAACACTGTACTACTGAGCCACACCCCAGTCCTGAACTGCCAATTCTAGTCTCCCTAAGTAAAAAAAATGAACCAGTGATGAGACCTCGTGTCCCAGTACCACAGGAAAACAAACAGAACCAAATGGAAAGTACCAGTGAAGTGTCCTGTCCAGCCTCCCAGAGAAAATGCCCTGTGGGATAGAGGCACTGAGACCTAACCTTCCTTATCTCTGATGAGGACAGCTGGAGAGAGAATACTGAACAAGGAAAGAACCCCATCCCAGTCAACATATAGGCTCTAGTGTACACACCTGTTTATTGTTAACAGTCACAGACTATGTTGAGCAATTTTCCATGCGTTGTCTCAGTCCTGCAAATGTTCGAAGTGTTACTTTTACCATCTCCATTTTCCAGATAGGAAAACAGCTATCTTTAATTCCCCGGTTTAGCAAACCCCCCCCCCCCATCTCACCTGGAGCACTGCAGACACCTAGGTCTTGACTTATTAGCTGTTTTATGAGAATGTGGGTGTGAATTCTTTTACGCAGAGTTGGACATTTGCCTACCAAGATCTAACAACACAGAATTGCCAGGATGTGTTCCATTCCTAAAACTCCAAAGATTGGATGACTGCAGTAGTTTGAACCACTATGGCGTGGCTCCCTCTGACACAAAGGGCTCCTCAGGTTATCATAACAATTGTCTTACATAGGGGCTGGGGATTTAGCTCAGCGGCATAAGCACCTGCCTTGCAAGCAGGTGGTCGTGAGTTGGATCCCCAGTACTGATAAAAATGAAAAAGACAAAAAACAAATTGTCTTACACATATGCATACCATCTGTCCCTTCTCTACACAGTCTTCAATGTGCTGTCTCTTCCCTACCATGCACTTAATGTTATTCATGCTATCATAGCACCTTGCCCGCACCCCCAATATCTAGGCTCAAATAACACTAATAATAGACATACTCCCAGTGATAACAGTCTCTCCCTTCCTTTTCCAGTGAAAACAGAAGGGCTGCCTAGTAACAGCAAGACAGTGTTACTTTTATTTTTTTACAGTCCCAACATGAAGATGCTATTATTCACTGTGATGTGGTCCTTTATATGAAGGTTTTTGTAGAACTTACAATTCTTCTTAGTCAACAAAGCAGTCTGAGTATGAAAGACTGCACGAATAGTAGCACAGAGAACAGATAACATTGGTAGGTGAGAAGTTTGCACGTATTTATGAAAAAGGCTGTTTTCAAGCAATTTGTCCTGATAGACATTGCTGTGTGTAACACTACAGATGCCAGGAGTTGTATCTGAGGACAATGTATGAAAGCACCTTGTATAAGTAGGAAAGGAGGTACAAAGCATACAACAAGATGCGATGATGTGACAGGGTAGGAATAGCAACAGAAGCAGATGAAAGTTATGTAAAAGGAGATCCTGTAGTTTGCCCATGCTGCTGAGCTCTGACGTAAATGTCTTAGTGTAATTATACAGATGGCTACAGCTTAATGGTAAAAAGATCTGGTTCTGGAAACTGACTTTGGCTAAAGATCTAATCTGAGGTTTCCAGGCTATGAAGTGAAGATAATAATAGTACAGGGACCTCAAAGAGCTTTGTAAATCTCAGAATAAAATTCACAGCCAGTAGTTGGGACCAAGCCTGGTGGTAATCAAAACAATGTGCACTCCTATAAGAATCAACAGCAAACATTTTGGTTTGTATAGTTTATCACAAATTTATTTAAATTGTTTGTATTGTCAAGGTCATCAACCAACACTAAGTCCAACAGACACTCAGTAGCCCTTCCTGCCCTGACATGCCCTCTCACTATCTAGTAACATCCTGCACTTTGCCGGGATCCTCCTCCCAAGGACTCCTTTTCTCCTGATTTCCCTCTTACTCTACTAGCTGCTCCACCTTCTCGTTAATTGGATCCTATTTTCTAAGAATCTTGGCGTGAGCTAACCAGTTACACTAGCAAGACTATGCATGTCCACACTTGGCAGCTAAGTCACTCAGGATATGGTGTACATACTGCAGCCAGGGGTGGCAGCTTGGGCTATGGGACAGAAAAACTAGGTTTAGAATCTCTAGTAGTTTTAACACCTTGGGAAAGTTACACTTCCCTTTCTTATGTGTCTACTTCACAGGGTTGTTTTAAAAGTTAAAAGAAATTGTTAGGGAAAATAAAATATTAGGTCAGTGTCTGTCTCACCATACTCAATACATGCTACTTATTACTAAAATACTACAGCTTGGAAAACGACCTCTGCTGACTGTTATATTAAGATGCTGAAAAATTAAAATAATTGATTAAAAGATAATTAGCAAAAATAGTTACTTCAAGGATAGTTATTAGCAATATTGTCATTCTGTACTGAACTCATTACCCTAGTAACCAAGCACCAACCACAGTTATAAATTAACTGACCGCATCGTTCTGCTGTTCTATAATGCGTCATCCCCCCTACCTTAGTGACTGTGTGTGATGTCAACTTTTGTTCCCCTTGTAAGAGACAAATGATGCTGTGTCAACCATTGTTCCCTTTATGAGAGACAAAAGTTCCTGGAATTGGCAGACCAAGGGCTATGAATTGGCTAACCAACCACTGTGAAATGCCTCTGACCTCAAGCAAAGGGGAACAAAGGCCCACCTTGTTTCTGTTTCTCATCACTATGTACTTAATGATCAATGAGCTAATCCTAAATGAACTATAAAAATCAGTCAAAACTCTAACTCAGTTGCACAGCTTTGCAAATTCCATCTGCACTGTGTCACTGGGCCAGCTAAAATAAAAGCGCTTCTTCCTAAAAACGACGTCATTTAGCCCCATCTTTTCCATCTCAGGGGTTTTGCCCCATTTTTCATCTGGGGGCCCTTTCGGGGAATTACAGCACTGACCTGCTTTTTTATACAATCAGAAGTTTCACTCTGCTTAGTTTTTTCACTTTGCTTGGTTTTAAAGCCCTGAAAGTAAGGGCTTTTCTGAAGGCGACTTTCTGAGATCTTCCAACATCTACTGAATGGCTCACTTCCTCTGAACAAAGCTCCATGTGCATGGTTATAAAAGTTCCCTACTATCAGTATTTAAGATATATGTAACATAAAGAAACTCCATAGGGAGTGGAGACAAGTGGTAAGTCTAGCAAGTGAATCCTCTCATGACTAATATAATTAAAAATCTCAGGGCAGACAGCCCAACTGATAAAACTATCAAAAATCCTGGGGTCATCACTCATTTTTCTGTCCTAACCCATAAGCCCATCTATCAGCAAATTCTGTCAGTTGTCTCTTCAAACAAATTCAGGTCCCAATCACTTCCCAGCTCACCCATGGAGTCCACGCTGTCTCCAGCCATGATCATTTCTGAGTTGTTCCAAGTGCCTCCCAACTTACCTACTTTGCCCTTGCCCCACTGTCTACATATTCAGCATTAGCAACACAAACAATCCTTTAAAGTCAAATTATATCACTGCTTAAAGTCCTTTCAAATGGAGCTTCTCTTCACTAGAGTAAAAGCCAAAGTCTTTCAGGTTACCTACAAAGCCACGTGTGACCTTGCTCCATTGTGAGATTCCTGTCTCTATCGCACTGGCCTTGCTGGGACCCTCTCATGTACTGCAACACAGTGCTATGATGTCTCAGGGGCTTTACATTTGCAGGCTCCCTTCGTGGAATTCTTCCCCTTCCATATCCATGACTTACTCAGGTCTTTACCAAAAGGTCACTATTTCAGTGATATCTTCTCAAATAACATTATTTAAAATTGAATTCTCAAACAAACAAAACTGCAAGCGAGGTGCAGTGGTGTGCATTTGTAGTCCCAGCAGGAAGCTGAGTGAGGATTGCATGAGTCCAGGAATTAGAGGACAGTCCAGACAACTTAGTGTGCCCTAGTCTCAGTGACAGAAAATAGGAATGCATAGCATAGGGAAAAACTGAAATTTTTCTGTGCCTACACTCCCTAGTCTCTGCCTTTGCCTTTTTTTGTAACACTTAGCACCATCTAACACATTACATATTTTATTTGCTGATTTTGTTGTGACTTGTTCTACTAAAACAGAAGTTCCATGAGTACCAGGAAGGACTTGTGTCAGTTTTGTGCCCTGTTATATTTCCAGTGCCTAGAATACGCCTGGCACACAGCAGGCACTCCAGTATTTGTTGAATTACTAGATTTGAACTTGTGAGTTAACTAGGTGCATTTGATAAAAACATGCCCAATACTTGGTGGCTTCAGAAACCAAGTACAGGGAAAATGTATGTGAAAGGTATTCTAGGTCCCTGTCATTAAGCATTGCAGGTGCCTCTGATGAATGCTTATAAAGTGTCTTCTAGGGACTTGATCTCAAACAGCTGTCAGTGTGGAGACAGAAGACAGGTAAATCAGTCACACACAGAAAGTATATAACAGAAGTCAGTTAGGATAGCTGGGAGTGGTAGAGCATGCCTGTAACCCCAGCACTGATGCAGGAGGATCTCTGCATGTTCAAAGCCAGTCAGGGTTACATGTGAGTTCACGGCTAACCTGGAATACATAGAGAGACTGTCTCAAAAAGCCAAAAGAAAAAAAAAGTCAAGGTTAAAAAGTAGGTCAAAGGAAGAAAAGTGGACTGCCAGGGAAGACTTCTGGGCACAGCAAGTGTTACCTGAAAAGGACTCTGAACAATGGGTTTGGGAAGGGCAGCTCGGTCAAGGGCGAAGGTCCCAAAATGAGTAAGATGTCCTCACCCCAGGGCCTATAGGCCTCAGTAGAGGTTCCAAGAGAAGGCCAAAAGTAACAAATTAGCAAGTAAGTGCATAGTAAGCAAAACAGCCCTGGGGAAGACCAAGGAGTAATTTAATATTTAAGACCTAACCAGCTAAACTGACCGCCTTGGGCTGGAAGCTGGGGATAGAACTCAGGGCTTTACGCACACTCAGAGAGTGCTTGAGTGCTGATCTATACCCACAGTCCCTAATACTTCACTCTCCGCCCATGGAATAGTGATGGTGGTAAGAAACGTGCTATGAAACACTAGAAAGAACCGTTATGTTTCCCCCCAAAGGCTAGTAACTGGCAGATAAAAGACTAAACCACTCTAGAATACCTGCAGAGGAAGGTGTTCTGAAGGTTCCATCACATCCACCACAGTGGTCAGATTTCTCAGGTGCAGACTGCCAGCTGCTCTGATCCTATGAAAAGAGTGGTTGCCAAGAAAGGAAACTTTCTTTTCCTTCTTCTTTAGACCTGGGATTTGGGCAATGTTTATTCAAACACATGTATACACATGGGCAGAAGCACAGTATTGTGTAGAATTTTTGCAGCTGAGCTACAGCTTGCAATCTAGTACCTACATATCAAGTAGTTCCCAGGGATTATAACTTGGACTGCAAAAATGGTTAATCAAGGTCAGGGAATAGCCAATGTCATAAGGTAAAGCAACAAACAAACAGCAACACAAATGTGTCAGGAACCTCCATTTGCTGTATTCCAGAAAGTCTGGGAACTACTAGGGTGACTAAATAAAACTTTCATTTAGCCTTCTGTTTTTTTTTTTTTTGGTCTTTTTGAGATCAGGTTTCCCCATGCAGTTCAGGCTGGCCTTGAACTTACTTTATAGCCCAGACTGCATCTCAGACATTCTCCTGTCTCAGCTTCTCGAGTACTGGGATTGCATCTTCTGTTCTTAATTTTTTAAGTACATAAACTTAATTTCTCTGAAAGCTCTCAAAATGTAACTAAGAACTTGACAGACTCAGGACTTCGATAAAAGGGCTATATGGACAAGTGGTGTAAAAACTGAGAATTTCAGAGGGACTACATAAAACTAAACCTTGGCTATCTTCTGCAACACGAGAAATGTAAATTCATCATCATTTCTCTGCTAAAATTATAATTCTTTGACAGTTTTGCTACACAGTCCAGGCTGGCCTCAAACTCAAAATAATCCTCCTGCCTCAGCCTTTCAAGGGCTGAGAATTACAGGTGTGCACAACACCCAGCTTAAAATTACAATTCTACAGGTATATTTGCTGAAGGTTCATGTCAAACCCTTTCCCTCATAATATAAAAAAAACTCTTGAATTCATTATTTCACTAATTGTATGATGATTCCTTATATTCTCAGTAGCATTTAAATCACTGTTTTTTTACCAGTTCTTAAATTAAAACATGAGCTTTTTTATCAATAAGGCAGTGGACAGATGTAATTTCCTATCTATTACCTCTTTAGGGCTATGTGTTATTCAACATCATTTTCTAGGCTTATTTAAACCCATACAATTACATGAGACATTTTATCTTTTTACAAGATTACAGAAATGAAATCATTATCACTCACATTATTTTAGTTTTCAGTTTTCTCTTTCTCTAATTCAATTTATACATATCTCTTTCAACAGCTATATTTCCTAGTATGAAGATATTAGAATTTGTCAGTTATTACTTAAGTGTGTTATTTCCATTTTTTTTGTTACTATTACAAATAAAGGTGCTTTTACTTGAATAGGATAGATTCTCAAAATTAGACAGCAGGTTAAATTTACGTATGTAAATTTTTCACAGTGCTTCCAGATTTCTCCCTGCAGCCCTCCAGTGAATTATTAATTAGCACTTTAGAGAAAGGTCCATTCCATTCTGTTCCCTGTTGAAATTTATATAAGTCTTATAAACATACAACCCAAAATTCAGTTCAAGGACATTGTGGGAGACTTGGCTGAGTGAATGGTTACAGTACAGGCTCTGTGTGGAGTGAATAGTTAAAACAAGAATTTAAATTGGGGGCGTGGTGGTGCATACTTGTAATCCCAGCATTTGGGATTACAAATGGAAGGCTGAGGCAGGAGAGCACTGGAAGTTCAAGGCCAGCCTATGCTACATAGATTTCAAGGCCAGCCTGGACTACATATTGAGACCTTGTCTCAAAAAACCAAGATATATAATATATAAAAAAAACCCTTCAGGTTAAATGAAGCATGTTGTGTCTGGCCATTGTCCTTCCACTTTGCAGCAGGTATTTAGGCCACTGAGCTAAATTCCTAGCCCTTGCACTGACATTCTAAAAAGAAGTCAGGGCTGCTCCTGAGGTCTCCCTAACACTGGGCACTCTCAGTTGAGACAGCCCTCTGGGCCTCTTGGTGTCAGACCAAGCACTGTCTCTGAGTAATCTCTTCATCCTGTCTGCCACAAGGACATAGTACATACTATATTTAGAAACAACAGAATTGCTATTTATCTAGTTGTTTAATCCAGGACAAAGTGGTGTGGTAGCACATGCCTGTAATCTCTGTTTCATAGGAAAATGAGGCAGGAGGGTCACAAGTTCAAAGGTAAGATGGCAAAGCCTCATCTCAAAAACAAACAAAAAGCCTTAACAAAGGAAGAAAGAAAAATAATTATTTAAGAAGTTTTTTTTTTTCTTTTTTCTTTTGGTGACAGGGTTTCCTTATGCAGTTCAGGCTGGTTGTGAACTCACTTTGTAACCCAGGGGGCCTCAAACTCACAGTAATTCTCTTGCTTCAGCCTCCTGAGGGCTGAGCCTCCTGAGTGCTGGGATCACAGGCATATGCTACTATGCCTGGCCAGAGAATATTCTAAGTTAAGGTTTCTCAATCTTAGCACTACTGGTTCTGGAAGCATAGAAGGCAGTATCTGTGCTCTGTAGAGGAGTGCTTAGCAGCATTCTAGACCTGTTCTCATTAGATGACAGAATACCTTTTCTACTCTATCCAGGTTGTGCTGATTAAAATTATCTCCAGGCCAGGGCACAGCACTTGCCTGGCAAGTGGCCAGGTCATGAGTTTGGTCCCTGGTACAAAAAAAAAAAAAAAAAAAAAATCTCTATAGACACTGCCAAATGTCCTTTGGAAAGCAAAATTATCCTCAGTTGGGAAACTGTATAGGTAATGACCTTTTAATTTACAGTAAAAGAAAATGGACCATGTTTAAAACTAGACTTATGAAACATTATGTATAAATACACATTTTAAATGTGTGTGGTGGCATATATATTTATAGTTCCAGCTATTTGGGAGGCTGAAGCATGAGTATCCTAAATTGTGAAGCAACCTAGGGAACTTTGAAGGACCCTAGGATTTAGTTCTGGCAACTCTGACCACACAAAACCTTTTTTTATATTAAACTAGTAAACACACATCTCACAGTATCAAATGGTAGTATTTAATGGCCATTAGCTACATACTACATTAGCTACATACATGAGTTTTTAAGAATCTGAATTGAGACATGCTGTATATTCAGATTTCACAATGAATTTTAAAGATTAAGTATGAAAAAACCTTACATTTTTTGCAAAGCTCTAGTTGGCTTTTTCAAATGATACAAATCAAGCAGTCTCCACTAAAGATTTTAAAAACGCACACTAAATACTTTAAAATCATATGACATGTTAAAATAACTTGGATATATTATCACTTATATTACTAAAATTAAATTAAATTCATTTCTTTTTTTGTGGTATGGGGGATTGAACTCACAACCTCATGCTTGCCAGGCAGGCACTAATGCCACTGAGCTACTTCTTACTTTTTACTTCTTAAAACGTGGCTACTATATAATTATGCATGTCTCTCCTATCTGTAGCTAGTATGGTTATTTCTATTAGTCAGTGCTAATCAACATATAGAATATATTACTCTTTAATAGTACTATAACTTCCGAGAATCTCTATACATCTGTTCAAACGGCACATCAGTCTAGAGAGGTGAGTTACACCCCTGCCCATTCAGATTAAGACTGCTCCAGTGTATCAAAGGTATGAGATACTTAAAGGCAATCCAACCATGGCAAGATTATTGCAAGATGATTCATGCCAAGTGGTTGCTAAAACGTTAACAAGGAAATTGGTTACTATTTTTCCCCCCAGGGATGTTGGAAACTGATCCCAGACCTGATGCATGGCAGGCAAATCTTCTATCATCGATCTAAAGCTCCAGATTTTACTTACTTTCTTTCTTTCTTTTTTAAGACAGGGTCTTGCTATGTAGTTCAGGCTGGCCTTGAACTCCTATGTAGCCCAGGCTGGCCTTGAATTCACAGTGATCCTTTTGCCTCAGCCTCCTGAGTGCTGGGATTACAGCTGTGGGCCACCATGCCTCATTCCGCTACAGATTTTTTTAAAAATTCACATTTCCTCTTTTATCAGTACATCCTTTTTGTAATCACCATTTTTCCAAAAGTTACTGTCAAATAATATGTCCTTGGATTTCATAGCATTTTCTATTTGAAAACATTAAATATGTTTGTCTAAGTATTAGTATTTTTCACAAAAGCCCCAAGTGATAGGTAATTATTATTTACATTGTCAAAATACACCCTGAGAGTTGTGTTCCAGGAAAAAGACCTATAAACTACCACTTAATAGAATTTAAACTCCTCTTCCAAATTATTTCCAAACTTCCGAGTATAGCATCTTAATCAGAAAGACATGCACACATTAAGACATTTAGGAAAAAAATACTAAAAATTCTTAGGATAAACGTCTTTTAACTCTGACAGTACCATGAGCCATTGCTATTCAGGCTAAGTCATAAGTGCTTCCCATGGAACCCTGAAAACTAGGAGTCTGGGTTAGTTTGTTCATGTGCAGATGTGCAGAGATCGGCCCTCCGTAACTCATTGCACTTTATTCTCGCTGCTCCCCCAAATGAATCTCTTCAAACATCTCTAGATCTTACAAGTGCTGTTCTCCAAAATGCACTCCATTTTCCTCCATGGGCAAACTTACCTCTCTAAGAGGCGAAGGCCTCGGAGAAATCTCCAAATCACACAGAGGAACCTCTCTCCTTTTGCACATCACTGTACCTAGCGCTTGGCTTTTGAGACTTAACAGCAAATAACTGCTCTCTGCTAACCCAGGGCAGCGCCCCTGAAGGCAGATGTGCAGCAGGCTGCCTCTTCCTTTTTCTTGGGCGCTCTACAGACCCTTGCTCATTGAAGGATAGAACTGGCTCCATGAAAGGTAACCACATATCTGCACAGTAGGTGAAAAAATCTACGCACGTGACCTGGCACCTGGGAGGCGCCCCCTCAAAGCTGCGATCAATTGCTAAGGTGGATGTACAGGATGCTCGGGACGACCCGACTCAGACATCTGAATCTGCGTGCACCGCGTTCCACGCACGGAACTTTCTTTCCCTTCATTAGAGGCTTCGGCTTCAATACCTTTTCCCAAACTCTATCAAAACCTGGAGCTCTGGTCATGAACTTCATCACTTCCCGCACATTCCGTGACATGCTGCTCCCTGTGAACCGACTGTCTCGGAAGAACGAAGGGCCGCAAGTCCGCTACCGAAGAACGACCAGACACCTGAGTTCTGCCGTCCTTGCTGTCCCGCAGCGCGCTCAGAGGTCAGGCGTCGCGCGCGCCCGCTGCCAGAGTCCCCCGCGGCTCGCGCACTAACGTTCCGTTCCCTCTTATGACCGAGGGCGCACGCGCGTTGAGCCCCACTAGCCCCAGTCGCACAGCCCGCCGCTCAGCGGCGCCTCTCGCCGGGGTTGAGATAGGCGCGTTTCCGCGCCGGGCGGTACATGCGGGTGCACTAGGCGTCCAGGCGCCTGCGCAGAACCAGACAGCAGCTGCGCGTTCTAAGTGGGTGCTGTGATCGCGAAAGGGGATGGAGCTCGGGAGCGGTCAGGAGGCGGCGCAGGAAGAGGCCGAGCCCGAGGCAAAGAGGCGGCGGTTGCTGTGCGTGGAGTTCGCCTCGGTGGCGAGCTGCGACGCGGCGGTGGCGCAGGGCTACCTGGCCGAGAACAATTGGGAGATGGAAGTACGCGCTCCGCGTCGCTGCTCGCGCCCTCGTCCGGGTCGGCGGGCGGCGTACGCGTGCCCAGCCTTGTGCCTTTGCTTTTCAGAGAGCGTTGAACTCCTACTTCGAGCCGGCCGCGGAGGGCAACGCCGTGGGAAGCCGACCCGGTCCGCCCGCGGAGCCCGGGCGCTGGTGAGCATGGGGTGTTTGGCCGGGCGGGAGCCCCGGGGCAGGGCACGCTACGGCGTCTCCCCGGAAGTCGGCCGTGCTTTTCGAACGCGAGTTAGAATGCAAGAAGGAATCTGCGGTGTGTTTATTCTAATCATGTATGTCTGTGACTCGTGATCATCACATTCGTCTTGGGGACTTGGTACTTACACGTATCCCTTCGTCATCAGTTTCACTTTCCGGACCCTCCTCTGCTTCGCCCTCCTCTCGCTTGTTCCTACGTCCCTCTCGCATCTCAACAGTGTGTTTGACTGGAATAATGGGAGACATGTAAGCTAGAAATGAATGAGAGAGAAATCCTGTTAAAGAAGTTAATTTGGAAATCTTGTCTCCTGTGTTGATTATTTGCTTTCCTCCAGCCACCTGGAACAGTTTTTTTGGTTTTGCTTTTTAAAATTAAGATCTGATATTGTTATTTCAATGTCGGTCAGATTGCTGCACTACTGTTGTTGAAGTCCAGATACCCACAAGACCGTCAACTGTTTGGCTCCTGCGTATCTGACCAGGGTCATCTCCTGCCACTCTCCGTACACTAACCCATAAAAAAGTTCCAGACGTGTCCGACTTCCACTTCGTAACCCATTTTTGTGTTCCATTATCACCTCTGCTTAGAAACCTGTCTCCTTGCTTGCTAACGTATATTTGTCTGAAAGGCCCCAGCTTAGTCATGCTATTTCCAAGACGTTTTCCCTATGTCGAGTCTAGGTAAGGTTCCACTTTTAGGTATTTGTATAGCATCTTGTATGATCCTTGTCATAATATAATCCTTATTCTGCTTGCCATTCAGTATTTTATATCTTTTGCCACACTACACTCTAGGTAAAGACAGAACTTGTTTTGTATATTGCTGATTTCCCAAAGTCTCATACAGTATTTGGTATTTATAAGCTCCCAGTAAGTATTTTCTGAGTGCATAAAAGTTCACCTGGCTGTGTGACCTGTACAGTTGAATGTTCATGGTGGAGACTCTTTTGACCCTTTCACTGGTTTATGGATGCAATGGGACCATTTTTTATTAGGTTTCTTCTTTGCTTAGCTTTTTGTTGGCTCTTTTGCTTTGTGCTGGTAAAAAGCAATTAGACAAGGAAGTGTTTACCCAGCCCTAACTAACCAGTCAGATCCTGTCTCCTAGAATTTCAGAGTCAAGTGTGAATCTTCCTCTGGAGCTAGAATTGTAATATGTTAATTTAGCATGACTCTAAATCCACATCTATCTTTTTTTGTGTGTGTGTATGGGGAAGCTGAAAACAGTGGTTCAAAGTTGTAGCCAATTAAATCGTAACTGATACATTGGAGCAAGGAGAATGGATTCCCAGATACAGGTCTTCAGAAAAAAATGTAATGGTGACATAGTGGATAATCAAAGATTCTTAACTCCAAAATGGTAAATTGGCAAAAACAAATAAGATAGTTGTTAGGCTATGGTCTTTTGTCTCTTAGAATTCAGACCACATGCCACTGGGTATGGTGGCACAGGCCTGTAATGTAATTTCAGGTAGAGGATAAGGCAGGAGGATTGAAAGTTCAAGGTCAGCTTGAGTAATTTAGTAAAAGAATAAAAAATGAGAAAAAGGGATAAGGATGTAGCTCAGCATTCCCTAGATCCAGTCCTTAGTACTGGGGAAAAAAATGGATGATAAAATTTAGTTTACCGCGGTAAATAAACACCAAGATGTTTTTAAGGCCTTCATCTTCATGGAGCATGACCCATGATTAGATTTTTTTTATGTCGCCTTAACAAAAAATGGAAGTAAGGTTAAAAAAAAAAAAAAGAAACTGATAGGAGGATTTTTATGACTAGAAAAACTGAAGCCTGATGAGTAGGGGCTTTATTTGAGTAGGTGTGGGAATCTCAATTCTTCAGTAAATTTCTATTAGCAAAAAATTAAAGTGGTTTTGGAATCTGTGTTTAGTGTCTCTCAGGAGATGAGGGAAATCTTAAAGCAGTTGCTGAATCTTGGTTATATATTAAAACTACTTTGCAGGGAGGGCTATTTTAAAAAACATCTTTCTGCTCTGGGGATGTAGTTCAGCAATGCAGTGCCTGCCTGGCAAGTAAGAGGCTGTTTGATTCCTGGTACCAAAATAAAATACATAAATAAAATAAAATCTTTTCTTTTTCTATTGGTACCGGGGATCGAACTCACAACTGCCTGCTTGCAAGGCAGGTGCTTATGCCGCTGAGCTAAATCCCCAGCCCCAATCTTTCCTTTTTTTGAGACAGAGTCTTGCTGTATAATTTAGTCTGGCCTCAGATTCACTGTGTAGACAAGATTGGCCTTGAACTTGCAGCAATTCTATCTCAGCCTCCCTCATGCTGAGATTACAGGCATGTGCCACTATGCCTGGCTTAAAATTTTTCTTTCATTCTGATGTCCCTCTGCTACATCCCTAAGTGAGCAGACATTTGGGTAACACAGCAAGAATCTACTTTTCTTCAGTCATATGACTTTTACCCTTTTATGAACCTCTTAAAACTTATTTACAGATGCAGTATCCCTTATCTAAAGTGCTTGGGACCATAAATATTCTAGTTTTTGGAGCATTTTGGATTTTGGATTTTGGATTTTCTAAGTAGGAATGCTTAATCTGTATCTGCAAAATGAGGAATACAAATACAAAATAATTCTTAAGCAATTTGTATTACTTGTGAAGTTATGTTTTATTCTGCTCTTTGCAGTGTTGACCTTACTAATGAAGAAACAACTCATAGCACGAGTTCTAAAATTTGCTCATCTGAAAACACTCAGCAAGAAGATGGCAGCATGTTCTCTTTCATCACGTGGAACATTGATGGACTGGATCTAAATAATCTACAAGAGAGGGCCCGAGGAGTGTGTTCCTATTTAGCTTTGTGAGTGGTGTCCCTTTTGTTTAATAGTTTATTGTGTTATTTAATGTGTCTTGTGTATCACAAAGTAACCATGTAAGGTTGTGGGGTTTATAATTAAGTCCTGGTCTGAGAAGAAACATCTGTAGGTATTGAGGTGATACAGAGTTGTCGTGGAGAGAAAAGATTCGCATTTGTTAGAAGCACTATAGGATAAATAGTAAACTTTGTGTGTAATGCCATAAAATGACCAAAAATCTGTTTCTGCCTCATTCTAGCTCTGTGACCTTGGGCAAAGTACTTTAGTTCTCTGAAGCTATTCTCTTCACTGTGGATAATAACATGTAAGATGATAAAAAAAAATAGTATTGAAAACATCTATTCAAGTGTAGTTTTGTTGTCTCTGAGAGAGGTGTTTCTATTTTCATTCATTAGAGTATTTTGTTTTTGTTGTGCTATGGATCAAAACCAGCGCTTCAGACATGCTAGATAAGTGCTCTGCCACTGAGCTACACCTCAGCCTTGAATTTCATTTTCATTTGATCATTATAGTATTGTGTGTTTAATAGTACAGATCTTTCTTATTTTATTCTTACTAAAAAAAGCACAAATATTAGATACTCCAGAGGGTGATAGTTTTGTGTCTCTTTTATGTTGTGGAATTCCTCTTACCAAGGTAACTGAAATGGTATCCTTTGTGTTTATATTAATGTTTCTAGGTACAGCCCAGATGTGGTATTTCTACAGGAAGTTATTCCGCCCTATTGTAGCTACCTAAAGAAGAGAGCAAGTAGTTATGAGATTATTACAGGTAATACTTTCCTGCTATTTAATTTGTCTTTTAAAAAAAGCAAGCCAGTAAAAGAGATAACTTAAGAACTAGCCTGTTAGAGCATATAGAAAAGAAAGAGTATAAGAAGGTTAGTTTGAGAAAAATAAAGCACAGGATGGTAAAAGAATTATAGGAGAAGCTGCACATGGTGGGTACACCTGCTGTCCTAGCATGCTGGAAACCGGAGGCAAGGTGGATCTCAAGTTCAGGCCCAACCTGGGCAGTGTGGTGACTTAGTGAAACCTTGTCTCAAAAAGAGCTGAGGTGTAGTTCACTGTGAATGCTGTGAGCTCAGTACCCAATACCAAAAAAAAAAAAAAAATTATAGTCAAATATTATTAAAAAAGACATTGACTAGCTTTTTGGTGAAATTCCATTTTTAATTTTCTTGTGCTAGGGATTCAGTATGGGGCTTTGTGTGTGCCAAGTACATGCTATGCCTCTGAACTACACCCCTAGCTCAATTGTTAGAAATTTTAAGTGTGATAATCACATGCTGGTTATGGTTTTTCGAAAAGTCTTTATTAATTCCTTTTGTTGTTTTTTGTTTGTTTGTTTTTTTATTGGTACCAGGGATCAAACTCACAACTGCCTGCTTGCAAGGCAGGCGCTTATGCCGCTGAGCTAAATCCCCAGCCCCTTGTTTTTCTTTTTCATCTTTTGCCCTGAGTAATACTTAAATTTTCTATTCGTTTTTCCTGAGTACATTTAAAGTAGCATTTTAGACAGGTTATTTTCATATATATTGTTTTCCTTGAACCACTGCTACACAGTTTGTGATTTTTAATTTTGGTTTACTCTAGAAGCCATGGTTTCTAACCAGAGGATTCTCTCAATCTATGTCTCTCTCTTTGTGGCACTTTCCTGCATGCTTTTGAGAATCCCTCTTGCTTATTTTGGATTTGTTATCAGAGTTCCAAGGTTCTCCTTGGCTTTCTCATTTTATTGTAGTCCATTTTCCAATTACTTTATAACAAGTATGAGATAGATAATGAAGTTTTTAATCCTGGCATATTTGAAAATGTCATGTTCTAGCCTCACAGTTGGCGGATAGTTTGAATGGACCTAGACTTCTAGGTAGTCACGTCCCTTCTCCTTTTCTAGAATCTCTCTTAGACAGAGACCCTTCTACAGTGGTACTTTAACTAGCTCATCTTCGTCTTGTTTTTCTTTTCTGTTCTGGTGGTGTCTGTCACATCATATTGACCCTATTCCCAAAAGGAGTAGAGATCTGTGGCTCTGACTTCACGGTTCAGTGTCTGGTATTAAAACACTGAATACAAGGGCTGAGGATTTAGCTCAGTGGCATAAGCACCTGCCTGGCGAGTGCGAGATTCCTGGTACCAAAAAAACCCCCCAAAAAACCAAAACACTGAATACAGTTCAGCATTCCTGAGCAGGATTAGGTAGTGTACCTTACTAGAAGTAAGTGAAGGATCGATTATGGTGTCAGTTACTTGTTTAATGGGGGAGGGAGTTGTTAATATATAGAAGCCTTTCATGCCTGTTTTCTAAGAAAGAAATCTTACATGTGGCAGGCCTGGTGAAGCCCATGCCGCTAGTCCTAGCTATGCTGGGTTCTGGGTTGAGAAGGTTGCTTAGCCTGTGAGTTTGAGATAAGCCTGGGCAATGTAACAAGACACTTGACAAAAACCAAAATACTTTTTTTTTTTAATTTAAATTTAAATTTTTTTTTTTTTTTTGGGGGGGGGGTTTTCCTTTTTATCGGTACCAGGGATCAAACTCATGACTGCCTGCTTGCAAGGCAGGCACTTATGCCGCTGAGCTAAATCCCCAGCCCCTACTTTTTTTTTTTAAATGATGTAGCTGTCTCCTAAGTGCTGGCTGCCTGCTGGAAGTAGGTCAGAAGGAAGCAGCTCATGCTGCATCCTGAGTAGCCACATTTCCTGAACCCTGTTACTCATCTTCACCTGTCTCTAACACACACCTCTCGTGGCAGCTAGGGTCTGTGTCTGAATCCTCCAAAATTTCACTTCTCCATAGGCTTCTAGGGGCCTGTTTAGACAGGGATGCTTACTTGGCTGTGAGGAGCTGGGGAAGACACCTGAGACATGGTTAGCCATGGGCTCACATGTTTTTATTTCGGCATTTTACCTTTTTTTCTTTGGGTTCTATTACTGTTTCCAGATGTAAAGGTGGAGAAATCTGCCTGCTTCCTGCCCAGTTCCTCTGTTCTGGTAAACCCCAACCATTTGTCCACTTGCTCTCTATTCTCTTAAAGACTGTTGGAAGCTTTCATTCATTGCTGTTCTATTCTTACTCTGTTTTTCTTCTTGCAGGTTTATGTCTTCCTAAATTTTTTATTCATTTTTTTTTCACACTAGACATGGCATTTATTCATTTCTTTAAGATTTTTCTTGTAGCATGAGAAGTGCCTATCAGTTTGCTTCAGTTTAATTCTCTACTCTGTGTCAGAAATTTCTCAAGTTTTTTCTTATTTGATACAAATAGCCAATTAGCTCAGCGGCATAAGTGCCTACCTTACAAATAGCAAGTAAATATATGAAAATTGTTGAACATCATTGATCTTCAAGAGATGCAAATTAAAACAGCACTGAAATTCTGTCTCACCCCAGAAAGAATGGCTATTGTCAAGAAATCAGCTGGACAGTGCTGGAACATATAACAAATGCTGGAAGGGCTGTGTGGAAAAAGGAACCCTTCTCCAGTGTTGGTGGGAGTGGAGACAGATGCAACCATTGTGGGAATCAGTGTAGAGATTCCTCAAAAAAACTAGAATTGCAGGTCCTTTTTGACCCAGCTATTCCCCTTCTGGGTATCTTCCCAGAAGAATTAAAAATATCATACCACAGTGAAATGTGCAGCCATATTTATTTATTTATTTATTTTTTAAATTTTATTTTGAAAGTGGTAAAATACAACAGAACAAGACAGAATAAAGCCAACTAAGATCGTACAGTGAAATTGGTACAGAACTTCACAGCAGGTTACCGGATAACAGTAATGGGTATCACAGTATATTTCGTTATCTTTATAATAGTTGTTCTTTCAATCATGTATATCAAAATGAGAAGAAATACAGAACATTATAGAACTTATCAAAACAGAATATTGAATAGAGCAGTACCATTAGACAGAAAAGACCAAACAGTAATAAAAATATTTGCCTTCAAAGAAATGGTAGAAGGAAGGACCTTATTTGCTATGGTCAACCTCCCAGGAGATGCTCAGATTTCTGGCTCCCATTTGCTAAAGGGGGAGGGGGGTGCGCAGGAGAAGGAGGGTAGGGGAAGTGGGATGTTTGACTGTAAGCCGTGCACCAGTAGGTTTGCTATTGCTTAGCAGGGAGGCAGGCTGGTTGCTTGGTTTCCCAGCATCCTAAGTTCCAACATGGCGTGGATCTCAGGAGACACTGGTGGTTCTTCCCTTGACAGGGCCACAGTCTGCCACATTGCTGCTGCTTACCAGGGAGGGGAGCTGCTTATTTGGTTTCCCAGGGTCCTAAAGGAACCCCTGGTGGTTCTCCCCCTGGAAGGGCCGCAGTCTGCCACACCACTGATGCTTACCAGGGAGATGAGCTTCTTGCTTGGTTTCCAAGCATCCTCTGTGCACCCATATTTATAGCAGCACAATTTTTAATAGCTAGATGTTGGAAACACCATCATCCAAATGCCTGTCAACCAAGGAAAGATAAATAAAGATGTGGTCTTTACATACAGTGGACTACTACTCAGCCATAAAGGATAAACTGGAGGCTTTTATAGGTAAATAGATGCAACTTGAGTCTACATTCATAAGTGAATTACACCAGACACATGTGTAAATATGGTGGTGTTTCCATAGTGTGAGAAGGTGAAAGAGTAAATAAGATCTGAAATGTACAACAGGTACTGTAAAATGGGAAGAAACTTAAAAAGGAAAGAGAAACTAGAATGGGGGAATAGAGAAAAGAAAAATATATATATAAAGATAGTTATAGTACTGATTTCTCAATTCATTGAAAAGAAAGGTTGGCAGTAATATTGTTTGGACAGTTAAGTGCTGATGTTTTACTCTCAGTAGTTAAGGTTAACAGTACACAGCATACCATTGTTACCTCTCCTATTTTGAAAGTTTTTCTTTTTTTTCTAAAAATTTTTTTTTTCTCATTTGGTATTGGCAGCAAATTTACTGTACTTGCTACTATTTACGTACTGGCCCCCACCTTTGCCCTCTTTTCTTTGTGGCCCTAGAGTTTGAATCCCCAGGGCATCACACATACTAAGCAAACATGCCTCACAGCCTCACTTATTTTTATACTTCTCTTTTATTTCTGCTAAAACTTTGGAAGGGTGCAAGTAAGCATCTTACCTTGGTTGACCATCTTGAACTATTTTTGAAATAATAGTTTAAGGATTTATATCCATTTGAATATCTGTTGCCTGTGTATTGTTACATTTTTAGTAGGGGAGCTTGTGGAAAACCAACAGAACTCTTGACTTTCTCACCCTAAATTCTTTTCCTTGAATGTTTGAAGGTCATGAAGAAGGATATTTCACAGCTATAATGTTGAAGAAATCAAGAGTGAAATTAAAAAGCCAAGAGATCATTCCTTTTCCAAGCTCCAAAATGATGAGGAACCTTTTGTGTGTGCATGTAAGTAATCTACATTTGAATTTTTAAAAAGCAGACTTTAAATGGTCCCATGGTGTTACCTTAAAAACGATTGCCTTTAGAGAAAAATTTGCTCCTTACAGTTTCATTCTTTTAAAGAACTTTGTTAGATTTCTCTATAAATTTTGAATATAGACAAATTTGTAAAAATAGAATTCTTTTTTTCATTGTCATTGTTTTGGTACTGGGGATTGAACTCACTACCTTGCACTTGCCAGGCAGGTGCTGTACCACTCAGCTATATCCTCAGCCCCTCAAATGGAATTCTTAATGTACTAGATGTTTTCCTAAGAATGTTTTATTTTCCTAAGAATATTTGAGTTTGCAAATATTCCACATTTGCTTCCTAAGTAATTTTACTCTCCTCTATACATGGAACTGTGTTATACTCTGTGAGGCTAATGAGACTGAATCAAAACATGTCCTGTTTTCATACAGTTTAGTAAGAGAGAGACTGTATGTCTCTAGTAACTAAAATAAAGGAAAGGCATAAGTGCCACTCAGCAGTTTTAAGTGATACTCTGAAAGTTTGGACAGAGATGTCTGCTACAAGATTAGTGAGGATTTCATGAAGGAAGTGGTATTTGAATTGAATATACACATCTGAAAATACATACATTGTAGACATGAAGAGTCAAGTAGAGAAACCATCATGCGCAAACTTGTGCAAGTTGTAAGAGATGTATATGGGCATGAGCAAGCTTTCTGCTCTGAGTGTGGAGGATTTGAAGAGGGAGTGTGACAGGAGGTTGAGGAGTAGGCAGGATTCAAGTTACCAAAGAGCATAAATGCCCAGTGTGAAAGAATTAGACTGGATTCTGCAGACAGTGTAAAGGCAGATCCTTTGTAGTTAGTATCGTCATTGCAGATGGTCAATAATTCATATTCATTCAGTTAACTGATGTTTTTCAAGTACCTATATGCCAGACTTCAATGAATGAAAATTACCTGAGTGCAAATGACTTACAGCTTCACTGGAGGGAATCCTGTACTTTTAACTCAGTCTGGAACCTTAACAGTAGCCTGTCTGGCATGTAGGAGGAGCCAGAGGAGTGAGCTATTGGTAGCCTCAGGGACACTAGGGAAGAAGCTGCATTGGAGGTGACATGGGAAGTGAGTCACGTTTATAGTCTTTGCAGGCAGGGTTAGGGCATTACATTTCTTTTTTGACCTGAAAGGATAGAAAGTGCTAAGATTACAGTTTTAGAAGTGTATCAGTTGATGCTTGAAAAAGCTGCTGATTCTGTCATCAGATTTCACTATTAGTAGTCAGTGCTCAACTTATTTATCCTGTTGTAGGTGAGTTTGTCTGGAAATGAACTGTGCCTTATGACTTCACATTTGGAGAGCACCAGAGAGCATGCCAAGGAACGAATGAATCAGTTAAAACTGGTGTTAAAGAAAATGCAAGAGGCTCCAGAGTCAGCTACAGTTATATTTGCAGGAGATACAAATTTAAGGGATCAAGAAGTGAGTACCAAAGTTAGTTCAATGCTTGTGTGAAGATTATTGTTGTTTGTGAAGACTATTGTTTAGTTGTTAACACTGGACCATTTAATCACTCAAAATGTTTAAGGGACCTTGAAAGTGCAAGTCAGCAGATACCTTTTAGCCTTTGCTGTTATTTCTAGGGGCAGAGAGGCTCTCATTACTGGGTGAAAGTGAATACCCAAATGAAATAGACAACATAAAACAATGTGTCTGCTGGGTTAATACAAGGCATATAGAGAAGCTAAATTAGAAGAGTTTAGAAAAGATTGAGACTGAGTTTATTTACAGAATCCTTAGTTGCAAAGTGAGAACAGAGATTAGTAGTCCCAACACTCAGCCTTCTGTGATTTTATTCAGATTCTATTAGCTTACATGGGGGCAGTGTTGGGTACACACCTTGGGCCTTGTGCATGCTAGGCAAATGCTCTCTACATTGAGCAGTACTCTCCAGCTCCAACTTTGTTTTACAGCTTTATTCTATGAATTAAAATTTGAGATTTTAATAACCACAAAAAATACAATCACACTAATGATCAGCTAACAGGATGTAGTGATAAACTCTCTACACAGAAATCCTGTGGATGAGTCCTAATAGTTATCAATCTTTTTACCTCCTTTTGCTACATCCACAATGGTCAGATCTGAGACAAAATTTCTTTCCTCTTAGTATAAAGAAGAAAACGAAGAATTAATATTGTTAATAAGTTTAAAATAAACCTATGAAGGCAATTAAAATTATTAATTATAAAAATATATATTAACGTATTATATAAATGCTGCATTTCTAAAGACTAAAGTAGAATACTCTTTCCACAGCAGTTCAGCTTTTAAAATTACTTATTTATGTATGTATGTATATATTTATTTGAGATAGGATCTCACTATGTAGTTCATGTTGACCCTGGACTTGCTGTGATTACAGCATGTACCACTACACCTGGCAGTTTTTAAAGATGTAAAGCATTAACTGAAGCTATGAGTGTTCAGTCTTTTGAGTTTTATCTGACACTCCAAATTAGGTACCTATTCAAGGAAGAACATTTGTACATTAATTACTTTTGACTTTCTGGTTTAAAATGTTATAATTGTTTAAATTAGAAAAAAATGATTTTGTAGATCTTTCACAATATTTCTCTTTTGCAGGTTACTAAATGTGGTGGTTTACCCAGCAACATTTTAGATGTCTGGGAGTTTTTGGGGAAACCTAAGCATTGCCAGTATACATGGGACACACAGATGAACTCTAACCTTGGAATACCTGCTACTTGTAAGCTTCGTTTTGATCGAATATTTTTCAGATCAGCAGCAGAAGAGGGCCATATTATTCCTCGAAGTTTGGACCTGCTTGGGTTGGAAAAACTGGACTGTGGCAGATTTCCTAGTGATCACTGGGGTCTACTGTGTAATTTAGATGTCATATTGTGAAATACTTTTCAAATGTGAATCTTAAATGTGAATCTTGAATCATTTTGTTCTGGATTTTTTGCAGACATCTACTTTATGTACTTATCTGGAAAGGTTAATTTAATATAGAGAAATTAATACTGTATAATGTATCATTGCTATAGGAAAGCACAGTTAAAGTTTTATGTTGTGGGTTGTGTTTTCAGAATTTAGAATCCTTTTTTTTTTCTAATTTTAAAAAATCTTTCTGAAATAAGGTCTTGCTAAGTTATTAAATTGTCCAGCCTAGGCTCAAACTTACGATCCTGCTGCCCTAGCCTTACACAGTACTGGGATCACAGGCATGTACCACCAGGCCCAATGTGTATTTTAAACGAAGGCATATGTGTGTTCAGAATATGAAACCCTTTTGAGCCTAAGCTACCAGCTAGATTTCAACTACGGCCTATATCATCTGTAGACTAACATTTAAAGCATTTCTTTTTTCAGTGAGGCACCACAAAAGGTAATATTTAAATGTCATTATTTACTGAAGTTACTGAGTTCTTGGAACCAAGTTACAATTGTATTTAAAAATTCAGATAAATGAAAAAGCCATGATCATTTTCAATTAAGTAGATGATAGCAATTCTACATCAGATTTAATTTTTTTATCAGCTGCCAACCCTACATAATCAGGAAGCAACAAATGAAGCCTTATGATTTAAAATTTCTTCACACTTTTCTGGTTAATGGGTAGCCCTGTCATCAAAGGTAGACTTACCATGATTAAAATCAATTTTATAGGAATGGAACTTTTTTTTTCTAAGAGAAAAAATAAATGCATTAGAATAAATAGCCTTTTAGTTTTGCTACTTGTCTCCTGTCCAAGTACTTAACAAGGCCTGACCCTAGTTTTGCTACTTGTAAAATGAAAATATTTTACAGGGTGTGAATAAAGAGTCCATTTTTCATTCCTTTTTTCTTTTTGTGGTTCTGGATATGGAAACCAGGGTTTTCACACATGCTGGGCAAGTGCTCTTCACTTGTTTTATAATCCTACCTCTAAAGAGTACTTTTAAATGTGCTCTAAAGAAAAAATTTCTCCACAAAAGAAATGTACTGAAATAAAGAATTTTTAGGTCGGGTGTGTATGTCTATGATTGAATTAAAATTTTTACCTATTTCTGGCTCCACTGCTGCTGTTTCCTTGTGTGGAAGAAAACAGCTTTCTGTGTTGCTTTTCTTCCCACTAAGAATTACTAAGAGTATCCTTAGTAAAGGAAATGGGAATCAGTGGGCAAAACTAGAACTAGCAGTAACAGAAACTTATTTTCATCAGTAGTGCCAAAATTAAATACCTACAAAAGACAATTTGAATTTATTTATAACTTTAATCATTAAAAATGAAAACTGATGGAACTATTTTAGTAGCATATAGTATGGAGATAATTCATTTCTGTGGGAAAAGGACTGGGGATAAATTACTCATAAGAACTCCACATTGCATTAACAAAATAGGTAAGTGTCTAAATATACAAAACATGCGGTGCGGTACATTAAAATAAAGGACTTTTAAAACAGTAAAAGTATAATTTATATAACTCAGCAACCACCCAAAATACCTTCTTGTGGCTGATAATGACAAAGTGCAAGAAACGAGTTGTAAGTGGAATGAATAGGAATGGTTCAAACCCCTCATTCCACTCCAGTGGGCAGTAGTTTTCAAACAATGAAAAATTAAACTAATTTGCAGCATCTTGAGCAAACTTTCAATTTTAAGGTTTTCCATTCTAAAAGCTTTGTTCACTTTACCTCACTTAGTGAAATTCCACATCATAATCTTACATTATGGTGAGCCAACACTTTTCTACACGGCTCTTTTTCCTAAGCAGTTTGGCGTGATGTGGAGTATATTTTAAGTTTGCTAAACTTCAGTTTCGTTTGTCTTCAAAATAAGGCAGTTGTTTATCTTTTATTGTGCAAATGGCCCAGCCAGCAAGAGCTGAAAAAGCCAGGAAAACTACTGAAGCATCGTCTTATCCCTGGCATCCATCTGCATGATTTAGTCAGTGTCTGCTGAATGCTGAGAAGGGAAAGTTCCCTCAATCTGGGTCGTAAGGAATAGGCTAATGTGTGAGTACATCTCCCTGTTGACATACATATACACTCATTATATATAAATGAAAGATGTTCATCATAGTGGCTCTGAGTTTAAAAATGTTCCAGTTTAAGCCCTGCTAACCTGCAGGGGCTCCTAATTGATTACTGACTTGCGTTGCTGTATTGTGGAATGCTCTGTGGGAAGAGGGGTAAATGCTTTGGCTCCTGCGGAAGGACCTTGAAAAGTGCTTTGGAATCTAGGATGGGCTCCAGTTGCTTTTCAGAGGCCTTTTGGGAGAAGTGGACATTAACTAGGGATTAGTGCTGTCATTAGGAAGTGGAGGGAGCTTAGAAATTGGGTGTTGCCAGTTACTGATGACAGTGGCAAAGCCAGGGGCCCCATTGGAAAGGAAGCTGTAGAAATGCAAGCAGGAATTGTTACAATGAAACATGTCTCCTGTGAACTTGATCTGTGGCTTTCTCCGAGTTTGCCTTTCCAGCCTAATCAGTGGCAAGGTTATCTTTGAGATAAGGTCTTTCTAATGCAGTCCAGGATGATCTCAAACTCACCACCTTCCTGCCTCAGGCTCCAGAGTGGCAGGCGATTTGCACTTTTTCCACCTTAGATTTTTAATGTACCTCATCTCATTTAATTCTCCCAATCTGTGGGTGCTGTTAGCATCTCCATTTTATAACCCAAGGAACCAGGGTGAGCAGGACTGCGTAACTTGTTGGTAGCTCCTCCATAGCTAGTGCATGGCCTGGTGGATGCTTGTTTTATCAGTATGTGGTTCGGCCCTAGACAGTGCACTGTAGGCAGTAGTGACAGGTTGGATAAGCAGTGCTCAAGGAAAGCCTTGGAGGCTTCTTCACCCCTCCCCGGCGTTCTCAGATGCTTAAATAAGAGGAACTTTACAGTTTTTCTGGGATTGCGACTTTCACTTCCCCAAGATGCACGTGGTCAGAGTTCTCTGGGCACAGTGTCACTTGTGGAGCTGGGTGTTGATCTGGACCCCTCCCAGCCCAGGTCACCAGATGGGCTACCTGGTGGAGCCCAAAAAGCTCCCACGGAAAGAGGACTTGTGAAGCTGGGGTGACTCCTTCGAAGGATGCATTCACGCGGGGTCCTTGACTCAGTGTGCCCACATTTCCTCTGAGCCACTTTGGTTCGAGAATTTATTTAAAAGGAGCTTTCATTCCTCAGACTCTTTAACGCCTGGTGGCAAGGAAAAGGCAGGTAGAGGAAAGGATGTGGGGGCGCAGGTCGCTCTGAGTCCTGGTTTCCCGTGGGGAGGGAGCAGGTACCCCCGGTGCTGGCGGTGAGTAGTACCCCGGGAGCCCACTTGGCGGGCTGCTGCTGCCCTCCCACTCTTCCCCGGCGCGTGTTGCGCGTGCGCGCGCGTCGCCGTGGTAACCGCGCAGCGGAAAGGCGCTGAATCACCGAGCGCGCAACCCCGACGCGTGCGGACCTGAGCTGAGCTGGGGGCGGGCGGTGTCCCGGGTGCAACCTGGCAGGAGCAGTGCCGCCCCCAGCAGGTAGAGGGGGCGCCGGAGCAGGGGCCGCGGTCGCTGTCCCTGCTGGAGGTAAGAGCGCAGTAGCAACCCCTACCTGTCTGGGGTTTGGTCTGGAGTCGCTCCCCTGGGGCTGTCTCCCGGGAAGGCACCGCCTGGGGGTGTCCTGAGGGGCGGCACCCCGGCCGCAGATGCGAGCAAGCGAGGCTCCTGGCGTCGGCGCCGAGCTGCCGTGGCCCTAGTGCAATCCTGCTTCCCAGCCCCGCTGGCCAGGTGGCTAGAAGGAAGGGCAGCAGGCAGAAGGGTTAAGCCAGAGTTTGAGTTCAGGAGGTCTTCTCGGGCTTCCTCTGGATATCTAGGAAAAGACGTTTGCTGGAAGGCTCCTTTGAATGATTGTTTCAGAGTAGGGTGGAGTTTGGGAATCTGGTGTCTTAGCCTCACGGTTTGCGTTTCTTAGACTTAAAGAATCGTTTTCTTTAAACTTAAGTATTATTTATTTGAGCGTTGTCATTTGCTAGAGACACCTCACCTCTCTCTGTTCCTTCCAAGTCTGAAGCTTAAAACCTTCGAAAGGCTTTCTCGCCTACCCTTCCAATTCCCTCCAAGAAATGTCACAAATTAATCAGGAGCAAAAACCAGAAATTATGAGGCATCTTTAAAAATCACTTGTTCTCTCAATTAAATGGAGAGAGGAAAATATAATCACATCCATGTACATTTTAAGTATAGGTTTGTCTAAACATTTGTATTTCTGGGTAAATGTTTGTATTTTTCCAGTGCTTGAATAGAAAGATTGTTTTTGATAATAATAAACAAGAAATTTTAGGTCCCCTATAATGCCGAAATTTTGCATATGAGTGCTTATTTCTTCATCAAATGTATGCTCACTGTCGAAATGGTTCAGTTTTTTAATTACAAGATGCACAGAGTCCTGGAGACAAAATTATGCCAAATGTAAAATTTTATTTTGTGTTTATGATTTACCTTTGAAAGGGTTGCTGGCTCAGGCCGGATACTGTAGCCGGTAAAGCCAAGGAGCTCCTATCCCCCCCCCCCCTTAGGAATTACCTCTGGCGCCAAACTAAGACCAATGGGCTACCTGTGCATCCCTAATGCCCCCTTAGGTTCCACCCCAGGCCGAGGCTACTTATGTGCCTCACTCCACGTGTTCCACGGAGAGATCGCCTGCCAGGGTGGAGATGCCACGCCCCGGGGGGTCGGGGGTGTCTCTCCCCGCATTCCCAAAATAAAGGTTACTTATATTTTATACTTCTTATCTTTTCAGCCTCCGCTGGTCTTCCTCATCTTCCTCCCCTCCACAGTTCTATCAACCTTGAGTTTAATACAAATGAGGAAAAGTGGAGATAGCAAGCCAGTTGTAGGTTTAGGAGTCACAGAGAAAGCTAACTTATTCTGTAACCTGGAAAAGAGAAATATAAATATATTTCAACACTTTTTAGAACCACAGATAATAGACTCATCATACTTTACCATGTAAAATACCAAGGCAGAGGTTTTATTTCCTTTCAGAATATTGAAAATAATTCAGGTAATGTCTTTAAAAAACAGTCAGATGAGAGCTTTGGTAGGTAATTAACATAAACAGTATGGGTTTGCTGTTAAATTTTTCTCCTGACTTAGTTTTTTCCCCTAGTCAAACAGAGTCACTCTCTGTAAATACAGGTGTAGAACTGGGTGTGCTGTTTGTGGGCAGGGTGATGCAGATTGGCAGATGAGGGCAAGATTAGTTGTGAGTCTCCATTTTATGTGGGAAATTCTTTAATGTCTCTAAGCCTCACTTTCCTCTTTTATAAAATAGAGAAAGTAAGTCGGGTGTGGCAGTGCAGGCCTGTAATCCCAGCATTTGGGAGGCTGAGGCAGGAGGATCATTGCAAATTTGAGACTAGCCTGGGTTACAGAGTAAGCTCAAGGCCGGCCTGAACTGTGTGACAAGACCATGTCTCAAAATCCAAAAACAAAAGCAAAAACATAAAATAGAGAAGGAAATAAGAGCTATATACTTTGTGGAATTCTTTTAAGAATCAAACAAGATAGGGTGCAAAAGTATGCACTGATAGTTTCAGCTACTTTAGAGGCTGAGGCAGGAGGAATTGCTTGAGGCCAGAATATGAAGACTAGCTTGACAATATTGGGAAGACCTCCATGTCAAAATAAATAGATTAAATTAGATTGGATTAGAATAGAATAGAATAGCTCTTTTTGCCTCGCATGGTGTTATCTAGCAACATTCCAGTAAAAGTGGAGTTGTTGTTGTTGTTTTTTTTTAAGACAGGGTCTCTCAATGTAGTTCAGACTATCCTTGAACTCACAATATAACCCAGGCTGGCCTTGAACTTACAGGGATCTCTCTGCCTCAGCCTCCCCCAGAGCTGGGATTAGAACTGTGTACCACCATGCCTGGCATAAATTTGGGTTTTTTTTTTGATACTGGGTATTTAATTCATGACCTCACACTTGCTGGACAGGTGCTATGCCACTCAGTTATATCCTCGACTAGTTATAATTTTTGAGATGGGTTTTCTTTTTAGGTAATATTGTCTGTATCTTGAAGATAGAATTTTTAATTTATAAAGTCATCAGAAAAATGCATAAATTTCTTTGTATTTATAATAATAAATATAATAGTCATTATCTTAAAGGTATTTCAATTTAATCTAGGTAATTATATTTAACATTCCAAGAAAGGAGCTTTGCTTTAGTAAGCCTGGAATAATTACTAGTTTATTATTCTATTTACTTATCCTTTATTTTTTTGAGGCAAGGTCTCAGTATGTAGTTCAGGCAGGCCTTGAATTCACTGTATAGCCCAGACCACCGTCTAACTCCTGATGATTTTGCCTCAGCCTCCCAATTGTTGAGATTAAAGGCATGTGTCATTATACCCGGCTATTTTTCTTAAAGTCTGTATTTTTAGACACTATTCATATTAACTCAGTAATGAGAAATCATTTTATTTATATTCAGTAGTTACTGAAGCTAAGCCAAAAATAACACCAGTTTTTGCATTATTTTACCATCTTTTAGCAGTAGATGTTTGAGTTTCAAAGTAAGGCTTCTTACACAAGTAGACCTGGACATGGTGGCATGTGACTATTACCATTGCAGCAATCTGCTGAGTCAGGAGGATCGCTGAGAGTCTGAGGCCAGCTTGGGATACAAAGGGACTCATTGATCTACACTGCAAGACCCTACTTCAAAAAATAAAAATAAAAATATGCAAGTAGATAGAGATGTGGTCTTGGAGTTTTAGATCTGTTCCCTTTTGGATTTTGATAATATTGTAGGGTTAGTTTATTTGATGGAAGTTTCAGTATTTCTAACTTGCCAGCCATCCTCTTGCTTAAGTTAAAAAAAAAAACACCCAAGGGATTCTAGTAAACATCAGGCTCAGCATTATGGCTAAAATAAGAGGGTAACTCAGACCTTAACGTGAATTTTTAAAATTGGGGGCCTTTCACACTATAAAGTGCCAGAATAATAAGTACTGAGGGTAAGTTACCTCCAGCGTTGCCTCCTACAAAGATTACGCATTACAGTTTGTAGTATGTTTTCTTATGTGCTGGTGCGGTAGATACGGCTCCCACCTTCCTAGGAATATGGTCCTGTTATTTTAGGGCTCTGATTATACCAGCCTCCCTTACCATTGTTTTGCTTTCATTGTTAAAATGAAGTATAGGATGGGCTGCTGTAGCGCCCTATGTGTGTAACATATTTGCTTTCAGAATTTTTCAAATATAGCCTCTTTAGATGCCTTCAATAAAGCCTTATCTTTACCATCTTTCTCACTGTATTTGTACTTATCAGAAGGAAGAACTATTTTGCTCATTCAGTATCGTCCACTTTGCCTTAAGTCTACTGAACGTTCAAGTTCTACATGCCAGACACTCAGCATTTCACTGCGGCTTGGGGAGAGACCTCTCCCACTGCTCATCTTTGATGATGAGTACACCACCGGCCAGCCAGTCTCCCCGCTACGGCAGGCTTTCCTGTCCACTGCTGTGGTCACTGCTCTCCCCAAGTCTGAAGATACCATCTTCCTGTGTACATTGTACCAAGGGTCCACACTTTCCTTTTATATTTTTTCTTTTTATTTCTTTTTTGTTGGTACCGGGGATCGAACTCAGGACTGCCTGCTTGCAAGGCAGGCGCTTATGCCACTGAGCTAAATCCCCAGCCCCTGTTCTTTTTATTTCACAATTGTCAAATATAAGTGGTAACATAGAATTGAGTGATCAGTTAACAACTGAGAAATTCGGACTGGGGATTTAGCTCAGTGGCATAAGCGCCTGCCTGGCAAATGCTAGGTCGTGAGTTCAATCCCTGGTACCGCAAAACAAAACAAAACAAAACACCTGAGAAATTAGAAGGAAACACTGCTATTGTGTTATAAAACACAGGGTTTAGCATAGCAAGTTTAGAGAGTAAGGATACAGACACTGGTGCTTCTATATATACTGAACAGCCCAGTACCCTGTGTCAAAGAAGCAGAGAAAAAACAAAAGTGCCCAGGTAGGGGTGTACTGGGGAGAACATAGAGAGTACAGTATGAAAGCCTTTTATTCTTTGTTCCAGAAGTGGTATCTTTAAAAAGTTTATAAAAGTCATATGAATTTCAGCTTTGATAAACGGCAGAAGGAAGTTTTGTGTGTAAGATAAAGATATGCCTAAGCAACACATGGATCTGTGCAGTGCCACTGAAGGTCACAGATACAAGGGACAAATGGTGAAGCTTAATTCTGTGGCACACTGAGCTTGTATTCATAAGCCCAGCGCTGTAAACTGCTCTTCACTAAAGCTGTCATGACAGCTTGGGAGGTGCTTTTGTGCTTCAGGTTGACACATTACTTACTAATATGTGAAATTAAAGCAGACATTTGTGAATGGTTGTACAAAACTAATGTATTTACCAAAAAGTTGGCACAGGGGGGCTGGGGATTTAGCTCAGTGGCATAAGCACCTGCCTTGCAAGCAGGTGGTCATGAGTTTGATCCCTGGTACCAGAAAAAAAAAAGGAAAAAAAAATTGGCACAAAAGTGAATTCAGCAATGAGGCACATATATATCTCATTTACGTGTTACAAGGAGAGTGTTAGAACACAAAAGAACTGAGTAAGGACATGGCATTCAGTGGCTGCTGGTAAGCACTAAAGTCACAGAAGTTATTTCAGAAGGGGGGACATTGCCAAGTAAAACGCTGTTTTCATAGCTGAAACTGGCTTAAGGCCATTCAGGTTCACGCAAATCTTTCAGGATTCATATCTCTTTGTGTTTGGTTATGTGACCTTTCTTCTAATTCGTGGTCTTAAACTTCTGTTTCACAAAATACAAAAGGAAAGTGCAGAAGAAATCATATCATAGAGGTTATGTTTAAATAGGATAACATACGGAGCTAGTCTGACTGGCCCTGTGCTAGGATTTAGGTAATATATAGTTATTTCCAAGTAGATGACGTGTGTTGCTGAACAGGACCCTCTCGTCTTTGTTAGTGCATTGGTGAACTGGTGGAAACCTCTATAAGCCTGTTCCCTTAATACTGGCAGCACACTACATTACCTGCAAAGCTGTCAGTCTCAAGTGACTTAGTGAAGGAAAGCAGATTCAGTGGATAAGTAACAGATTACGGAGTAATAAAGGGAATTAGAAGACTCATGCACTTCAGCTTCTTTAATCTGCCTGCTAGCTTGTTTGGGACAAGGGAAGCTTTCCATTAGGAAGATCCTAAAGTGGGAATGTGGTCACCAGTCTTACCTGAGGTCGCAGTAGAAAGTTGCTTGTTCTTCGTCTTTGCCTTAGCCATGTCGTAATTCCAAGAATCAAAATATGTCTGCTTCTTCTGCCATTATTTCTTTAAAAAATGGAACCTCCAGACTTCTGTCCCAGGTGAGGATTACTTACTTTGGATTTTGCTTCTTCCTCCCCTCCAGACTGCCCAGAGCCAGCACTCTATGCTCATTCTCATCAGAGAAGATAGCATATTCCAGTCTCTTTGGGACCAAAGGCGGCATCAAAAGAGCCCCACAGATTACTCATATTAATTGCAAAATTTCCAGATGTGCTCCGTGGATGATGCCATGATGAACACGAACCTGTCCTCTGTCTGTGCAACACATTCTTATTTTCTGGAATCAGGTTCTGCACCTGGTTCACAAGGGCCATTCCTCAGTCTCTTTCCAAGCTGGACATATCGTCATATCACTGTACCATTTGAAACTTTTAATATTCCATCCACCAGTGGAGAATGGACAGACAAAATGTGGTCATACACACAGTCATACATACACTCAGCCTAAGCAAGGAAGGAGAATTTGATACATGCTACGACATGCATGAACCCTGAAGACACTGTGCTACATGAAATTAAGCCAGACACAAAAGGACACTATTGTGTGATTCCTCTAATGAGGAATATTTAGTCCATAGAGGTAGAAATTAGAATAGTGGTGTGACAGTTAAGCTTGATGTGCCATCTTGACTGGCTTGGGAGCCACCAGGGGCTTGGTGGAGCACACTTCTGGGCGGGAAATGGAGGCTGACCTTGGGTGCTATGTTTGGTCTCTCCCCTTTCTGTCTTGCAGTGCTTCCCAGCTGTGCTTCCTCCTCGCCATGAACTGAGTCGCTTGCTCTGCCGGGACCTTCTGCCGTGATATTCCTGCCTTGGAGCCAGCCCACCATGAACTGAATCCCCAGAAACTGTGAGCTAAGTTCAGTCTTTGTTCCTTTAAATTATGGGTTGTTGTGTCTTAGCGATGGAAAAGCTAATATAGGTGGTTACAAGAAACTAGGCTTAGAGGGGAATAGGGTATAATTGTTTAATGGGTACAAAGTTTCAGTTTGGGGGGATGAAAAATTTCTGGGGATTTTGACAATTGGGGGCACTGACTTGAATGTTGACAGATGGTTAAAATGACAACTTTCATGAATATATTTCCATAATATAAACTTTTACATATCTATGGTGCCTCTGTACCATCTACTAAATGAAGTAGATTTCATCGTGTGAACTGTGTGGTCCTCTACTATTTCTCTCTTCTTGGTCTACCTTCTCCTCCTCTTATCCTATCAAAACTCACATGTGTTTTACGTTCCAGCCATCCAGAACTACTCAGGATAAACCACCTGTGATAAGGGACCATGCCTTTACTGTGTGTGTGGTCCTCACAGTCTAAACTGATGTCTCTCCTCAGCAGCCACTCAGCGTTCAGGACAGAGGCTAAACGACACATTTCTGAAGGCTTCCCTAGTGTTCTTGGTCCCTTTTTCCATGGCAGTTAGCTCTTTGGTCAGGCCTTCATTATATCCCTTATCCTTTTATCGCGTAGCAGCAGTTTCTATCCAGCAGGAGCTATGCATTATTTTAAACATGCATATTTACTTTTAAAAAAACCCAATGTTAGTAACATTTTCCATTCTTCACAACTGTATAAGACTTTCATATACTTTAATTTCAATTTCCTCCCTCTCATGTTCACTTTACTTACCATTTTATTGAAAATAATAGCTATTATGAGTACATTAGCCAGGTTTTAGCTCTCAACTAAAAGCAATTTTCCTTTTAGTAACTCTGAATGAGAATCTGTGGGTAGTAGTAAGCTTTATTTTTTTCTAAGCTTTATTTTTAACATTTATTTCACTGCTACTTTTGAATGATGGTTTATGAGTGTAAAGTTTTAGTTTGGAAGTTTTGTCTCTCAGTCCTTTGAAGATTTTATTTCCATTATCTACTAGCATCTGTTGTTCCAGATTAAAATCATGTTGTCACTTTAACTATTGTTGCCTGTAAAATAGTCATCTTTTGCCTGTGGCTCTTTATAAGAGCTGCTCTTTGCCTTTGGTGTTTTGCAGTTTTATTTTGGTGAGTGCAAGCCTACTTTTAATCCTGTTGTACTAACTTAGTCCATGTTGCTGCTGGAATGAAATATCTGAGGCTGGATAATTTCTAAACAGTAGCATTTTACGTCTCTCCTAATTCAGCAGACAGGAATGTCCACACCAAGGCAGTGGCAGGTTCGCTGTCTGGTGAAGGTCTGGTCTCTGCTTCTCTTCTGGCACCTTGGATGACATGATGTGGAAGCAAAGGCCTCGGCCAGTGCCGCGCAGCCCTCCGACAGGTGGCTAGTTTCATTCACCGTGGCTCCACCCTCAAGCACCTGTCACCTTCTGATGGCCTGAGCTCTGTCACATTGGAGTTTAGGTTGCAGCATGAAGTTGGAGGGACATAAATTCAAACCATAGCACCTGCTGATGACTTCCTGTACTTCTTCACATGAAGATTTTTGTCCCTTATCAATTCTGAGACATTCTTGTCCATTACCTTTCATACCTTTTGCCTGTCAATTTTACTGAAGCCTAATTAGAAAATAAGAATTGACTATATTTACTGTGTGCAATGTGTTATATATATTTCCTGAGTATCTGAGACTACAGGAACACGCCAGGCTCTGTCTTGCTATTTTATTGTTTGTTTCATCTCTTCTCCACACCACTCTCTTTCACTGCTACAAGTAGGCTTCTTTTGCACTATAACTAGGGAGTCTTCTTCTTCTAGTTCTTGCTCCTGTGTATTGTAGCTACCCTTCTCCTTTGTATTGATTGCTCTTGAACATGTATCAAATCGTTTTTTTGCCAGAGTTCTCTGAGCTGTGTTGTTGAGTACTGTCTCTCTGTACAGTTTTCCAGCAGGCATGCGGGCTAGTGAGTGTGGCAAGGTACACATGTGCTCTGTCGCCGTCTTTGTTTGCAGTAAGGGGGTCCATGTGTTTGCTGGCCAGACCGGTGGAATCCCAGTGCAATCTGGTCTGTTTGTCTTTGTGTTCTTAACATTTGGCACTGAGTCATTTAGAACTGGTAGGAAATCATTGTTTTCTGGAAAATGACACTTCTTATTCTTTTCCTGTGTGATATCAGGAGTCAAATGAGAGGCCTCATGCTTGCCAGGGAGGCGCTGTGCTGCTGAGCTATGTCCCCAGCCCCATACTTCTTATTCTTTGGATCTTGGCTATTTTTATATTTGTCTGCCTTGTCTTTGATTATATATCTGTTTTCTTTTTAGAACCAAATTAATTTTGTCCTTGTCTTTGAAACTAATATTGCATTTCTCTTCTTTACCTTTTTAAAAAACTATTTAAGTTAGTTATTTTGTCTTTTGAACATTTTCCTCCTAATTGGTAATATAATTGTGTCAGGATAACATGAATAAAATAATAGAATAATAATTCCCATCTTGCTGTTCATTACTTTTTTTTTTTTTTTGAAGAACTTGAGAGTAAACCCAGGGCCCTTGCACTAGGCTACATCTCTAACCTTTTTATTTTTCATTTTGAGACAAGCTTTTGCTAAATTACTAAATTGCTTAAGGTAGAATCTAATTTGAGCTCCTACTGCTTCAGCCTTCCGGACTCCTGGGATTATAAGTGTGTACCCTTATGCCTAGTTCGTTACTATTGTTTTGCCATAAATCAAGTCCTGGTTTAAAAAAAAAAAAAGGCCATTTATTTATTTATTTTGAGACAGGTCTTATTCTGTAGTTTAGGCTGGCCTTGAACTCGTAATGATCCAACTGCCTCAGCCTCCTGAGTGCTGGAATTACAGGCATATACCACGATGCCCAGTTTACTTTATTTACTTATGTTACAGTGCTTGGCATCAGACCCCAGGACCTTGCATGTATTACTCAAGTGTTCTCCTACTGAGCTTTACCTGAATTCAGTGCTTATCTAATGAGACCCACCACTGCTACCCTGGTAGGTATTTTGTCCTGCACTAAAATAACTAAATTGCCACCATAGGAAGCATGCCCAAGGGAAGCCAGTGAGGGTGCAGACGCCCAGGCTGGCACAGCTGGGCAAAAGCACAGCCAGCCTTTGCCATCCCTGGGGTGGGAGCCAGATGCCGTGTGTGGCAATTGGGTGATGTGCTGTGTGTGGCAGTCGGGCTGATGTGCTCTGTGCCAACTGTGAGTGCCAGGTCACTGCCCTTCCTAGTCTTTCCCCATGTTCCCTGTTGGTAGACACATGATGAGTGGGTCAGAATGTTTCACCATTAACTCTCAGACATTAACTACGTAATTGTTTACTTTTTCCCTTCAAAGGGAAAGAACAATATGGAAAGAAGATAAAATATTGTCAGTTAATGCTTAATTTGATTAATAACGATGAGATAAATTGTCATCTTCATTACCTGCACCAATATAATGTAGCCTTTTATATGAAGTGTGATGGAAATATATGGTGAATATTTAAATTTAAAAAACCTATTACAGCAAAAGACACAGTGTCATCAACCTGTCCAGAATCCTCTCCCTCACTCTGAACCCATTACTTTATCATTCTTGCCACTTGCTGAAGCAGTTCTGGAGGTTCTGAGTATCTTTATGAGGTCCTTCTGAGTGTCTTTGTATAGTGATTGAGGCTACACAGCGCCATCCAACGAGAGGCAGGCTCGTAAAAACAGTAGAGGTGTCCTTGTCTGCTTATTTACCCAGTCTAGCACTATGTAACTTTGCCCAAAGTCAAAATGAACATGGAAGGCAAGCATTTGGAATCTACTCAAGTTATGGAGGCAGTCACAACACCTCAATTACAGACATGAAGCTGAGCATAGTGGTGCATGCCTGTAATCCCAATATTTGTGAGGCTGAGGCAGGAGAATCACTTTAGTTCAAGGCTTGTCTAAACTACATAATGGGACCCTCTCAAAAACAAAGTAAGAAAAGAAAGAAAGACAATCACAAAAGAGATTTTATGGAACTGCAGAAACTAGCAAGAATGATAGGATAGCGGGGGATACAGGTGAGTGGTACCCCACCTGCCTGGCAAGTGTGAGCTCATGAGTTTGATCCCTGATTAAAAAAAAAAAAAGTGTACTCAAGGAAGGGAGAGTATTTTGAGAGGGATTAATAGCAGTGTGTCATTTACTATAACAATTTATTTGGAGACAGAGTCTCACTATGTAGCCCAGGCTAGCCTTGAACTCGCAGTGATGCTTCTGCCTCAGCCTCACAAATACTGGGATTACAGGCGTGCACCACCACACCCAGTGTTTACTGTAATAAAAATGTCTCTACATTCACCATCGTTTGCAGTAACACCTTGTAGCCCTTTGTATTCACAAGCAGTCCAGGAACGTTGTGTCACTGTGCCTCCCAGTGGCACGCTGAGAGGTGAGCTGGACATCAACAGGTGTGCAGAAAGTTCCAGTTGAATCTGCTGCTCTGTGGTTCGCTGGTTGGAAGGAAGTTGTTTCCAGTTTCTCCCAACCAGATCTCTGCTTGCAGTGGGTGGGGAATGGAAGGGAGGAGGATAGGTCAGGCTGTTTTCCCAGGCTTTTCCTGGCTGGACCTGGGTGGTCTTCAGCTTGGAGGCAGCAGCTCAAGGAGCTGTGAGGCCCTGGGGCCACAGAATCCTCACCTGCTGACCATGGAGCCAAGGCTGGGGGTACCGGATGCAAGCCTAGATGTAAAGCGGGCAATTTTGTAGCGCCCTTATTCTGTGCTTTGACTGTGCAGGGAAAGCTGAGCAGGCAGAGGTGTGGTGACCTTGAGCCCATCAACATGGGATTACTGAGGACTCCAGTGGCCTTGGCAGCTGTGCTTTGTGTGACTATGTAAAATAACTCCCTATTAGGGGATCAAGCAGGATTACCAGAAACCTGATCCCGCTTTGGGTTTTAAGCACAAGAAGGGCAGCCAGTGGAAGGGGAAGTAGCTGGTCGGTGAGCTCCAGGAGGAGGACCAGGAAACCACTGGGAGAAAGTTTCAAGCCTCCTTTGTCAACTTTCTAAGGATCAAAACCTGGCTTGAACCTAGGGCGTTGGCTCTGACTGAGCTGCACCCTTCGTTACTTTTTATTTTGAGGTGGTGTCTCACCAAGTCACTAAGTGTGCAGCTTTGTGCCAGATTTAAGGCCCAGTCTCCTGGGGAGGGGAGTGGGGAGCGTGATAGCACAGATGCTGCTGCATCCTTAACTCATCCAGCTAATTGAAGAAACAGTCCTGCAGTGAGCACCGCTGGTCAGGTGAAGGGTTTAGGAAGCAACATCTTTGTACACAGCTGACACATACCCAGGTAGAGCGTGTTCTCATCCCAGGATGCAGGGTGTCTACTCCCCTGGTCCACTGCCTTTCTTTTTTGGTACAAGGGATTGAACCCAGGGCCTGTACACTGCACCAGATCCCTGCCTCTTTTTGTTTTGAAGCAGGGTCTTGATAGCCTAGGCTGGGATTGAACTGGGATCCTCCTGCCTCAGCCTCCAAATTTCTGGGATTTCAGGCATGCACCATCACCCCCAGCGCAGTGTCTCTTTTTAAGTACAGTTATAAAATTGTGCTAGGAGAAGTAATGGATGAATAGAGAGTTAAATCTTGTTTAACCTGGAGAGACAATAAATATTAAAGATAACAGGTTAACAAGGAGTTTTAAAACTAAGGATGTGTTAAAGTACTGAGCAAAATTTATTTGAAAAATATGTAAGCAAAAATATGGAGGACTATTTGAGAAATAAAAGAGAATGAGAGTCTAACACTATAAAACAGAAATGATAGCTGGGCATTATGGCAAACACCTATAATCCTAGCATTTGAGAGGCTGAGGCAGGAGATTGTTGTGATTCAAGGCCGGCCTGAACTGCACAGTTGAAACCCTGTCTCCAAAAGACAAAGAAGAAAAAAATGAAATTTTATAAAATGTAACGTGGAAGGGCTGGGGGTGTTAGCTTGGCCATGGGGGGCTTGCCTGGTATGCACAAGGCCCTGAGTTTGATGGTAACCACTGGATCTGGAGCGTTTGCAACTTAGTACCCTCAGTCAGTAAACCATGAAGGAGGCAAACATAATACAGCCCATTCTTATTTGTTTGTATGAGATAGGTCTTGCTGTGTAGTCTAGGCTGACCTGGAACTCACTGTGTAGCTAAGGCTGGCCTCAGACTTGCAGCTATCCTCCTGCCTCAGCCTCCCAAGTGCTGGGATGACAGGCATGCCCCACCACGCCAGGCATTTGCAGCCTATTCCCCGTGGCCTGTCGGATGTGCTGTGCAGGAGAATCAGTGGGATCTCTGAGAGGAGCTGTTCTGATCTCTTTCACACAGGGAAGCTGTGCCTTGACCTTTTCTGACCTGGCAGGAATGTTGCATCCTGACATTGTTTATAAAAGGCAAAGAGCTGGAATGACCTGTTGACAAGTAAGGCAGTGGTGGAGCGAATTGTAATAATCACCTCAGTGGACTGCAGCAAAAACTGTTAACTGGAAAGAATAATTAGAATAATAATAAAGGATAACGTTTGTAACTGTATGAGAGTAAGAACTATGTCATTCTATGAGATGGGGAGGGGCTGTCAGGTCAGTGTCTGTACATGACCTCATTTCCTTCCTGAAAACCAGAACTTCTATTGCAGAAGCCTAGTAGCTTTGTTGACTTCTCCCTTGTTCTCCGAAATTCTCTTGGTTTACCATGTTGTACAATCAAGCCTGCAGACTCTTTGGGCATCTTGGGACATACTTTTCCTGGGTTTCCTGGGGTGTTTTACTAATTGATGTACCCCAGAAACTAGGACAGTGCCTGGGATATGTAGGTGCTCGGTATGTCTTCTTTTACAAGTGATAGCTTATTGAGGTATAATTTACATAACATGAAAGTTGCCATTCTCAAGTGTATGGCTCAGTGGATTTTATTTCCTTTGTTAGTATTGGTTTTGAAGGAGGATCTCACCATATAGTTCAGGCTTTTAACTCATTAAGGAGCCCGGTCTGGACTCAAAACTCATGATGATCACTCTCACCTCCGCCTCTCAAATGCACCGTGGCCAACTTGAATTTTACTTTTTCACATGAGAATTCTGAGTCATTTCATAAAAAAATTCTAAGACACCTCAGTGAACAGGCCTCCTCAGCCCATCTTGTCCACCAACCCCTAGAAGCATTAATTTACTTTCTTGCTCTGGATTTACTTACTCAGGACATTTCATATGAGTGGAGTCATTTTTCCTGTGACTGTTTCTGTCCTGCGTGTTTCACGTGACTCAGTGGCATCCAGTTCATCCACGTTCCAGCAGGTATCGTTTTCTCTTTTTACCGCCAAATAACATTCATGAATGAATATAGAAATGTCACATTGTATTTATCCATTCCCAAGTTTGGGCATTTGGGTTATTTTCAGTTTTTGGCTGCAAGAAATAATGCTTCTGTGAACATTGGAGTGCAGGTTTTCATGTCAGTATGTTTTCAAGTTTCTTGGAAGGGGAATTAGCAGTCTTATGTTTTTTGTTTTAGAAATAGTAGATTGTTTGTTTGTTTGAGACAGGCTCTTACTGTGTAGTTCAGGCTGTCCTTGAACTCACTATGTGGCCCAGGCTGACCTCAGACTCATGGTGATCCTCCTGCCTCAGCCTCCCGAGTAGGTGTAGAGTTGGTTTGCAATGTGACTGCATGGTAGTATCCTCCTAGTAGTATTTGAGAATTCTGTGTTCATCACTTTCTGTGCTGTAATGCAGTACCTGAGACAGTAGGTTTAAGGAGGGAAGGGTTACTTTGGCCCACTGTTGGAATTTCTGTCTATGACTCTTTGGCCCTGCTGCTTTGGTCTTGTGGTGAGGCAGAGCATCTTGTCACAGCTAGGGTGTGGAGAAAATGGGTTGCTACTGTTCCTGTGGAGGACTCACCCCCAGTGACCTGGCTCCCTTGATGCCCTGCAGCTTTGAAGTCCATCACCTCCTAGTACCTAGACTGGGAGACCAAGCATTCATCACTGGGGCCTTTGGGGGATATTTAGTAAACCACAGTGGGCTCATCTTCACCTCCTCTGACACTCTGACACACTTTTTGACACTACCATGGAAGCTCAAGTGGGTACTGTGACATCTCACTGTCAGTTTTGATCTACATTTCCCTGATAGTTGATAATAGCATGTCTTTATATGCTTATTGGCCATTTATGTATCTGCTTTGGGAAAATGTTTGATTGAAACTCTGCCTTTTTTTTTAATTGGACTATTGATCTTTTAATTGTTGAGCTGTAATTCTGCACGCAAGTACTTCATCCGATACTGTGTATGGTTTGTAGTATTTTCTTCCATTCTGTGAGTTCTGTGTTCACTTTATTTATTTACTTATGTGTTTCTTGCTTTTTTGAGACGGGCTCTCACTGTGGTTCAGGCTGGCTTAGCACTCATTATGCAGGTCAGTCTGGCTTCAAACTCATGGTGATCCTCCTGTCTCAGTCTTCCAAGTGCTGGGATTAATGGCATGCACAACCATGCCCAGCTCAACAATGTTTTATGGTTTTCAGTGTTATCCTTACATTTCTTTTTTTCTTTTTTTGTTACCAGGGATCCAACTTGCGACCTTGTACTTGCCAGGCAGTGCTTATGCTGCTGATCTAAATCTCTAGTCCCTTAAGCGTCTTTTTCAAATTTATTTGTAAGTTAAAAAAAATTTAACCCTGGTACCAAAAGAATTTATTTGTAAGTTTTTATGGTGATATTGTAAATAGAATTTATTTCTTAATTTTAATTTCAGTTTGCTCATTGTTAGTTTATAGAAATGCAATTAGCTTTTGTATATTGATCTTATATCAACCTCACTTAACTCTTAATTTAACGTTGAGAATTCCTTAGGATGTTTTTACATACAAGACTATCTGCACATAGAAATAATTTTACATATTCCTTCCCAATCTGAAAACCTTCATTTCCCTTTCTTGAGTAATTGTCCTGTTAAAACCTCTAGTGCAATTTGGGTAGAAAGGATGAGAACAGAGTCCTTCTCTTGTTCCTGACTTTAGGCAGGAAGTATTAAGTGTTCCTCTATCATATCTGCTATCAGCTATGGAAATAGGAACTGGTTATCGGGTGATACAATCAATACATATTTCAGAATGAATGTTTTGTTTTATTTTTTGAGACAGGGTCTCACTGTATAGTCTAGGCTGGCTTTGAAATCTCTATGTAGCCCAGGCTGACCTCAAACTCATGGCAATCCTCCTGCCTCAAGTGCTGGGATACAGGTGTACACTAGGACCTTGGTTTTATTTTTAAAAAAATTTTTTGGTGCTGGGGATCAAACTTATGACTCATGCTTGCAAGGCAGGTGTTGTGCCACTGAACTATATCCCCAGCTCCTGGGTTTTAATTTTTTAAAAAAATCCCAAACTGGGCAAGGTGATACACATCTGTAATTCTAGCACTCAGGAGGCTGAGACAGGATGATTGCTGCATGTTTGAGGTCAGCCTAAGCTACAAAAACAAACAAGCAAAAAACCAAACCCTGCTATAGTCTAGGTAACAAAAATCATTTTTTAGACATATGAAGTAATTTTGCGTATTTTTGCCAGTCTGAATACTGAGTTAAGAGCTTGACTCCTCACTTTTAACCAGCGTTGGCAAACTATGGAAAATCTGTTGCTAGCCTTTTTCTCCACGGTGCATTATTGACCAAGGAAGCACAGGCCATCATTTTCAAGACAGTTAAGCTGGCAGTGCTGCAGTTAACAGCGATGGAATCCACGGGCCATCATTAGTTGGCAGGTCCTCTGCAGTCGGGCTGGAGCTATATTTGGTGAGCTCTGGCTGAAGCAGCCAGTGATTGCTGCCCTGTGATTTGCACCCTGCTGCCAACAGAATGTGGCGCTCTCAGGATCACAAGGAATTATTTTAAGGTTTTCTCCCTGGCACATTAAAGCCTCCCTGCAGGTCCATCTGAGGAGATGAGAATTTTCTTTTACTTTTTTCTCCTCTGCCCCTAGTTTTCTGTGCTTGATATCAAACCCAGGCCCTTATCCGTGCCAGGCCAGTGCAGAAATGTTGTTCATAGACTGTGCTGGAAATAGACCATTCCAGCTCCCTCTCACATCCTCTCTCCTGCTCTATCCGTCACTCTAGCAACCTCCCTCTCCTCTCTTTCCTTGTCCATCTTCCTTTTCCATTTGGCTCTGTTAGCCAGCCCTGTGGCTCTGAATTCCAACCCTGGTGATGCCTCCTATTTGTACCTCCTGCCCTGCTCCCTGACTATGGCCGTCCCTCCTGTGACCTGCTGACAGCTCTGTGCAAACATCTCTTGCATTTTCCCCGTGTTAAATGACAGCAATCCCAGAGTCATTCTGGTCTCTGACCTGGTCTCACACCTTATGCTCTGTCCATCAATCAGTAGATCCTAAGGTGCCACCTGAAAAGTAAATCAAGTCTCTGACTTATTCAGAGGACCTTTAGTGCCACCATCATGGTGCATGACACCATGCTCCAGATGGCCTGTCTTCTCTCTGCATGCTCCATGCAGAAGCTCAGGATTGCAAAGAAAGGCAGGGTACTGATGATAATCCACAGCCAGCCCCCAACCGTGGCCCCCTTCTGGCCACTGTCCATGCTGACTCTTCACATTTCTGGACTGGCCAGAGCTCTTCTCTCTCCTCTGCTCATGTTGGCTCCCTCATGAAATTGGCTACACACAGCTCACTGTGACCCTCTGAAGTCTGCAGCAGGGGCTCATCTGCTGTTTGACCCATCCCTGAGTGTCCAGTAGCAAAAGTTCTCTCTCCTTAATTTAATTGTGCTGGGTATTTTTCAAATCTGCCTCATCTTTTTGTAAAAATCTTGTAGTTAACTATTTCTCTTGTTGAACATTTTAAGTGCCATATTTTATTTTTGTATGCCAAATCTTGGGGCACAGTGTTCCTGTCTTTCTGTTGCTTTTCCGTGGGTGTTTATGATAGTTCTCAGAATGGAAGTTGAGCCCAAACCTGTGAGCAACAAGCATGTGTTGCCACCAGTTCTTAAAGGAGAATTTCTCAAGGTTTTATCTTTTAAAGGTGCCTGGGAAATTTGCATTTTTCAGATAATACCGTATTGTGGGCATTCTATTGTATCATTAAATGTTCTGCTACTGGATTGCTTAAATGACTTCATGGTGATACACTGTGGAAATACAATATTTATTTATCCTAGTATCAGGCAGTTGGAATTCTATCTTAGTAGTAGTGTCATATTTATATTACTAAAAATGAATATACATAGTACACAATATAAAGAAAATTCTATTGATAAGACTAAATTTAGCAAATTTAGAAGGGTGTCCTATATTGTGAAATTGTATATTCCTACATTTATGATATTAAAAGTCACCAGTTTTGTTTTGTTTTGTTTTTTGAGACAGGGTCTTGCTACGTAGTTCAGGCCGGTTTTGAATTTACTAGTAGCCCAGGCTGGCCTCGAATTCCCAGTGATCCTTTTGTCTCAGTCTTCCAAGTGTTGGGATTACAGGTGTGCACCACACCCTTGGTGAAAATAATCAGCTTTTAAATGAAATGATGGTAATTTTTTTCATGGTGCTGGTTATTGAACCTAGGGCCTTATATGTACTATGTAACTGTCCTACTGAGCCATGCCTCCAGCTCTGTGGGGTTTTTAAAAATTTGTTTAAATGTCTTTATTTGATTATCCCTTTTATTTTATTCCCAAATTGTAAAAGTCATTTTAATGTAATATTTTATTGACAGTTTAATTTATAATTTTTATTTCTTTTTAATAAGTGATGAGTTTAATATATTAAACAGCATTTTTTCCCACTCTGGTCCTAGAGGTTGAACATAGGGCCTTCTGTATGCTAAGCAAGTACTCTAACCTTGAACCACATCTTTAGACCTTTTTTCAGTTTTTGAGACAAGGTCTCAGTAAGCCGTCCAACCTAGCATCAAACTTGTGATCCTTCTGCTTCAGCCTCCCAGGATGCTCAGATTATAGCCATGTGCCACCATTTCTGCCCATTTTATTGTTTTGTCTTTACATTATTCCTCAATGTAAAAATATATAGAAAGCTGGAGAAGCAAACGAATGAGAAACTTATTAACTACAAGGAAGACAAAAGGTTTTAAGAGAAAATACATGATGATATGTGATTCACTAGTGAAGAATATTTACATAGTTGTACTAAAGTAAGCCCCGTGGAAAATAGAAGTCTCCCCTGCATGGTTAGGGATGTGGCTCAGTGGTAGAGTGTGTGTAGCATGTGTGAATCCCAGCACGCCCTCACCCCAGTCTACATTGTATTGTGTCTGGGCTTTAGAAAATGAGTGTCACAAATAACCTCATTAAAAATTCTACTGCTGTGAGAAATTTTCAAGTAAATTATTCATCGGATAAACATCAAGGCAAATTAGACTTCTCTGGTACTTGAATACAATGAATTTTTGATTATGTCAGATCTTTACATTATTAATATGGCTTTTTTAGTTTTAGTATTTGTGCTGATCATTTGCATCATGCCTTGTATCTGAACAGTATTCCAAAAGAGTATCAAACAGTAGCATACCAAAGGTATTTGATATCTGCAAAAAACCAGCTTCTGTGGAAGAATCTGGAAAAATGATTCACTTTTCAAATTGTTTTGTTGGACTTCCTGATCTCCTAGAAAGCACTGCCTTCCTTAGAAGATAGGTGTTCATCATACTCTTAGGAGACTGTCAGGTTTCTGACCATATTTTTTGAGTTAGGAAGGCCTGCAATCATACAATAACTACAGGGGAAATAAAACACACAGTTGGACCGTGAGAGAGAAGCAGAGATGGGGCAACATGTGTGTGTTTACATATGTGTGCCTGTGGCCAGCATAGCTTGCTGAGCCTTTGTCATTAGAAGTAAGATCCCCAGATGATGGTTGAAATGAAAACCTTGAGAAATAATGATATGGAAGATGCAGTATTTTTATTCTTTTTTTTTCGATACTGGGAATGAAACTCACAACCTTGTGCTTGTGTGGTAGATTGATACCTTGTGGTCAACTTGTAATACCAGCTGAACTGAATCAGCATGGTGCTGAGTGCAGATGGCCCACCTGAGGACAATTGCCAAGATGGAGAGGAAGAAGGAGTGTTGTTGGCTCTCTGTGGTGCTCTTGGTTCTCATATTGCGGTTGGTTCTCCTAGAGGAGCTTGTCAAGCTTCTTTCCTGACATGAACTTGGCTGTTATCATCATCAGAGGGCCTTGGGACCTTGTTATTGCTGAGAACGGCTGTGGTGCACTTTGAGGGTGCCATGGTCTTTACCACTTCCTGGATCTGGAGGAGAAGATGGTGTGCTGTCTGATCTCCAGAACAAGCCTGCCATGTGGGCTTCCTGGTATGAACTCGGCTGTTCTTACCGTCAGAAAAACTCAGGATCTCTTTGTCCCTGAGAATGGCTGTGGTACTTTTCAGGGGGAACTTTGGTCCTTATTTTGAGAGTCGCTTCCTTGCTCTAGTACAGAACCTCAGCCTGCTGGGAGGCTGAGGATGGCACAGATCCTTTATTCCACTGGCACAGACTTTCTGGCTTCCACCACTGACTCTGGGTTTTCCCAGCACAGATCCATGAAACAGACCTACATGAGATACTTCCCTGGGCCCTAGGCCTCCAGTTGGACTCCTAGGGTGCATTATCATGGGTGCATGATGACCATTGTAAAGTAATGTTGTAAATTATGTGTCCTATATGTAATTGTTTTCCTTATAATTCCTGACTATAACAGCTCATAGGCAAGCGCTGTGCCGTTGAGCTATATCCCTGGCCCAAAGGATTTTTTTTTTTGGTACCAGGAATCAAACACATGACTTCACGCTTGCCAGGCAGGCATTATGCTGCTGAGCTGTACCCCTGATGCAGTTTTCTTTTAAAGGTGGAAACAAATAAGGGAAAGAGCTACGTGTTGAATGTGGTGGGTTATATCCTCAGAGCAGGTCTCAGACTTGGGAATAGGTCAGGAAACTCCTAGTTTATAGTGCTTGGTGCCTTCAAAAGTGACATACTTACAATAGTAATAGGTGACATTACATTCATTATCTAGAATAAAATCATGTAGACCAGTGATGCCAAACCTTTCAGAGACCAAGTTCCCAAACTGTAACCCAAAACCCACTTATTTATTATAAAGTTCCAGTACTGCAATTAAACTTGAATATTGACATTTTTGTTTTAAAAAAACCTCATGCATGAGTGTCTTTTGTCTTAAAACAAAAAGCAATAACAGCTTTCAGTGATACAAACAGCTTTCTCCTGACAGTTAAAGTTTGCATTTGGCGTGTTTTTGCATAGTTTAGTGTGATCTTTGCTGCTGTATGCATGCTAATAATTTGTCAAGCCTTGGCTCATACTTCTTTGCAAACAACTAAATATGATACTGTAGATTCAGATATGCCAGGAGGACAGCACAACATTAAAAGAATCTGTCTCTTAATTAGAATCTCTTTGCTAAATCTTAGATATTAAATTTTAATTTTTCATAAGAAAACTCAAAGCTAGAATCTTATGTTAATAAAAAATGCATTAATACAGCCAATCTGAGCAAATACAGAGTCCACCAAAAAAATGTATACACACTTCAGGAAAAGAAAACTTTGTATGAGGTGCATATTCTCCTGATTTAACCCCTGCAGACTTTTACCTATGGTGTGACCTAAAGGATGTCATGTATCACAGAAAACCCACTATACTGCTGGCCCGTAGAGAAAATTGAAAATGCATATTTAGCAGCATCAATGGAGACTGACTAAGGTTATCCAAGAAGCCGTTCACTATACTATAAAAGTGTCTGAAAGCTAATGGCCACCACTTTGAGTACCTCTTATAATTGTGGAGGCCAAAGGTAACTTGTATTAAACTCATGATGGCTCAATAAATTTGGTATTAAACTATGTAAGCTTTCTTTTCCTGAAGTGTGTATACTTCATATCTATAATCTCTATCTCTGTCTGTCTGCAGGCTGTCTATCAGCCCAGCGTCCAGTGATTCAAAAGCTCTGACTGTGGTGGCTAGTGAGTCATATCTCATGATGTCATCATCTGGTGCCATTCCTTTCTGAGCATGTGCATGGCTCATATTTGCACAGTTATCTGGTGGTTGGCTGCTTAGTTGATGATGGGGTGACTTGGCTGGTCTGCTGACAGAGAGGGCTGTGTGCCTGCTGTAGCACATGTACCAGTGGTTTGTCATTACTGATACAGACATATTCCATGAGAGATACCTCTAACCCCTGCCTCTCACATTGTCTAATTCACTGGTTCCTTTCTTCTGTCTTTTAGTTTAGTTTATTTTCTCTCATGGATTTTTTTTTTTTTGCAAATACAAAAATACAAGCAGATCAGATATACAGAAATAGAGCCAGGCGGTAGGGTAATGCATGCCTGTAATATCAGCAGTTGGGAGACTGAAGCAGGAGGAATGCCATAAGTTTGAGGGAAGCCTGGGGTATATAGTGAGTTCAAGGCCAGCCCGAACTGTATAGTGAGACCCGGTCTTAAAAAACCAACCAACAAATGACAAACAGGTTTTTCTGTACTTCACAAAGACACCAACCTTACTAGATTTTTTTCACTTAATATCCCAAGATTTCAATAATACTAGTGTGGGTATACAGTTACATACCAGTCACTTGGGATTATAGTTTGTTAGACTAGCCTCCTGTTAATTTCTTTAGCTTGTTTCCAATTTTTGTTCTTTATCACGGTGTTACAATGTACATGTAGCATTTCACATAAAGTATAAAACAAAATACAGTAGATGTATAGTTGAATTGTTATAATAATTTAAATCTATGCATCAGAGTTTACTTTTAATTATTTGGGGCAGGATTTATCCTTCCTTTATTCACTTGTGTGTTTATTTAGTATAGCTGAGCTCCTATTATATACCAACCCTCTTCTAGTTTGTAGGGATATACAGTAGTTGGAACCAGAAAAAGCTTCTACCCTTATGGCAGCTTTGTATTGAAATGAAATGCTGGAGGCAAGGTAACTGCATAAAGAAAAGAGGTTTATCTTGAGGTTCTGGAGGCCTAACACTTGGGACTCTCATCTGGTGATGACCTTTTGCTGGCAGAGTCATAAGGTCATGCAGAACATCATAGGGAAGAGACAGGAAGTACATGTTTATATCTCTTCCAGTCCTTTCTCTCTCTAAAAATTTTGAGGGCTCCGATTTTGAGGGCTCCACTCTAATGACAGTGTCTAATCCAAGTAATTTCCCAAAGGCTCCACCTCAAAACACTATAGTCAGATTAAATTTCTTAATACAACTGACATGACTTTGGGGCTGAAACTCCTGCATGAGTTGGAGATAGAGTGGGGACCATGACACCTGAGGACAGGCTTTGAATCACACTGAGGGATAATGGTGTTATGAGGTTGCTTGGTGGAGAGAAGGATGGGGCGGGGCTGGCAGGTGACATACCATCCCCTACTCCATGACACTAGTTGCTTGGGTTTCTGTAGTAAGCGTGCATTGCTTTTGTAAAATACATGGAAGCTCAGTTAACAGTTTTTAAAATGAAGCCAAGAGCTGCATTATAGCATAGTAGAAAGGACGTATTTCCTGGTGGTAAACATACAACCATTGGGTCCAATTCATGACTGCCTTTTTCACTTAATATCCTAAGCTTTCAGTAACACCAATATGGATGTACAGTTTCACTATGTATAAAACAGATAATGATATATAACTGTGAGGCTGAGGTGTAGTTCAGTGGTAGAACACTCACTTGGCATGCATGAGGCCCTGGGTTCAGTCTCTACCATGGATCAAAAGTATACAACGTGCCAGGGACATTATGAAGTGAGTGGCAGATTTACAAATGTTCATTTCAGTGTTAACACAGAATTGCAGTTTTGTGAATCTGGCCCTGAGACATGTCAGTATAGCTGGCAGTGGCTCCATTTGGAGACCACATTTGGGAAGCTGAGGAAGGTGTCACAGATGAACTGGCTTTGCACTGGACAGTGGAGCTGTAGGAGTAGCCGCACAAGGAGATTGAAGGTGACGATGAGAAAGCCAGGGGCAGGAGGCTTAGGACGGTTTGAAGCATGCCTTTTCCTCCTGCAGGCACTGCGAACACTGGCCAGTCATGGACTCCATGTGCCAAATACACCTGCAATTTGTCACAGTCCTTGGGGACCTACAGGGCATCTTGGATGGTCTCTCCTTACTTAGCCTGCATTTATTGATCACAGCTACTGTGACTTTTTCTAGGGATCAAGAGTAAACTCATCTGCAGTGAAGTGGAAGGAGAAATATGTGAGTATTACATTTCCTGTTATTCTCCACCAGATCACTCTGGGCAGAACGCTCCAAGAAACAAAGCCTGGAGAAGTAGGTACTAGATCCTGGGCTCTGTTGGATCCTGGCTATCACATACAGGATTTCTTCTTTTCTTTATTGCAAACCGCCCATCTGAGATGAAAGCTGTTAGCAGGTCTGAAAAATGTTTCTGAGGAACATGGCAATGCTGTCTGTTTGAAATGAAAATTATTAAATTCAGAGAATTGAAAATTAAAATAAAAATGCATGCTTTATTTCCTGCCTATGGCTTGTTCTCTAGGTTTTTCCTTCAGTTCGATTCTTCTTTCACTTGAATGGTTATAGGTCCCTGTGTGCTTTCTCTCGTTAACAAATTGCTCTTGGTTCTATTAAGTATGTTTCACACATCCCCAGGGATTCAAGATATCAGCTGAAATCTGAGTTGCTCTGACAGACCTAGGAGTACAGATGCCAGCTCTCTCTCAGCAGTGTCATGTGGGGAGGGACACACAGGAGCTGGTATTCCAAACTAGCTATATGCAGAGGATTTTTCAGAGCTGGGGCTGAAATGTAGTATAAAAGTACACTCAAATATTGAAAAACAAAAATATTCACCTGAAATCACATTTAACTGGGATCTTTTTTTTTTTCCTTTTAGTGGTACTAGGGTTTGAAGCCAGGACTTCTGCACTGAGCTCTGTGCCCCACCCCTATGGTTTTACATTTTATGTTGAAACAGGGGCTTGCTGAGTTGTGATCTTCCTGCTGCAGCCTTCCAGAATGCTGAGATTACAGGTGTACACCACCGTGCCTGGTTGAAATCTTGTATTTTTATTTGCTGAACCCAGCCATGCTGCTCACATCTACCTACCTAATTGCCTTCTGTGAGGAAGGACCCTTTCTTGCATGGAGCCCTGGCCCTTTCTTATTGCTCTTTACTCAAAACTGAGAAGATCTAGGCTACCAGTGACCACTTATAATAGTGCAAACATTACATTTGTTTTAAAATATAATAAAGACATTCACATAGTTCATAAATTATAAAAGTCTATCTTTTTAGTCTCTCTCAGAGCCCTCTCCCCTAGACGTAACAGATGTTAACAATTTCTTGTGTATTCTTCTCGAGGTATTTTATACATTTTCAAGCATATTACTTATTTATTTTTCTACCCCACTCCTTTCCCACAGTGGTGAGGACAGTTGGTTTGGGAATCTGTGGATTCAACTAAAATATCAACAGTTTTCTGGAAAAAAGTATTGCCTCTGCATTGAACACGTGCAAACATTTTTTCTTGTGATAGATCCCTAAACAATATGGTGTAGCAACTATTACATAACAATTACATTGTATTAGGTATAAACTAAAGATGGTTTACAAAATCTGCAAAGATTGTGAAGATTATATGTGAATACTGCAGTTGTGTAATAGGGACATAACTGTCTATAAATTTTGATATTTGCAGGCGATCCTGAATCAGTCCCCGTGGATGCTGAAGAACGACTCTACATAATCTTAAGTTGTGTGATGATTTACTCTTAAGTAAGGTTTTCTTCACATAGGTTTATAGCGTAAACTCTTACATCTGAGTCAGGGATCCCTTTTGAGTTAATTTTTATAGGCACTGTGTGGCCGGGAGGGGTGGCATTTCATTCTTTTCACATTGTTGTATGCAGCATTGTGGAGAAAACGACTTTCCTCCACTGAATTATCCTGCAACCCCTGTCAAAAAATCTATTGCATGTTTTCTCACAGTGCATTTACAATCTTGGTGTTACACTAGGAAGTACCTCTGTTGTAAGGTCTGAGGTGTGGACGCAGCTTAGTATTTTTTCTAAATGGCCCATTTTCTTCAAATGTATATATATTCTCCTCCTCCCTGAATGGAGATGGCATTTAAAACCATGTCCTGTGATGTTATAAGAAGGCTTATTTCTGAAATACTTGCCATTCGGTGATTTGTTTTTACATGAGTACTACCTGTTAGAGTAATTGTTGTCTTCTAATGTTTTATTGTGATTGATTGGACTACTTTCTCCGTGGTTTTCTTCACTTAAATTTTCCAGCCTTCCTTTCTTGTTTATTTTCCCAGATGCACTTTAAAATCAGTTGTCTTGTTCCTTCTTCCTCCAAATAAAAATTGAATGTGGTTCACACATCAGCAGTCCTATCTATGTGGGAAGCTGAGTTCTGAGGAGTTTGCTTGAGCCCAGGAGTTCAAGGCCAGCCTGGGCAACATAGACAAGCTCTGTTTCAAAATATTTTTATCTTGCATTCTTCATTCATTTCTCCTAGGTCACTTGTCAGTTTTGTTAATTTTGTTAATTGCTGATATCTGCAATTTTCCCTCATAACATTGCTTGTTTGCCATCATGAGCTCTGGAGGATGCAGCACTGTGGGAGTGCTTTTGTTTGTGGATCTGTGTGCATGTGTGGTGGGGACAAAGCAGGGGGCCTTGTACCTGCTGAGCACATGCCGCTCCCCTGTGCACCCCAAGTCCCGCCATGGTATCTGGGGAAACTCTTTGGAGCCTGACATCAACACTGCATGGCTGATATTCACATATGGCATGGCATGTTTCCTGCCTGCCGTTGTCCAGCTGCAGTTGTGAGACCTCCTGATGTCAGAGATGTAGATGAAAAGTTCTGTATGTGTTAGAATCGAAGATGCAAAGCAGTATTGTGTGTGCCGTCATTTCACAGGTCTGGGCTTGGAGACAGACAAGATGGACATGTGAGCCATGGCCAGACCATGAAGAAAAGTAGAACTCTGACCATGGCCTGCAATGATTTGCCCAGGAAACCTTTCATCTGCATTACCAACCCAGGAAGCCCATGGGAAGCCTAACAATTTTGGAAACTAACTTTTGCAGGAATTAGCCTCAAATGACTATGACTTGATTAGTAACTAAAAGCTTGCCTTATTTTTATCTTCTCTTTCAGCCTGGGTAAAACCAAAAAAAGCCAAATCTGCTTCCCCCTCACCCTGGATGCCTCCGCCTAGGAAGCTGCTCAGCGCCTGGCCCACCCCTACGACCCCCAGGCAATGCACACCTGCAACCTTTGCACTGTGATGCTCTCCAGCTCCTCTTGCTGCTTTTGAGTATCTGCCTTTTAAACCCAAGCCGATGGTGGCTGATTCCTTTGTGATAAGGAGCTCTGAATAGGTAGGTTTGTTATGCTTCACGTGGCTGGGCTTTGATTATTGCCCCAGCTTGGAAGAGGAGCCAGCATAAAACCCTTTATAGGTGTAGTTTGGACAGACGCCGCTGGATGGCTGGATGTCTGGGATGCGGGTCTGTGAGATGGACAGGACTGCCCTCCAGTTGATGTGAAAAAAATAATAGAAATGATTTTGTATGCTTCCACATTTACCTACTCTTTTCTTCCTTCCTGTCTCTTTTTTATTGTTTCTTTAAAATTGTAGGGGCCAGATCTGGCTCTTAAAATCATCAAAGGGAGCCTGTACTCAATACTGCCTCAGAAGCCTGCTGTTCTCCCTGAGGGAGGCAGAATGGTGCCCCCTGTAGGCACCCTCCTGTTCCTGCTGCTGCTGCTGGCCGCCTCAGGTAGGAATCCACTTGACACCAGTGTCTGGCTTGAGCTCCTCCTGCCTGGCACAAGCAGCTCAGGTCAATCTGGAACGAAGGTGCTGTGTGTTTGCTCCCAGTAGAATTTTTCCATGCAAAAGCAGATGAGTGTTTTTCTGGAACAAGAGTTTAAAATTTTTTATTAGACTATTTCATGGGAAAATAAAATCATAACTTGTATATCCTGGTAAAAAATTGTATTTCTGTATTAACCATTTACCAGCCCAGGATGACCAAATATTACACATTTGTTTTCATTAATTTTTATAAGATAACATATAATAGGAGGTATAAAAATGTCAATTTTGTCAAATTTATTCATTAATTTTTCTGTAGATGGTATATCTTAAAACATTCAATACACAATGCAACATTACAATCCGGAGAGTAGTATCTAGTCTTTCTGAATTGTTTTTTTAACTATTTAATTATTGTCTTTCTTTGAACATACACTTCATATCATCATATTAGCCTTTCCTTTTTTTTCTGTAAGTGGTATAATTTCAATAAAATCTGTACCCACTAAACATAATGGTATGACCTCTGGTTGGCATTTCATTGTCCTGTATTTTTTATTTTTTTATTTTTTTATTTTTTTTTTATTTAAAGAAAAGGAAACGAAAAAAAAAATACATGGAGATTAAAGAATAAAAGGGTAGAAAAATAATACTAAATTACAGACAAACAAAAGGTAAGAAATTGCCAGTTGATAAGTTACAAATTGTCTTCTTCGAAATGGCTGTTTAGGTTATAGAATTAAAGTATTTAGAATGACATTCAAAAAAGTGACCCTACAAACCATTCTGCTCTATGGCCGAACAAAAGCTCCGTAATATGATTATCAGTCCCACCTATTTGTTTTACATCTCTAAGAGGATAAGGTTAACCATATCAAAACAGAACAGAACATTTAAAAAAAAAATAAAAAACAATTTAAAGAAATACAGATTTCAAAGCAAGTCCACTGGAGATCTACCTTATCTGTCTCTAGCTTCTTACAGATAGTTGTCCCTAACTTCACCCACTTTCTATACTTATTGCATATTATAGAACTAATCAAATCATTACAGGATGATGGAGTCTTTTTAGGTCCTCAAGTTCCAAATTAGGGAAGACATTTCCAACTACCATCGCGTCTCTCATTCTCTTTGTGATAGCCGTCCCCATCTCTGCATATGCTGAAGTTGAGCTGAAGAAACCAGTCCAGAGTCATTTTAATCAGCAAGCAATAGATTGCTAGAATTTATATTATAATGCTACAAAATAAGCCTCGGGTTTTTCAGGTCTCTTCCTCAGAGTATTTGTTCCTATCCTCTCTGTATTATAGGGAAAACCAATTCATAACAAGACAGCGAAACAATTTCCTAGATAAACATGCAATGGATAAGACTTACAAAACTATAATATAAATGATCTTCCGTAGCTACTATGTTTTCTCTTGTTATTTTCAATAGATTTGTCGACAACACTGGCTTATTATAGTTAAATATACTATCACCTATTTTTATAAAAACTTATCTTTGACTGCATTGTAGTATTTGAGAGCTGTTACTGATTCATACCAGTATGGATATCCTTTACATCCTGTCATGCTCAGAGTAGTTTCCTCTACTTTTAGGGTTGATTCTAACACGCATACGGATTTCAAATAGGATCAGTCAAGGCCAACATTTTTTAGTTATTTGGTCTGTTAGATCTAATCTAAGTTGTAAATGGCTTTTTGAACTCCCTTGTTTTGAATAAATAAAAATGAGTTCCATATTGTTTGGTCTAGAAGGTACATACATATTTTGCAATAATATTTTTCCCCCTTTTTGATTACAGTATAGCTTATTAGATATTGATCAACACTGGCCACACCACTTGTAAAACTATTATAATCACTGGCCACTACTGAAATATTTTGCATTCTTTCAAGTCCTACCATTTCCGTATTATGAATAGTTGATAATTAGGAGACATCTTTTTTTTTGTTTCTTCATTTTATGACAGAGATGTCTTCTTTCTGATCTGCTCACATTTCTCCCTTTTTTAGTTTTTAGTTTTTACATGTTTAATACTTCCTTCCTATCCAGTCTCAGTGCCCTAAATGTGTCCATTTTGTATTGTAATAGAATATCACTGAATTCTGGAGAAGTATAAAAATTATACCTTATGTATTTACAATAAGAATATTTTTTTAACACTCATTCTGGATATGGAAAGAATTTTTATGGAATGTAGCACAAAATTATAGGCTATTCTTCATGAGTAAACAAGGATTAGTAAAAGAAAATAACCAGAACTTATTTTTAGATTTCACTAGAAACAAACATCAAAGATGAATACACTGTTTTAAATAAAAAAGCACATCGTTGACAGAACACAAATAAACAGACATCCAAGTGTATCTCATGTAGACAGGAATTGACTGGTTAAAATGACACTGGCCGGGGGCTGTGGATAAACAATCCATAAACAAATGCCCTCAGATGCACTGCCTGAGTGGCACTTGGGATAAGCTATTAACTGGTTAAAAGAATTGCAGAGTGGATCATTCTAGAAAGATCAGATTCTCTTTTACCCTCAGCCTTATTTTCATTGTATCATTTTGCTTATAGTGAACACACTTGTTTAACATCAGATCACTGGTGAGCCTTGATTCTCATAGTCCCTCATGAGGCTGGACAGCCAAGCCCACTTGAGTGTACCAGTGATTGCAAGTAGAGATGTGGCTTGAGAAAGCAATTCTAGGTGCAGACTTTGTCAAAATGTAGAGAAGCTGTACTGACCTCCTAGAGACCATGTGCTCAGCCCCATCTAGACCTATGGTACCAGAGTGCTTAGGGCCATGGTGCAGGAATGTGGGCTGTCAGCCAGCCCCTGGGGATGATTCAGAAATACTTCAACTTTGGAAAGGACTGTTGTAGATGAAGCAGGGTCCACTGCAGAAAGTTCTGCAATTAGCTGGGCATAGTGGTGCATGCCTGTAATCTCAGCACTTGGAAGGCTGAGGCAGGAGGGTTGTTGAGAGTTCGAGACCAGCCTAGGCTACAAAGTGGGCTCAAGACCAGTCTGAACTGTATAGTGAGAATGTGTCAAAAAAAAAAAAAAGACAAGAAAGTTCTGCAGTTGGAAGAGCCCTGCCGTGTCCCCCCATCCATCCCTCATCACTGCACAGTGCGCAGAATAAAATGTCCTTTATTTCACATGTAGTCTCAGAAATATTGCCCTTAATGTCTCAGATGATGTAAATATTTAGACATCTGTTTAAAAAACCCCTGGTATCCACTTTTTAAATTGCTTTGTGTCCTTTTCTTTGGGAGATGTTGTCCATTAATTCATAATTTCTATTCCTGAGTTACTGAGTCCCAGTAATGGCATTTGCAATATGCCATTCTCTCTCTTTTTTTTTTTTTTAGGTTTTTAAAAAAATTTTATTTAAGGAGAAAAAAGAAAAAAAAAACAGAAAAAGGGTACAAGTTATACAGAATTTCAGAAAAAGTAAACAGTAGGAAATCACTAGTTAATTACATATTGTCATCTTAGAAATAATTGTTGAAGTTACAAAATTAAAGCATATAGAGGGGACTTTCAAACAGTGAGACTGCAAACAGTTTTGTTCAATGATCCAACAAAATTCAGTCATATGGTTATCTATCTTATACACTTAAATATATATGCAGTTATATCTTTTAGAGAACTTTCTTTTGTACAATGACAATTACACATTTTGGGTTTTATTACTCCCACAGTTCTTACTACTTTTTTTTTTTTTTGAAGAAAGTAAAACCAAATGTGACATACCAGGACAGAGTCAGTCAAATCAAAAGGATGGACATAATACATAATGTAAAAACAAAATATAAGGTGATCAACAATGGTTACTATAATGCCTCTTGTTATCTTAAAAAGAATTGCCTATATCATCAGTTATAATAAAATTGTACAAAACAGTAAAGAATGAGACCAATAAAACCAAAACATTGGAGACATTAGAGGACTTCAAAAAAAGATAATAGTCAACCAGAATGGGCATCACAATGAATCTTATTGTCTTCATAGTTGTTGCCTATACTTTCAAACTTGGTACTATCAAGCATAACAGAATAGAGGAAAATCAGTCAAAACAAGATGGTGAGAGCAATACAGAGTGTCAAATCAAGTTAAAGGAAATCAAAGTGGGTTACTATAATATATCCTGCTATTTTTTATTTATTTTTCCCTTAATTAAAAGGATAAAAATGAAAAAGTAGATAATAAAAAGAAGATTGAGATAAAAAAGAGGGCATAACACCAAAACAACGCAGGTCAAAACATAGCCATTTAAGCAAAATAGTGTTTCACCACAAGATAATCTCGACATAATAGTAGTTCCCTAGTGTTTCTTCTCTTAAAATCTTTGGGTATAACTTCGTATACTGTAGCATCAAACATATCAAGACAATGTAAAACCATTCAAGAGAATGACAGTATTACAGGGTATTTAGAATCAACTAACAGAAAATGAACAATGGTTTCTGTATAATCTCCTTGTCTATAAAAGTTTTTGTTTATATTATCACATATAATAAAATCCAATAAGATACAACACGTTAAAACCGATGAAGACAGAAGAACAAAAGCTTGATGGGACTTCAAAACAAGAGAATATTAAATCAGCACTACCTATTATGATGTCTTGTTTTCTCCAAAATGGCTGTTCCTACCATCCTTCTCTGCCTCATTTCTGTTGAGCTCTTTTTCTGTCATTTGTTGTCAGTTTGTCTTCTTCATTTCGCTTTTTGCTCCATTCATTGTGGCCGCTTTGCCACTGTTTCTGGAATCTTGGTATTTTTCATTTTTAGAATATCCTGCAATAATCTCTGTAGAGTTGAATTGGTAGTTGGCAAATTCCCTTAGTTCCTCTTTATCCTGGAAGCACCTTGTTTTTTTCCATCAATTTCTAGGGAGAGTTGTGCAGGATATATCAATCTTGGCTGGAGATTATTATCTTTCAAAGCTTGAATTATTTCCCCCCACGCTCTTCGTGATTTGATGGTTTGTGCTGAGAAGTCTGCTGTAATTCTGATGGGTGTTCCCTTGTAAGTGATCTGTTTCTTGTCTCAACAGCTTTTTAATATTCTGTTCTTATATTGGATTTCTGGAATTTTGATTATTATATGCCTGGGTGTTGTTCTGTTTGGGTTGTAGGTGACTGGGGTCCTGTATGCCTCATACCTCTGAGTATCTTTACCTTTTGCTAAATTAGGGAAAGTCTCCTGGATTATTTCTGAGAATAGCTTTTGTAGTTCATTTGTTTGTGTCCCTACTTCTTCTTTTATGTTCTTAATTCTTAAGTTATAGATCTTCTTATCATCTTCTAGTCTTTGTATTATTGCTGTTTGTTTTCTTGTTATTTTTAAGAAGTTTTTCATTTCATGCTCCCACCTTACAAATCTGTCCTCCAGTTCTCATAATCTATCTTTAGTTTCTTTCAAGCTGTTATGCCAGCTTTCAATAGAGTTTTTAGTTTCCTGGTAATCTCTTTGAACCTGCTTCACGTATTCTATGTTTTCTCTATTTTCTCCATCAAACAATTCTCCCCTTTTTTTCTGTTCTTCCATTCCACCATCTGTTTTTTCTTGGGCGGTGCTTAGCATTTCTCTAACTATTCTACTTATTTCTTGCTTTATTTCATTAAATACTTCATTTTTGAACTCGTCTATGAGGCTCCGGAGGTACCGCTTTATGTCTATAGGTGCCATGTCAGATACTGCATGTTTTCTGTCTTCATTCTCTTTTGCATTTACCTTTCCTGTATCAGTGTTCTCAGGATTGGGGACTGAGGACCCTTTCTTGTTGCTCCCTTTTCCCATACTTTTTGTTCCTTCCATTACAAGCGTATGTAGGAGGCCCAGTTTTTTTTTTTTTTTTTTCTCTTTGTCTGTTACAGTTTGTTTGAATCCGCCGGCTAGGTGTTCCTGCCCACTGTAGTGTACAAGGAGACACAGACCTGGGCAGCCTCTGCTGGGCCCACCCCTCCAGATCAACCTAGTGAAGGCTTCACTGCTAGGGTGCACCGCCAGGCACAGAGACCTGATTTGGGCTAGCCTGGATCTTAGTCCACGGAGTCACCAGGCCAAGCGCTCCCCACCACTCCTGCTCGAGAGGGGAATATGCGACTAGAGTCACTGCAGGGCCCTGTTCCGGCTAGTCTGCTTGTTCCCAGAATGTCCTCTGTTGGAGCCTCCTAGTCTATGAAAGGGTCCCCATTTCTCTCACCGCAGGTCGATGTAGGGCTCCCTGCCAGTCCCGCTCTCAACGCCATTTGGTTCGCTGATTCCAGCTCTCAGAGCTTTTGTGCGTCTCTCTCTCCCTGACATTTGGATTGGGACACAGTAGTGGCAGCAGGAAATTCAAATCGCGGCTTCCAATGGTGCGGGATCCAGCTTCCGCACTGAGATTTTATCTGTTCCTGTTATAGCATCAGGATTGCATTTCCAGTTGGTTTCTCTCAGCTTAGTTCGTTCCTGGGTCGGCAGGGTACATCTACCCTCCGTAGGACTCCTCACACGGCACCGCTCGTGGATTCTAAACTGGTAATCTCAGAAAGCCTCCGTGGCTGATGTTATTTGTCCGCCATGTTCTCCCGGAAGTCTATGTGCCATTCTCTATCTTCTCTACCCTTGTTGAATGCTAACCCATGCAAACATGGTTTCCAGGAGTTTGGTGGTCCTCCAAGAGCTTCCTAGGTTAGGTCTAATAGATTCTAAAGTGGTTATGACAGTTTGGACCAAAGGAAGATGATTTAGTTGTTAGGAGTCCCCCACCTTATTAAAATTGCTGCTTAATAGTTCTACAGTGATGCCTCTGTTCTTCAATGTTTCTGTTTGTGAACAATTTGGTTTGCTCTCACCCACTGAGTAACAAATGTGACTGTAGCCATCTTCCTCACGTGAGTGTCAGTGTGACCATCTTCCCAGAATTGTGGAAAGAATTAAGTTTATGAGCCAAGGTATCACTGTGTGTCTAACAGCCCCAGTTCTGGTTCACTGCAGAAAAAAGGGGCAGTCTGCCCCACAGGTGCCCCGTGGGCTCTGCCTAAAGCCAGACTGAAAACTACTCTAAAGTGTGAGTTGAGACTTCTTCCATGAAAAAGTCCACATCAGTGCCATGGTGTGCCACTCTGGGGCCACAGCCTGTCCCTACACAGTGATTCATGAGAATCACTTTTTAATGTTGGTTCCTGGGCTTGCTGGTGGCAAAGGCCAGAGGTGAAATGTGATGTTCCTCTGTAACACTTTGACCAAAAGGAGATGACTAAATTATTTCTCAAGGGAAGTAAGTGAATCTTGGCATTACGGTTTGGAAGAAATTTGTAGCTTGAGTCTTCATTTAAAGGCCACACAGAGATATAGTGCTGTTTCTAAAAATAAACGCATTGTTTCTGAGAGTTGAGAGTTGGAGATTAGCTATCTCTCCATTCTTTTATACTTTCTCATTGCTTAACTTAAGAGGTGTTTTTTTGTGTGTTTACCTAGAATGTATTATTTTTTCCATGTTTAAGATTAAGCTGTTGTTTAGAAAATAAAAACCTAAACCTCTTCAGATAATTTTAAAAACTAGGTTTGCCTTTCCAAAATGCTATTTTGGGTAAAGCTTTGGTTTATTCACTGGAAAAGACACATGTATGTTACATCTGATTCTTATTAAATCGGACTAAGTAGGGTTGGGGGTAGCTAGGTGAGAAAATGTGTGCTGAGTATACGCAAGGCCTTGTTTGTCCCCAGAACTGATAAATAAATAGGACTAAATCATCTTTTCTTAGAGTCTGTGTTTGGCATTGAGTTATCAAAAAACTTAACCAATTCCCTCCTGTGCTGTGATCTTATTTTGGGGCAAAAAAGATTGAAGTCAATAAAACAACACAAAACAAGTGATGTTTATAGAATAAAATAAAGAGCTTTCTGTGTGTCAGGGACAGGCTCATTAATGTGGGCTTTGTAGATGTTTAAGCCCATTGCTTTTTTGTACAGTTTTTGGTGACAGAAAGCAGGGATGCTTCTGGTTGCAGGTGGAACTTTGATGTCTGGAGCGCAAGCTTTTTTGTTTGCACCTCATTCCTCCAGGACCTTTCTCCCATCTCTTTAGGGTCCTTGCATTCTTTGTCCCTTAGGCCCTGATAGTCAGTTTGCTTAAGTTAATTAATGGGTCCTCTGGATGTTAACTTGACTAAGACCTTCAGTTTACAGCAGGTTAACTATTTAGGACCTATAGCCTATCTGGATAACTTCTTTAATCTTCTGTCTTCGTTACAAGAGTGGTGTATAAAGGTAAACATCAGGATGGTTCCTATGTTGCATGTAGTCATTTCCATATATTTACAGTTAAAAACAATCTCAGACATCCCCTTCTGACAATAAATAGCAGTTATCAGTGTGAACCCTGTTTAGCAAAGAAATTTCTTGCTTTTCTGAGTTATGCTGCAAAACCTCAAATTATATGTGGTGAAAAACTGATTTGTGTGTGTGTGTGTGTGTGTGTGTGCATGTGTGGCCAACCTGTCACAGGCTGCTTTTTTTGTAAAATACCAAACAAACAAGAATACAAGAAGACTGATTCACTTGAGTTTCAGGCATTGATAACTCCTATGGAAGTTTTGTATAGTTTAGTGGTGGCTATGGCCTGTTGTAATGTGGACCCCACATCACATAATGGGCTTTTTAACCTACTGTACTGACTGACTAGAGATATTTACAGTTCTTATTTACAATTTGATTAGAATTTGTTGGTTTCAGATATACTCTGAAGACATTTTTTTTCCTTTGATATTGCTCTGTCAACCAATCTATTATAGGAATAGCCTGCAAGATGAAAAAAAAATCACAAAAAAGAGAAAAAAAGAACAAACAAGAATAAACCAAAGACATGATGCTGTTCCCCAGAATAACCCTGTGTAACTTAATTTGATGCAAGGAGAAAAGTATGATAAATGATACAAAAATAATACACACAGAGAGTGCAATGTATGTGTTACCTAAATTGAAACAGGAAGAGTTACAGTGGATATCTGGACAGTGTCTGGTGGGGGAAAGACCTAATAAGGTGATAGGTGGAAGGACAGAGGTGTAAATGCAAGCAAGGATGGATGGATGGCTGAGTGGGAAGGAGGTGGAAGGGGAGGATCTGTGGATGGATGGGTGGTTTGGTTTACTGAACAACCCGTCATAGGAAACGCTGTCTGTTTGTTGTTTCTGAGGCTGGTGGAGATGGATGAGTTCTTTTCTTTGGCTGCTTCCCATCAGGGGCCTCTTCCTCATCATGCATTGCTTGCCTCATTTCCAGGTTGTGCGGGTCAACCTTGCCGCGAGGGTAGGACCTATTCCAATGCCATCATCTCCCCAGACCTGGAGACCATCAGAATCATGCCTGTGCCTCAGACCTTCTCTGTGGGAGAATGCACAGCTGCTTGCTGTGACCTGCCTAGCTGTGACCTAGCCTGGTGGTTCGAGGGGCACTGCCACCTGGTGAGCTGCCCACAGACAGGGAGCTGCGTGCCCAAGAGGACAGGGCCCATCCGCTCCTATGTCACCTTTGTGCTGCGGCCCTCAGCTGAGAGGCCTGCGCAGCCGCTGGACTACGGGGAGACAATGCTGAGCAAAGCTGTGCCCTTGGGGTCCTGGGGGGACCTCCCTGAGGACCCCCTCAAGGATCTGCCTTTTCTAGGCAGAGACAGGGGCCTGGAGGGGCCTGCAGACTATGCTGATGATGACTACAGGGGCCTGGAGCCGGGCCTCCTCCTGCCTACCAGCCTGCCCAGCCTCGGTGGGGATTCCCAGGACTCTGGCTGGGGTGCAGGTGACGCCAGTGCCTCCTTAGGGGATGGCCCCTCAGCCTCGGTATCTGTGGGGAACCACCCAGCATCCACGGAGGAGAGTCCCTTGGCCTCGGTATCCATTGGGTACCACCTGGCATCCACAGTGGATGGCCCAACATTTGTGGGAGATGAACCTTTAGCCTCAGCATCTGTGGCTGACCATCTGGGATCTCTTAGGGATAGTCCCAAGACATCTGCATCCCCAGCAGATGGTCCAGTGGCTTCAGGATCCACAGAGGAGAAGCCACAGGACCCTGAGCTCACTCTCCATACCCCACAGCGCTCCACACTGAACGAGGCTACTTGGCCCACTGCCCCCATATCCTCTCCATTGCCCTCTGTGGCTGCTCAGTCCCCATCCCTGGGACAGGCTCCAGAGAGAGATGATGCTTCCCAGCTCCAGGCACCATCCCGCAGCCCTGGGGGACAGGTGAGTGTCTTCTGATTCCTGCTAAGTGTACTGCCCCTGTGGTGACTGAAGGATGACACCTCCTTCCACCGCGCAGACAGCCCTGGCTTTTCCTCCCAACCCCAGAAAGATGAACATGGTCGGATGGAGTCCCCAGAGCCAGCTTGTAAACCTAGAGACCTTGGACATTAACCACAGCAGGTGTCTCAGGTGTCTGGAAACTCAGTCCTAATTAGTTAGGAGGGCTGAGATTCTACTTTACAAAACCTTTTCAGATGGAAAGAGAATGGGAGGTCACTTCCACCTTGTGCATCTCCAGTCCCAACTATTAGGATGCTGAGGCAGGAGGATGGCTTGAGTCTGGGAGAGGGTTCCCAGCCTGGGCAGTGCAGTGAAACCTTGCCTCAGAAAGGGCAAGAGGACTGCAAATGTCCTTCAGTGGTAAAGCAACTTAGTGAGACCTTGCCTCACAAAACAAAAAGGGCTCGCAATGTAGCTCAGTAGTAGAGTGCCCTTGAATTTGATCGCCAGTGCCACACACACACACACACACACACACACACACAGTAATAAATAAATAAATTTAAAAAATAGGAACAGAAATGTGGTTCAGTGCTTGAGTGCTAGCCTTATATGTGTGAAGTCCTGGATTTCCTCAGTGCTCCAAAAACTAAAAAGAAAGGAAAAGGAAAAAATGAGTATTGCTAGAGAACAGAGAGATCAGAACTCTCACCCTCTGCTAGTGAGAGTGCAAAGTGGTACCACTGCTGTGCGACATGGTTCACAATTTTAGGTGTAGTTCATGGGTGCCCCAGTCATTCCATCTCTCAGCATTTACTCTAGAGAAATAAAAACATCTGTCCATACTAAAGTTATTGTAGGAATGTTCATAGCAGCATTATTCAAGTAATAGCACCATTAAACACAACATCTAAGAAAGACAAATCACCATTGCAGAGAATAAACGACATTTTCTTTGCCCCTGTATTTGCCAGGGAACAAGACAAGGCAGCTTCACCTAAAATGGGCTGTTTAAGAGGAGAGAATGATTTGAGTCTTTTGTTGACTGCACGTAGCCTGACAGAGGACTGGGGTGGGAAGGGTGGTGCTCAGTGGAGTATGCAGAGAACCCATTTCCTTCTGCTGGGCCATGTCCGAAGTACCTGTACCCTAGTGCTGAAGCAGAGTTCTGGACAGACTGCCTGACGGTGGAGCTAAGAATTGCAGACTCAGTGTTTGGGAAACAGATGTTTCACAAGGGAGTGGTGTAGAGTTTTCTGCGCTTTCAGCCATTTCCTGGTGGTTTTGTGACCCTGAGCCAAGCTGCTGTGATTTCCCTGGCCTTTCCTATGCATTGATTTCCTAGGAACTTTCATTGTTTGTGCACGTGTGTGTGCTGGAAATAGAGCCTGGGCCTCATGCACGCTAGGCAGCTGCTCTTACCGAGCTATACTGCAGCCTCTGTAATCTTGATTTCATCTTGACGGTGTTTTTTCAGATGTGATAAAACTAAGGGGAATAGAAGTCCAGCTCACCCTAAGGACTTTGCAGAGCCTCACAGTGATGTACTCTGCACACTTCCTCTGCAGCCTGGGTGGCAGCAATTCTGAAGTTCCTCCTCTTAACGAGTGGAGACATGACAAATAAACTCATCCATTAGAGCTCCCTTCACAGACCAGTTGCCCCAAAGTTCCATGAAATTGATCAGTTTAAAGTTGTAGTAGATCTAGCCTCTTGATTTCTCTAGTTTGATCAATAGATCTCAAATGTAAAGCTTTATCTTTTTTTCATGTCTTGGTCCCAGAAATTTCATTGCAGAAGGCTTTGTCAGCTGCCTGGTAACTTCCTGCACCCCAAAGGGTGTCCAGTGCATGTTAGCAATGATATCAGTGTCCGGTTACAGAAAAAGTACCCTGTCATACCTGGCACTCAACCACAGAGAAAAGAGGAGCTATATTTTCCATAAACACCAGTGGCATCTCTCCAGTTCACATGGCAATTTTGCTTTCTGTGGCCCCCCTTGCTATTTATGTCCTTGATGGGCTCCCGTATTCTTAGTCTGTTAAGAGTTTCCTTGCAGGCCAACCCAGTGCCTGGCTCTTGAGTCCTGGAAGAGTGTTTTATTAACACATTGTGCAACTTTCCCTCCAATGCATACATAGCATTTAATTAAAAAACTTTAACTTGACTAAGTTGTGTGTTACAAGCTAGAAGTCTGTGATTAGGGTGCTGCAAGGCCAGGCACCTGGCGAATGCCCTCCTAGTGGTTTCACAGGAAGTCATCATGCTGCTGTGTCCTCTGTGGAGGAAAGGAAACTGGCAGCTCTCGGGTCTCTGAACATAAGGGCACTGATGCCACTGATGAAGGATCCACCCTTATGACCTAATCTCTCTTTACCTCTTTTCCCCCCTGAAAAAAAACCTATCACAGTGAGGGTTAGGACTTTTACAGATGAATTTGGGGAGGGGGTGACACAAACTTTCAATCCATTGATCAGTTCAGGAGCCACTACAGTTATTTTCCCTTTATCTTGAGATGTGTGTTCACTTGTACTAGTTGTCCAATCCACAGTTGCATTATATTTTTAATACATAACAGACAATTTGGGGGACAGCGTTGAGACAGGATCTTGCTATATAATTCCAGCTGGCCTTGAACTCACTGTGTAGCCTGTGCTAGCCTCAAACTCACATCAATCCTCCTGCCTCAGCCTCTGGAGTGCTGGGATTATAGGCGAGCACCACAAAACCTGCTTAGCAGAAAGAATATGTATTTGAAAGAGAGTCTAGTGTTCCAGGGCTTTTCAGTATTAATCATGGCTTTTCACATGTTGCTCATGCTTATTTATGAAAAATGTTTGTGAAAGTACATTTCTTGAAGAGGTCACTGCGGTTTTTTTTCCCATAACATTTTATCCCTGTAATTGATCTCTCAGGTAATGCCTTCTCCGAGCCTTCCTGACAGCCTGGAATTCACCCCAGCCACGGAGGAGAAAAGCCCAATTCTCACCATCCCTGAATGGAGCCCAGAGCTCAGCACCCTGACAGTTCCCACTGTCGCTGTCCCTCCTGGGGCCTCCCCTTCGGAGGACCCTGTATCTCCCAAGACAGGTAACTTTTGGGCTCTACTATGTGCGAAAAACAGTGCTGTGTCTTGAGAATAAAAGACGAGTAGGGCATTATCTTTCTTTCAGTGGCTCGATGGCCCAGGACAGGAGAGGAGGCTGACAGGTAGATGGACAGTATGATGCTTGCCTTATACCGGGAGGGAGGGAAACCAAAGGACGTAAGCAGGACCTTGAATCCAGAGCAGCTCTTAGGGCTTCTCATCCTGTCAGGGCACCAGTCTTACAGGGATGGTTTTTACACCCTTCTTCCCATTCATTGCTTGTGCAAGAGAACAGACATTTGTTTCTGTGGCATTCAGGGTGATCTTAAAGGAGGTCATTATGAACTGCTCATGTGAGTGTAAAGGGAAGGGCAATGCATGAACCTAGAGTTTGAAGATGGGGAAGATTCTGAAAACGCGTGGATCTTGTGCTGAGGAATATTTGTTTTGTTGGATAGAGATACAGAATACTTGAATGATCTTAAGCAGGAAAACAAAATGATCAGATTTCATATAAAGAAAATAGCATGGAATTTTGTTTTTTTATCGGTACCATGGATCGAACTCACAACCATGCGTGCTTGCAAGGCAGATGCTTATGCCGCTGAGCTAAATCCCCAGCCCCAATATAGCATGGAATTGATCAGAGGTAATATGATTCATTAAAATCCTGTAGTGAAGCTGAGTACGGTGGCACATACTTGTAATCTGGGAAGCTGAGCGGCAGGAGGATCACAAATTTGAGCCCAATCTCGGCAACTTGGTGAGTTGGTGAGATCCTTTCTCAGAAAAACTGAAAATGATGAAGGCCCTGTGTTCAATCCCCAGTACCACAGACAAAACAACAAAACAAAACATCAGCTCAAAATAATCCAGATACCACAAGGCCTGTTTGTGGTAGCTTTGTGTCTCCTGAAGTCCTATTTTGGAGTGACATAATTTGGTTCTCTATAGTTCCAAAAAGAAAGGATTGATCTGAGTGCTCTGTATTGCATAGGCCAATACAGAGCTCTCTGTACACAGAGGTGAGACATAGAAAGCTTCAATTAGATTTTCTAATAAGTTATTAGATTATACAAGACCTAAAGACCATGTTTTTTGAGGTTTACTGTGGGTAGTATTTCTGGACCTTGACCTGTCTGCTCAACACTCAAAAGTCCAATGCTTGAAGATGAAAATTGGTGGAAAGAAATCAGGTTTACTCAAGGACTGGCACTGTGAGGCTATTAGGGGACCTATTGTCCCCCCAAATGAGACTATTTTAGGGAGCTAAGGAGTGTAAAAGCTCTTATAGGGAGAAAAAGGGGGTGCATGGTCAGTGGGCAGAAAGACTACATGCTTAGCGAGGTTGTCTTCCAGAGCTTGCATGGTCCATTTTTTTTTTCTGGAACATCATAATGGGCCTTTACCTTCTGGGGCTTGTTCCTGTGATTCTCTAGACAAACACATTACCCTTCTGGAAGTTAAACCTTACAGCAGTGCACATGCTTTGTGAGAGCTGATGCACAGCAGTCAATGATGAGGAGGGAAGTTGTGCTTCAGATACAGTCTGAAGGTTGCCAGAGGTTTCGTAAATCTAAAGAAAGATAATTTAGCAATTAGCACCTAATCATTTAAGTGTGGTTTTTCTTTATATTTAGAGTATTGAGAAAAAGGAGGGAAATAATCCCACAAGGCTCAACTCCGAGTAGGAGCTACCACCACTGCATTAAAGTAATGGGTTTAGGGGATTTTCTTTTAACTCAGTAAAATCAACTTCCTCAAGAACATTACATGTATATTATACATTACATGTATAAGGAAAATTACATGTCTGTGGGAACTAATTAGGATTGTAATTCTAGAAAATACAGACTCAAGTAGTCCTGAAAATGTGCTCCCAAAGTGTACAAAATGGCATTTGTGGTTATAGCTTTAAAGCCCTAAGAAGGGCTCGTGATGACATCCTTGTTAGGAGCTGATGAGTGCTGGCAAAGTTAAATTGTCTTGCAAGAATGGGATTGTGTATATTTGGGAGGAGGGGTCTGTTGTCCAGAAGGTCAGCAGAGGTGAACGTTTCAAAGGTCTACAAACTGTGACCCAAAACAAACTTTTCCCGCTTAAAACAAAAATAAGCACAATGTTTAATTCACATCCTCGGTGGGGCTGGCTGTAGCCTCTTTCAAAGGTTCAACTGTGGATATGTCTGAGATCTAAACAACAGTGCCTTCCCTACCCCATTTTAAGTGCCCTAAGTCAGTACTACTGTTTTAAAAATTATTTATTTGATCCTGACCTTCAGGAGTAAAAAAGATAATGGTAGAATAGAGGCTATATAATATGTGGAAAAAGAAACTGGCCTTGGAATTAGGTTTCTTGAGTTCTATCAATAGCTCCAGTCAGCAGGAAATAGCAACTCTGCTTTAAAGGAAATTAAAAAAAGATAATGGAAGTAAGAAAAATGTTTTATCCTCTGCCAAATATGAATAGCCCAGAAACCCAGATTGACATTATTTGAATGATGTGTCCCTCCATGAAAGTGGCTCCATGATCTTTTATAGTCAAAAAACAAAGTCATAAGTCAGTACATGTAGCCAATATGTTAGTGGATTCAGATGTCTTGTAATAGCATTGCTAGCTTAGGGCTGTAGGGCATAGAGCTCTGTTTAAGTTTAGCCACACATTCCAAGAGACTCATATCATAATCAAGAGACTGTAAGGTTAGATGCAAACGCTGAAGTAATTGGGTGTTTTTCTAGAGGGCCTAAGGCAGCCCAAGATAACTTTGGTTCCAAATGTACAATATTCAGTCTCCAACATCACAGTGTCCTACTAGGTGGTCTGTAGGATCCATCATGTAGATGCATCAGACAACTCCAGCTTCTCACTACTTAATGAGGGTGGAAGGAGTAAACCCATTATTTTGAGGCCTTTGGAACAGTGCCTAGCACAGTTCAGTTTGAACTCTTAAGGGTTCACTGAAATAAATACATTTAAAATTAAACACTGGTTGGCTTACTCTTAACTATCAGTATAGCCTTGGACAGCATACTATGCCTTTGTAGGGCTCAGTTTCTTTGTTGTAAAATAGAGAACTAGGTGAGCCAGCAACAGTTGGAGCCCAGGCCAACCCCTTCCTGTGAGGCAATGGCAGCCTGGGAAGAGAACCCAGAAGGAACCCTTTCCTGTGAGCCTGGTGCACAGGGTGGGAGACAAGAAGTGCTGTGCCCCTCCTCCACCCAAGCAACCAGCTGATTCAGAGAAACACAGGCTAAGCTAATAGTTGCTGAAGTAAAAAACAGCTTAATGCCTGTGTTGTTTGATTGACTTTGCAGGCTTAAATCCAGTAGTCAGAGTATCTATTTTAGAAGATAACAATATGCAATATAGCAACTATGGAGGATTTCCTTCTGAAGGTGGTAGTCATTGGTAACTCCCTATTATCTTGTTTTAAAGTCCTGTATCATTTTCATTGTTTGGTTTGCTTTGGTTTTATTCTGTTCTGTTTGGTTTGATTTTATTATATCTGATAGCATGAGCAGGTACTTTGAAGATAATAAGATATATTAGCCACTGTTGATTCCCTTTTATCTTGTTTTGAAGTCCTGTATTGCTTTCACTGTTCTGTTTTGACTGGCTTTATTCTGTTCTGTTTTGTTTGATTTTATTGTGTTTGATGGTATGGGCAGCTGTTTGGAAGATAGTAAACATTATGGTAGCCATTGTTGATTTCCTATTGTCTTGTTTTGAAGTTCTTTATCACTTTCACTATTTTGTTTTGATTGGCTTTATTCTGTTTTGTTTGGTTTTGTTCTGTTAAAAAAAATAGAGACCTAGACTTCTGTTCTTTCTAGGTCACCATTGCTGACTTTCAGGACCTGAGTCAGTCAGGATGGTGGGAGGGAGACCCCCATAAGCTCCTGTGCCACTGGCCTGAGGACCTTGCAGAGCTGAAGTCATGGGCGAGGAGGGTTTGCTAGAGAACCTGTACTGCCAGTGTCACCACGGTCCTGAGACTCCTGGAGATCACTCAGCTTTGTTGTGGATTATTTTTTAAAAATCTTTGCTTTTCTCTATGTAGGATATTGACATGATATCGTTTTACAAGTGAAACAAATGTCCACTTGAGCCAAGCCTCATGATATGACTATATGGTATAATCCTCATTATGAAGTTTTGTTCCCTATGATGAGTTAGTGAATGAGTGCTTCTGAAGCAGTCAGCATCTCTGCTGCACGAGTTACAGTGGCCTTTCCACATTGAGGTCCTCTGGGTTTTCTCTTGGAAAGCTTTCAAGAGGAAGCCCATTAGCGGTCATTCATGAGGTTACTGTCAGAACTGAGTGGTGTGTGACTAATGACACAGAAACACTTATGACTGTACTCAGTTTTTTTTTTTTATAATTCAAGATGATTCACAGCTGAATGTGATGGTGTCTGCTTTTAATCGTTGCACTCTGCAAAGCTAAGGCAGGAGGATCACAAGTTTGAGCCCAGCCTGGATAACTTAGTGACATTATATTTTAAAAAATTAATTAATTAAAATAAAAAAGGGCTGGGGATCCATCTCTGTGTAAAGGCCTTGGGTTGAATCTCTGGTACTACTAAAAAGTAAATAAAGAAGAAAGAACTAACTCTGATAACAAGAGAGAATCCACCTAATCCATAGTGCCTACCCGTGTTGTGAGGCTCTTGTTGCTTCATATATTACTTAGGCAGTTTGAGCCCTGACTGTCTTCCCAGTGCCAGCTCCTGTCAATCGTTTAAAGGTGCAGAGTCTGTTTTGCCGTACAGTACAGGGTACAGTCAGTTACCAACCAGAGGCAAAAGTGTCTTCGATAAAATGGTATGAAAAATGATTATAAAAGCATAGTTTTATGCTTTGTAGATTGTTGAAACAGATCTGTTGTGGGACAGTACATAAACCACCTCATTACCTAATGGCATGTGTTGTTTCTGATTAACGTGTAGCCCAGTTGCTGTTGGTGTCTGCTGGCGATAACCTCTCACTCACCTTACCCCATGACTCCGTGCAGCTGAAGGCCTCAGTTGTACCAGCGCCCCCTGCAGGTCAGAGCTTGCTTTCCTGTGGGAACTGCTAGGATTTACAGGGCTGGGATGTTTTTCAGCTTGTTCTTTACAGATTCTGTGTAATACCAAATCATATCCACAAAATTTTGGTGACAGTGCAAACTAAGCATCTAGGGTGGAAGACAAGGCTATGTGATCATGAGCATCAAAGCTCACTGAAATAGTCTTAAATGGAAAGAGAGCTCGGGGAATTAAACATGGCGCATATCCTCCCGTGGGTCAGGATGGAAAGTCAGTAAGTTCTGATGATACAAAGCAGAGTGTTCTGTTAGAGAAGGAGCAGTTGTCAAGAAACAGGTCCCAGGCTGCAGTGACCCAGAGAACCTGAGGTTTCCAGTGGGAGGGGCAGGGAGGTGGCCCGTGCCATAGGTGTTCTGCAGATGTGTGGTGTAGGTCACACACAGCTGCTCGGAGGTTGTCAGAATAGGACATGTCCATGGTGCCTTTCCTTCCGCTCTGCTCTCCTGTTCGCTGACTGTCTGATCTATTGTTATAGCCTGTCACGTGCACTCTGAAGATACTTGGTTATTTCTCCTTTAGTTTGGCAGATTGGTGCACATAACATACACATAACATACTTTAACCCTCCCCCATCTTATAGTTGTTTGGGTTCAATGTGTATAATGTATTTTGGTTATATTCCTTCCCCCCATCACCCACCCTGAAACCTCCATTTATTCCCTTTCCTCCTTCCTCTTGTCTACTCATAGTCTCCCTTCTTCTTTCCTGTCATCTTTTTTAGAGTCTACATGTGACATTTGCCTTTCTGTTTGACTTATTTTGCTCAACATGGCAATTTTCAGATCCATCCATTTTTCTGCAAATAACAAAATTTTGTCCTTTTTATTATGGCTTAATAATGCTCTATTGTGTGTATGTGCCACATTTTTCTTTATTCATCTTTCTTCCTATCACATGTGGGTCAAAATTTTGTAAACAGAGACAGTATTCAACTTTGCAATTTAATCATCTGAAATGAGGCACCTCATTTTTACTACCACGTGAAGGTGGGAGGCAGCTTTAGCCTAACATGGAGATGCTTAGTTTATTTCTGTGTCCTTAAACCCCTACAGAGACCAAGAGAGTTGAAATCTCCCTGCCTTTTATTAAAAGGACAAAAAGCTCAGTGGCTCATATTGTTAAACTTACCTGGATAGTCAGGTGTAGCACCCTGGAAACCAAGTTGTTGAGTGCTAACAGTGAGATCAGGAGGGTTTACTTTGTTTTGTTTAACTTTTTATATTTTACACATTTTATGTGAGTTGTATGTTTTTGGAATAAAAACAAATGTTACTTTAAAAAGACACGGGAACCTTGTTATTCGCTACTTGGGTGATGGATGGAGGGGGGGAGTTTAGTTGATCTAAGCAGTAGTGGCAAGCCAGTGGCATGGGTGCCACAGCAGGCTGCTTGTTATCATTGAAGCCTTAAAAAGTTTGCCATCACTGATCTGAGGTCATCAGCACTGCTGGGTGTGAGGCTAACATCATTTTGCCTCTGCCCAGGGTATGAAGTGGCCTCTCAGAACTGTAACTCCTCGTATTTCCAATTTGCTCTCAGATACAACCTACCACTATGAATGGAGCTTGATAAGCCACCCTGTGGACTACCAAGGTGAACTCAAGCTAGAAAACACACAGACTCTTAACCTGTCTCACGTAAGTGCATGAGATGCATTACATTTGACAGTACACCCATAGAATTCAGTTAACACTCTTAGCTGCTGAATGCAGGACGCAATCTTTCGATTAAGATTAAAAGAAAAAGCTGGATGTGGTGGCACACACCTGTAGTTCCAGGTATTTGGAAAAGTGAGGCAGGAGAAAGCCCTGGAGTCTTGGCAACCTAGTGGCACCCTGTGTTAAAAAGAAATGAAAGAAGGACATAAACCAAGTTTTAAGCATGTAAGTAGACAGGCAGATGGTTAAATAAAGAGGCTTTTGAGTAGCTTTCCTTCATTTTGGGTAGCTAAGTTTCTGTGTCCTGGCAATCCTTGCAGTAATAGCAACATTTTGCTTATATCTGGTCCCAGTCAGGCTTATTTCTTAGAGTTGCCCACAATTCCATTCCAGTTTACCTGTGCTTTGGCAGCCAAATGCTGCTTCAAGAGAAAAGCACCTTACAGAAAGAAACATGCCCTCTTCTTGACCCAGACAGAGGAATAAATGGGTACTGCTTCTTTCTTATCCAGTGACTATGCTGTCTTTTTATCCTGAGACTCAGCTCCTGGTGCCACATGGCTCACATGTCCCCGTATCACCGGGCTCCTGTTCTGGGAGTGTGCAGCCCAGACTGCTGGCAGCCAGCTTACCAGAGCTGTGGACCAGAAATATATGATTCTGGGTTTGGGAAGTAGCTCAGTGGTAGAACACTAGCCCAGTAACTGCAAGGCCTTGGGTTTGATCTCCAGCACTCAAAACAAAACAAGACAAAACACCCAAAATAAAAGCAGAGTTGGCCTCTGTGTATGTGTGGGAACCCAATAGGAATTGCTAATACCTGTCACTAAGCTAAGGAATGACCTATCTCGGTGACCTTCATGATCCAATATCCAGGCCTCCACTGTGTGGCAGTCCATAGACAGCTGGAAATGGGACCTTTTCCTGAGCCCTCTGTATGCTGATGTGGGAATTGTGACCTGTGGGCAGTGTGTCTGCCATGTCTTTTGCACACTCATCTGTATAATTTTTCCCTGTGTTACAGCTGTCAGCAGGAGTTTATGCCTTCAAAGTCACCGTTTCTAGTGACAGTGCCTTTGGAGAGGGCTTTGTCAATGTCACTGTTAAGCCAGGTGAGTTGGTGTGAGAGAATGGCTGGCTTCTTGTCACTCAGGTAACCTTCAGCTTTGGCGCCTGCATGCCACAGTTCATACCTTTCATTTTTACCTTAGGCTTCACAGTAGCGAAAACATGTAAGGATCATGTTTTTTTTTTTTTTTTTTTTTTGTCTTTTTTTTCCTTTTTTATCAGTACTGGGGATTGAACTCACGTCCACACACTTGCAAGGCAAGGCGCTTATGCCGCTGAGCTAAATCCTCAGCCCCTAAGGATCATGTTTTTAGTGGTTTTTTTCCCCCTGCTTTTTGTATAATACTTGGTACTTGCTTCATATGGCTATTCCAGTGTACAAGATAATTGCTTGTTGAACTGGGTGGTGACAAATGATACCTTAGCCTTCTCTGTCTGATGCTTAGTCTGGCCTCATGATTCAATCTAAGGGCATGAGAATTGCAGACACAGTCATGTGGGCCACCATGGGCTTTGCAGCCCGCAGATCAGTGCCTTCATGTGAGTTAGAAGCAGGTTGCAGCGGGAACAGCCCTGGCTGGATGACGTGCGTGAGGCCTGCACAGTGGGGCATGACATGAGCTGACCTGCCCTCTCCACCACCCCTTGGTAGGCTGGCTGGAGGCCCCACCTGTGCACTGAGCCTATTAGTTCTCAGAGCCAGGTCACCTCCTATCTTTAGTTGGTTGAGGGGGGGGTGACAGTGGCTTTTTCCTCACACCTGGTTATCCTCACCGTGAAGCATGGTGGTGGCAGTGGGCACCTTCAGTCAAAGATTGGAGACTCAGCTCATCTCAGGAGCTGAGGCTGTCCTGGGTGTCTTAGTTACTTTATGCTCGTTGCTGAGACAAAATACCTGAAGTCCAAACTGGGGAAAGGAAAGGTTTATTTCTTACAGTTTTTGGAGGTTTCAGTCCACACTCAGTTGGCTCCAAGACAGGCAGGCATGGCTGGACCACAGTTCATGGCGGCCGCCCACAGCGAGCTCGAACCAGCAAAGAAAAAGACATACCTTCTTCCTGCCATTACATCACATCCTGGCTCCACGCCTATGTGGGTGGAGCACTGACACCATCGATCCAAGCACTAGGCAATGAACCATCACATATGAATAATGCAAACTCATGAGGCCTGGGGGACACAAACATAAACCATGACACTGGGTCTCCTTTTCCTGGGCTTACACAGAAAGATGGGCCCAGAGTCACCCCCTGATCATTGGCAGGAAGCAAACAGTGTCCAGAGTCCAGGCCTGGGGGATAAACTCCTTGACAGGACGTGTAATCGATCTGTAGAAAGCAGATGATCTTTCTGGTTATCGACACAGGTACACGGCATGGGCTTAACACTGTCCTTTCTTTTGTCACACAGCTAGAAGAGACAATCTGCCACCTGTAGCTGTTGTTTATCCTCAAGCACAAGAGCTCAGTCTGCCTGTGACGTTGGCCCTCCTCGACGGCAGCCGTGTGTATCCCCAGATGCTTGGGGTCTCCCTGGCCTAGCCTGCGAGGTTTAAGGGGTGCTCTGGCTCAGGGCGGGGGAACTTGCAGGCTCACTTGCAGATCAGTCCCTGTCTCCTTTTGTTTTGCCTCTGAGAGGTCTTCAGTCTCTCACCTCTGCTTCTATGTGCTTGCCTCCTTGTCTTTTGGTTATATTTCCTTAGTTTATGCTAAGGTTGTTTGATATGAAATTCAAATAATTATTGAAGAGTCTTCTTTGAACGTTTGTGACATGTGTAACTAGCTATTTTCACTTTATACAGCTCCCAGTTGGTCTGCCTTCATGGGCGTAGGTAGCGCTTCATTTGCTAATTTAGTTAGAACTCATTCTCTCTAGCAGCAGTGTGGTCCCCCAGTGAGAACAGATTCAAAATGTGTCTTGTGCTTGACTTGATTCAACAATACCTGTGTACTCTGCAGCTGCGTGTTGTATGCATTTGATCACAAAGCTAATGGTGACTCTGTGCCAGTGAAGAGTAGGTGTGCTGGTCTTTGGGAGGAAGGTACTCTGCCAGCCAGCAGATGAACAGCACCGCATCCGCACGCACATCTGCACCTGTTCAGTCTTTAAAATAAGCATGTTTTCTATGGAAATATTTACATGACCAAAAGCATCCCATTTTGATGAGCTCAATACAGCTTTGCGAGACTCAGGACTGGGAATCTGTCACATGAACTTGTTCTTTCCTTCAGCAATTTTGATGCCAGTGGGTCCCTTCCAATTCTCCAGTTCTGTGACTATGTGAAATGTGTTTCTTTCAAGTGGGAAATTGTCACTTAGGATACAGCTCTCCCTGGATTCACACCATAACAGTTAACACAGTAAAAGGTGTTTTAGAAGTTGTGGTAGGCAGCTCTTCGCATGCTTAGGAGTCTGTCAGTTGAGATGCCTGTGTGAAGTGGTGAGTAGGGTATCGCGTGCCGTGGCCAGGAGGACTGAAGCAGCATTTCAGAGTGCTGTGCTCCGTTCCCTCCTGCTTTCTAAAAAGCAACAGCGCCTGTCCCTGCGCCTCTGCAGTGTTCAGCTGTGGGAACCGCCTCACTCACATCTGGTGCACATCCAGGGGGAAAAGAGTCCTGTGATGTAGAGAGTGGGAACATGTTCTCCTCTTTCCATTGTGTAATATATATCTTTGCCATCTGTGCAAGTGTGTAAGTCATATAAAAATGAGTTTAAATACACATATTCCTCATTTAACACCCTGCCTGTTTAACAGCTGTTCAGACTGATGACTGAGGCACACTCTTTGGGCTTACAACTTATCTTTTTTTAATGCACAGTTCCTTATGTCTTGTCTATAGAGCTTCAATGTCATACCTTCTTTATACAGTACTGCCTTTTTTGCTGATCATACTGTGCAGCACAGTAATTTTATGTTCTGATATACATGACAATAATGCATGTAACTTATATATAAATAAAAGCCAAGTTGTCAGGCTGGAGTTTCCCTTGAGCGTTTCTTTGTTCTCAATATTGTAGGGTACATACTTTATACAAACCCTCATTTAGTGACCAGTTGAGTTAATGACTTAGTACCAGGAACAGTACCTGGTTGTTAAATGAGCAGTGTCTGCATGCAGTGAATACAGTTTGTTTTCTCTTCTCATATTTCATTCTAGTTCTTATCTGTTAATCTTGTAGAAAGTACAGATGATACTGAAATAGTGAGCTATCACTGGGAAGAAGTTAGCGGGCCTGTCTTAGAAGAGAAGATCTCCGCCGATTCCCCCGTCTTATATTTGTCACACCTTGTTCCTGGTAACTATACTTTCAGGCAAGTGGGCTTCGACTGTGGTTTCCACTGCTTATGTTTTGACCATTGGTTTACACTGATGTTCTGAAAGTACTGTTTTACATTTGGATCAAGAGGCAAGACTTATTTGGTTCCTTGGGGAGGGGCTTGGTTGGCTGCCCGTGTGAACTGATTATCTTCACCAAGTCACATGAAAAGTGTCTGTTTCCTGGTTGGAGATGTCGGGAGTAGGACAGAGATAGCCTTTTTTTGGTCTGTTGTATGATTGTATGATTCTCCCCTAATTACATAATTATTTGAACCTTTTCCTTTTTATAACTTTTAAAGGTCTAACTGAAGTACAGTAAGCTGCACATATTTAAAGGATAATATTTGATGTGTTGTGACACAGATGTTTACCTGTGAAACCATCACCCTAATGGAAATAATATACATTCTCTTTGCCCTCGAAATCCCCCATGCCCCTTTCCTGTGGGTCTTTTCCTGCATTCTCATTGTTGGGCAGGAACTGACTTGCTTTCTGCTTTCTGTTAATTATTGTGCTTTCTTTAAAATTTATGTTAATGGAAACACACAGTGTTTACTGTTTTCCTGGTTTCTTTCACTCAGCAAGTGACTGAGATTCATCGATGCTGTTATCTAGCTCAGTAATTCATTCCCTTTTGGTGTTGGATTCTGGGTCAGTGTGTGGTGTAGGGGTGAAGAAAGACTTTCTGAACTTACATGCTTCCTTGTGTGTGTGTGGGGGGAAAATGGGGAAGGTAGACAATCTGAAGATTCGCACATGATTGTGAGGGGAACACCCAGGAGAACAGTTCCTCTGGAACCTGAGCATAAGGTATGGATGGATATTACTGATAACAGAATCCATCCAGACGTGTGTACATTCCTCAGACTCTGCCATAGCTAATGTGATATCAAAGTGGGCGGGTAAAGCATTTTACCATGACTATCAAGCCATCGAATATTCTGCAACATCCTATTGGATACCTTAGTGCTGTATTGTATTTTCTTACTTCAGCCTTATTATTTAACTTTTGAATATCTTTATAGTAAAATTTTGGAGTACAAGCAATATTTTTGGGTTGGAAATATGTGTATTTTAAAGATGTTTGATACATTTACTAAATTATTATCAGCTTTTTCATCTAAAAAGTTTGTTCATATGTATTTGTGGGAAATTCCTGACATAAAAAGCCTGAGGAGACTTCAAAAAAGATATTATAAAAATTATTTCTCTAACGCTTTATTGAGGTAAAATTTGTATGTGATAATATGCCACTTTATTAGATGCTTTTGTTCCTTTTTATTTGATTATTCTTTTCTGTGTGGTTAAGTCAGTTTCTGATGCTAACCCAGGAAGAAATTCCCTGTGCTGTCCTGACTCGGCCTGATTGAGAAGCAAGGACCCTGTACTAGAAGTGCCAGATGTGTGGACCTGAGTAGTGTGGAATCGGCCTTTGGTTGAGTGGCCTGTGCAGGATGGTGTGGCGGGAAGCCTGGCACACCCAGGCATCCTGTGCACCTGCTTGCCGTCGGGGCGCCCTTTCCTGGAGCTTCATTCTCACTCTGTTCTTTGCACTGTTTAGCATCCGCCCATGCACCTGCTGCCCTCTCTGACCCAGAGGGATGGCGTGGCCTGATGGCAATTTCACTGTTCTTGTTCCACACCAGCAATCTGTTTGCTACCAGAGGGCCAGTGGGGTTTACTTTCTGTTTGAGGGTTGAACATCAGCTAGTACTTGAAATTATTTAATCTTAAAGTTGCTTTCAAAGAGAATTCAGGCTGAAAATTCGTGAAGGTTGCCCTGTCGCTAAAGGCCCAAGCTTGAAGGCAGAACTTACCCTGGTAATGTTCATCTTAACTGTTAGAGAGCTGTGGCTTCTGTGTTAGCTAAGGGTAGTTTCTCCACCCAGCATCTCAAAGACTGCATAGAATTCCATAAAGGTTAAACTTTAATGTGAATATGTTCTGACTTAAAAATAAATTAACAGCAAACAGCAAAGCTAACAAAAACATCTTCAAGTCTATGTGCTTTTCTTAGCTTCAACTTCAAGTCTCTGTTTACGCCTGTTCTGAAAACTGAACACTGACTGGGCTAACCTGGCCTCTTGCCTTAAGAGCGGGCATGTTCTTCTTTTTGTAGGTTGACCGTCGCAGACTCAGATGGGGCCACTAACTCCACAACTGCCACCCTAAAAGTCAACCATGCTGTGGACTATCCGCCTGTTGCCAATGCAGGATCAAATCAGACCATTACTTTGCCCCAAAATGCCATCACCTTGAATGGGAACCAGAGCAGTGATGATCACCAGATTGTTCTCTATGAGTGGTCCCTGGGCCCTGGTAGTGAAAGCAAAGAGGTGGCCATGCAGGCAAGTTCCCCATTCTGCCTACAGACTTTTCATTGTCTGTCATATCTGTCTCTCTTTCTATCCATCCATGTGTGTTTCTCTCAGTCATACATTGGTTTGGGGGCAGTTATAAAAATCTGTTTTGTAAAGTTGTCGGTTAGGTGATTAAACTAACAGAGGAGCAACTGAACACATCAATCTTCTAAATTTACAGTCTATCCTTTCCCTACCCTTAATTGCACAAGCACAGAACACCAACCAAGTGACCCTGTGTTGACAGCTAGATCTTGAAGTCAGGTTGGGAGAAGTACGACCCAGTAGTTGTTAGATAAATATTTTATTATCAAAAGAAACCTTAAACATAATGTAACCTAAGTCTCATTATAAGAAAATTGTGTTATTCTGATTTTCATATATATTTGTTGTTTTTTTTGAGACACTGTCTCTATGTAGTTCAGGGTGACCTTCACTTCACTGTGGAGCCCAGACTGGCTTTGAACTCACATCGATCCTTCTGCCTCACTCTCCTGAGTGATGGAGTTTACAGGTGTGCACTGTCATACCTGGCCCTGTTTCCCCCCACGTGCAGCGAGCCTCCTGTACAGTGCTTTGGAGGAGATGCTGAGAAGCGGGGTGGGGGGGTTGAAGAAAGTTCTCATTTTCACTTGAACATCTGTTGCCCTGTGGGCTTCTGAAAAGGCTATGTTAGTTTATATCCCGTTGGTACCATGAGGATAGATGATGGAATTGAAATGACATTTTCAATGTCACATATACCATCTTCAAGCAGGATCCCTGTATGGAGTAAAACCATTGATTTGCATAAGGTTGTACTTCTTGCTTGTGCTACTTTAACATGGCTCTTTCTCTCTGCTTTCCTCTTGTCATCTGCTCTTCCTCAGGGAGCAGGGACCCCGTACCTGCACGTGTCTGCGATGGAGGAAGGGGAGTACACATTTCAGCTGACAGTGACAGATTCTTCAGGACAGCAGTCCAGTGCGGAGGCCACTGTGATTGTCCAGCCTGGTAGGTGAGATGGAGATGAGATGAAATAACAGGGCCTCTGAGTTTTGGGTGCATCCAGTTGGGTGCTCGTGTCCCTGAGCTGTCAGGAAGCAGGGCCATGGGAGATACTGCTGCAGGGAAATCCAATTTTCTTTGGGGGTTCTGAATCTCATCTTGACTGTGTCTCTAAACTGTGGCACGAGGGACGTAATGAGAGCCATCCTGAGTACCACAAGTGTGTCACTGTCCCACTTTGTGACAGCAAGCCCCAGGGAACCCTGCGGAGGCTGCCAGGTGCAGCCCGACATGTGGCGCTGGCTTCCGCTCATTGCAGCAGCATCTGGGGAGCCATGGAAACCCAGCGCCCTGCCCACCTCTGTCTGCAGCACCTCCCGGGCAGCCAGACCTGGGCTTCGCAGTGGCCTTGCTTAGAGGCTTTCTACCACAGAGGGGCATCTTTCCTAGATGCCTGCTCTCCCCAGGGTCCTGCAGTGAGGGCGGCCTCCAGCTAGAGATGGCTTTTTTCTTAAGTTTATTCATTCAGCTACTTTAGATGACTTCTTTGTTTTTTAAATCAAAAGTTGTATCTATTTATATCAATAACACTACAAGTAATACTTTGTAATACTTTATATCTTTCTTTCTTCAACTTTTAGCCAAAATTATATGAACATTTGCTATTTGTCAGGCAGTGGGGCTACAAAGATGACAGGAAGTCCTCCCTACCTAACAAAGCTGGTCTCCGTACTCCAGTGTCCCTCTCTTTTTGCCCTCCCACCCTTCCTCTTTTCCTCCTCATGTGTTCCACCCCACCCCCACCCCGTCCTGACTCACTGAGCCGTGAAGGTCTTCTGAAGACCCCAGCCTCGTGTGCAACGGGGCCCCAGTGCCTCTTGCTGCCCATGACCCGGGTTCTACCTCAGGATATTTCACTATTGGGTCAGCTGGAGATGCCATATTTCATCCTGGGATTACTTGGGGTGGACACTGTTTCTAGCAGCTACCTGATCTCAGCATGATAACTTGCTTTTAAATCAAGGAATTGAGATTGCAGTCTGCATGCAAAGAGGAAATCCTTTCTCATGCTGTTTCTGTGTTCCCAGAAGACAACAGGCCTCCGGTGGCTGTAGCTGGCCCTGATAAGGAGCTGATCTTCCCGCTGGACAGTGCTACCCTGGATGGGAGCAGGAGCAGCGACGACCACGGCATTGTCTTCTACCGCTGGGAGCATGTCAGGTAGTCTGTGTCACCACAGCTGCTCTGTTCCTAACCATAACCGAGTGACCATACCCCTTCTCTGCAGATGGATGCTAAATACTCCATTTGAGCTAGTCAGGATTTAAGCACATTTCTAGAAGTCACTGGGCATGATGGGAAGAATATGACAGGGGAGATGGCCTTCCATTGACAGCAGGAGATGGGCAGGCTGGTGGACAGGAGCTTTTGGGTGAGTGGTCCTGTTGAGATTATAACAGCCTGTCCTGCAGGGATTGTGGACAGCACAAATGCAGGACTTAAAGGGATGCTTAGGTTATCTGATGTTCTCTGAAGTGCACAGCTCAGCCTCATGACATCCTACATCTAGGGTTTAATAGACATGCTACACTTGTTTGCTTTTAAAATTTAAAAACCAAGGCTTCTAGAGACCAGTGAGATCACAGGGCCTAACATTCCAGGTGTGAAGAGAAGGGCTCAAAGCGCATTCCTGTGTGTTTCTGACTCCCAAGCCTATGATCTTAGTGACTCTTCTGTAATTCTCTTAAGGAGGTTCATTGTCTGGGTGGTTCCCTCCTCCTCCATACCCCACCTAACGATACATGGGGAGTTAACCTGATTTTATTCAAAGAAATGGAAATAGTCTCTAAGGTTCAACTTTGCAAAAATAGATCATTTCACTGACAGCCCAATTAGAAAACAACAACAACAACAACAACAACAATTCCTCTCAGGAATCCAGCAGGCTGTGCCTGCATGGCTTTGGTTCCTGTGTGTTACACTGAGCTAGAGAATACAAGTGAGTAAAGAGTCAACCTAGAAGAGTGCTTGTGAGGGACAAATCACAGGCCTGACAGACTCACAGCTCCCTGCCCTTTTTGTTACCACTTTTGTGTTTCACAGAGGCCCCGGTGTGGTGGAGATGGCAAACGGGGACACAGCAGTAGCCACCGTGACTGGCCTCCAGGTGGGTACCCACCACTTCCGGTTAACAGTGAAGGACCAGCAGGGACTGAGTAGCATGTCCACCCTGACCGTGGCCGTGAAGAAGGGTGAGTGGCCCCAACCCAAGGAGGGCTTGGCCTGCCCCACTGTAAGCCAGGCTACCGTTGTTTAAAGGTGTTGGTTTACCTCTTCATAGCAGAGGCTGGACTCTGCTTAATCCAGAAGCACAACCTTCTTCTACTCCTGTGAGCTGTTTTCAGATCAGCTCTGCAAAGGGAGTTTTCTTTTTAAGTGCATCTTCTATTTTTGTACTTCCCTCCTAGAGGTGACTAAATACCACGTCTCTGTGACACTGTTGTGCTTTGCTCTTTGTCTTCCATGGGAATTTAAAAGCGGCAATGTTTTCAAATTCTATATTGTTTCTTCATGTGAAATTTGTTGAGTAGAGTCATGCAGTTCTGATTTGGGTACTCGGCTACTTGAGCGAACTGTGAGCTCTTCAGCGTCCTTTGCCTCAAACATTTTTTTGTCCTCTGTATATGCAGAACTAGACCCATGGCAAACGATATGGTTGGTCAGTTGAATGAATTAATGGATGGTGATCACAGCATTTTTATGCACAGAGAAATAAAGCATGTGGCTGGATGGAAGATTCACACGCTAGATTTGGGGACGGTAGGGAGCTTGCTGGGGGCTGAGGCTGAGTTCAGTAGTGCAGAGCTTTATGTGCCATCAGTTACTATATAGTCTGGACTTTATGCCCGGGGCAGTAGGAAAGGGTGAGGCCATTTTATCAATAAAGGGATACAGATTTGGATTTTCCCCCCGAGCATTTTATTGCAGAAAAATTTTCATGTGGTTACACATGAAAGTACTGAGTACAGTCTTAACAGATCACCAGTAACCCAACATCCAGCTTGAACAGCAACCTCTATTTGGCTGGTCTTGATTCATTTATCAATTCACAGTTTATTTTGTTGCAACATTTTAAAGCAAATTTTTAGCTATAAGATTTGGATTCCGAAAAAGACAAAATGGGCCAGAGCTGTGGCTCAGTGATGGAACATAGGCTTAGCCAAAACACTGACAGGTTGATGAGAAAAGAGGCTCAGCAGGAGAATAGGTAGAAGGCATTTGGGAATCATTTGGGGCCAACAATGGGAAAATTGGGAGAAAAGGGATAGATTGTGAAGACCGATGACAGCCCAAATTTCTCAGGCGGGGGGAACCTAATAGGTATGGAGGGTCAGGAGAGGGGTGTCTGGAAGGACACCAGCAGCTCTGACTGTGTGGTGACAGTATGATGATTGAAATCGTGTTTATAGAAGAGTGGGTTTGGGGGATGACATTCAGCTTTGAATATATTGAATTCATGCCAAGGGACCGGATTCTGGAGTTTGACACCTCCAAGACAGAAGCTGCCAGTCTAGTTCTGTCTTTCTGAGTCTTCCTAGAATTGAGCCTTTTTAACACTAGATCAGTCCTTGCAATCCTTTTAGAGACCTTTTAGTGCCCAAACCTCAACCATAAACCCACTTTTTTATTGTAAGGTGCCAGCTGCTCCTACGTACGCTGTTATCTGACGTTTGCTGGCTGGGGTGATGCTGGGTGACGTGGCCCAGGCACATGTGCTGTAGATTTGCATCAGTGCTCTAAATTCCGTTGTGTTCCCCAAGCCCTACCTCTGAATGGAGTGTGGTAAATGGCTTTTTTCCCCCCATGGTGTTGGGGAGGGAAGCCCAAGCCTCACATATGCAAAGCAAGAGCCCTGCCCCTGAGCTATACCCCCAGCCCAGGGAAGCTGAGAACCTGGGAATGGCTCCACTTGTCTGTGTTCCAGCCATCAGCTGTCTGTCCTTAGGATGACTGAGGCTGGGGACTGTGGGATGTTAATGGTGTCCTGTGAGCCACCCTAGGCCATTCCCACCCTGTTTTCTATCACATGCCTTGTTTTTCATGAGAAGCTGAGTCATAGAACCCAATCTGAGCAAGTAGGAGCTCCCTCATCTCTAAACAAGGCTGTGTTCTCATGATCCCCATTCTAGTGCACCCCGCTTCTGCTTAGTGCACCCTTAGCCCCTTTCTCCTCAGGGCATTATACTAGAAATGACCTTCATGTGGTCTCACTTATTCTAACACCTCAGATGTGTGAGAGTCTAATTTCTCTCTCTCTCTCTCTCTCTCTCTCTCTCTCTCTCTCTCTCTCTCTCTCCTCTCTTTCAGTTAGGGTCTCACTATGCAATTCAGGCTGGCCTTAAACTCATATTCTAGCTCAGGCTAGTCTCAAACTCACAATGATCCTTATGCCTCAGCCTCGTGAGTGCTGGGATTACAAGCACCTCATTTGGTAATTTCTTTTTTGGTACCGGGGATCGAGCTCACGACCTCATGCTTGCCAGCCAGGCACTTATGCCAGTAAGCTAAATACCTGGCCCCAAAGTCTAATTTTTTAAAGCAATTTAGCAACACTAGAAATTAAAATATTTCTGTAACAAGATGGTATGGACCAGTAAAAAATGACCTAGTGCGTCATTTTTTATAGAGAATAATATCTGTATGTTCTGTTTTGTTTTCCAGCACTGGGGATTGAACCCAGAACCTTCAAACTGAGCCATACCCCAGACCTTTTTTATGTTTTGCTTTGAGAGAGTCTTACTAAGTCACTGTTTTGCCTCAGCTAGACTCAAACTTGTGATCCTACTGCCTCAGGCTTCCAGGGTGTCGGCATTACAGACATGTGCCATCACATATAGCCTAGAGTATATATTTTATTTTATTTTGGGGTATTAGGTATCAATCCCAGTGCTAGGCAAGTACTCTTCCAGTGAGCCACACTTACCCTATCCCTGCAGTATATTGTAAATCAAAATATTTCTACTTTATAAACAATAAGTAAGATCATCATTTCTCTTTTTTTTCCCCCAAGGAAAGAGAAACTGCAGTAATATTAGAGGAATTCTCAATGTCCAGGCTGTTACCTGATTTACCTTTTTTATTCTAAATTGTATTAAGTGGAACATGGAGCTTTCCTAAAGTCCATATTATCTTACAGATATTTGGGCCAAAAATAACACTTCAAATTTACATATCTGCAAGATGGAATTGTTGCGGGTGTTTTATGATGCACATTCTACCTCCAGTGTTTTAAATCAATTTCTTTGCTTTCATTTTTGCTATATTTGACTTAGAAAATAATAGTCCTCCCAGAGCCCAGGCTGGTGGCAGACATGTTCTTGTGCTTCCCAATAATTCCATTACTTTGGATGGTTCAAGGTCTACCGATGACCAAGGAGTTGTGTCCTATCTGTGGATCCGAGACGGCCAGAGTCCGGCAGCTGGAGTGAGTACTGACAGGGAGCCGCCCCCGTCTGCTTTTGTGCATTTCTATCAGGCAGCTTGGGCTGCCAGCAAAACCCCTGGGGCTGGTGGCTTCAGCCATGAGAGTGTGTTTTCTCACAGTTTGGGGGACCAGGCCAGGAGGGTGAGACCAAGGTGCTGGGCTGCTTCTGTTTCTGGTGCGGTCTCTCTTCCCTAGTACTCCTGTTTCCCATGAAGCCTCTCTTCCCAGTACTTACGTTTCCCAGCTGCCTTCTCACTGTGTCCTGGCCTGGCAGGGACCAAGAGGAGGTGGAGACACTAGTTCTCATCCCTATTCCCTGAACACAGTAGGGATGTCGGGCCAAGGCCCATTCTTGTGACCTCAGTTACCGCCTTCTGGGGCCTGTCTTTAGCTATGGTCCTGGGGGGTGAGGGATGCACTCTGTTACTCCAGAGCAACATTTCTAATAGGCCCTCCTCTCCCAGGGATGTGGGTGTACTTCTGTATTGCGGTATTTTGAGGCAGCAGGCTGCTGTCAGATTTAGGCAGTGCTGAGGTCCTTTTAGACTTTACCTTCTCAGATTTTGGAGAAGGCCGCGTTTCATGGCTGGAAGGAATTTGAAGCCAAGCTTTCTAGTGGGAAATGCTTTACTCTTTGGCTGTCGTTCCTATTCTGGTTCAAATGGATTTTTCCTTCTTTCTCATATTATATCAGATATGTGTGCAGGTCAGGGATGGCTGTCCTGCTCCACTCCCCAGGTGCGGACAGTGAAATGCAGAGATGAAAAGTGACTTTGTCAAGGTGAATGAATTCAACCTTAACTCAAACAGCGGCAGGTTTTTAGCTCCCAGACACTGACTCCATTAGATCCCTCTGCACTTTATGAATTCAAGAACAATGTACCTCCTATTGTTGCAGACTTGAGATCTGCAAGAATGCTTGGAGGTGTAACCAAGGAGGAACACAGGACAGGAAGGGCAAATGCTTTGTGCTGTTAAAGTGCTTCTAGAATTAACCCATTTAGATAGCTGGTAGATTCGCTCTTACGTATAATTATAATGAGTCTTTGATCAGAGACTTGGCTTTTTACTTTTTAATTCTGAGACAGAGTCCAGATTGCTGAGTTTCCCAGGCTGGGCACAAACTTGTGATCCTCCTGCCTCAGCCTTCCAGATTGCTGAGACTGCAAGCCTCAGCCACCAGGCCTGGCATAAACACTTGCTTTTTATTCCTGGCCTTTTTTTTATTCACACATTCAGAGCAGGAGATCTGGGAGATTCTTCCCTCATTTTTTGGAGCATAGAGCTTTGCAGAACAGTGCCTTTCCCCCCAGGCTTCAGGCGTCATTTGAAAGGGTGAATAGGAAATGCTTTGAGGAATCCCAAGATGAGAGAATTATAAACCTGTGTTCAAAAATAAGACCCATGAAACCGGTGCCTCTTCCTGGGGGTCCTTACCCAGTTCAAGCCCTCCTCTCTGTTGGATGAAACTAATCAGTCAGTGATTCCTAGAAAGTGCACAGTGGCTGTGCTGTGGGAGCTCTGAGACCTTGGTGCTCTGGGTACCAGAGTGGGGCAGTGCTGGAGGTTATTCACCAGCCCCTTCTGCCTCTGCCCCCCATTCCACCCCGAGAGTCTGCACACGGGAAAGACTGGAGCTGAGGTTTGAGAGTAACAGAAGCTGGAGCACTGTGGTTGACAACGCTTGTGAACATTGTTATTTCACAGGATGTCATCGGTGGCTCTGACCACAGTGTGGCCCTGCAGCTCGCCAATCTGGTGGAGGGCATCTATACTTTCCGCCTGCGGGTAACTGACATGGAAGGTTCCTCAGATGTGAGCACCGCCACCGTGGAGGTGCGGCCAGGTGTGTTTGTGGGCTGTTAGCTCCCCGAGTGGGCTGCCACTCAGCTGTGGGCTCCTGACATTGTGGCCCAGCATGGAGGCCTCCTGTGGTGACCCAACGCTTGTCACCATCTGCTGGGAAGCTTTTTATGCATTTTGTTGCAGTCCCCAAACAGAGCCAACCTCATTAAGAAGAACTGTATCTGGCAGCAGGACTTTCTTTTCAGTGTTGCTTTCTTGCCAGAATAAAAATTCATGTGATGGGGATACAGTGACACCCTAGCTGGGACTGCTAGGGTAGGGGAAGCTTCAGGGAGGGGTGGTGATGTGTGTGTGCCCAACCTGGCAGTGCCCGTGGTGCCAAGAACAGAGCTCCCCTTCTGGTCTGGGGGAGTGTGTGAGGGGCCAGAGCTTGAAGTGGGTGCAGAGGCTAATTGGACATAATTGGATATCTTTTGGGGAAAAAATTAATAGACAACAAACTGGAACAAAACAGAGATTATCGCCCAGATAGCGGCCCCAGGGTTGAAAAGAGTCTGTCCCAACAGCCAAATCTTGCAGTTGCACAGAGTGATTCTGAACCACGTGCAGGGCTTGCTCCACACACTGTCCCGCTGTGAGCTCCCAGAGACAGTCCGTGTCTCCCCTTTTCAGACCCCAACAAGGACGCCCTGGTGGAGCTCATCCTGCAGGTGGGCGCCGGGCAGCTGACGGGGCAGCAGAAGGACACTCTGGTCAGGCAGCTGGCCACACTGCTGGGCGTGCTGGACTCGGACATTAGGGTGCAGAAGATCCAGGCCCACTCAGATCTGAGGTATGTATGGGCTGCCTGTGCCAGGTGGGACCTCAGCCCCTAGAGCCCACATCCCACTCAGCAGGACACCACCCACATTCTACTTGCACTTATGGACACCTTTATCCCTCCCATAGGCTTTTTCTTTTCTTTAATTTTTTCTCAAAAGACAGAATAAGGACAATATCATTGTAAACTCTTCTGTCAAGTTTGTAAATGCTTCTGAGTTGAGAATGCTGTGCACAAATAACTTAGTAGGAGAGGAAGCTGACATGTAGCCCTGCTATTTTTTGGAGGGCTAGGACTACAAGTGCAAGTGGCCTGGGGCCTATGAAGACTAAGTGTCATTGCCAGACTTCATATCTTATTCCTGATGCATGCTCACAGGGACTGAAATTTCTTTCAGTGCGAAAGGTTTGTTGCTTCCACTTGTTGTTTTCTGGGAAAACATGAGCATAAAACTCTAGACTTTAACTCTGCCTGCGGTCCTAGAAGGAGGAAAGGAGATGTCTATCCCTCAGGGATGTCCTCCAGATGTAGCTGGTTCTTTATAGCTGTCCCAAGAACCTACCTTCTCCTGGTGCTTACAGCTCTGTGATAGTGTCCATGTGGTGTCCCAGGGAGGTGCTGGGCATGGAGCTGAACTTGGCCTCTGTAGGTGGAGGCTGGGACTGGTCCTCAGTAGGTGGAGTTCTCCAGAGCCCAACTGCTTATCTCCTCACTGCTGCTTTAGACACTTGCGTGTTACTGGCCTGGCTGATTACTTCACCTTCCAGTGTGTGTGTGTCTGTGCACCAGATGTTGTCCTGGGTCTTGGGGTTCCTGTCAGCCTTACACTCTCACAGCTGGCCCCACCATCCTGGGGTGAAATAAGTATATCCTTCTTTATGACAGAGTAGTAGTCACTATGTAAATAACCACATTTACCTGTTGATGTACACAGAGGCCACTTTGAAGATTTTGCTGTAAACATGGATTTACATGTATTACTATCATATGATGTCTTTAACTCAGGAAGATGCCTAGAAAAGCAAGGTGTGGTGATGCTACCTTCATCCAAGCACTTGGGAGGCGGAGGCAGGAGGCTCATTGTAAGTTTGAGGCCAGCCTGTGCTACATAGTGACATTTTGTCTCAAAACAAAACAAAAACAAAAACAAGATACTTAGAAATAGTTGCATCAAATGGAATTTCTATTTTCAGTTTTTTTGAGGAGTTCTGATGTTCATAGTGTTCATAGTGTTGTACTTGTTTACATTCCCACCAACTATGTAGAAGAGTTTCTTTTTCCCTCACAGCCTCGTAAGTATTTTTTATTATTTGACTTTTTTTCATAATAGCCATTCTTCCTAGAGTAACGTGAACTCATATGTTTTAGTTTGCATTTATCTAATGGCCAGTGATGCTGAACACTTTTTCATGTATTTATTGGCCATTTGTACTTCTTCAGAGAAGTGTCTGTTCATTTCATAGCACATTTTCTATTTCTATCTTTTATTTTGAGGGCCCTAATTTTTTTGAGGATCTTTTATTTGGAAGAGTCCAATTTTTTTGATACTCTGCTAATTCTAGATATTGGTCCTGTGTACAGGATGTAGCTGGGGGAATTTCTCCCCATTCTGTAGGCTGTGTCTTCAGTCCGTTGACTGTTTCCTGTGCTGTTCCGAAGCTTTTTAATTTGCTGTGATCCCATTTGTTAATTCTTGATGTTATTTCTTGTGCAATTAGGGCTCTGTTCAGAAAGTCCTTGCCTATGCCTGTGTCTTCAATAGTTTTACCTATTTTATTTTCCAGCAGATTAAATGTTTCCATTTTAATATTTAGGTCTTTGATCTGTTTTTATTTTAGTGTAGGGCATGGTGAGATACGGGGTCTAAATTCGCTCTTCTGCATGTGTTTAGTTAACTGTCCCCATGCCATTGGTTAAAGAGGCTGTCTCCCCTTCGGTGTGTTTTTGGCTCTTTTGTTAAAGATCAGATGACTGAACTGCCTGAGGTTGTTTCTGCACCTTGCATTCTGTTCCAGTAATGTGAGTGTCTGTTTTTGTGCCAGTTCTATGCTATTTTTATCTTTGGAACTTTGTACTATAACTTGAAATCCAGGATTGTGATGCCTTCTGCTTTGCTCCTGTTGCCTAGAATTGCTTTTATTATTCTGTGTCTTCTGGTTCCGTATGAATTTTACGCATTTGTTTTTCTAGTTCTGTGAGGGATAATGTTGGTGTTTTGATCAGGACTGCCTGAAGTCTGTGTATCAGCTTGGGTACTGTGGCCATTTTATAACATCAGTACTCCTTCCGGGGAGTACTGATGTTAGGTCTTCCCTGAAGTTCTTGTAGAAAGAATACAGTGGTGAATTTACCCAGAATTATTGGTACATTTCAAAAAATTATTATTGCTTCATTTTCATTGCCTGTTATTGTATTATTCAAAGTTTTTGTATCTTCTTGATTCACTTTTGGTAATTCATAAGTATCTGGGAATCTTCATTTCTTCTGGATTCTCAAATTTATTGGTATTTAGGTTTTCAAAGTAGTTACTAACCATCTGGACTATAGCAGAATCTTGTAATTTTGCTGTTTTTGTTTCCAATTCACGATTTGTGTCTTTACTTTTTTTTCAGTAAGGTTAATTAAAGATCTGTCTGTTTTGTTTATTCTTTTGAAGAACCAGTTCTTCAATTAATTAATTCTCTGTATTTTAGAAAATTGTTATTTTAGAGAGAATAAAACCAAGCAAAATAAAACAGAATAAATAGAATCAAAACAAGAAAATGTAAATGACACAGGATTTCAAAACAAGGTAACAATACCTCTTCTTGTCTTCAAAATAGCTGCCCATACCTTCAAACATAGTAAAATCAAACAAAATAGAAACAGAATAGAACCAATAAAAAATGAATGGAATAAGGGATTTCAAAGCAAGATAATAGTCAATCCAAAATGGCTACTATAATATATCTTGTTATCTTTGAAATAGCTGCTCATGCCATCAGATACAACAAAATCAAACAAGATAATACAGAATAAAACCACCAAACAAAATAATGAGAATGATAACAGGATTTTAAAACAAGATAATAGGGAATCAACAATGGCCACCACCTTCAGAAGGAGACCCCATAGATGCTACATTGCATATTTTAATCCTCTGTGTAGATCATTAGACTACCAGCTTTAGGCCTGCAAAGTCAGCGAAACACCAAACACTACAAGCAGGAAGTTGTATTTTACCTCATTAGCTATCATCACAGCCTAGTGTATCCCCGATCAGCTGGTCACTTATGGGGTGGGAGGGACATTGGCTCTTCTTGTCTCCCTGCCCACATGCGGGACGAGGCTGGAGTCTGGCTTTCCCCCAGTTAGCCCATGCCGACTCACAGAGGGTCTTAGCTTCTTGTTGACTTCTTGCTCTTCTCTCCTGCAGTTTGTGAATGGTGCCAACTCACAGGGAAGGGCTGGACTCTGGCTCTCCCCAAGTCAGCCTGCACATGGCACCAACTTATAGGAAATCCTAGCTTCTTGTTGACTTCTTCTTAATTCTCTGAATTTTTTTAGGTCTCAATTTCATTAATTCCAGCTCTGTTCTTTATAATTTCCTTTCTCGTCCTGCTTTGTGTTTTGATTGCTCTTGTTTTGCTAGGAAGTGGAGCTGCATCCCTGGTTTATTTGAGCTCACTCTATTTTTCTGATGTGGGCATTCACAACTATAAATTTACCTCTTACGACCACTTTCATTGTGTTGCCTAGGTTCTGGTGTGTTGTACTGGTATTATCATTTGATTCTAGGAGCTGTATAATTTCTTCCTTGATTTCTGAGGGCCATTTATTATTTAAGAGGGTATTATTTAATTTCCATGTGTTTGCATAATGTCTGTGATTTCTGTTGCCATTGATTTCTAGTTTCATTGCACTATGATCTAATAATATTCATGAGATAATTTTGATTCCTTTGTATTTACTTAAGCCTGCTTTGTGGGATAGAATCGTGGCCTGTTTCAGAGAAAGTTCCCTATGGTGCTGAGAAGTATATGTATTTTGTTGAGTTGAACATTCTGTAGTTATCTATTAAGTCCATTCATTCAAAGATTTGGTTCAACCCTGATATTTCCTTGTGATTATTTTGTCTCATTAATGTTTTTGTGACAGTAATGTATTATGGTTGGTCCCTATAATTGTGTTGATGTTTATCTGATCTTATTTTTTTTTTTTTTTTTTGAGACAAAGCCTCACAATGTAGCTCAGGTTGAGCTTGAACTTACTTGTAGCCTAGGCTGCCCAAGAATTCACAACAAGCCTGTCTCAGCCTTCTGAGTGCTGGGATTATACACATGACTTCTATGTCTAATAGTTTTTTTTTTTTTAATTGTGTGTTCTAGGGCTGGGGATTTAACTCAGTGGCCTAAGCGCTTTCCTGGCAAGCCTGAGGTCATGAGTTCAATCCCTGGTACCACCAAAAAAAAAAAAGAAAAGAAATTGTGTGTTCTAGTGGTTGGTGTCTATATATTTATAAGTACATATGTATTTATAATTGTTATCTCCTCCTATTGAATTATTTCCTTAACCAATATGTAATGATCTTCTTTGTTTCTCTGATTAGTCTTGACTTGAAGTCCACTTTGTCTGAACATAGAAGAGGTATTCCTGCTTGTTTTCAGGCCCTCATTGTATGGAATGTTATTTTCACTTCTTTCACTTTAGCCTGTGAAAGTTTTTTGGGATTAAGTGTGTTTCTTGTATATTGCAAACGCTTTTTTCTTTTCTTTCTTTTTTTTTTTTTGAGGTACTGGGGATTGAACTCACGAACCCGTGCTTGCCAGGTAGGCACTTATGCCACTGAGCTAAATTCTTGGCCGTTTGGGTTTTGTTTTTGATCCAAACTGCCAATCTGTTTTTTGACTGGAAAACTGAGAGCATTCCAATTGAGAGTTATTACTGAAAGATGTTTATTTACGCTTGTGATTGCGTTTTTTCCTGTGCTGATCCCTCGTCCTCCTCACTTCTCATCTTGCCTGGTGTACATTCATTCTATTAGGCTTTTGGCGTTGTTGGATTCATTGTCTCTTTCATGGACAGCCTTAAGAACTTTTTGTCATGTTGGTTTGATGATCATGAATATGTTAAGCTGCTCTTTGCTATGGAAAGACTTTATTTCTCCATCAGTTTTGAAAGATAGTTTTTCAGTAAGTTGTTTCCTTTTAGGATTTGAAACCCTTCAAGGCTCTTCTGGCTTAGAGTTTGTGTTGAGAAGTCTACTGTAACCCTAATGAGTTTACCTTTATATTAGGTTGTTGTTTTTCTCTAATAGCTTTTAAGATTCTGTTCTTGTGTTGGACTTCTGGAATTTTTCCTGTGATGTTTTACGGAGTTTTCTCCTGTCCATGGCTTTTTCTATATACCTTATTTATTTGTATGCTAAATTCTTCTCCTGTATTTGGACAGTTTTCTGGTTTTAGTTCTGTAATTAGGCTTTTTTATGCCATTTGTTCTGACTTTACACTAATTCCAGTTGATTGTAGTGTAGTTGTCTTTGTGCCACAGAGTAGCTATTGGATCTATTTGCCACATGCTCTTGTTTTTCAGGTGTCTCGGAATAAGTATGTGGTCTTCGCCATCAGCCTTGTCTTCTAGTTTTGACACTGTCCTCATGTTAGTCACCTCTGCTGCCTGTATTTTAAATACTAAATAAAATATCTGAAAATCAATAAAATCCTAAAGCTGTTTCTTTGACAGATCAGTAAACCTTTAGTAAACCTTTAGGTAGACTGACCAAGAAAAAAAATAGAGACTCAGACTTACTAAAATCAGGACTAAAAGAGGGAACATTGGAACTTTGTAAAAGTAAAAAAAACAAAAACAAAAACAAAAACAAACAAAAAAAAACTGTAAGAAGGTACAGTAAATAGCTGTATCAACATATTAGATAACCTAGATGAAATCAATAAGTTCTTAGAAAGATATAAAATATGAAAACTCAAAGAGAAAAAAATTAAGTATATTGAACTAGTAATTAAAAATTTCCTCAATAATCCTAGGACCATATGACTTCACTGGTAAATTTTCAAACTGTTTGAAGAATTACCACAGTAATTTACAAACTTTTCCCCTCAAAAATAAAAGGAGAGAATATTTCTGAACTCAATTTGTGAAACCTATTTTATTCTGGTACCAAAACCAGACAAAGACATCAAAAGAAAACTAGATCAGTATAAAATCACAGGATCATTTTCATAGGCACAGAGAAAGCATTTGATAAAATCTGCGGTTAAAAACTTCCGGGTCAGATTTTGTCCCCAAAATGATAAGTTCGAGTCCTAAGCCCTGGTACCTGTGAATGTGACCCTGCCGGAAACTGAGTCACTGCATATGTCATTGGCTAAGACGATGTCATACTGAGTATCGTGGAGTAGGGTGGGTTCTTAACCTAATATTAGTCCCTGAGGACACACAGAGACCCACAGGGAAGACACATCCTGGATGACTGAAGCTGAGACCGGGGATCCCTGGTGATACCAGAAACTGAAGGCAGGGGCACATTTTAGATTCCAGCCCCAGAACTGTGACAGAGATTTCTGTTGCATGAAGCCGCCTGTCTGTGGCACTGTTTCATAGCAGCCCTAGGAACTAACACAGATCTGAGTAGATATTTCTCCCACGACCATGTGCATGGGCCAGTGAGCACCCGGGCACAGGTGCTCATCCCCTCACCCATTAGGCAAATACAAATCACAGTCACACAAGGACCACTTCCCTCTTGCCAGGCTGGCTAGAGTACAAACCACAGAGCATGGCAAGTGTCCAAGGGTGTGGACAAATCATAGGCCTATGGTTGGGAATTTAAAATGGGGCAGCCACTATGGGAAAGTCTGGCAGTTTCTCAGAATGTCAGACAAAGGTATCCTAAGACCCACTGATTCTACTCCTAGCTGTATACTCAAGAGAAGTGAAAAATTTACATCCACACAAAAACCTATCCATAGATATTCATAGTACCCATTCACAATAGCCAACAAATGGAAACAACCTTAATATCCAGCAACTGATGAATGAACTAAAATCATCACTTAAAAAACCCAAAAGTCACACAATGAAATATTATTTGGCAAGAAAAAGAATGAAGTACTGATAAATACTACAATGTGAACTTGCAAAACATCTAAATGAAAGAAACCAGACACAGGATCACATGTTGCATGCTTCCATTCATATGAAATGTCCAGAATAACCAGTAGAGACAAAAAGCAGATTCCTAGTTGCCAGAAACTATAAAGGATGAGAGATGAGAAATAAGCACAGTGGGTGTGGGGTGTCTTTGGAGTGCTGTAAAGTTTGAAATGAGACAGTTGTGAGGATTTGTGAATATATTAAAAGCTACTGAATGTTACACTTTAGGAAGAAGAACTCTGTGATGTGTAAATGATACTGCAATGAGAAGGTCAGAGGAGGGCTGGGTGCAGCCCCAGGGAGGTGCCCTCTGCAGGTGGGAGACCAGGCTCCACCCCCAGCAGCCAGAAGTGAAGGAATGGATGAAGCAACCGAGGACTTGTGAATGTTACCATTTCATGGCCATTGCGTGTTTGCCCCCACACGTGGTTCCTCTTCGGTGAAGGCCTGTTTGTGTGTCACCAGCTGCACTGGGGACCGAAGAGAACAGAAACAGTTGCGGTTCCTCTGGCCCGGGCTCTGAGTCTTGTGACTGCCGGCTCGGAGACCCAGGTGGACGTGACCTCTCCCTGTCTCCTCTGCAGCACGGCGATTGTGTTTTATGTCCAGAGCGGGCCGCCTTTCAAGGTACTCAAGGCTGCCCAGGTGGCCCGGAATCTGCACAGACGCCTGTCCAAGGAGAAGGCAGACTTCTTGCTTTTCAAGGTCTTGAGGATTGACACGGCAGGTACGCCCCCTACAGGAACATCCGGAGAGAACAGGCCTTGCCCGCCAGTGGTGAGTTTCACTGGTACAGAAAGAGGTGTGACCTGTGGGCAGTTTGGCCTTAGCACCCAGGGACTTGTTTTGCTTTTGTTCCTGCAGTAGGTTTCTACCGCACGCATTTGCCAGCTACTCTGCCTTGGGAGGAAATAAGAGCAGTAATAGTCACAGGTCAAAAAGGACTTTTGAATTTTCAAGTCAGGGGTTTGCAGTGTTGCTCAGGCTGTCCTTGCACTTTTGGACGCAGTGATCCTCTTGTTGAAGACCAGCCTGGGCTACAAAGTGAGTTCAAGGCCAACCTGAACTGTATAGTGAAACCCTGTCTCAAAAAGAAAAAAAGAAAGAAAAAAGAAAGTAATCCTCTTGCCTCAGCCTCCAAAGTAGCTGGAACTTTGGATATGGATCAAAGCTTTTGAAAACTGAAGGTGGTTTAAAAGTGCCTTTCAGTTATAGCTCTTTTCTTAGTATCTTGCTCTCTATCTCTTCAGGACAAAAAACCCAATCACTGTTCATGGCCTTGTCCTCATTTCCTGAGACACAGGAATAAACATTAGCTCGAAGTGACCATTTCAGCCACTTCAGAGTTCCAAGGGCTACAGCAACTTTTGATCAGTAGATTTAATATGTTTCAAGTACATGTCAAGCTATATTAACTTTCTCAATTATGATGTGGAATAAAATTTTAAAATAACTTCATTTTTTTTCTAGCTATGAAACTATTTGTTTATTCTAGGAAATTTGAACTATCCAGAAAGACCTAAGGAGGAAAATAATCCTTGGGATTGTAAAGTTCAGAATTTCTACTATCCAAAGAACTTTTGTTAATATTTTGATGTACTTCTTTCCAATTGCTCCATCTCTAGGAACATGTAATATAACCCTGTAATATAATCAGGGTAGATATATTTTCATGGTTTCTTTAACTTCGAATCATATTATGATCATTTCTCAAACTCTTCGTACCTCTTTAGTGAGATGTTGCATGGTTCCTCACTGGGTGTGATGATAAGAAATTAAACAGCCAGCCTCCATGCAGGGACTTAAAGACTGATTTTAAATAATATAATCTAAATACATGCTTGTGCATATTCCCGATTTTTATTTTCACCAGATGCCTTCTTAGAGTTTATTTTCTCAGGCTGGAGGGTGCTAAGATTTTTTGCTGCATTTCAAGGCTTCTGCTCTGTGTTGTGCTTTGGCTTTTTCTGCTCTTTGCTTCCTGGTGAGATTCTCAGGGATGAATGATTCCCAGAACCCTGCACCACAAGAGTCTTCAGCAGCACTGAGGGCCCACCCTGTGGAAGGTACAGAAGAGGCAGAACCCGGGCATTCCTTCCCTCCACAGTGACCTCAGGCCTGTCGCCTCTTTGCAGGCTGTCTCCTCACGTGTTCTGGCCATGGCCACTGTGACCCCATCACCAAGCGCTGTGTGTGCTCCCCACTGTGGATGGAGAACCCTGTACAGCGTTACCTGTGGGATGAGGAGAGCAACTGCGGTGAGTGCTGAGGTGGAGGGCTCTGTGCTCCCAGAAATCAGAAACACCCACCTGGCCTCACAGCCGTAAGCTTTCAGCTTGCTCTCGCCTGAAGCCAGGTGAACCAGCTGCTTGCTTGGTAGTACGCCTTTGGGGTGTGTGTCTGGGCTTATGCAGAGAATTCCTCCAGTAAAGAAATGCACTTTGGCACAGCAGATTTGCTGTCTGTCACGGGCATTTCTAAGAAAGAGCTGCTTTGGGTCACGGCTGTATTTCCAGGTTGCAGCTTCCTTGACTCCCTAGGCTTCTGGGGATATGTCCTCTCTTGTGGACCCACTGGAACCAAAAAAGTCTAGACCATTGCCAGTGTCTGCCCGGGCTAAAACCAGTAATTGGAGCTCTAGCATTAGATGTCCAGTTAGGGACCTGTGGGCTCTTTTGGGAGACAAAATGATATTTCCCTGCCAGTCTACTGCTAAGAGTACATTTGTTGTCTTGGGGACCCAGGTGAGCATATTTGGCAGAAGAAAAAGTAAGAGCTGGCTGCCACATGATGTTCCTGTGAATAACGAATAGACTTTTGGCTAAATTTGCTCATAGCCAGCTTTTAAGTCACTGTGCTGAGCAGTGCAAAAGAGTCAAGCCTTAGTCTTTACTCCATCAGCTTCTCTGCACCTGAGTTGCTGTTGCAAAGCTTTTTACATCGGATTTCTTCAGGGATCATTTAGACCTGAATCAGAGTTACCTGATTGCTATTTTCCCTTAGTAGTGTCTTCGTGCCACTGGCAGCCACACAGACACTTGAATGGCTTTGTTAAGACCAAGCTAGAACTTTTAGGGGAAGGCTGTGATTCTTGGGATGGGGAAGGAAGGTTTTGATGTGCCCCATGTGTACGTATAAGAGGCATTCCTACTTCATTGATTCATGCTCATTGTTTTAGGTTATTATGTTCTTGAGAGTAACAGGTGCTCCACAGGGTCCCTGATTTGAATGAATGACCAACAGTGAGGCAGTGGATCATTCTGATGTATTTGTGTCTCGCCCTGCTGTGCCCTGCAGCCAGTCCCCAGGTCATGTCAACACTGATGGCCTCTGCTTGGGTGGACTCGGAGGCGTTTCCTGTGAATCATTGCAGCGAGGTGTTTTCCAAGCTGTGCCTAACCCTGTTCACTCTGGTCTTCTGGTTTTCAGAATGGAGCGTCCTCTACGTGGCCGTGCTGGCTTCGGCTCTCGCAGTGCTCTTGGGAGGCGCAGCCTGGTTTTGTATCTGCTGCTGCAAGAGGTACCTGGCATGTGTATTTTTTCCTAGGAGATAAAGGCACATTACTAGGTGCAGCTCAGACACTGTTTACTTGGATTTGTTAAACTGCTAACTATGGGACAGACACTTTCTACCAGTGACAAGGCCCATTAGCCACTAGGCTCATGGCTAAGTGAATGGCGTGGTCCTGGGGGCAGCTGTCTCCTCCAGTGTTCATGTCCAGGGATGGCAGCCAGCAGCTCTGCATCCTCTCAGTGTGACACGAGTCTCCCACACCCCACTTCAGGGCTCTGCTGGTCTCAGCAGGGAAAGGAATTCTAGAAGTATACTGATATATCTGATAGACTTTGATTGTTTAGTTACATGAACGATCTGATCTATTTAATCCTTTTTAAAACATTTAAAACTTGAAGTGAGGCAGTCATACCACCAGGGAACTTTTGTGTCAGGTTTTTCCTTGGAGCTGATCCCTGAGAAGCCCCTGAGCCCTCTTATAGTCTGAATCTTCCAGAACCTTATGCTCCAACCTCCTTGAGCAGATCTGTAGGAAGAGTGATCACTTGAGTCCTCAGAAGAGAGCATTGTGTCTATTTTTCTGTACAATACATTGTAAATCCTCTCCAATGATATACTCAAAATAATAGGCATACTGAGATTAATAGCTATTTTTCAGAAATCACTTAAGAATTATTTTAGTTTTATTTGTGACTATGTTCCCAATGGTGACTGGTAAAGAGAGCTGTGCTCTGAGAAAGAGGCTTAAACCTCATTAAGTTTCTGCAGAACCTGCAGTGTGCTGTGTGTCACTGACTGGGTGTGAGTTCCACATTCTGCAGCTCTGTGACAGATTTATGAAGCAGACAGTGATGGCGATGATAGCAGTGATAACTGTGAATGCACAGTAAGAATTTCTCATTGTGGTTCATGGCTAAGGGCTTTCTACATATTATCCTCTGTCCTCCCTGCAGGAGGACACAGGGAAGGGGATATAGTTCCTGCTCCCACTTATAGGAGAGAACAAGGAGACACAGAAATCCAAAATAATTTTCTAAAGTGACAGCTAATAAGTGCTAAAGCAGAGGTGATAGGCCCATGGTCTGAATCCCCATCTGACAAGAAAATTGAACTTTCTGTTTGCTCTCTATGTACCTAAGCATGGATGTGTATTTTCAGCTCATCCTCTGCAGCATAGAATGAAGCACAAAGGGCCAGCCTGGTTTTCGTATGTTATGAAAAAAAATAAAAACTGGATTTTGCTAAATCTGGGAATTTACACCCCCACTCCCCAGTATCTCTAATTTCATTTCTGCATCTTTGGACATTCCAGGACACTGTAGTGTCAGAGGAGAACTTGCCCACCTAGGTCTTTCTGAGTACGGACACCCCCTGGATCAACACACAGATGTTAAGAGCTGCTGAGGAGCTCAGGTGTGGGTGAGGCCTGTCCCAGGGGTGATAGTGGCATGGTAGGTCACACCCCTGTGCATTTCTGCAAAATGTTTTTGCAAAATGTACTTAAGCACCTCTGCATTCTGACCTGGGCTCACACATACTCTTCCACAAGATGTGAGTGTTAGATTCTAAAGGCAAAACATTGCCCATTGTGTCTTTACGAATTTGAAATCCTGGATCTTGGTTACCATTCTGAGACCACGAGCTGAGCCTTTCATTGTTCCTTTCAGAAGGAAGAGGACTAAAATAAGGAAAAAAACCAAGTACACCATCCTGGATAACATGGATGAGCAGGAAAGAATGGAACTGAGGCCCAAATATGGTAAGACCATCTCTAGGATACTGAGTACAGGTATTTGGCTGAGTATTACCTTGGGTTTAAAGAAGAATAATAAGCAGTAGTCAGCTTAGAATGAGGAACGTAGGGCTCAGAAGTCTGCAGAAAAGAAGCACAACCATTGATCCTAACCATGTGCTCTGGGGGTAGAGGTGGGTGGAGGTAGGTTGGGGGTGGCTTTGTACCAGAAACATGATGACATTTGGCGGAGAGTTTGGGAAGAGGAATGGGAAATGCCTGTCACTTGCTGGTCCCTGCTGCGTGACCATGGGGCAAACAGTACTTTCTTGAGGAAGGACCCCAGTGTTTACCCCGTGCTTTGTGCTGGGCAGGAGGTAGGGCAGTCATTCGTCTTCCCCAGCTCCTCTCTGAATGCCTTTCCCATTTGTCAGACTGAATATGCAGCCAAGTGACATCTAGACTTTAACAGCAAGCATTTTTCAGCAGCTGTGTTCATAATTCTTGTGCAGAAGATGGACCCTTCACAAAGCATATTGATCCTCACATTTAGAATCGTGCCTCGCCTGCCTCAGTTGACTTTTCGCTTCCCATTTATTAACTGCTGCATCCTTCATGTGCTTCCTGTGGCCCTCTGAGGCTGTGTAACACTGATCCCATGGGTTTTCTGTAGTTAAGGGTTTATGACTCATTCTTTCAGAGGAGCAGAATCATTTGCGGAGCTGTGAGCTATAGTGTTCTCCTGCGGTAGTGTTGAGGGCAAAGGCTCAGGAGCTTGGCCTGAGGGAGGCCGGAGGTCTGATCTGGGGGTATGGCAGGTCCTGCTGAGGCCAGCAGGTTGTGGAGTTAGGAGGTGCTGGCTGCATGTTTGTAATGTGTTTATTGGGTGATCATTGTTTACATCACGCAGTTTAATGCCAGAGTACTGCAGAGCTACTGTATACCTAAAAGCTCAGGGTGTTTTGGGTTGTTTTATCTTGCCTACCTTCCACCTGGGGTGCACCTGTCCTGTTTCTCTGCCTCTTCCCCAGGTTTGGGAACTTGGTTACCTAACCAGCTACCTACCTCTCCTCATCGATTGCACTCTTCTTTATTATTGTCTTCATTTACTACCCTGGCTCAGTTCCTCCCTCTTTTTTTTGAGATGGGGTCTTGCTATGTACTTAAGGCTGGGCTTGAGCTCATTGTGTAGCCCAGGTTGGCCTTGATCTCACAGCAGTCCTCCTGCCTCAGCCTCCCAAGTGCTGTGATTACAGCGCTGTGCCACTATGCCAGGTTGGTTTGTCTTCTTTTAACCTGACCTCTAAACTAGCAGTAATAACAATAATCTTAAACAAGTATTCGTGCTTAAGTCATTCTGCGTATTTTCCACACACTTTATCCACTTAATTCTAATCCAAGTAAGTTAAGCATGTGAAGTATGTACCGAGATTCTCCCTCATTTTACAGAAGAGGAAACTGAGGCACAGGAAAGTGTGCTGAGTGCCCCGGGTGGGCGCAGCTGGAGCCCAGCCTCGTGTCCCCTGCCCCACCATGTCTTAGTCTGGCTGTGTGACAAAGTGCCATAGGCTGGGTGGCTCACACCATGAATGCTCAGAGGGCCGAGGTGGGGGTGGCAGTGGTAGAAGCTTCCCTCACCCGCACCTGGTGGAGGGGGCAGGGCTGCCGTGGGGCCCCTTTTGTGAGCACACTGGTCCTGTTTGTCACCTTCCAGAGGCCCCACCTTTTTTGGGAGTGACACATGATTTTTTGGTGACATAGCTTTTGAACCACAACAGCCCGTGTCTGTGGTTGGTTCTCCTGCATAGTGTGCTTCTGTTCATATCTTAAAATGTTTCCAGTGTGTCATTTCTTTGCTTATGGGATAAAAATCCAGACTTCAGGCTGCAGATTTAGCTCAATGATGTAAGCGTCTGCCTGGCAAGCGCAAGGTCGTGAGTTTGATCCCCAGTACCAAAAACAACAAACAGAAAAATGCAGACTTCATGGTTGCTGTGTTCCTGTGCTTTGCAAGGCCATGGCCTCTTCTCAGCCCCACCTTCATTATTTCCCACCTGAGTCGTATGCTCCAGGATCTGAGGTTTTTTGTTTGTTTGTTTTTAAGACAGGGCCTCTCTGCATTGCCTAGGGTGATCTTGGTTTAAGCATTACCCAAACTGATCTTAAATTCTTTGGTTCAAGCAATCCTCCTGCTTCAGCCTCCTGAGTAGCTGCCACCACACCCAGCTTATCTGCTAAACTAGTTTTCTCTACATCTTTCTGGATGTTTCTAAATACTCCGTGCCCCTTCCCTGTCTTCCTGTCCAAGAGCTCCTCTTTCTACAAATCTCATCCTATGTGAGAAGCAGTCATAGCCATCAGCACGTGCTTGTCTTGTTTCATGTACAAGTTTTTATATCTTACCTCTTTTGAGCTACTGTTTTGGGTGTGTGTGTGTGTTAAACCCCTAGCTAGACTCTAGAAGTTTTTTTTAAGAGAAGCAAACATGGCTTCTTCCTGTTCTGTCTTATTTTGACCCTCAGAAATGAAGTCTACTCAGAACACTTGATGGAACTCCATAGCAAACTCCTAACGGCTTTCCTTTCTCAGAGCTCCCTATGCACCTAATGCCGGGGCAGTATGCTGCGCTGCTGTCTCATTTAATCCCCACCTTAAGCCCCTGAATGCTGCATGTCCCTTTTCTATCTTTTGTTACATCCCAGTTTAATAAATGAGGAGAAAGGAAAACCCAGAGAGGGAGGTTAAATACCTTCCCCAGGGTTACTTAGCTGGAAAGTGTCAAAGCTGGGCATCCAGCCCCTGTTACTGCAGCCCAGGAACCCCACACCACCTGCTGCATTGTGGGTCATTGCTTTGAAGGTGAGAGGGCACAACTTCCTGTTCCTTATGTGTCCTGCAGCCGGAAGGACAGGGCTGAAGGTGACCAATCCTGTTTCTTCTAAGATACTCTGCTGCTTCTCCCCAGGTCTTAAGCATTGCAGCACCGAGCATAACTCCAGCCTGATGGTGTCTGAGTCAGAGTTTGACAGTGACCAGGACACCATTTTCAGCCGAGAACGGATGCAGCGAGGTGACAGCCAGGGTTCCATGAATGACTCCATTGGGAATGGCACTTCCTTCAGCTACTGTTCAAAGGACAGATAATGGTGCAGCACTGAAGCAGGGGACTTGTTCTGCGGCACCACATGCGACACTAGCTTTTGACAGCATCGTTTGTTGCCCCTCCCATGGGCAGGGTGTGTGCCCCTGATGAGCACAAGACTGCTTTCTTGGAATTTTCAAGAAAAAAAGAAACACAGTTTTGCCCGTTTAACTGGGATGCTTGTTAATAGGAATAAAGGCTGGGTAAAACTCCTAAGGTATATACTTATAAGAGTTTTGTAAGTTCGTAGCTGGTACCCTTTCATATTGCTCATGCTAAAATAAAAGGGGACCTTTATTTTAGACCCTTAGGGAAGATGACTTAAACAAGGATGTTGGGATAGCTGGTCACCCTCAGTAGCTGCAGTCACCTTCAAGGACAGCCGGCCAAGCAAGGCTTCTCCAGTCGGACCTGCAGCCTACAGCTGGGTGTCCTCCCTCGGGGAGGCTTGAGTCCTCTCCGTGCTGAGCTTGACACCTTCCCATGCCTTTGCCACAGCCAGCACTGGGTGTGTTCTCTCAAAACCCCCAGAGCTGAGGAAGAACTGAATTCAGGGACTGGAGACAACAGCAGGGGAGGCGGGGTTCAGAACTTGGAGGTTCAAAGTTGACTACAGCATTTAACATTCTTTGTCTTTCATTCTCTAAGAAAAATAGACCCTCACCTCTGTCTCCTATTATCAGCAGTGGAGTTGATTAGTAATTCAGGGAACATGTATCAAGCATGTAATGTATGCTGTGCCCTGGGCCGCCATGAATAAGGGTAACATCTCTGACTGTGTGACTGTTCTGAAGCAGCCTGTCCTGATGGAAACAGGATGGCCTTGATACTCTGGACTACAAGTGCTTCCCAAAGGGCACCTGGATGTAGACATCTGCATGTATGTTTAAAACATATTTAAAAATAAAACAAAAAGATTTATTAAACAGTTTTCTATCAAATCATTGTAAACATGGAAAAAGTTAAACCATTTCTACCCAATTAACTGAAGTTGATTGTAATTCAGCACAGAATTACGTGCTCATTAGTCCCAGCACTCTAGGAAGCGGACACAGGAGAATCCACAAGTTTGAACAACCTGGGCAACTTGGTGACATAGTGAGACCTTGTGTCCAGGTAAAATACACAAAGGGGTTAGGGATGTGGCTCAGTGCAAAGGACCTAGTTTCAGTGCCTCGTACCACAGAAAAAGTAGCCTGCCAAGGTGATTGGTCCCTGCAAGCCCCCAGCTGCTTGTGGTCCTGAGGCTTTGTAATGCCTAGAACATTCTTTGCGGGAAGAACAGGAAGAGAGAGAACCAGTGTTGTGGCATCACCCGAAGAGCATCCTGCTGTGTGTGCTTCATGACTTGCAGTGCAGCCAGGTGCCCAAGTCACACCCTGAGCACTGGATCTGAGAATCCTGCTGCACTGCCCCAGGAACTCCTACCCCAAATGCTGGAGGGTAAAATCTGCAGGGCCCTCAGGGCCTCCTGAGAGTTCTGCTCCTAGGATTTAGAAGGAGCTCTTTTAACATGGCCAAGAGCAAAGAACATGGGGAGAAAGCACCCACCTGTCGCTCCTGTTAGATCTCTGCTGGGCCACCCCTCCCCTGCCATCTCTCTCCTTTTCTGCCCGACTGTCTCAGCCTGGCCTCTGTGACCTTTCTACCAGAGGGGTCTTGAATCTATGGGGGAATTAAAAAATAAACACCACAGTGGTGATGAGAAACGGGGTCTCTTTTCATTACCCCACCCCGCATCAGAGGACAGAGCACAAGCTGGTATGGTCACCTGGCAGTCTTGATCTTGTGCTGCTTGTCATGGTCTTCAGGCGATGGAGCTTCGGGTAAACGGATGGGCTGCAAGAGTATGGGAGAGTGTGCGGGGCTCACAGCCTGGACCAGCATGGATATGTGCTGGTTTCGATTGAGAGAAAGAGGAACAGTATCTACAGCATCAGCAGCCCACACGTTTATACCCACAGAATTCTAAAGACAGTTTGTCACTCAGTAGGCCAGGCATGGTCCCATGAAGGTGGGGAAGAATCGGGGAGCTTGTCGTTTTGAGTGTGACCAAGCTGCTCTAAATCTTGGTTTTATTTTTGAAATTGTATGGCTTCCCTCATGTGTCCACAAGTTATGACTTGCTAATGTAATACTATTAAAAACATACACTAATCTATGTAGAAATGTTGGTGTTTTCTGTAATGCTGTTTTTTTCTTTTTTCTTTTTCTGGTATGGGGGATCGAACTTATGACTGGGGGCTTGCAAGGCAGGCACTTATGCCGCTGAGCTAAATCCCCAGCCCCTGTAATGCTGTTTTAAGGAAGATTTTTTTTTTAATGCTTTCATATAGAGGGAGTCCCTTAAGTATGAGTCAGAAACTGTCACCTGTAGCCTGTTCTCCTGTTCCCTGGCAACTACAAAAAGTGGGTTTTACATTTTTGAATGACTGAAAAGAAATAAAATATTTTGTTTCTTGCGACTTGTATGAAATGGAGATTTTTGTCCATTAAATAAAGTCTTACTGGAACACATCCACGCTTACTCATTTACATGGCTGCACTTAGAGCAAAGTTAAGGAAGTTTGACAGGAATTGTCTACAAAGCCTAAAATGTTTACTGTCTAGCTTTTCTAGAATTGATTTTTCTTCCCTGAAGTCTAATAGTCACTTACTGCAGACAGACTTCGGGGAGGAACTGCGCATGCTCAGCTCCGTGCTTCGGGTTCTCAGGTCACTGCAGCAGGCAGGTGGTGGCGCACTGCTGAGGTCTGGCAGTGTGGCGGCAGCAGAAGTGGTGCGGGGAGTTGGGCAGTCGGACTCCTGAGTGTGTATCCAAGACGGCATAACCTAACCCCGTTTTTATCACTAATAAAGCTGGCTTAAAAAAGTGTCTCTTGAGTACAGTTCACTTAAAATAAGCTGAACATACACAGAATGTAATTCAATGTTCTAATGTGTGTGCACATCACCATGGTCAAGCTCAGGAACAGAGGCACCACCCCCAGAAGCTTCCCTGTGACACCTGGGAACCTCTCCTACCCAGCACCCACTGGAGATTAGTGTGAATATTCTAGAGTTTCATATCAATAGACCCATACAGGACATACCTACTTCTGGAGCATTCTCCCAAGCAACTCCCACTCTGTATTTAACCCTGTCTCTTAGCAGTGTTGGTGAGGTCAGTGCTTATACAGGTCCAGTTGCTGGTGACAACTGAGTTCATTGTCAGGCTGGTAAGAACTCTGCATTGGTTTAGCAGAGACCAGAACTGTGCTTTCTAAAAATAAATGAACCACATCACACACACACACACACACTCGGGCCTCACAGTGGCGGGTAGTGGGGACCCAGCCTCCTCCTCTTTCTGCTTCCCTGTGGCCATCAGGTGGACAGCGTTCTTCTCCCAGGTGCCCCCACCCCCTAGGCAACAGGGCCAAGTGACCATGGATGGGAACAGTGCATGAAAGAAATCATTCTCCTCAGCAGTTGGTTATCTTTTGTCATAGCAATGGACAAAATACAGCAAAGTGGACCAAATACATTTTCTATTACTGAAACTAAACTTTATTTTTTTTCCAAATCCATTTTATTTCAAAGATGAGAGAAAAAATAAAAGGAAAATAAACTATCACAGAATTTCAAAACAGGTCAATCAGGGGGCAACAATGGTACATACATTGCGCATTGTCATCCTCAAATCTGAAACTAAACTTTTTTGGTACTGGGGATTGAACTCACGACCTGGTACTTGCCAGGCAGGTGCTTATGCCACTGAGCTAAGTCCCCGGCTAAACCTAAACGTTTAACCAAAGTATCCCAGTGTTCTGGGCTGAACTGTATTTCCCAGCCCTCCATATGCTGTGATCATGTCTGGAGATGAGGCCTTCAGGAGGTAATGAAGTTAACTTGAGGCAGCCAGGGTGGGCCCTAGTCCAGTTTTGCTGGTGTCATAAAAGATTTGGACCCCCCAGAAAGATATGGGCTACATGTGCACGGAGACCTCATGAGGACACTGTGAGAGGTGACAAGGGCTCTGTCCTCCAGCATGGACTGACCATACATGACAGGCGTGGGCTACAGAGGCCAGCCTGACTGGGTCTCTCACCACGAGGAACCCTGTGCTGCCCAGGGACTCACCTGCCAGAAAGCTGTCATCAAATGTCACCTATGATTGCACCCGAACCATGAGCCAAAATAAACTTCTCTTCTTTGTAGCATAATCTGTGGTATTATTGGCAACAGAAAACAATTTTAAAAATTCTCATAGACACAGTCCTCCCAAAAACACATTCTGGCTCTCACAGAGGGCATTTCTCACATCCAAACCCACCTAATGACATCCAAGAAGCACTCAGGTGGTCAGGGAGAAACTCACACGGACACTGTGACACAGAAGTAGGGATGTCGTCAATTCAACGTTTATTGATTACACACATGCCACTCTGCAGTAGACAGATACATACAATGTCCGCAACTAGAAAAGTTAGTCCTGTACACACATTTAAAAAGCAACGTATTTTATGTTTTCCACTATTTTTATTCCCAAATTTTACCCAACAAGGTAGAGCATGAGACATTCACAGCAGAAGTTATTATTCAAGTAAAATGCTATTTAAAATAGCTACATAAGGGCAATTAAAACATTGGGATCTATCCTTTAGAGGAAACAAGTTTTGTGGCACAGTTTCAAGTTCATCATGCCCGTTAATGAGAAAATGGGCTTTGTTACATTGTGCTTCTAATCCATATTTTTACTGAGTCCCTACATAAAAATAAAGATAGGCATGGGAAGACATGACAGTCTTACTTAAAACCCCTCAGATGGGCAGAAAGGGCTGTAGAGCAGCTGTGGAAATGGGGACCCCTGTATAGCTGGAGGGAGGGAGCCAAGAAATGGATTTTTAAGGCCATGACTCTTTCTTGTTCTATGATCACTGCTGGGAGCTCCCAGCAACAAGGCCCACAGCACCTTCTACAAGGCAAGTGTTCAACAGAAGACAATAATGCCCAGTAAATGTAGGAATATCCATCTCTCTCTCTGAGTCTACCTAAGGGACTGGCATACTCCTTGGAGGAGATGCCTAGTGATACTTCAGACTCATCCTGAATAGACTTTTCCATTCTGCACATACCATAAACCAGCAGGTGGCGTGTTTCACATATGGAATTTCATGTGTCATGAAAAACTCTTCAGAGCCCCCCCACCCCAACCATTTGAAAATATAAAACATGTCCTTGGTTTTTGGGTTTTACAAAAATAGTGGCAGGTCACATTAGGCTGATGGGCTATATTTTGCCAACTACAGGTCAAATGAGTGGATTTTTCCAGGTATATTCTTTTTTTTTTTTTTTTTGTCATTTTGAGACAGGGTCTCACTATGCAGTTTAGGCTGGCCTTGAGCTCACTTTGTAGCCCAGGCTGGTCTCGAACTCCAAACGACCCTCCTGCTTCAGCCTTCTGAGAGCTGGGATTATAGGCATGAGCCACCACACCCGGCCTCCAGTTATGTTCTTAAAACAGATACATGTCTAAAAATAAATCCCATATATCACATATAGTTACATTACTGAAAAATAACCCCTCCCCCAATGTTGATTCAAAGACTTTGAGTGGGGTTGGTAGCGTATGTTTAATGGTCCCAGCTGTGTGGGAGGCTGAGGCAGGAGAACTGTCAGACTGCACCTGCCTCTAAAAATTAAATAAATAAAAATTGAATAAATTAAATAAACAACAGTGGACTCTCATCCCACAATGCCAAGCCATTTTACTAAACAACAAACTATTCCCTTTTCAAATTATCTTACATTTTTTTCTTTTGGTGTTTCTGAGGACTGGACCTGGGACCTCATGTTCCACTGAACCGCTCTCCTGTACCTCCAAATTATTTTACTTACAAAACTAGTCAAATTTACTGCAGTGGTTGCTGGCCCTCAATTTATGTACCTGGTGAGCCAAATATGCAGGAAAACTTAAAAATATACACTTGGGCCAAGGAAACCACCAGCTTACAAAGTTAAATATGTATTGTAGAGTGTTCTTGCACGCATCTCTGCATTCGTATTTGATTTCTAGAAAACACCACCATAGTATTTGTCTTCTTGATAGAAAAAAGAGGGACACACACAAACCTTAAGCAACTTGGTGTTACACAAAACCACCTAACATCCAGGCAGCAGAAACCACCCGTCAGCACACAGTCTGGCTCTTGATGGGCCTGGGCAGTGTTGCTAGGAGGCAGTTTTGCTCATTCACCTTTGGACCTTGGGAAATGGTGGGCGTTAACCTGGTCAGACGTGTGGCAGCTGCTGCAGGACTACAATGTCCCTCTGGGCCCAGGGACTTTGGAGACTGTTAATTATCCATGCCGCCCCAGTCCGTGGCTCAGTCAGGGTGCTGAGTAAGACAGGCTCAGGAGCAGCTGTGTCCTCCAGTGCCACCTTCAGTCATACCTTCCTCCCATCGCCTGCAGTATCCACAGGACATGATGCGCTGAAAGGAGGGGACGGCCATTTGGCCAGACAGCCTGGGGCAGGCTCCTCGGTGACAGGAGGCCTTTCCAGAAGAGCCGAGGATTGTCCTACTGGGAGCTTTTTCTTTCAGGTTGACAGCCACTACTGGCCACAGGGAGTTCGTGATGAAATATAAGGTAGCTGTACTTGAAAATTTTTTTTTGTCTTTTTCCTTTTTTATTGGTACTGGGGATCGAACTCACGATTGCCTGCTTGCAAGGTAGGCGCTTATGCCGCTGAGCTAAACCTCCAGCCCCAGTACTTGAAATTTAAAGCAGTGAAGTGGGCTGGCAATTGTGGGAATCACTTCTTCTTTTGAAATCACAGTGGTAAAGGCGCTCTGCTCATTTGTAAGTGCAAGAGCAGGTGTTACTACACCAGGATGGACAGACTGACTCAGCTCTGGCAGATGGGCAGGTGGGTGCCAGGCTCCTCCCTCTTAGCTAAGAGGCTGTCAGTGTGCTGCTGGTGTCAGTGGTTCTGGGGTGGGGGATGGGAGGTCACTGAGCCACAGGGGCCGCGCCAGGCTGAGAGACTGTGTGCCCACCTCTGCACCCTCCTGCTTCTGCCAATCTTTGCTTTCAGCTTAGACCCCTTTCCTATAGGAACCAGAAGGAAGCTGAAGAAGGGAATTTGTGACAGTGATGACTTTTGGTCCAGACACAGGGAGAAGCACTCTGCATCCCCTACAGTGGCACAGGCAGCTCTGGGCTACTTCAGAGGCTACAGAGGGTCAGTCTGGCCTCTGCCTCATACACAGTGTCTAAAAAGGCTGCTGTTCTTGTGACCTGCCATACTCCTGGCTGGGGCCAGGCCACAACACTGGGCCTTTCTAAGAGGTCCAAGGGAGTCCACTCTCACTGCCTTGCTCTGGAGTGATCGGGTCATGCTGGGGACCCAGCTAGCTGTCCAGGATCTGCAGTCCCAGGCTCAGGTCTCAACCCCACTTACAGAGGAGGATGGGGATGATACATCTGCTTAGGATCATGAGGACTGGCTAAATCCTAAAATCCACTAATTCTAGTAGCCTACTAGTTTATTTAAAATCATGGATGGAATGTCCCCATTTACTTCGGTGAGTGTCCTTTCTTTATTTCTTAGGGAACCGAAGACTCCTACAGGCCTCCATAACACACATACTTGATTTCCAAGTACTCGTCAATGCCATACTTGGACCCCTCTCGCCCGAGACCAGACTGCTTCACGCCCCCAAAAGGGCACTCCACGGAGGAGATCAGCCCTTCGTTGACGCCCACCATGCCGACCTCCAGCTGCTCTGCCACTCTCCAGATCTGGGCCGGGTCCTGGGAGTAAAAGTAACCTGGCAAAGCAGAGGGAAGGACGGGTGTGACATGTACAGCCTTCCCTAGACATCCTGTCTGAAGCCGAGGACGCCAGGGGCAGCCCTTTGCCTGGCCGCTTGGCCTGGAGCCTCCTGGCTCCCAGATAAGCCCACGTTAGACCTCTCCATCTCTGCATCTCTGGACCCTGGATGTCATCTCTGTTCCTGTCCCAGCCCCCGTGAGGACTCTCACATACCCGTCAGACTGTGACACCACTGCCCTGCTTAGCTTCTCTAGCCCACCATGAATGCATATTAGATTTCCATACATTTTTGTTCACACCTTTTGGCGATTCCCGGTTTTCTGGAAAATAAGGCTGAATTCCTTAGTGGCTACTCAGACATTTCCCAATGTTCCAAGGAACAGTTACAGCTTTACCTTCCATCCGTCGCTCACCAGCCTCTCCAAACTAGCTCTCATCTCTCCTCACCAAACTTGTTTTTCTCTGAGCTTTTCTGGTCCCTTCGGAATCTCTCTCCTCTGACTCAGCATGATCAGAATTTTATCTATCACTTACAGCCTAGTACCTCCACCATCAACGCATGGACAAGGGAAGAAACCAGTCCTGAACTTGGTATGGCAGAAACCCTGTCCCCACATCTGACTCTGTAAGTAGGTGACGTGGGACAGGAGAGCCCACAGCCTGCTCACTCCCTCCCTGGATGTAACAGGTTCTTCCATGTGGAGGGGAGGCTTCCATGGAGCAGCAGTGTATTGCTCCTGTGCCTCATATTTCCTCCCTGCCACATTCACTGTGGATGCCAACATGCTCACTTTCTCAGGACTACTGGGCAAATGCTGTGCTGCCTGACCACTTGCCAACTGAAGGTCAGCAGCTCCTGCCCACACCTCCCTGCCTTTTACTCTCTGATGATGCCCATGGTCTACGCTTTCAGGAGAGGCAAAATAGAAGCAAGAGCACTTGAAATTTTGGGGTGCTATGCTCCTGAGAACACACAACAATGTGCACCATTCTCTCTCTACTGTCCCATCTCTGACCAGTGACCATCTCAGTGTCCCATAGGGCACAAATCAAAATAATTATTATTATTATTATTATTATTATTATTTTGTACTGGGAATCAAACTCAGGACATTGTGCTTGCCAGGCAGGCACTTTGCCCCTGGCCCAAGTCAAAAGAATTTGGTCACTCAAATCTGACTTGCCACTTGGAAAGCAACGTTATGTGTTTTACTTGAGTTTTTTTTCTCAGAATCCAGAGCAGTGGTTCAAAATGCATGGCTGGCAGCTGCTGGAGAAAATAAATGTGACCACTGCCCAACAAGCACGAATGCCTACCTGCTAACCCGACGTCAGTGGCATTGGCAATCGCGATAGCCTCCTCCTCTGTATCGAACCTGGAAGTTACAACAGGTCATAAACAGAACCTCCAAAGGGAAGAGTACAGAAACCCAGCTTTCTTTTCTTCTGATTCATTTACCGAATAATGGCAAGAGGTAAATCACGATTTTGCAAAGAGATTCAGGGCCAGAGAGCAGATGAGAAGAGCACCAACTGCTGAGGGACTCAGCATTCCTGCTTGAGTGTTAGTTCAGTCCTGGCCTCAGCTCTTCTGGGAAGATGAAGAGAGAGCAGGCCAGCGTGCAGACATTGTGACATGTCAGACCACCACACATCCCCTAAGGAATGGATGTTCCTGGTGCCACGAAGAACTCATAGTCATAACTGCTTAGATGGCATCAGCTGTGCTCAGGGTGGAAGCATCACAGATACTACCCAGAAGCAGGCACGAGGCAGTAGAGGAAAGCCATTCAGAGGCAGAGGACAAGGCCAGCTTTAAAACAGGCTTTGCCACTTACTCCTGCTCCCCAGACTCACTGTGTGTGGCGTCTGTTCCTCTCTGAAAGAAAAGATTTGTGCCAAAGCCCTCTGCAGTTTCTTCCAGCATTCTAATTTTATTTTAGGAACAAGATCTGAGTGGTATTTTTCTGTTATTACAGAATTATAACTGTGGCATGAGGTTCTAAGCATTTAAATATGGAGACCCTCTAGCAAAGGGAACCCACTGTCTCTGCAGGGCTATGCAGAGCACACTTGGAAATTTTTAACCTGCCTGAGGTTATGACACTAGGCAGCAAAGCCTGAGTCTATACCCCTGTCACCTCCAAAGCCTGCACTGCTAGCTACTGCATCCTTTGGCTACCTGAGAAAGCATCTGGTTCATGTTCTAGGAGTAACATTTCTATTAAACTGAAGGATGAACATTTTTTTTTTTTGTCGGGACGGGGATTGAACTCATAACTGCATGCCTGCAAGGCAGCCGTTTATGCCGCTGAGCTAAATCCCCAGCCCTGGATGAATGTTCTTGAAGTAGTATATTTCTGTAATGCTGGGATAATATGTAATCTCCACAAGCAAAATGGTACCAAGGCTAGCAAAGTACATGATAAAAACAATTTCTGACCCTGGGCAAGTGCAGCTGCTGGAGATGCCAGAGGGGAGAGAAGGAGAATCATGACTTGAAAAAGCTCCATCAGCAACAAACACCAAAAATATGCCAGACACTTTTGCAGGCCAGGAAGGTGGCTGAGTGCTAGAGGGAAATGGTGGCCACTTCTGGAGCTGTGGAGGTGAGGCACAGCACCCCCATCACACCCTTGAATTTCCAGCAATCTTGTGTGTAGTCCTGGACTCCTGGTTCTGTGCTAGGTTCTAGGGGACAGCAGAGAGGCTCAGGCAGTGCCCACACCCAGCTGCCACACCAGCCATACACAACAAGCATGGGCAGGAACAGGGGGTGGCAGCCTCATTTTCACCAGCCTATTGCGATAGAGATAACTGCAAAATACTCAGGAGGAAGGGATACTGCAGTGGGCGGAGAGGTGCTGAGACAAGATTGTGGTGCTGAACCCCCAGCCCCACCCTGAAACTTGGCCCTTTTCCCCTAAATACATCAGGAGCTCAAACTTGGGTCTCAGCTTCTCACAGCCTCATGGCAGGTGTCGAGGATGCACAGAATTCAGGGCCCAAAGATGAATTCGCATGGGAAATCAGGAGACGGCTGGGGAGCTCTAAGACTAAAAACTGACGACAAACAGCACAGTGTATGCCAGACCAAGAAGAAACCGAGAAGCAGAATAAAAACATAAGACAAGGGATAAACAGCTCCAGCAGATTTGGGGGGAAACAAAGCAGGAAGATACAGGGAAGAAATGACTGTAAAGATCAAAGGGCAAAAAGGTAGGGACAAAGAACTCAGGGAGTGGGCGGTGCATCTGAAGAACTAAGACACAGAAACTCAGAAGTCTCAGGGTTTCTCTTATATGAGAAAGCCGAAATACAAGCAAGGAGAAAAATAAAGGCAGGCTTTTTGGGGAAGAGGAAGAAATTGGAAAGGGTTGGAGGGATGGGACAGAAAACAATCAAGATATGTGTTATATATGAGCCAGTTCCCCAAATGAACATGAATGTCATTACTGCAGACACATCCCAATGAAAAAGAGGCAGAAAAGTAATCCAGCACCTGGAGGCGAAGGGCTCTCAGAAGACATCAGGAGGGACGAAGGGATGGAAGGAACAGGTAAGAGCAGCGGAGGCCACAAGTAGCAACCCCATGGTAACCATGGCTGGTAAAGGATACACAGAGGGGAGGAAACCTCTGTGAGACATAACGATCACAAATTTCCCAGGGCTGAATGAACACTTCAGATGTTAAAAGAAAGACATCAGGACCTAAGCCCGGCAAAATCCTGGGGCAAGATGCACCAAAGCCGTTGCAGGAAGAAGTAATAATGTCAGAGGCCAAGGGAATTCTAAGCATTTCCAGAGGTTAAAAAAATAAACTGATGAATTAACTCTGCTCTTCGGTGGATGGGCTCGGTCCTGATCCCTGCTGGGCCCCCAGCCCCAGAGCACAGGAAGCTCTGCTGCGTCTCTGGTCTTCCCTCAGGTTAGAGGAGCTTACTTGATAACTGGTGCCAGCGGCCCGAAAGTCTCTTCGTGAGAGCAAAGCATGTCCACCGTGACGTTGCTGAGCAGGGTGGGCTCGAAGAAGTTTCTCCCATATGAGTGCCGCTTCCCGCCTGTCACCACGGTGGCGCCTTTAGAGACTGCGTCACTCACGTGCTTCTCCACCTGTGTGACAAGGAAAAGAAGAGCACTTAGGGAGGCTGGCTGTGGAGACTCCACGTGGCACAGTCTCTTAGAATGCTCACACTGCAGAAAACTAATTGGTCTTCTTTTGATTTCCTGGGGTCACTTTCCTTTCCCTCTTGTGTGAGTCCCAGACTCTTGGTCCCCTGTCATCCAACTATGTGTCTGGTTTCTTCTGATTCATTCTCTTCACTATGGGTCTGCACTTCTTCCAGATGGGGGCACTTCTGTTCCCAGAAAGTGTGCTTAGCTGATTTTGTGGCCCAGCAACATCACCAAGTACACCAAGTGCATACCTACATGTACACTACAGCCCGTCTGCTTCTCATTCTGTTCACTTGGACCTGGTAAAGGCTCTTGATCTAAAGAATTAAGTTATTTTCCCCCAGCTTTGAGAAGCTCTTCTCAATTATTTATTGGATAAATGACATTTCCTCCATCTTCCCAATTCTTTCATTCTATAGCTCCTCACAGTAAGGAGTCTCTCCCCTCTCCCAATTTACAGATAGTCCATTAAACAGATAATGAATTTTCTGTTTAATGACTCTTTGGTTTTATGACTGAGGTGCCTTGCTCAGACTTATGACCCACATTCAGACTTACCACGCAGGAATGTGAGTGGCAGTGGGCTTTATGGTGGCTTCTTCTACAATAAATGACTGTATTTTTGCTGACTGTATGGTGGCTATTATAGCTTTGTGTTTCATTATACACTACAGCACTGTATCAGAGTTATGCAAATAAAAGCAAAATCATCAGGTTGGAACTTAACCACTTCTTTCTTCTGAATATTGTAATGTACATAGTATGTATAATTCCTCACTTAGGGACGCAGTCATTCAATGACCTAGTTGCAGGAACAAAGCTCGGTCATTAAACAAGTTGTGTCTGTAATTCTAATTTCAAAGAGCTTGGCTATATTCTTTCTCTATGATTTGTTTTATTCCATGAGTTCTCTCCAGTTTTATCTTCTATCTTCAGCTGCTGAGTTTTTGGACAGTTGTAGTTCAGACTGTCTCGCTTTCATGGCTTCACTTTCGTAGACACGCTCCTTGTTTTGCAGGTATACCGTCTCCTCAGCACTCACAGAGACTTCCTCTGTGTTGCTCGGCTGTCTGCTTCCTTCAGGGTCTGCTGTTTCCTCCTGCAGACTTTGCTTTTCTGTGCAGATGGCTTTCAGGCATCAGGACTGTGGTCGCCTTTGCTGTGAACTTGGGTTTATTCTGACGTGGCAGCATCCCACGGGGCGGCTCCCTTTCCCCAAAGGACACAGGCAGAAAGGTGTCACTCCTGAAGCCGGCACCCCTGGGCCAGCTGCTGATTTTTCCAGAATAACTGCTCTGCCTGGAACAAGTGTGTCCGGTGGCCTGTGCGTACTGGGGTGGGAGGGCTGGTGTGGGAATGAGCCGGAAACAGTGCACGAGTGTACCCCACTGGCTCCAGGGTTCCCTTCTTCAACCCCCCACTCCCTGTACAACCTATTCCAGACAGGCTCCGATGCCCTCTGCAGCTGCCCAGGACAGGACCGCCTGCTTTGATTTTTCTATTAACATAGCCCCTTTGCGCCTGCGGAATCATCACATTCTCTGGAGTCTTCCTCTCCTCCACTGTTGGCTGAATTTTCTACAGCATTTCAGAAGAGACACAATGATAGGCCTGGGCACATTCGGCCATCAAGATTCACTCATTTTGAATTTAAAAATCTCATTGCCGGCACAACTTCCTGTTAGCAGGATGGCTTTCAGTGATTTGTATTTTAGAAATCTATTTATAACTTATTTAACAGCATCCTACTTCCTTAGCCCTAACAGAACATGCTTTGCCCCTCTCTGTATTAAATGTGATATATAGTACTTTTTCCTTAAAGCCCCCGAGCCAACCCCATTCAATTTTATTTTTCCTTTTTTGGGGGATGAGGATGGAATCCATGCCTTCACACATGTGCTCTACCACTGAGCATATCCCTAGCCTGAAACCATGTCCTTACACAAGGTTATTTTTTACCAAACTCCACTAAAGCAGTTGTATTTAATTGAAGTTCTAGTGTGCAGCGCCCTCTACAGGGCAATATCTGCATACCCACTTAAGGGGAAAAAAACCCTCCAACACAGCACCCACCCAGACTGGCTGCAAATGAGCATCCTCTGGGCACTTAAAAGGGTGTGGCACAGTGATGCTTGATTGTGTGAGGCTCTGGCTTTCATTTCCCAGAACTACCAACAAAGCAAAGCAAAACAAACCAGAACAAAGCAAAAGCCTTGGCCCTACTTGAGACAAATTAATAGTCAGCAGCCTGGGGACACAGGCATGGTACCTGTGAAAAGCACGGGGGTAGAGTGTTGAGAATTACCATTTGGGACTTGAACTCAGACCACCTTCACTAGACAAGCCACTGTCCCTGTGTTCCAGCATCCAAAGTTACCTCTAAAATGCAAGTGGTATCCTGTGAACTTTAATGCAATTTCTGTCCTGAGAGTAACACAAGTAATAACCAGACACTTGTCAGAGCACTCTCTGACCTCCATGCTTCCTTAGGGGACAGCAATGGCTATGGATTTGGCTGAAGTGACCGCCCATTGGGTCGGGGTGGTCATGGGTCTGAGTCTGGCCCTCTGGCTCTCAGGCTGTGAAGAGTCCACAGGGGCGTGGACTGTGTTGTCCCTGTGAACACTGCCTCTGCCTTCCTTAATCTTGGTTCACCTAGGAATTGGCTGAGTTCCACCTGTTACCCACCCCAGCCTCCTCCCTCCTTCTGTCCTACAAACCATTTCCAACTGCTGCATCTGCCTGATTTTAAAGACTGTTAAAATCCTTGTCTAGGCAACATATTGGACATACTGAATTTCAAGTATTATAAGAAAGTTTCTCACCACTCTAAAAACACGGGAGAGCGAAGAAATCTCACCTCACTAGTAATCTAGCATGCATCATTTCTTTCATCACACAAACCCTTCCTGAAAGAGGTTTTATTTTACATGTCTAAATCCTGAACAATGGCACCCATGATTTTCTATTTGCCTGCTGGAGAGCTTTCCTCAGGAATTCTCCAGGAAGGGTACTTTGTCATTAAAAGAAGAATTACAACCATTGTGATAGAAGACTTAGGGAGGGAAGTAGATATCATAAGATCCCAGCGTAATGGCAGCTGGAGAAGCTCATGGTAAGACAACGCCCCCGACCATGCGCCTTCCCAGCCTTACTGGGCATTTAACCAAAGTGATTTTGCTCAGCTAAGCTTTTCACTTTGAAGCCATAGAGTTTACTTTCACAAATGCTAACATGAACTTACCTTTTCCACTGCTTTTTCATTAATTAGTGGGCCTTGAGTAGTTCCCTCCTCAAATCCATTCCCTATGTGCAGGCTGTTGTGAATTGCTTCCGCAAATTTTTTTACAAAGGAATCGTGGATGCCCCTTTGCACCAAGAATCGGTTTGCACAAACACAAGTCTGCAGAGGGGACAGAAACAAACCCACAGAGTCAGTTTGTTGGGAGCTATTGGTCCAACCAGGAAATGTGACACAGGTTCCTCCTTGCTGGGAAAACTTCCCCAGGTGGCTCTGTCATGGGTGCAACCTGCTGCTCTCTTCCTCTGGGTGGGCTGGGCCCCAAGATAACTGCACTTCCTCTCTGCCTCCCTCCATAGAAGCTACACGCCTACAGTCACACATGTGAGCAAGGATAAGTATCTCTGTGTACAATAGGACTAATGGCCACTTATGCTGTTTTTTTTTTTAAACAGCTTGAATAAACTTATGAAACAAATAGGAGAGGGGGCCACAACCCTCCTGAGGGAGCAGTTCAGCAGCAACAGCAGAGAGGCTATAAAGAATGAGATCAAATGATAACTTACATGTTCTAGCTGATCCTTCCAAGTGTTTACCTGAATCTGTCATTTTAAAAGTGGACCAGTTGAGCACAGTGGTACATACTTGTAATCACAGCACTTGTGAGGCTGAGGCAGGAGCATTACTGTGAGTTCAAGGCCAGCTTAGGATGTAAGTGAGTTCAAGGACAACCTGAGCTACATATCGAGACCCAGTCTCAAAACAACAACAACAAAGCCCTTATTTCACATCAGTCTCAATTACTGAAAAAAACATTGCTTATTTTTTTCCTAATCAGATCCTTATTTTAAGCTGTAAAAAGTAACTAAAAGAAATGTAATCACTAATCAATTTTTTGTCATTTTTCTTCATCATGTACTATCTTACAGTAGAAAAAAGTATACATTGAACTTCAAATACTCTGCATGTTTATTGCCATAAAGAAACCTATCCAAAGTTGTAACCTGATGGTTTAACACTGAAGACAATACACATTGGCATTGGTGTTTGTAAAGGGAAGTATATTTATTTCAATCAGGTGAATTAAAGTTATGAAAAAGGGGAAAAATTAATTACCAAAGGTCAAAACAAAGATGAAATTTGACATAGAATAGTATGCAACATTTCACCTTTTCATAACAGAACCTTTCTGGTGTATTTATTCTATTTCCCGAAAGCATTTAAAATGATGGTATATTAAGGTCACAGCTAAAGACTACTTCCTGAGAGCCAGGCTCCTGGTGGCAGCTGGGACAGGGTCAGAGAGGCTGGCTCTGTGTGCAGTGCTCACTCCTCAGGGTGGTAATTCAAGTCACACTGTTTTTCCAGAGTTTCCCTTTCTCATCTGTAAAATTTGAGGTTTGCGTCAGATGACTTGGAAGGTCCTTGACAAATCTAATATTCCAGGATTTCCTAGGCAGATGCGACTCTCCCAGGACAATCTGGGAATTGTCCACACACCCTTTATTGGGTGTTCCTGAACCCTGATACCCTGAAACCCAAGCAGGTCTTGGCAGGAAGCAGGGTTCTGAGTTTTTCCAAAAACTATTCTCAGAATTTCCCTTCCTTTCTTCTTTCCTTCGAGATAGGACACCTCAGAGCTGAAGGCTATTTTGTGTCTAAGAAATGGTTATATCTGTTTAGTAGAGAAAAGCCCAATGGAAACAATCAGATTCAAGGGGTAGAAGTGAGAAGAGAGGATTGTTTAATGGAAACACATTTGCAATTCACTAAATCCTCTGAAGCCAGAAACACATACTTCTCTGTGGTCTACTCAGGCCTTGCAGTCCTTAGCTAAATCAAAGGGAATATATAAATATTTGCTGAAAGAATGAAGTAGCCAGAAGTGAGACAGACCAGACAAAGCCCAACATTTCCCTTGTTTAGCTGACAGCCAGAAGAGGGCATGCTTTGGCTAACAGTTACAGGGGCAACTGTGCTGGCTGTCCTGCACAGGCAAGAGATGCCTGCCCTGATCACAGTAGGCTAGAATTTGAACCAATCAGGTTTGAATCAGCAGGCCTCAAATTTGGACCAATCAGCAGACTCAAACTTGGATTAATAGGCTGGGCTGAATTTGGACCAATAGGCTGGCTTCAATTTGGGCCAATCACAGTCCTGCTGTCGCTCTAACCCCTAGCAGCATCCCCTGACACTCCTGTGGTTAACCTAGGAGGACTTTCTCTGGTGTGTGTAAAGTGTTTTTTGGTAGCCCTGTAAATCTGTTGGTTATGTGAAAGGGAGCAGAACAGGTTGCTTTCACAAAGAGCTATATGTTACGGGGGCCAGCTGTGAAGAGCTCCAGAGAGCAGCAGAAGCTGCTGAGAAAGTTCTAGATGGCTGCTAAGGTTAGAGCCTTGGCTACTGAGGAGCTGACTGGAGGGGTACAGCTTCAGAGTTGTGACACCTGAGGGCAGAGCCCAGCTGGGTGGAGGTCTACATTCTGGAGAACCCAGACTGTAACACCAAGGGCTGAGAGGTGCTGTCTTTCAAGGTGATTTCCACTCCAGTTAAGAGAAATAATCCTCAGGAGATGAGCAGGTGGAGGAGGTGGTACTGTGTGATCTTTGTTAAGGCCCACATAGCTGCACCTCCGACCCCGGAGATTTTAGTAACTCACCTGACCAGCGTTCCTAAATTTAGATGCCATGGCCCCTGCCACGGCCTGATCCACGTTGGCACTGTCGAAAACGATGAATGGGGCCAGGCCGCCCAGCTCCATGGAGACCCTCTTCACAGTGCTGGCTGCGTGGCGTAGCAGGACCTGCAGGCGGCAGGAAGCGTGCAAGGCATGAGCAACAAACCCAAGGACCGGGCCACAAGGCCTCTGCTGCAGGCGTCACCCAGAAAAGAAAGAAGGTGCACACAGTGTGTATGGGGCGGTAGTGAGCACAGGAAAGGGGAGAGATGGAAACGTGCATTCACACTTGCTTACATGTGATAAAAGATAGTAAGGAAGTAATAATTGTTCATAGAAGAGACCAGCGGGGGCTGTGATGGAGGAGGCAAGGTGGGACTTCTCAGCGTAAACGCGGTAACACTGCCTCGAATTTTGTACCATGTAAGTATTAAAATATAAGGGGTAGGTTTAAACATCACAAGATAGAGACAAGGTGAGGAAAAAAATCACCCAGAATTCCTCAAGCTATGGTTTACCACTGAGAGCATTTCAAGGTATATATTCAGAATGTATACTTCTTCTTTGAAAAATAGAAAATAATAAGGTATAATCATACAGCTTTGTAACCTGTTCTATCTTCCTCATTAGCCATTTAACTGTAACATCATAACATTTCATAACACTTCACACCTTGGCTTTTGTTTTTTTTTAAGATAGGATCTCACTATGCAGTTCAGACTAACCTTAAGCTCATTATATACCCCAGGCTGGCCTCAAACTTGTAGTGATCCTTCTGATACAGCCTCTGGAGTGTGTTGATTACAGGTGTGCACCACCATCCCCAGCCTCTTGTTCCTTTAGTGTAATTCTGTAATGTGAAAACCTGCTTATGGCAGCACATATGATTTTAGAGCATTCCTTTAGATGCCTGCATAATATTCCTCTGTGTGACTATACTATAACTTTTATTATCCATCCTCCAGATGTGGACATTTAAGTGGTTTCCAATTCTTTGCTGTTAACTGCAGTTATTCCCTCGAAATAAATTTATAGGACTTGTTCAATGGACAAGTGTTACTTCTTGTACATATAATTATTAAACTCCACTTCGAGATTTATGGCTAAGAAAGCTGTTCAGGATATTTTATTACAGGACAGTAGGTCTTTGTCCAATCATGGCTATGAGAAAGACAGACCTACTTGAGAGAGTTCAAGTGAAGGAGACCAAGTTCAGGCTGGCCTTGAGCTCACTATGTCGCCCAGGCTGGCCTCAAACTTGTGGCCTCCCAAGTGCTGAGATTACAGGCATGCGCCACCATGCCTAACTTAAACATATTAGACTCAACACAAATATTTTCATTTTAAATTTCTAAAAAATGCTACTACCAGGCTGTTGACTTCAGAATTCACTCCAGTGTGAAGATGGTTTCCACATGGGGTCCCTGTTGAGTCACTTCAGCTTGTCTTCCTCACAGCGATGGCCCACCTGGCTTAGCCTGCCCTGGGCCCTGGAGCTGCAGCAACACTGTCCTTTCCTGGTCTTTTCGGCCTTGGTGCCCACAACTGATCTCCTCAGGACTCGGTGTCCTGGGATTGACTGTGATTCACCTGGCTCCTGTCCTCGGCCACTGTCGGCCTCTGTATGCTGTTTCCCTCGGGGGACCACTCACAGGAGACACTAGGTGTCACAAGCTGTTCCACTCTGCAAGGCCCTGGGAGCAGGGCAGGGGTGTCTCCAGAACACCGCCCTGTGAGTGCTTCACCTGGGAGGTAAGAATCTTTGTCCTAGGACCAGGAGGTGAAGACCGGCTCAGAAGAGGCCCCGACACAGGGATCAGCTGTTGTCGCTGCTCTCATGGGTGGTGTTACCACCTTGGTGCTGAGGATTGAACCCAAGGTCTACTCTCCACATCCAGCCTGGATTCTTTTTGCTATGTGTATCACTGTTCCCTTTAAGTCACTTGAGCAAATCCCTGTCCTAGGTAAAGAGAAGCAAAGCTAGACCTGAAGGAATACAGCCGACACCTTCCTAGAGACCAGACCGCTGCTGGCAGTTGCTGAGGAAACCTCGGAATGAGACAGGAGAGGTCACTGCCCTGGGCCCAGCACTCTGGGATCTCCCTGGCCTGAGCAGCAAAGGTGTCACAGCCTTTTTCCTTGTCCTCTCTCCCTCAGCTTCACAACATCCGAAGCCTTCGATATCTGAGAGTAAGTGCGCATAGCCAGATCCACCAACTAGGGGTATGGCAGTTTACGGACCTAACATCCCTGCTCTGAGAGGAATGGATGACAGATGAGAGGGCTGGATGGCAATGAGACAGGTGGACGGCAGGCGAGATAAGTGGCTGACAGATGAGACGAGTGGGTGGGAGGCATCTAAGGGCTGCTGTCTGCGCGGAACTGTACATGACAAAAGTGACTGTGCTTGGGAATTATATGATAAGTGAATTATTCCATCCCGCTTTTCATGCTTTCCAAAACTAACAACTTTCACAAAAACCTTCAGATTTGAATTACATTTAGTCTACTGTTTTTTACATATGCCTAGCAATGGGTATATCCATGCATGCAGGTATGTACATATACACATACACATACATGCAGTAGGAAAGGGTATATCATTTCTAAACATTGTAAATAAGAGTTTTGGTTCCACCCTGACTTTTCCCTTTTTTTTTAAACTTTTTTTTTTTTTTTGCTTTTTCATTTTTATCGGTACCAGCGATTGAACTCACAACCGCACACTTGCAAAGCAGGTGCTTATGCCGCTGAGCTAAATCCCCAGCCCCTTTTTTTGAACATCTAAAAGAATCAGTACAAATCTACTCCCAGGCACACACATGAAGTTTTAAAGAAAGGACTTGCTAACACTTAAGGAAAACAATACAGCTAGGAAAAAAAAAAGATTTTTCCTTTTCCATCAATACCTTTATAGTAAATACAATGTTCAGTTCTAAGACACTCATCTCAGCATCCTTGGTGAGTTTCTGGAATCCTTAATTTTAGTAAAGAAATGTACAGTCTGGATTTGAAGAAATGTGATGAATAGTATCCTGCTGCTCGACACTAAGCAAAACAATAGGAAAACAATGATACTGCTCTGGTACTGTCACCTAGAAGCCCGTGTCATGTCACAATAGGGAACACTGCTCCAGATATCTCCATAGGATGAGAACATACTGTGTTAGCAAAGCTCTAACACTCTGCTAGAAATCTTTTAAAAGTCTGTGACGAAAATAAAATAGTATTTTTAAACTCTATAAAAAGAAAGCCAGGTGTGACGGTGCATGCTGTAATCCCGGCACACGGAGGCTGAGGCAGGAGGATCACCACAAATTCAAAGCCAGCCTGGACTACACAGCAGGTTCCAGAATAAAAAACAAAAACGAACAAAACCCCCCAAAAACCAAAACCCAAAACTAAAACAAAACAAAACAACCAAAAAACAAAAAACCGGCTCAGAAGAAGGAAAGAAAAATATTAGAAGGGCTAGTTTTCTTTGAGACCTACCACGCACCTTTCCCGTGACCGTTGAGCCGGTGAAGGAGATCTTGGACACCAGTGGATCGGTGCAGAGCACCTCCCCAACCTCACTGGCCTTGGCTCTGGAGCAGGGGACGACGTTGTACACGCCGGCAGGGATGCCTGCCTGGTTTGCGAGCTGGAAGGCAAACAGCCAGCGTGGTGATAAGTTATTAGACAGAGACAAACAGAAAACTGAAGTGAATAGATGAGTGAGCAAAGATTAACGGCAAGAAAATGAAGCTGACCCTGGGCTCCGAGTATCTGTCTAATCTGTAATATCCACACTACTGAAGCAAGCATGGGCATGGTGTGCAAACACGTCTGGGCTGGGGGGTAATTCGGGACAGTCAGGCGAGGCCCTAGGTTCAATCTCCAGCACCAGTATATATCAATATTTATATGTAAGTAATTACACATTTATATATTTATGTTTTATACGCATCTAAATCTGAAATACAATTTTTAGTGCTAAAGTGATATTAACATTAATGCCTGTTAAACATTATTAAAATAAATTTCTTGGGGGTGTAAATTTTGCTGTCCCTTGCTATTTAAACATCAGATTTCCTTCCCAAGAAAATACAAAGGGGTATTCAAGAAAAAAGGTGGTGATTTTCCAGCCAGAGGGTGGAAAGGTGTTTAGGGTAAAGCCATTGGTGCAGGGCCACAAGCAAAGTGCCTCTGAGTCCCTCTCCCAGGGTGCCGAATAGGAGAGAGTGTGTGTGTGTGTGTGTGTGTGTGTGTGTGTGTGTGTGTGTGTGTTGTGTGTGTGTTGTGTGTGTTGTGTGTATGTGTTAGCTTTGCACTGTTTGAGGCAGGGTCTCACTATGTTGTCCAAGGTGATCCTCCTGCCTCAGTCTCCAGAATGCCATGCCCAGCCAGAGAGGAGAGAATCGAGGCAGAGAGATGAGCTCAGCCAAGGTGTCCCCAGGCTCTAGCAGGGCAGCTGCTGTCCAGGGCAGCCCACAGGGGAACTGGACTCTCTCCATGGTGATTCTGTTTCGGTAAGACATGTCCTGAATTATTTGAATTTCTGAATCCCGTGAACATAACTTATTATATAACTCTTACTGGGATTCTGGGAAGATGGTGGTAGAAACAGTTTCTCTAAATCTTCTCACGAAGACAGCAACTGGGTAGTGAGACCAAAGTATCAGTGGCATTGATAGCAAGACAGTTAAAGGAAATATTCATGACACAGGTGGATCCACCAGCTGTCCGCACATGGGGAGCACCTGGAGGCCTCTGGACACCCGTGTGAGGGGCAGAGGGCAGCCACGGCCACAGGGGCTTGGAACCACACACAGAGCCAGGCGCCCACACACAGCAGCTCTGAGCAGGACAGGGATGCTCAGATAAGGCTGAGGAAGGGAACCGAGCCAAGGAATGATTTTCAGTAGTGGGGACTCAGCCCAGCACTCTTGCACTGAGCCACATCCCCATCCCTATTCATTTTTTGAGATAAGGTTTGCTAAGTAATCAAGCCTGCCCTCGACTGTACCATCCTCATGCTTCAGGCTCCTGGGTAATGGGGATTATAGGTGTGCACCTCTGCAGCTGGCTCAAGGCTGAGGGTAACAGGCAAGGTCAGAGGGCACCAAAAGTTGGGCGGGCATCACTGTAGTACCGGAAATTGAATCCAGGTTCTTCACACTGAACCAAATCCCTGGCCATTTTATACATTTTTAAATTTTAAGACAGAGTCTCACCAAGTTGCCCAGGCTTGGTCAGAACTTGTGATTTTCCTGCCTTAGCCTCCCAGAGTACTGCAGATTTATAGTAATGCGCCACCGCATCTGGATGGAAGGCTACCATAGGAAACCTGGCTTTATCACATGACAAAAGAAGCCACTGGAGGGTTTTAAGCAGAATATGATTTTCATGGATGCAGATGGAACTGAACAAGCATAGTGAGGGACAGAAACTCCAAATGTGAGAAGCACCTACATTTTAGTGCCTATTTAATGGAGATGAAGGATATCATTTTTAGGGTGGACTAAAAGATACACAGGCTGCAGGTATCACAAAGTGTCCCATCTATTTTTTTTTCTAAAAAGAGCAACTGACTTAAAATAACTCTGAACAGATTAAAACACAACACCAGCATGCAGCAGAGAGGGAAAGAAGGAAGCCACCAAACTGTTTCATTCCAGCCTTGAGGAAAACCCACAGCTGGATTTGGCTGGCTCTACAGAGTCGTAGGGAGAGGCTCACCTGGGCCAGGGCCAGGGCGGAGAAGGGCGTGTCCTCGGCTGGTTTCACCACCACGGTGCACCCGGCTGCCAGGGCGGCCCCCACTTTCCGAGTGATCATAGCGCTAGGGAAATTCCACTGGGATCAAAGAGCAGAGGACAAGATGTGAGAGGAAGGACCTCACTCTTCCCCGGGCAGGGCAGGCAGTTAACACATTCCATTGCACAACTGCCTGGGGAACCTGCTCTCCAGCTACCTGGGAGAGCTCCCGGAGCTCCTGACACTCAGGAGATAAAGGTGCCCACGAAGACAGGACAAAGCTACCTGGTCCAGTGTCTCCTGTAAGGGGCCAGGTGGTAGGATTTTTAGGCTTCGTGGAGGGTACAGTTCCTGTCACAACTCAACTCTGAAGCTGCATCCTGAAACCCATCAAAGAGACCGTGCACATAAGCAGATGTGATGTTTCCCAACTAAATCTTATTTATCAGCACAGTAGGATGGATTGGGCTGGAGGTTGTTGGGAGAAAGTATTAGCCATGGTGATTTTGAAAAATGGTAAATGATTCGTTTCCCTCTATATACAGGTCCTATAGACATCTACATATCTACAGAAACTGTATTTTACTTTATTTTGACAAATACTTGTATAGTACTTATTCGATATTAGGTATTGTTTTAAGCACTTTAATTACTATTTCCTTTGCAGAAACTGAGAAATAACCTGCCTGAGGCCAAGTGAGCCTTGGGTCACAGCCAGTCAGTGTGGGCACCGTGGAGGACTCTACCTGTGCCTGTTTCCAGCAGCAAGGGACAGTGGTCTTGGACTAGCTGGCAAACTGTGGAGAGAAGTTAATGTGGGAGCTGGTAAAGAGGGTCCAGGACGGGCTGCGAGGAAGCTGGTGCCCTCAAGTGTACAGCAGCCCCATCCAGACAGATGCAGCCTCGTATTTCTTAGCCTTGTGTCCTGCAGAACCTGGCCCAGACCATGCAGGTACAGGCACAGGCTGCTATTGGTAATAACCATAAAGAAAACATAATACTTTCCCAAACTGTGTACATTTAAAAATGTGTGCTATCTAAATTTTTTTTAAAAATGGCACATTCCAGATGATCTTTTCAGAGGTGCTGGAAAATGCCAGGAAGAAGATTTCGCTATAGCACGAGTGCCACAGCGGGCACACAGAGCCCTCTCTGTCAGCATGGGAGCCAGCTCGCCCCAGCATTGCTCCAACAGCCCACAGCACACAGAGCGGCCAGCCGCGTGCTCAGAAAGGAGTAGAAGGTCCAAGAAGTGATGTCACCAGCAGTACAGGCACCTGGTGTCTGAAAGTTCGCCATCACTGCTTTACGTCAGAAAAGCCACCTGGCTCCTCCCGTGGGTCACACCATTTCTGAAGGCATCAGCAGTGTGTTCTGCAGCCTCACTATCACCATGCCTAACCTGATCCCAGAGGACCTGGAAATACACCTCCACCCCAGCAAAGGAATCAGGAAACCTAAGGTAACAGGATGGGCAGGCCTGCTCACAAGGCGGAGCCAATGGTCTCTGGATTCCCTACTCAATCTCCTATCCTGGGACTTTGCTGGCCTTCACTTACCGGTGTGATGACTGCGGCCACACCCAGGGGCTGCTTGAGGACCAAGGCCCGCCTTTCCTTGGTGGGGGTTGAGATAATATCTCCATAAACGCGGCGGGCTTCCTCTGAAAACCACTCTAGGAAGTGGGCCGAATAGAGGATTTCTCCCTGTGCCTCCTTTAGTGGCTTTCCCTAAAATAAACCAGAAAAGGACACAGGTGTTAACTTCTAGGAACAAAGGCAAGAGTGTGTTTCCAAATTCTTCAAGGCTGCAAGAAGAGCAGAAAAAAGGCTGGGCGTGGTGGCACATGCCTATAATCCCAGCACTGGGGAGGCTGAGGCATGAGGATTGCTGTAAGTTTGAAGCCAGCCTGGGCTACAATAGTGAAACTCTATCTCAAAAAAAAAAAAAAAAAAAAAAAAAAAAAAGCAGAAAAGTCTCCCATTAAGACCTCACAGAGCTGTTGGAAACTTTTCAACTTAGTTGTAGGTTTAGAAAGCAGAATTACAAACAGTGATGGCTGTGTCACCTAAGGCACAGAGTTATCTGAATGCCCAATGTGTCCACAAGTTAGGGACACCTAGCACTTCATCTTCTAATTTTTTTTCTTGTCCTTCTAAACTCTCCTAAATGTTGAAGTGTGGTTTAAAATCATTTGTTGTAACTATGGAGGAACTGTGGGTACACTTTAACATGTACAAAAGCAACACGAACTATCAAAACTGTCACACAGAAGAAAACTGGGGTGGTGAAAAGCAGTATTTATACAATGCCAGGCAAAATCTATTTTTGCATGTAAGAATAAACTAAAATAAAATCAAACATAAAAAATATAAAACATACAAATTGCATTTTAGCAAATGTGACCGGTTGGCACAACAATGATTTGGTATCTGACCATCATACAAAGATAAACATATTATTTAGCTACAGAATAACTCCAAACATTCCAGGACAATTTCTCAGGGTAGCAAGCAAAGATCAGAACTTACACTCTCGGCTGTGATGATTTTGGCAAGGTCATCTTTATTTTGCATCATTAAATCATACCACTTTCGAAGTAATGAGCTCCTCTCCTAAAAAAACACAAAACAAAGCTCAGAGGCAATGAAATATGAAGTATAAAACAGACTACTCTAAACTGGTATGGTGGCACATACCTGTAATCCCAGTACTCAGCAGGCTGAGGCAGGAGGATTGTTGCAAGTTGAGACCAGCCTGGGTTACAAAATGAGCTCAAGGCCAGCCTAAACTGGATAGTGAGACTTTGTCTCAAAAAGACCAAAAAAAGTAAATAAATGTATCTATGTATCTGCACAGCAGACAAATTCTTATCTGTCTGAGATTGCTGTGACTTTCAAAGAAAATTACTGATGCCCCTTTGAGACCCCTGAAAACGAGATACCCTGTGGCAGGGCTGTCCTGTTGGTGGCAGTTAGAGCTTCACTGCCTCTTCCCTGGGGCTGCCTGCAGGAGCAGGTGGGCTACAAATGGCCTTAGGGAAGTGAGAGGAAAAAAAATCAGACATGAGGAAGATACCGGGGAACAAGAGAGACACTGGAGCCTAGAGGCAAGAAACCAGGTGACTCAAGAGCTGCCCTCCGGCATTCACCACAGCACTGCCTACAGCCCCACCACCTCTTGCCTGTGGAGCACCCTCAGGGAGCTGATGGCACTGGTCCCTTGGTACGATATGATGACCCAGGATCCAAAGAGCCCTTCCTTTCAAGAAGGAAGCTTGCCTGAGAAGATCCTTGGCCCTGGTGTGACAGAAACTGACACAGTGCTAGTGTTCAAGGGCACAGACATCAGGAGGGGAACACAAGGTGACACTGCCACTATCAGTGAGAGGGCCCCAGCACCGGCCCTGGGGCCACCTCTCCATCAGTGACAAGAGTGGGAGCTCCCCGTGCCCCTGCACTATGAGAGCATTGTGGGACCGCCTCGATCCTTGTGAGCCCTTGCGAGACTGCGAAATGACACCAGAGACCCAAGGGGAGGCCTGACTCTCTCCTTTCTGGGGTTCCTCACCCCACCCACAGCTGTAGGACAAACACGACACACATGTGCACGACTTCATCTCACCTTCAAGCTCTAGCTCACATAGCCCATTGTTACCTCCACACCATCACACGTGTGTGTTTAGGACAAGTCCGAGGCCATTGCTGACTCCGAAGTCACTCAGTGTGGCTCCGACCCCAGCTGTCCTCATCTCGGCACCATCCCTCCAGCTGCTCAGGCCAGAGGTCCTGGATTGTCAGTGTCTCCTCTATTTCACACCCCACAGTAATCCCCCTGGAAATACGGCTGGTTCTACCTTCAAAACACACCCACTATGGGACCCCTATTGCCAATCCACTGGTACCATGTCCTTTAAGCCACAAGGCCCACCTAAATCAGCACCCTCCTCAGCTATCGAATGTGGCTGCTCCACAGGGCTTGTGTGTTGTTGGCATGGTCCCCAGTGCGGCCGTGTAAGGTGGAGCCCAGTGAGGAGTTCTTAGGTCGTGGGGTGGGGGTGGGGGGGTGGCCATGGAAAGGGATTAAGTCATTCTCTTGGGACCTTTAGTTCTGGAGAGAATGAGCTGCTATCTGGCTTCCTATCTTGAGGTGTGATCTCTTGGTCCCAGACACGCTCTACCACCATGCCATCCACCATTAGACCCTCACCAGAGGCCTGGTCATGGACGGTCCACATACCTAGAACACTGCCTCCACCTCTATCACTTCCTCTTTCCCTCTGCTATCCACATGGGCCACATCAGCCTTCTGTGGTTCTAGAAACTCAACAGCCACACTTCTGACTTCTACTGGAGCTGAATCCCCTCATCTCCTTGGTCTTTGAATCTCATGTCCTCAGTGAGGTCTACCTTGATGGTATGGGCTAAAAAATGTCCCCTTCCAAATTGCCATACTGAATTCCAGATTGACATACTGAAGTCCCAACCCCCGCCCCAAGTATATTTGAGGAAATGAGAGTACATTTGGGGATAAAGCCTCTAAAAGAGGTAAATTAAGACATCGGGTGGGCCTTATTCCAATGTGACCAGTGTTCTTATAAAGACTGGGACAGGGATACACAAGATGACCATCAGCCACAAGCCAAGGTCAGGCCTCAGGGAAACCAACCCTACTACAGCCTGACTTCAGACTGCTATCCTCTGAAATTTGGGAAAACAGACTTCTGAACGTTATGGCACTCCGTTCGTGGCTTTTTGTTGTGGCATCCCAGCCAACTATACATGACCACACTCTTTAGACAGCACCTCGTCTCCTGTCCTGACATCCTTTCACAGTCTCTGCGTCCTGCCCTTCACAGAGGTCACCACCTCTCACGTCTGACTGCCCAGGCGTTTCGATTGCTGTTGATAGTCTGAGTCTCCCATCTACCGTGCTCCACTGGCACGGACATCCTAAGGCCACAATCCCAAGCACCCCTGACAATGCATTTGCACGAGGTACAGCAGGGTGCACAGTGCACACCACAGGTGCATGATGGTCTGGACTGTCCGGTACTGGTCCGTGATCACTGCTGCAGGGGTCCAGAGAGCGGTTTTGAGCGCTGGACAGGCCACGACTTCACTGCGTCAGTCCAAGTGGTCCTCACCTCTGCAGGCCCCACCTCCATCTCTCCCATTTTTCCATAAGTCAGTAAAGGGCAGCATTGATCCACACAGGTGGAAACCTAAGAGACCTTCTGGACCTCTCCCTTCCCCTGCAAAGGCGCAACCTGTGCCCTCCAAGTTTCGACACGACCCCTGCCCCTGCAGTCATTGTTGCTCGAGGCCAGGCCGGTGGCGCTCACGGGGTGCTCCCGCTCAACATGTGCCCCGCTACGGGCCAGTACACTTGAGGCCTGCGGGGCCAGGGGAATGGCACGGCCGACGGTCCAAACTTGTCTGCTTTCTCTCTGCCCGACTCTGCGCAGTGCTCCGCAGACCCAGATGGTGGCACCCGCCCCAGCGCGCTCACCTTGGCCGAGACCCCCCGCCAGCTGCAGAAGGCCTCGTGGGCGGCGCGCACGGCTGCGCGGGCGTCGGACGCCCCGCAGTCCGCCACCGAGCCGAGCGCGGCGCCGCTGGCCGGGTCGTGCACCGGAAAGGTGGCGGCGGCGGGCAGCCAGCGGCCGCCCACGAAGCTGTCGGTGCGCAGCAGCTCGGGGGAGAGGCCCGCGGGGCCTCCGGCCAGGCGGCGAGCAGGGCCCGGGCCGGGGCGCGGGCGGAGGAGGCGCGCGGCCCCGCAGCTCCGCAGCCGCAAGCAGGTCCCCATGGCTCGGGCGGCGAGGACGGCGACGGCCCCTGGAGCTAAGAGGCAGGCGCGCGCGCGCACGGGAGCACGGGGTCGCGGGGACGCGCGGGCGGCGGGAGGGACTGGGACGCGACAGCGCCCTCTGCCGGCTGCGCGGGGCCTGGACCTCCTTCCCCGGCGCTGCCTCGGGAGGGCGGGGCCGCGGCCACAGACGCTTGCGGACGGTCACCTTTGCCAATCTCGGGGGCTCGATCCTCGGCACCTGGTGGGCCACCTGTTATAGGAGCACCGCCCTCATTCGCTCCCCGCTTACATCGCCCAGGTTCGGGTGCTGAGCCTGTAGTTAGCTGGTGCTAAGATTAGGGTCTCACTGTCGCTGCAGCTCCTGAGCTCCGGATCTGGGCGATGGCTCCCTGGGGGCGACGTGGGGGGGGGGGCGGCGTGGATGCCTTTCCAGATGTGGCTCTAGGGGTCCCCTCCATTTAACTGGGCCCAAACTCAGAATCGCTTGCTAACGAAGTGGGCAAGTTCCTTACGTGGCGTGGTAAACAAACAAGGTGAATGTTTACATTTGAAAAGTTTATTACACGAAAACACAGCATTACTGTTAATCCCTTTCAAAAACCTCCCCTTTTTCTCGAACACACTTATTGCATCCATCTTGTCACTTTCTGAAGTCCTCTTTTGCGAGTGTCTTTAGTTGTGTTGTCCTGGCTGCCTGCACGTCCTGAATGTATTAAAAACATTTACTCGTCATGATTATTTTGACTTTGGAGAAGAGCCAGAAGTTGCACGGTGCCAGATCTGTTGAATAAGATCTATGAGGACCTTGACGTGTTTTTACAAGCCTGCCTTTCTGCTGGATAGCACTTAACGGCAACATTCACCGCGGTTTTATTTTCAAATCCATTTTATTTCAAATAGAAAAAAAAAAAAAAAGCTAAAAGTAAATTTCAAAACACGTCAACCCGGGGCAACAATGTTACATACATTGCATGTTGTCATCCTCAAATGACTCACCCAGAGCACAAGACATCTGCATTCAATTATCCTAACAATCCAGGTACAAATCTTTCTTATCAGCGAAATCAGTAGTATAGTTATCTTAACTATTTTTTGATATGCATATATATACTCATATACATGTTGTTTTTTTCAGCTTCTCACACTAGTGAGACAATGATGTTTAAATATGAATGTCTTATTTATTTCACTTATGAGTGTGGTCTCAAGTTGCATCTTTTACATATAAAAGTCGATCCTTTATGGCTGAGTAGTATTCCATTGTATAAAAATACTGCATTGTTTTTATCCATTCCTCAGTCAATGGGCATTTAGGTTGTTTCTAAGATCTAGCTATTAAAAATTCTGTGCTATAAATATGGGTGCACATATATTGCTACGGTACAATGTTTTTAATTCTTTTAGGAAGATACCCAGAAGGGGAATAGCTGGGTCAAATGGGACCTCTATTCCCTGTATTTTTAGGAATTTCCACACTGATTTCCACAGTGGTTGCACAGTCTGCACTCCCACCAGCAATGAAGGAGGGTTCCTTTTCCCCCACATCCCCTCCAGTATTTGTTATTGCTTGATTTCTTAATAATGGCTATTTGTTCTGGGGTGGAATTTCAGTGTTATTTTAATTTGTGTCTCTGGAATAACTAGTGATATTGAACATTTTTTTAAACATATTTATTTGCCGTTTGTATTTCTTCATCTGAGAAGTATGTATTCATCTGAGATGCTCATTCTTGGACTGGATCTTTAAATCAGGGAGGGCTAATTTTTTGAGTTCTTTATATGTTCTTGATAGTAATCCTTTACTTGAGATACAGCTCCAACATTTTCTCCCGTGTTGTGTGTTGCCTCTTCATTCCTGGTAGTTTCTCATGCTATGCAAAAGCTTTTCAAGTAGCGTGAGACCCAAGTTGTTGGTATTTGTAATAGTTCCTGTGCACTTGGGGCTTTGTTCCTACAGTCTTTACCTACACCAGTGTCTTCAGGTGTTTTACCTGCTCTATCTTCCAGCAGATTTAATGTTTCTGTTTTAATATTAAGATCTTTGATCCATTCCAATTTTAGCTTAGTGCATGGCGAAAGACATGGATTCAGTTTTAATCTTCAATGTGTGTAGAGCAGGTTTTTCCAGCAGCAGTTATTAAAAAGCCCATCTTCCTTCCGGTGAATGTGTTTGGCACTTTTGTCAAAGATAAAGTGGATTAGGCGTCTGTATCTTCCAATCTGTTCTACTGATTTTTGGGTCTGGTTTTTTTCTTTCTTTCTTTCTTTTTTTTCCCCCAGTACCACACTGTTTTTATCACAGTAGCTTTATAGTATAATTTCAAGTCAGGGATTGTGATGCCCTCTGTCTTGCCTTTGTTCCCCGGGGTTGCATTTGCTATTCTAAATCTCTTCTACACTACACTTTTAATCAAATCTGGAAAACACACTTTATAAAAATTTACCTGTGAAGAGGACTTCCAAAACTTCTTAGAAAAGTAGCAAGAAGAGCAAGAGCAATGTATTTGAAGCAGGGAGAGTCTCTGGAGGGGGATTAATGGCACCGAGCCTTTTACCATGGTAGATTTTAAAAAAGACTTTAAACATTGACTGCCATGTTGATCACGCCTTGCAATGTCGGGTCTTTCATTTGTAAAAGAACAAAGCCCACTCGCTGAGTGTGTTAATAGAAAGCTTTTAGCATAGTTGTGTTCAGCTATGTTCAAAGTCACGCTGGTGGCCCTCAGTCAAGCCACCAGTAGGTTTGAAGAGTTAGGCCACCAACTAGTAAATAGAATCATACATGAGACTGGAACAGAGCTGTTAGGATTGAGTACACTGTGGTCCTGTTTCCACAACATTCTTCATTCACGCAAAACTTGCAAAGACTTTATTCTCTGGTCCTCGTCTACTAAGGGGGTGGGTGCATCTTGCTGACTGTTTCACACACATGGGCTTCTCACCTCTTTTCTAGGATGCTAGATTATTGGAGATCTGGCCAAGATCCCCGACCCCCTGTATGAGGGGTGTGGGGAAGGGGTGAAATAAGAAACAGATTTAGTAATACACGAAGGCGGGCTGGGAGGTCAGTGCCTCAGGCTGGGCAGAGACAAAGACACTCTGAGCCAGCCACTATTTATTGGGTGTATACAATAACAGGAAGAATTAGCAGAAGACTCAGGTTGATGACTCAGTGGGCAACAGATCAAGAGGGTGGAGATGATTTTGTGCTAAGAAGGATCGTGCTCTGAAGTGTTCTTTTTTAATTTTAATTTAAATGCTCATAATTTTAATCTTAGTGGGTGGGAGAGGATGGCTCATCCCTAAAGATATAATGCAAATCTCAAAAGAGTGATAACAATCATCCCAAGCCTCCATTTATTTCTTAGGGAAGAATGCAAAATTAGCCATTGTGAGTTTGTGGTCCCCAACACTGGACTCTTGTGCAAACCACACAATCAAGGTCTGTCCTTGAACTGTTGACTCTGACTTCTGCTGAGCTGTATGTCGTCCGTTTTGTGCCAGTTCCGGCTGGCAGCCGTGGTTCACAGCAGAGTTTAATCTTGCGTGTGTGTGTGTGAGTTCAACAGTCACTCGGTAGTCTCCCAAAGTTCTGATCCAGAGCTCCCAGGGGCTGTCAACCAGGACTGGGGAGCTGGGGTGTTCAGATCTACTACCTGCAGAGGTCGCATTACCAATAATCTATTTCTACTTGGATGGAGGAAAGGCATTCAGTTTGAAGCCTCAAGTCTGCTAAGACCAGAAAAGCAGTCAGTTGTGAATATCCTGCTCCAAAATGAGTCTGATTATCTTTTTAAGAATCTGTTTGGAACAGTGCCCAGTCCCCTTATCCATCCAGCATAGTCAGTAGGTGCGATATTAGGGTCCAAAATACCTTTTAGAGTACAAGTGTTTCATTTCTTATAAAATCAGAGGAAAAAATGAACTTAGATGTAATATTAACATATTAATCTCTATACCACTGCAGACATAAAATTTGGTGAGGGAAGGGTCCTCGCAATGGCAGAAGGGTCCACAGCCTGAAAAACTTGTACTGTGGTTTTCTCTTCCCTCATTGTTTTGTGGTCACTCCAAGTTCCCGTGCACCATGGGAATAGTTCCCTCCTAGCTCCTGTCTGAATTCTAGGGGGTCCCCATGAGCTCCCCCTACCCCCAGCCTGGCTGTGTGTGCTCCCTGGACCTATAGAACAAGACCTCTGGGTGACAGGGACCTCTCCTGTTCTCCTTAGCCTGTCCTGTCTTGGGCACACCCCATCCACACCCACACCTAATCATTTTCTTCCCTACTTGCTGTAATGGCCCTATTGATATAGGACCTCCAAATGATAGAAGGAAAATATGACTCCAGCCTGCTAGATATCAGATGTGCTGAGTTTGTGTTCCCCAACACTGAAGAATGAATTCTAAGGAACCATGGGGGTTAAGAGTAGGGAATTTTGCTGAGGGAGACAGCTCCTGAGAGAGACAGGAGGAGAAAGGATTGCCAATGAGCTCACTTTTCAAAGGAAGTGTGTAGAGCAAAATCACAAGGTGGGTACAATGGGGGACAAAACCATAATCAACCAATAAGATTACAAGTACAGCTACTTAGGTGATGTTGGTTCAATAGGAAGCAAGTCGCCTCGCAAGTATGCATGGAGAGAACAAGGATCTTTTTGGAAGAAATGGGTGAGGAGGTCCTGGTCACCCACCCAGATGGCTGATGCCGCTCTAGATTTTATTGGACCAGGTAATATTGTTTATCCTTCCGGGAACTATAAAGGTCTCGTCTATCATTCCATCTTTCTCTCGAGGCCTGGCCTTCAAGGAATGTGCCTCCAGCCCCAGTTCTGATGTGTTCTTATTCTCTGCACTGAGTCCTTTGAGAGCCTAGCCCTGCGTAACTGCCTAAAATATTTCTACCTAACTTGGCTGTCTGTGATATTATGATGACAGAAATATATTGGAATTGAGCAGAAGTGAGCTGGAATTGCCTGCTTTATCTCAAAAAGATTTTGGACATTATATCTTATTTCCCTGCACAAAGAGACCTACCTTCACTTCAAAGCCTCATGCATTTTTCCTTATGCTCCTATCTAAATTGTTACAGAAGTCTTTGTGCTGACTATCTGTGTGTGAAACACTTTTTTCTTTGTCGAAAAAAATTCAACAAGTGAGCTGGAGGTGGAGCTCAGTGATAAATCACTTTACGTAGCATGCATGAGGCCCAGGATGCTGTCTGCAGCCGTGGCAAAAACACAAAACAAGACAAAACAAAACACCAACAGAGGAGACAGTTACTTAATAGAAATCAGTGGTGAATCTTTCCTTTGGAATGATAAGGATTCACATATATTGAATACTTACTGCTCCTCTGGCACTATTCTAAACACTTTTCATATTTGCTTAGCAGGTACTATTATTGCTTCCACTTTATAGATAAGGAAATGGAGAGATGGAGATTCTATTTATTTAATTAATTACTTAATTTTATTTTTTGGTATGAGGAATCAAACTCAAGGCCTTGTGCTTGCCAGGCAGGCACTGTGGCCCTGAGCTATCTATATCCCTGGCTCCCACCTTTAAAATTTTTTTCTTTTATTTTATTACTAAAAAAAATTTTTTTCGTGGTACTAGGAATTGAACTTAGGGCCTTGTAATTGCCAAGCAGATGCTGTACCACTGAGCCATATCCCATGCTTCTCTTTTTTATTTTTCTCTTTCTTTCTTTCTTTCTGTCTGTCTGTCTGTTCTTTCTTTCTTTCTTTCTGAGGTAGGGTCTCACTATGTAGTTCAGGCTGGTCTCAGACATGCAGCAATCAGCCTGCCTCAGCCTCCCAAGTGCTGGTATTACAGGCATGGAGCACTAGGCCCAGCTGAGATTTTTAATAACCTGCACAATGCCGCATTGGATAGAGAGAAGGTAACACAATAGAGATGCAAGTGAAATGTGTACCCCACCCAACACACACATACATGCACACACATGCTCCTAACACAACTGTTTGGTTTTCAACTTGTGCTGCATTGCAAAAGATCCCTAACTAATAGATAGAATCAAGCTGTCATTTATAGCAAAGCCACCTGGATTAGAAAAGGGACTGTGAAATAGAAAGGCAGCTATTTCCATATTCTTATTATTTGTGAGGTAGTTTCTTTAATTCTATAGGTTGTATTTCAGCTTCCTATTAGTCATAGTTTTAGTGTTTTCATAGCTATAAAAGTAATAAAAACTTCATAAATGTTCAAACAATACTGTGCCCAGATTTGTATCCATCGTGTTATACCAAGTGAATAATTCCCTCCTATTCTATTACATTTGTAAATTAAATCACTCTGAACTTTACACACAAAATTACACCCTAGAAATTGGGGGTTAACACTGTATAGAGAGAATAACAGCTCTTTTCCTGGTGCTTTCCGAATGGGCTGGTTTTGTTTTTTCTGCTGGGATTCCTCCCGGGTAGCCTATTTTGCTGCTGGATGACTTTCACTGTTACCATGGTTACTGAGTTCCCCAAAGCTCCCAGTTGTGAGTGTCGCCATCTCACCCTCAGGCTTTCAGAGACCCAGGGCCTCTGATGGCCAGAGAGATGCAGAAGTATGCAGGCATCCTGCAGACAGCAGGACAGGAGGAGACCAGGGTGTCCTCTGTGAAGGAGCCAGCTGGCTAGGACTTTGACTCTAGCTGACTGTCATAACCTCTGGTGTCAGTTCAGGAGGGCAGTTCTCTTGGTTTTGTTTTTGAGAGATCTTGAAATCTACCTTTCTATGTGATTTTTCTTATTTTAAGAAGAATTGGCCTAAATTTGTCATACTATGTTAAACAAATAGTATACAAGCTTATGGCCTCTGGCCTAAGTAGTTAGAAGCAGAGGTCCCTGTTGCTCCCAGTATTAATTTTCTGGGGTTTTGCCTGTGGCTAAGAGTGTACAGCCCTTGTACTGTATTAGCCCCCAAACAAATACCATTTCCTCCTGTCTTTTAGGAGTTCTTCTCTGGCTTTTAACACATCATTTGAACTTTAAGATCAACATCATTTCTATGAAAAGCTTGACCTAAATTTTTCTCATGGATTTAGTGCTGTTGCTTGGATACTCCTGACAGGTATATTCTGAGTCTAGCTTTTTCCAAAGCTGTGTTTCCTGGCCCAATTCTGCCCTCTCCCTTCCCCCTCCAGAGGGGAATGGGAACCTGTGATTGGGCTGCAGGAGTCTGACCTGGCAACAGGCTGCAGATCAGCCCTATTGGAAGCTCCAGAGGTGGGAGACCAGGAATGGTTAGGCTTGTGTAATCTCACAGGTGTTGGTATCTGTTGCCAAATACTGAGAGAGAAGCCGGCTCCAACTGATCACCATAAAAGCTTTCCCAGCCCTCACTTGGCCTCCCAGAAGAAGCAGAGCGACCTGATCAGCATGCTGAAGAGCACAGAAGCTGTCGCCTGAGCAAAGGGAGGCGGTCTGATACAGTGACTGCCAAAAGCCACAGGTGAGTGTTTTGTTTTAGAAGCTGGAGAGATGTGGTGTGGGGACAACTTTGCTTGCATCTCCATTCGAATCTCGTGCTTCAGTGAGAGCTGGGGAATAGTTTAATCAGAAGATGCAGGGCTCCTGGCTGGAAGCCTTCGGGTTCATTGGATGGCTTCTTCCCTCCTCCGGGCAGGCAGAGTTTGTTTGCTGTTCTCCTGAAGCTAAACAGTAGTTAAGCAGTTCACTGCATTGGAAAGCAATATTATTTTGAAATAAGGCTTGGTTTCGTGTCAGTGACCTGCGCACAGGGAAGGACCTGGTGTGTGCCTGGATCCCGGAGTCACAGCCCTGTTGCAGCTTGGAAGGCTCCCTGTCACCGGAGAGGCCCCCAGGGAATGACAGCATGTCGGCGCTCTGGCTGTGGTCTGGCCTGCTGCTCCTGCTGGCTTTTCTCTGCCCTCCCAGTTCATCGTGCGGCCTTTCGACACACATAGAGATAGGTGAGTCCGGGGGTCTTGTGTTATACAAGGAGCAGGAAATCTGTCAAGAGACGTTAAGAGATTGAAAACCCTGCCCCTTGTATTGCTATTGTGTTCCCCACTGGGCTGAGCAGCCCGATGGTGGCAAAAAAAAGCCAGGAGTGGGGTCATCAGGGATGGGGAAGGACAGGTGGGTTCGGGAGGGCCAGATGAGCAGGAGAGCTGATGTGCCCTTGGCCATGGCGTTGCTGGGTGTCACTCTGGGTGGGAGATGCTGGGGACCCGAATAGAGGGGAGGCTGCAGGGAAGCTGACCTGGAAGAATGGGAGAGGAGGGGAAGGAATATGGTAGGAGAGAGGAATTCCTTTGTGTTGTTTTACGTTTCCAAGGACGGGCATTTCCGTGTGTTAGAGGGCCTGCTGTGGTCAGAGGAGTGGGTCCTATGTGTCAGGTGGTTTTAAAGGTGCTCAGCTTCAGGGAAGTCAAGGAAGCAAGTGATCATCGGCGTTCCAAGCAGAGTGATGGTGGGATTTGGGCAGGCGAGGGCTACACAACAGGTGTCACCAGCCTCAGGTAGAGTTACTTAGATATAGCTGGGTGGCAGCACAAACACTGTAGCTTAAAAACTTCTATGGTTTTATTGAGGTGTAATTGACAAAAATGAATAAATTTGAGATGTACAATGTGGTCTGCCCTTCCTTACCTCCTTCCTTGCTTTCTGTCCATCCAACCATCCATCCAGGGGATTGGACCCCGAGAGGCCCAGCCCTTTTTATTTTGACGTAGGGTCTTGCTAAATTGCCTAGGCTGGGCTCAGACTTATAATTTTCCTGCCCTAGCCTCCCAAGTGGCTGGGACTATAAGTGCTGGCCACCCTGCCAGTGTAGTGTTTTATGTAACATGTGTGCACGTATACATATGTGCATTGTGAAATGCTTACTACAATCAAGCTAATTAAAATATCCATCACCTCACATAGTTACCATTCTTAGCTTGTGTAGTAAGAACAAGTAAGAGCTCTCTTAGCCAAAGGATTTGATTCTTGAATAAATTATAATTTGGGATTATATTTAGTACATGCAAAATGAGAAACAGTTCATAATACAATATTTAACAATTTTAGGTTCATTTAAGGTATACTTTTTAAATAAAAGTAATAGTATGTTGCAGTTACTGTCTCCAGAAGTTACCAAGAATAACAAGATTGCAAATAAAACATGAAAATTTGTCAGAGCAAAATATATAGCAGGCCAGAGTCTATGGTCAGAGGATTTTAAAATATGAATGGATACTAGAGGTCACTGGGTTCATTTCTTTTATTTTACAGATGAGAGAACATTCTAGAGAGTTTCAGAGCTCACCTCTTAGCAGTCTGGCCTAGACTCACACTCCCATAATAGTCTAGTGTTATTTACATTACACAATTATTGCTAAAAGGGAGTCAGGAAACCAGGAGAAAGAAACTCAGACTTAGGTTTTATCCCAGCTCTGCTATAAATAAAATACGAGTGGTTCACTCTACCCCTCAGTCCTCTTTAAGGGTGAAACTTCTTACTGATTTCTGAAGCACCTTCCAGCTCTATGCGCTGTACAGTTGAAATGGTGGAAAACACAGAAGTGTGCCAAAGAGGAACAAATGCAAATGGCAATACCCAGTTTTTTACTACTTATTCATCTTAGGTATTTGTGTGTTTTACACTGTACCACATGCCTAGCCCTTTATTACTGAGACCAACTCAATAAGTCTCTAAATTGCCCAGGCTGGGTTTGAACTTATGACTCTCCTACTTCAGCTTCACACAGTGCCGCGATTACAGGCCTGTCCTCAGCTTTTTTAATCATTAGGAGTTTAAAAATTTATGACACAGGTGCCTTTCTTCAGTAGTTATCAGGCAAAATCCTAATGAATATTTAAGGATATCTATGTCTACAGATACATGAAAACAATAAGTAAAGGCAACTCCTAAAATGGAGTCTACAGATCCTGAGAAATTTTATGCGAGAGGGTAAAACTCCAGCGTTTGTTACTGATAACTTAGATGATGTATAATTTCTAGGTTCATTTTTTTCTTGTATGTGTGTGTGTGGGAGCGCTGAGTACTGAACTCAGAACACTGCCACTGAGTGATATCCCCAGCCCTTTTTTTTGCGTAAATTTTGAGTTAGGGTCATGTTAAGTTGCTCGGATTGGCCTTGAACTTCCTCCTACCTCAGTTTCCCAAGTAACAGAGATAACAGGCAGGCACCACCACACCTGGGCTACTTTTTCTTATTTGGGGTATATGTGAATGGTTGACATTGAAGTGAATTGATCAATTTGAATAGATCTCGTGCAGTGGTTTGTGCCTGTAAATCACTGGAGTCTCAAGTACAGATTCCTTGTGTAGGCTGTGTCTTATCTCTTATGGTATTAATTCTTTTTTTTGGTACCGGGGATCAAACTCAAGACCTTACGCTTGCCAGGCAGGCGCTTACACCGCTGAGCTAAATCCCCAGCCCTCTTATGGTATTAATTCTTACCATACGGGCCCAGCTATTATTTATATATATATATAGTAGGAATTTTTAAAATGGATGTGGTTCACAGCACACAAGGTGTCCCCTCTAAATGTCTCCTCGCAGGAATGGTCATCCTGTAACTTCCGAGAAGGTTCAGGCTGTGAGTCTGTGAGTGGTGAAGGTGGCCTTCTGAGATGATTTTGTCAGTCTAGGTGAAAACAGACTTGGGGGCCAGTGACTGGACAATGATGGAGGTGTTGGGTTGCATTTCCTGTTCTCAGTCTCAGTTCAGAGGCAGACACCATGGCAGTCTTCCTGAGCTCCTCTCGGGTATCATCAACCTCTGTGAATGCCGCTCAGTGATGCTCCTCCGTGGCTTTCAACAAATGTGGACGGTGGGGACTGTCTCCTTAACTTTATATAGGAAACTGCGACCTAGTGGGTGAAGTAACTTACTCAAGGTCTTGGTCCTAGATAAGTCATGGTGAGAACTTCATTTGTAGCCTAGTAATATGTGTGTTGTGTAAATCCAACTCTGCCTAAAGAAAATTTCAGACAAGTGCATACCTAAATTTCATTTCCTGCTTCTTTGACTGTTTGCAAGTACAGTTATAGCTCTGCCTTTTCAAACGGTATCTGGTAGTTATAGTTGGACTTCACTGATTTGTGTATTTGTTCCTTTCAGGACACAGAGCTCTGGAGTTTCTTCAGCTCCCACGTGGGCATGTTAACTACGAAGAGGTCAGCACTTGGCTTTCCTTACATCTCTTCTACATTAGGTTTCCTTTGTAGTGCTGTACAAGGGTCTAATGCACCTTTAAACTAATTTCAACAGTCTTTTTGTGCCTGTAAATCACTGGAGTCTCAAGTACAGATTCCTTGTGTAGGCCGAGCAACTTAACATGACCCTAACTCAAAATTTATCAAAAAAAAAAAAAAAAAGGCTGGGGATATCACTCAGTGGCAGGTCTCACTATGTGGTTCAGGCTGGATTTGAGTTCACTTGGTAGCGCAGGCTGGTCTTGGATTTGGAATGATCCTCTTGCCTCAGTTTCCCAGTGCTGGGATTACAGGCGTGTGCCACCATGTCCACTTCAAGAGTCATTTTTGTGTCTTTATAAAGCTAATATTATGATTAAAAGGTATACAAGGTGTGACAGAAGAACATAGTGAGTGTTTATGTTAAAGATTTATGTTAAAGATTTATTACAGTAAAAGGCATATGCAGCCCCCTGAAAATACTCCTCTGATCACATTTCTCACAGTGTTCTTGCTACTTTCTGAAGCAGTCGTGGAAGTCTTTTGTGTCTTTAGTTGCCATCGGTGCCTTGGTGTCCTAAATTGACCCCAAATGTTTAGCTTTCATGGTTGTTTTCTCTTTGGAGAAGAGACAGTAGTACCTGGTACCTGGTCTCGTGAATGAAGTGGATACTGTTCATACAGGGGCTGGAATTCTTCAGCAGCACTCATTGGATTTTGGGTCCTGCCTTGTAAAGACATGAAACGAACTTCTAGAATTGCTTCAGAAAGTGGCGAGAATGGAGGGATGAGTATGTTCAAAGCAAGAGGGAGGTAGTTTAAGGGAGATTAATGGCAGTGTGTCTTTTACTGTAATAAATTTTTAAGAATTGAAACATTCACTGTGTATTTTGATATATGTAATCAAAGCACAGTTGTCCCTGAGTATTTTGTGTATTTAATGTATATATTTTAAGATTTAACATTTCAAAGTTCAAATACGTTAATGCTACAGATCATAATTTTTAATACAAAACTTGTATAATGATAAATCTTTTTTTCTTTTGTAAAAAGAGGTCACGCTTGAGAGAAACCATTTATTTTGCGCTGTTTGTCTCTGTGTGTGGTACACAGATCATATCACCAGGAAGAGCAGGAAGTGGATTGATTGATTGACTGATTGTGCTGGAGCTGGATCCCCAGGTCTCACACAGGCCAGGCGAGGGCTTTCTCACAGGCTGCGCCCCAGCCTGGCAGCAGGAGTCTTTTAGGAAGCGTGCACAGACGTGTTCCTTTCCAATCCCTTGCTTGGCATTATTCCACAAGTTGGCGGACCCTAAGCGCTATTTCTAGTTCTATAGCTAAACAAGCATCAACGTAACTAGTGATCAGGTTTTATTAGTATGTGTTTACAGTACGTAATGGTTGCGTTCATCACAGGGCGTCGGTACTTGTCTGTAGCACATCTTACTTCTGGTTTTGTGCCCTGCCTCTCCTATAGCTCCTTGCTCCTTTCAACTCTTGGTCTCCTCCCCACTTGTAAAAGCTCTATTTCCATTTTATTCTTCAGTTCTTTTTTTTTTTTTCACATCCAGTTCCTTCCCTTTTACCTCCCTCCATTTTTTTGTTCCCTCTCCCACTTGAAAAAGAGCTCCCTACTTTCTATTATCTTTTATTTTGCTCTTTATTCATATTATTTTTTGGTTTCTCATAGAAGAGAATCCATAAGCTATTTAATCTTGTGTGTCTCATTTATTTCACTTAATATTATAGTCGCAGGGCACATTCATTTACCTATGAATGCCTCAAGTTTATCTTCATTATGGTAGAGTAGTACCATTCTGTATAAATACTGTCATTTATTTATATCTGTTGTTGGGCACATAGGTTATTTCTGAGACTTAATTATTGTAAACTGTGCTGCTACAACATGAGTATGCATGTTTCACTGTAATGTGATTCTGTTAGCTCTTTTTGGGAAGATATCTAGGAGAGGAATACTTGGATCAAATGGAATTTCTAGTTTTAGGAGAAATTCTGATACATTTTTGCTTAGAGGTTTTAGTAGTTTACATTCCCACCAACAATGTAGAAGGGTTTATTTTCCCCTGCAGCCTCCCCAGCATCTGTTTTTATTTGATTTCTTGATGAGCATTCTTTCTGGAGTAAGACAGAATGTCAGTGTTACTGTAATTTGCATTTCTCTAATGGCCAACAGTGTTTAGCAGTTTTTTCCATCTATTTATCAGCTTTTATTTTTCTACTCGGGATCGAACGTAAGACCTTGCACTTACCAAGGAGGTACTTGTACTGCTGAGCTAAATCCCCAGCCCTTGTGCCTTGTCTTTTTGCCCTGCTGCTTCCTTTCCTGGGAAGAAGCTGTTTAATTTGATATGATCCTGGTACTATTTCTTTCTTTTTTTGGGGGGGGGTAACTGGGAATTGAACTCAGCACCTTGCGTTTGCCAGGCAGGTGCTTATACTGCTGAGTACACCCCTGGCCCTGTTACTGTTTCATTTGCTATGGGGGTTCTGTTCAGAAGCCCTTACCTACCCCTGTGTCTTTATATATGTACTTTTAATGAGGGTGACTGACTTTTCCTCATGACATCAGACCTGGATCGAATTATTGCCAGTCCGTCTTCAATCCCTTTCAGGAAAATTCAGTTGCAAAGCAGGATAAGATCACGGAAATGTATTACCCAATTACTTTTCCTTGTTAGTTTCAAATTCCTGACTTGCCATTACTTGCCATTAACTGACCCCGGAGGAAAAAGTAGCATTTATCTCTGATTCACATTTGCACTGACTTTGAGAAATAGTAAGACAAAAACCAAGATCTGATCCCTCATGTGAGTGAGCAGTCAACCCTAAGCGTGCAGTGATTTTTCTTATCGAAGTCTTCAAGCAGGGTCACTAACTTAATGTAAAACATGTTAAGTGGACACCATTGGCCCCTCTCAGCGTGGGACCTGATGCCAGCACCAGTGCCCTAAGTGGATGTCACCAAGGGACCTCACATTCCCACTCCCCTGTAACAGGAGGACCCAGGGATTACTTTACTCTGAGTATTATTTTTAACACTTTTAAAGCTGGGGGTCTATTTTATATCTCCACTATATCTCTACCTTTTAGAACTGACTTTTTTGGGTAACCTCTTCACTCACTTATGTGGTTTGGTATCTTAATGCAGGAAAGCGGGGTAGACAGGTCCCTGGAGGCAGGTGGAATCCGGGCAAGATTTATACTCTTGGAGCCTGGTTTTGTTGGTTCGAGAGTTATGTTTTGTGAAGATATTCAGAACGCACTGCACTTCAAAGACTGGCTGATGCTAATCAAATTAATACAAGAGTAATGGATAAAGTTGAGCAGTGAGTCTGTTGATTTGTAAGAACTGGAGAACACGTTGGTGGTCGGTCTTGCCCTGGTATTTACTCCCTTTCTATAGGAATAATTAGATGCCGCGTGTGAATAATTCCCTTCTGCCCTCTCCCCGTTTCCCCAGTGGTTCATAGTTTAACCTCCTTCCTTTCCATCTTGCCTCTCAATTTACACATATTGTTTTCACCCAAATCACTTGGAATTAATTGTGGACTGGTTCTTATTTATCTTTTAACATTTTGTTGTTTCCTAAAACAAACATGCTTTTCTAAAAACTATACTGTAATGTCAGCTTTGAGGTAGCACTCACTGAATTTTGACTTCTGCCTTTCTCCAGCTGTTTCACTATCCTTTCCCAGTCCAAGATCAATCCAAGATCAAGTCTAAGTGCAACTGTTATTTCCGTTTGTCATCTCCCTTTGGCTTCCTGCAGTCTAGAACCATTCCCCATGCTTACTGTGGGTTTCCAGAACATTGACATTCCTTGTGAGGTGGTGCATATACACAACACATCTTAATTCCTTTTTTTCATCCCTTCTCCCGCCCTCTCTCTCCATCTCTTGATTCCCCTGAGGAAGATCTATTTCTCTACTTCTTTACCAACTTTTATTTTACTCTTTGTTTATAATTTGGGTTTCTCATATAAGAGGAAACCATGCAATCTGTAAGCATAAGTGTCCGATTTATTTCACTTAGCGTTATGGTCGCAAGGGGCAGCCGTTTTCCTGCAAATGACTCAAGTTTATCTTTCCATGTAGCAGAAGAGCTGTCTGTTGTGTGTAAATACCACATTTTCCTTTTCCATTCATCTGTTGATGGACATATAGGAGCTTCCAAGATTTAGGTCTTGTGGCTATGCTGCTATACACATGGTATGCATGGATCCCTGTCATATGATGTCTTTATGACCCTGATGTTTTTGAAGGCCTAGTTGGATCACTCTGAGGAGTGTACCTTGACATGTCTGTGTCTGATGGTACCTCAAGATGAGATTCCTCTGCAGGTGATGAATTTGGGTAGAAGCTCCCTGGAATAGTGACACGATGCTGCAGCTTTGTCCCTGCATCCTGTAGAAAGGGGCAATGCCAGTTTCCAGTGATGTTAACTTTTATTTCAGTTATTGTGTTTTTTACTTTTAAAATTTCTGCTTGGTTTTGCTTTTTTTTTTTGGATAAGTTCTTGCTATGCAGTTCAGGCTGGCTCTAAGCTTGCTTTGTAGCCCAAGGTGGTCTCAACCTGTAACAATCCTCCTGCCTCAGCCTCCCAAGTGCTAGAATTACAGGCATGCACCACCATGATGCCTGGCTTGTGTACCTGCCTGTCTTTCTTTCTTTCTTTCTTTCTTTCTTTCTTTCTTTCTTTCTTTCTTTCTTCCTTTCCTTCCTTCCTTTCTTTTCTTTTTCTTTCTTTCTTTCTTTCTTTCTTTCTTTCTTTCTTTTTCTTTCTTTCTTTCTTTCTTTCTTTCTTTCTTTCTTTCTTTCTTCCTTCCTTTTTTTGTCTTTTTGAGACAGGGTCTTGCTATGTAGATCAGGCTGACTTTCAACTCACTTTGTAGCCCAGGCTGCCCTCGAACTCACAGCAATCCTCCTGCTTTAGCCTCCCAAGTGCTGGGATTCCAGGTGTGCACCACCATGCCTGGCTTCTTTTCTTTACTGAGACTTCCTGTTTGTTTGTTCAAGGGTTCCTGGAGTTGATCAGTGAAACATTTTTGGATGTTTTAAAATTTGTTAGATAACTATGACATCTTGGTAAGCTCAGTGTTGGCATCTAGTGAGTCTTTTATTTTTGAGACCTCTCTGGTTCTCAGGGTCTTCACACTGGCCTGTATCCCTATCTGTTTATTTTATTTATTTATTTATTCATTCATTCAATCATTCATGCAGAGACAGTCTTGTTAGGAGGCCAAGGTTCCCAGGGTGACCTTGAATTTACAGTCTTCCTGTTTCGGCCTTGAAGAGTGTTAACATTACAGGAGTGTACCACCTCTCCCAGCTGGGTCAGGAGACATGGTTAAAAGTTTGTTGTCTTGCTGGTGTGTACTTCCCCTGACCTATGGTTAGAAAGAACAGGCTTTTATTGCTGTGTGTGTGTGTGTGTGTGTGTGTGTGTGTGTGTGTGAGTGTATGTGTGTGTGCATGTGTGTGTATGAGTGTGTGTGGGCATGTCTATGTGTGCACATGCACATGCATGTGTAGCTTTTCCATGATCTGGTTTGGGATATGTGAGGCAAAAAAGAGAAACCAAAGAGGTCATCATACTTTGCTTCACTTTTCAGGGTTATCTTATATTTATTTTATAATTTCCAGGGATTTTTGGTCACATTTAGCAGGAAGCATAAGAAAAAGTATATCAATTCCAGTTTTCTCAAACAGAAATTTTTGTTAATTTTTTATCCCTGGGTTAACATTGTGCCTTGGTATATTTTTATATTTAAAAGTTAATAATGCTTTCTACTTTTCAAGTCAATTAGTAAATACTCTCCATTTTTGATGCTTAATTTTCTAGTTTACTCTGTGTTTATTTTGGAATAAAGCATGATGGTGATCCAGCGACTCGTTATCAGTAATGTTAACTTCACCTACAGAAGCACAGATTTGGGGTGTAGAGAAAGCAGAGTTGTTGCTCTGGGGTTGTGACAACCATAGTTGGTGAGCACCCTATCATTTATTATCCTATGTCAATAAATTGTTTGTGCGCTTAGCTTGAGTTTGTTTCTATAATCTTTATTCTGCTTGTGGCTCTGTTCCTTCTGGGGAGCAGAGTGCTGAGGATGAAGCCCAGGGCCTGGTTCATGCCAGGCAAGTGCTCTACCACTGGGCCGCACCCCACCTATGTTTGTGTTTTGGGTCCTAGTATCTTTACTGTCTTATTTCTATAGCACAAAAATCTATTTTCATATGTGAAAGATACCTCTTACCTCAGGGGTCTTCTTGTTTGTTTTCTAGAAGTTTCCTGATGCTTTTACACATTTATTTTTTAAAATTTATTTCAGAATTATTTTGTCATGTCACATAATGTATGTACCTCATTGGAGGATCAAGTCTTAAGAAAGTCCTTTGAACACTGGCTGGTAGGGTAAATATTCAATAAAGTTAATTATTATTTTTAAGTAACAAAAGTCCAACTCAGGCTATCTTTTGAAAGAAGAGACTTAACCAACTTTATCGATTCGTGTGACTGATTCCCCCCCAGCTGGAGAAAGATCTAGTGGTCCTGATGGTGTTCTGCCTCCTTCCACAGTGGGGACTTGGCCTCAGAGCCTAGTGGGAGACAGCAGCTTCCAGAACACTGGCTGGGAGGTCTCCTGTCACATGTCCCTCTCTGAGCCTAACATGTGAGGTGTCCGTGTGCTGGTGGTTCCTCCTCCTACTGGGCCCAGCACTCCTGGGCATGGCATTCAGTGTCCTCAGGCGGGAGTGGTTCTGTTCCTCTGGGAAAAACTAAAAACAAGAATAGATGATTCTGCCTTTTCCTTGTTTTATGTTTTCAAAGTACGTCTTTGTTGCCTCTGTGGATGGTCCACATTATTGTAAGTCCTTCTCAGAAAATAAAAATGTGGTGTCACCAAACCCCAGTTTTGCCTTGTCAAGTGGAGTGAGTTCCCAGATCTTGGAAAGCCCTCAGTCTGGCTCAGGCAGAGAGGATGCCATGCCGAGAATTTGGAAATTTACTATGCCGAGCTTGTGTGGGAACTGGAGGGCCAGGGCCAGGCTGAGTGTCCAGAAAAAAACAGAACTATACCCAGGACAACCGGCAGGCTCTGCAGCAGGGCTGCCGTCACACAGACAGAGGAGAAATGGCTTGATGTCCTTTCTTGCAGCCGCCAGACTGGAGCATGGCTTATCCCACAGCTCCCTCACCCTCTCCTGAGTATGGATGGCAACAACCTGCCCCAGTGTCCTCCTGCTACCCTTGAGTGACTTTGTGAGTGTTCTCCAGGCTTCTCTGACAGGATGTACAACCCTTTTTTACCTGCTTCTGAGGTTGCTGCCTTCCTGAAGAAGTGGCAGAAATTGGGGAAGATCTCATCCCCAACCTCCTCACACCCCAGTAAGCTGTGATGAATACAGCCAACCCTCCTGAAGAATCCCTTAGTTTTGGTCCCACCATTTTCACAGAGATGTGACAGCTCTCAATTAAATAGCATTTTCCAAAATTCTTTTGAACTGCTGCCATGACAGCTTCGACAATCCTGGATACCCTGACACCCCATGCCTTCTCTGAAAGATGTCTGGCCTGATTGCAGCACGTATGAATTTGAGCTGAGCAGTAGACTTGAATCTGGACCAATCAAGACTTAAATTTGAATCAATCACTGGCTTAACTATTGGGCCAATCACAAGTTTGCTGCTGTTATATAAGCAGCAATTTATATCAAATTCCTTGAGTTGGTCTCGAAAGGCTCTCTCTAATGTACAGTACTGTCTATGTTCAGCACAGGCTCTGTTCAGTAAAGGCCTAGCACTGTTGGCCCTGAAAATCTGCTAGGTATTGAAGACTTGGCAGGTCTTATAAATCTACTACGGCTTCTTTTACTGGGTAGCACAACCAGAGCAGGTTGCATTGAAAAAGAACTACAAACATGAGGCACAGCTAGCTCTGAAAAGCTCAGAGACTAGCAGCAGGGATGGGCAGTGTCTAGTGGGCATTAATGGGTAGTTGGCAGGGGTTTTGCCTGGCCGCCAAGAGGCTGCTAAGGTGACTTCAGCCCCAGAACTGAAACACTGAGGGCTGAGAGCAGAGCCACTAACCAAGTTTCACTTTGCTGTTTCCATCTGAATTGAGCAAAAGAACCCTCAGCTGATTGGCAGTAACAACCACGACCCCTTTGGCTACCAGCAGATTCAATGGGCTCATACATGGTTTGGAAACTAAGAAGCCACCATCTTGACGACCGACTGTGAGACATCACCACAGTCACAATCTTCTTGCAAACTGGATGCCCTGAACTTCACCTAGGAGCACATGGGACACTTTGCACAACTCTGCCACCTTCACTGTATAAACACCATGTGTTTCCATGTTACCACAAGCAAGTGGGGTCCATGGAGGAGGCTGTGCCCCACCAGACTCAGGTTGGGCAGTCTGAGCATGTGCTGCTAGGCATGCCACATGGAGTAAGAATGGACCTAGCAAGCCAGTCCTTTGCCTGCCTGTTTGCCTGCCTGCCTGTCTTTCTATCTCTACATGTCACTGTGGATCCTTGCAAATCTTATCATGAACCAGCTCTGAGTCAGTGAAATAGGGTCCAGGAAATTCTGCTCTACTGAATAGACAGAAAAAAATGGAAGGGAACGAAATTTAAATAGATTATCTTTGTGACTTTTTAATTAGTAAATGTTTGGTAGGCATGAACATGAAGTTGTATATTGTAATGTGTTGTCTTGGGTTATGCAAGTTTTTATCATTTTTTATGCTTGCCTGCCTGTTCCCCTTTTCATCCATCCCTTCCCCTGGGAATCTTGGATTTCATAGCTAAAAATCAATAGTTTCTGTGTTTCCAAAGGTGTTTCCTTTGGCTCCCTAATCTCTGTATTTTCTGGCTCTCCAGCTGTTAAAAGAACACCAAGATGCATATCAGGCTGGATCTGTGTTTCCTGATGCTTTTTACCCCAGCTTCTGCAAATCAGGTAAGATTTGCAGGTAAGATTTGCAGACCAAACGATGTCATTTTCACTTGGTTAATAGGAATGGCTGTGACTTTAAAAGTGTATAATGGCACAATATATTTTCCACTATTGGTAGTCAGTGGCTTACCTGGTTAAGCTCAGAAATTCAGAAAATTTTATTTTTTGATGAAACATATTCTTAGTATCCTTGCTTATTTTACTGCTTTGTGGTAGGGAGAAAACATTTTGCAAGAAATCAAAAGGTCTGAGTTTGCATTTCTTCTATATTACCTTTTAGCATGTGTCTTGAAAGAGTCATACGTGATGTCTCTCACCATGCCTGTAATATAGCATGATAATGCAGACCCTGCTTGGTCCTGGATGGGTCACTTTCATGCAGAGTATTTGAGAAGTGTGATACAAATCTCAGGTAGTGTTATCCATAAACTGGGGTATACAAGTTAGGGCCTAGGGAGCTTAGAAGTCACATTCAAACTGAGTGCCTTCAGCGTATGTACCACTGGTCCTCCCATTGATGTGCTTTACAATTATGTTTTAGGTTTTTTTTCTTCTTTTTCTCCTTGAAATAAAATGGATTTGAAAAAAAATAAACCGAGTGCCTTGAGAGGCATCTAAAAAGAGAATAATTTTCACAGATATGGATTGGATTTAAGGAAGCCCAAGAGACAGGGAAGGGCAGGGAGCAATTGCTAGACCTGTAGGCAGAGGAGAGCTTCCTAGAGAGGTCACCTGGCAGGAGCAATCAGCCACTGTGACTTCCCAACCTAACCCCTCACGCGGCTTTGCTCTGATGCCTGTTAGTTCTGTTAGCCAAACAGCCTAACCAGACCCCAGGAACCATGAAGCCCCTTGAAGCAGGTGACCCCAGAGTCACTTCGTAGGTGGAAGAGAATGGCAAGGCTGTGGAATAAAAACCATCCAGGTCTTGTAGAAACTATTTCTGCTGACAGGGTTATCTAAGTGTTTATCTCATTTAAAACTTTATCTTTATCTCATTTAAAAAGTATACAGTGATATCTTTAGGGATTTTTGAAGTTTTTCTAGGCTACTCACTCCTGCAATTAGAACCCCATTATGTATTCATTGAATGTGAGAAACATTTTAGTGTATGCCATTTACAGAGCTCGACAAAATACATAATACTAACTATTCTGAGAAAAGTAGAAAAACAATGAAAACTACTTAGCATTTTTATGTCTCTATAAAGTAGTATATATGCTCTTATATAAAGATTGGGAGTGGTGTAGGACATAAATTATCGTGGTTACTTTTCTGTCATTGCTGAGACAAAATGCTCTACACAGAAAATTAAGGAAGGAAGGGTTTATTTAGTTCATAGTTCATGGAGGTTTCAGTCCATAATCAGCTGCTCCAAGGCAGGGTGGCTTGGCACAGGGGCAACATGGAGGCTACAGCAGACACCAAAAGCAACAAGAGCAAAAGGGTAAAAGAAGCAAGCCTGTCTCCCTTCCTTATGCTGAATGTTGGCTCTCCGCCTCAGGGTGGGTGCAGCACTCACACTGCCAATCCCAGCATTAGACAATGAACCAAACACAAACATTAGATTCAGTTACCTTCGAAAGACCCACCCTCCATGACTGCATGAAGTGTTGGAGGGACATCCAGACACAGACCATAGCATACATCAAAAAAGTAAATTGAAAAAAACTAAAAAATATATAACAATAATGGGGATTGTAGTATAGATTTCTAAGAATTTTTTCAATCTTGATTTTGTCTTCATACACATCTAATTCAACAGTAGTGTTCCTTTTTTTTTTTTTTTTTGACAGAGGGTCTCACTATGTCATCCAGGCTAGTACTGGACTCACTATGTACCCCAGGCTGACCTCATGCGATCATCGTATCTCCTGAGTACTGTGATTATAGGCATGTAGGCATGATCAACAGTCCTGGCTCTTTTTCTTTTTTTGATGATTCGTGTTTATTGTATTGTTTAAAAGTATTTTTAACATTCTTAGATACTTAATTGTCCAGAATAATTCCCTTTGTTATATGCATAGTTTATGTTTCCAGTAATTTATTTTAATTCAATATTGGGCAATAGAAGCATATCTGGTCTTAGGAAGGTGAGCACAGACCTGACAGATACCTGGGGGTGGTTCTGTGCTGTGCTCTGCGCAGTGGCTGACTTTAGCATCCAGCGTGCCCTCAGGTTCCCTTTGGTCTGCATGAGCCTGGCAATTCTATTCAGTGGAAGTTGGGCAAAAGAGCTACTGATACTTCATTCTGGATTTTTACTATATTCTGGAGAGTAGGAATCATTTAAAATTATATCTTTGGAATACTGCTGGACCAAATCAAATATCTTAATTTCAACTTCTTTGAAAGGAATTTTCAGAAAAACTGGTAACTTGAGCTGGGTTACAGGCAGTGTTTACTTAAGTCACAGCATAAAGCAGTGGGAACAAATGAGTCTGAGTTCCCAAGCATTGTTTCCATTTGTCCTTGACACTGGCAACCAATGAAGAATCTGTAGCACTTGGAGATTGGGAATGGGTGACATCCCTGTCTTTTCTACCTTTCCTGGGGCCATGAAATGCTTCCTGGGGTACCTGCTCCAGTGATGCTTGTATGAACCACTCAAGCCTATGCTATTTAAAAATAATTGTTTTAATTCAAGTTCTTAAAAGCCTGTGGAAGATTCACCTTTTGTGCTTTTTAGACAGAGTGACTCTGAGGGACAAAGTAAACATTTAAAATTCCTCCACAAATAAATGAAGCAACTCAAACTTGTCTCCTGAGTTTTAGGGCATGGAAGGGGAGCCTTCTAGCTTCCTTTGCAGCCAGTTCATGCGAGGTACTGGGAGCAGCTCAGGCTGGCCTGTTCCTCCTGGAGGGCTCTTGGCCATCAGGGACATGGTCCCTGCCTTTTCCAAAGTGACAGCGCTGTTCTACTCTGGGAGGCACCCTTGACCTCCCACAGAAGAAACCAGGAGGCTTGGCGGGACGAGGGGAAGGGAGGCTGCATCAGTGGGGTGGGAGATGGTTGGTGGAGACTGGCTTCTTTGAGCCTAGAGCCTTGCTTTTGTTTCTTCAGGAAAATTCCACGATGTGTCTGAGAGCACACACTGGACACCGTTCCTCAATGCAAGCATCCATTACATCCGGGAGAACTTTCCTCTTCCCTGGGAGAAAGTAGGTGCCCCCTCCATCTCGCACCCCTTATCTACCAGGTATTTGCACCTATGCTTGTCACATCAGCACCCTGTCCCCTAGCTCTGTGACAGCTACTTGCCTTTGTGCTGTCAGCATTTGGTCCATTTTAATATTTAGATCTAAGTATTAAAACAAAATTGCTAAATCTACTGGAAATCCAGGTAGGTAGGAATCTTGAAAACATAGGGGAGGGCAGAGAGTTCATGAGCAAAATCCAAACTGCACGGAAAGTACTTCAAAGAATCAACAACTGGGGTCTCATCTTATTAAAAAGTTTTTGGGCATCAAAAGAAATTATCAGAGTGAAAAGACAACCCACAGAAATGGAAAAAAATTTAGCCATCCTCACTCAGACAAAGGACTTTATGTAGAACATGTAAAGAGTTCATGAAAAATACCAGGCCCCAAACTCAAAGACCCAATCCAAAGATGCATATCTGAGATGCACACACACTTCTCAGATGAAGAAATACAAATGGCAGGTAAATATATGAAAAAATGTTCAGCACACTGATCATTTGAGAAATACAAATTTAAATAACACTGAGATTCCATCTCACTCCAGAAAGAATGACTATCATCAAGAAATCAATAACAAATGCTGAAGGGATTGTGGAGTAAAAGGAACCCTTCTCCACTGTTAGTGAGGGTGTAGACTAGTACAATCATTGTGGAAATCAGTGTGGAGATTCCTCAGAACACTAGGACTGGAGATCCCATTTGACCCAGCTATTCCCCTTCTGGGTAATTTCCCAGAAGAATTGAAAACATCATGCCAAAGTGATATATATGCACTCATAGTTTTAGCAGCACAATTTTTAATAGCTAAATCTTAGAAACAAACCAAAGAAATGAATTATAAACATAGCAAACAACGTGAATGGATTTTAGATTTGCTGAGTAAATGAAGTCAGAACCCCATATACAGAGTTAGACAATGCAAATTAGTCCTAGTGATGAAAAGCCAGTCAGTGGTTACTTGAAGACGTGGAAGCAAAGAGAGGTAGAAAGGAGACAGAGGGTACCAGAAAACGTAAGAATATGGATAGGTTCATTATCTTGGTGGCTTAACAGATATATGTGTATTCCAAAACATATCACACGATATATTTTAAGTATTATAGCGTGTGTCTTGTCAATTATACTTCAACAAAGCAGTTCTAAAAAGTGAAAAAATCTCTTTGATACAACCCAAATGCCCATTATTCGTGGAATGGATAAAAAAGATGTGGTATTGTCATACAGTGGAGTACTGCTCAGTTATAAAGAGGAAAAACTCGAGGCTTTTGTAGGTAAATGGATGCAAAATTGAGACCATACTCATCAATGAAGTAAATCAGACTCACGTGTGTAAATATCATATTGTCTCCTAGTCTAAAAAACTGAAAGAGTAAATAGGATCCAAAATGTACAGTAGATATTGTGAAAGTAAAAGAAGAAACTGCTCAAAAGAAAAAATAGCCAAACAAGTGGGATAAGAGAAGGGAGAAAAGAAATGGAAAACACACACACATACAAGACACATAATTATACTACTAATCGCTGTTTATCAAAAGAATAGTTATTGCTTTCATTGTTTGATCGGTTTTTCAGGTCTATATCTCGTTAACTGACCAATTACTTTGAAGCTAACAACATACAACATATTAACCATTATTAATGTCCTATTATGTTGTTATGGCACAATGGCAAGTAGCGGTCACAGAACTAGGGGACAGACTGCTGGTGGGGCAACCACAGGTGCAATGTATCATTGTTTTTGGTTTTCTTTTCTTTTCTTTTCACTTTAAAACACAAAAAAATAAACAGAGCACTTGGGACACAGTAGATGCCTAGTTGATTCTTGAATAGGTTATGAGGAAAAAAAAGTTTGGGGCATGGTAATCTGACAGCACTTCCAAGGGCGTATAGAACATTTAACAAGTTCCATGCAGGTTTTGGTGACTCGAGGATACATTGTATCCATCTCTAAATTATTGTTGTTTTGATACTGGAAATTTGTCAATTTCAAGCTAAAATACATAGACTGTTCATAGGATTGTTATAAAATAACCCAGACACACAGGACTGCCATTCGTTCATTATAGAACACCGAGAAGCTGGTGGCCTTCTTGTTTGGAATTACCTCTCACATGGTGGCAGATGTGAGCTGGCACAGCCTGGACATCGAGCAGGGCTTCCTCAGGACCATGGCAGCCGTGAGTACCCATCTCTCCAGTGCCTGGCACTGTGGGAGTTCAGCTGTCTCTTCCAAGCCCAAAAGCAGACTCGCCCAGAAAGGGATATCTTAGGTTATTCAGATGTCATGTGCAAACAAGATTTCTTGCCCAGAGTGGTGTTTGGTCATAGTGTTGTCTTTTCCTGTTTGTTCTTTTTTTTCTTGGACCCAGATAGATTCACCCCTGAGACTGGAATGACTTGCATGCACTGAAAATGGCAAATGATGTGACACTGTTTTAGTTTTATTCAAACTGTGTGCCTTAATAAGTAAGGATAGGAGTACCCACCCATTGGTTCTTTTTAGAAGAACCGGTTCTGCTTTATTTCTTTTCAAATTTTCTCTGTGAAAATGCCATAGTCCCATACTGGTAATTGTGGCCTTAGCTAGTGGCTTTGCTTCTGGAAGACTCCTCTGGACAGCAGTTGTTATTAATTCCGTTTGTTAGAAGATTAAACTTGGCCTTGGAGATTTATATATCCTGGGAGGTACTGTTATCTGCAATAGCTTTGTTGCCAGATATTAAATATCCAACTCCATTACAAAAAACAAAGTAAAACATGATGGGGAGAATGGAATCCACCTATAAAACTCCTCAGTCTTTCACTTGGCCAGGTGACCCCGCTATTCTGCTACCCCTGAACCCTGTTTGATGGTAGGGTAGGATGAGTTTGGGCTCCAGTTCATGATACACATCAGAGGCTTTTTTTTTTTTCTTTCTCAGATTGATTTTCATGGCTCCTATCCTGACGCCCATTCAGCTGGTGATTTTGGTACTGTTTATTTATATCTGCCAAGTTTTCCCCTGTGATTGCAAATATAATGAAATCATTACTGTGCTTTAAGTATGTTTTAAAAAATATTTTTCCAATATTGTATGCTTAACTGGCTATTTTTAATACTACATTTCATAGAGAGTGAGACGTATCTCTATTCAACATAGAGATATGTTTATAAATAGTTGTATATGCATTATTATATTTAAAATACATTTTGTCATTGCCTTGTGTCATAATTTTAGAGAAACTTATATGTGGTTAAAATACACAACTGGTATCTCCTAATCTCTTTTGGTTTAAATTGAAAAAATCCATTTTTTTTCTGTAGTAAATTCTCTTTAAGACACAATTTATGTGGTGAATACTTATTTAAAGGAATTCCTATGGTCTGTTTTTCCTTAATGTAAAAAAATTCTTTAGTTAGATAGATAATTCCTCCTTAGTTCATATACTTTGCTAGATAAGATTTTTAAAGTCTTTTTTCTTAAAGACATTCCTGTCTAAAACAACAGAAACACGTAATGATGAAGAATGAGTAATCTTGTTTGTGAAAAGTTGTACTGGGAGAAGCATGCAGTGTTGGCATTAACCTGTCAAATGTTCATGTCCTTCTCGTGCTGCAGGAGGAGACGTGGTGAGCCAGTTTGAATTTAATTTGAACTACCTTGCTCGGCGCTGGTAAGAGCAGTGTCCTCTCAGATATGTGATGTGTAAATGGCACTTAGGACATAATGTTGATAGATGTAGTTTTAAGCATGTGTGTGTATGTTTTGCTTTAAACTTGTTTTAGGACAAGTTGGGATATCTTCCTATTTTTTTCCTTCCAAAGAACCTTGTCTATTTTTTGTCTTTACTCTTTCACATAAATTCAGAATCAGGTTGACATCTTTGAAGAAAAACCTTGTTGGAATGTTTTTGGTTTTTGAGATAGGGTCTTGCTATGCAGTTCAGGCTGGCTTGGACTCACTACATAGCCCAGGCTGGCCTTGAACTCTCAGTGATCATCCTGTCTCAGCCTCCCGAGTACTGACATTACAGGCATGCGCCACCACATCTGACTTTTTTTGGAATTTTGATTGGATGTTTATTGACCCCAGAGGTGAATTGGAGTAGAATTAGCTATTTGGCAATATTGAATCTTCTTTTCCTTATGTATTTTTTTATATTTTATTTACTTACATGTTCTTGAATGACTTTTTATAAATTTTTCCACCAAGCTCTTATGTATTTTATTAGATTTAGATCCAGAGACATTATACTTTTATTCACTACCATAAATAATTTTTAAAGTTGTGTTTTCTAATTAATTACTGATCTACAGAAATGCAGGCAACTTTTAAATTTTGATTTTGTAGCTAGCAACCTTTCTAAGCTTTCTCATTAGTAACTTACTTGGTGGTTCTTTAGAATTTACTATAGAGTCACAGTTACAATCTCCAAAGTAGAATCCTTTTACTTTTGCCTTTTTTTTCCCTGTTATATCATTCTGGCTAGTGTCTCAACTACAGTATTCATACTGAGCATACTTATTTTTGTTATTGATCTTAAGATACTGTCAGAGCTTCATCATTATCATGTCATGGAGTTTTGTAGATTCTTTTTATTGAAGGAAGTTTCCTTCTATCTCTAGTTTAATAATTCTTATGCATTAATATTAGATAGATTGTGTTAAACATTTACTTTGCATCTGAGATAGTCATGTTCCTTACATGTTAATGCAATGAACTTTATTAATCTATTGCTAGTACTACATCAAGCTTACTTCCTGGAGCAAAACCAATTCTGTTGTGGTTTATTGACTTCTTTATATGTGCTGCTTATGTTGTTCTTGTTAAGGTTGTTGTATTTGTATTTATGAGTGAACATGTACTCTTCTTCTTTTTTAAAATATTTTTTATCAAGGCCTTGCTGGAAATAATTGGGAAATGTTTTTTCTTTCATATTCTCTGGAGGCTTCTGTAAGATCAGAACTTTGGTCCCTTGAACCTGTCTCTAACGCTGTCTAGTGCTGCTGTTTTCTTTGCAGGAATTTTATAAAAACTTCTCTAATGGCTATAGGATTATATAGTTTCTCAATTTCTTCTTAAGAGTTCTGTGTTTTTCTAGGATTTTTCCATTTTAAGTATTTAAACATTTTGGTACAAGATTGTTCATAATATCAACTTACTAGCTTTTGGCCCCTATTTTATTTGTACTTAAATGTTCCCTTTGTTATTCATAATGTATATGCTTCCTTCACACTTTTAAACCATCTTGTATAATATTTTTCACTTTTATTATTTTAAAGAATGAACTTTGGCTTTCTCAGTCTTCCCTGTTATACATTTACTCTGTTTTCCTCCTTCCCACTTTCCCTTTTGCCTTTCTCTTACCCTCTCTTTTCCCTCTCCTTCCTTCCTTCCTTCCTTCCTTCCTTCCTTCCTTCCTTCCTTCCTTCCTTCCTTCCTTTTTTCTTGTGGTACTGGAAACTGAACCTAGGGCCTTCGGACTGAACTATATCCCAAATCTTTTTATTTTTATTTTGAGACAGAGTCTTACAGAGTTACCAAAACTGAATTTGAGCTTGCAATTCTTCTGCCTCAGCCTCTTAGAATATGGGGATTACAGGCATGCACTGTGTCCAATTCATACATTCATTTTCTATTTTATTCCTTTCAATTCTTAATTGTTTTCTTCCTTATATGTTCTTTGGGCTTTTGTGAAATTCAGTGAGCCTTGATTTGTATTCTAGGTTATGACCAATTTCTGTAAATATTCTACAAGTGGTTGAAAGGGTTAATTTTCAATTTTTGGTTTAACGTCCATATTTTGTTATGCCTCTTAGTGCTAATTTATTACACTGTTCAAATAAAATTATTTATAAGCTATAACTAATATTCTTTTACTGTGTCTTTATCAGATTGGCCTGATGATTACCCTGAGGGAGAAATTTGTTTACAACTTCTTCCATCTTGATAGTTGATTTTGCAGCTGCCTTCTACTGTTCTGTCAATGTGCATAGATGTTTTGAAGACACAGTATTAGACATAGTCAAGTTTCAAAGTCATCTCTTTCTGAATTGAATTTTTTATCAGGGTTTAGTGATCTCTTCTAACAATGTGTTGCCTTTGTACCTACTTTTTCAGCTTTGGCTGCCATGGTACTGGCCATCTTTCTGTTGTATTCATGGTACTTGAATTACTTGGGCTTCCCTTTCTCCAGCAAGGGGTTGCTTTGCCTTCTTCAGGTTCCCTAGTTCCTTTTACCTGAGACCTTTTTAACCTACAAATAGGTAGCAGGGAAGCAGTACAAAACACTTGTGGGGCTGGCTAATGGAGCTGCTGATTCTAATCACAATGTGTGGCTTACCTTTTCTGAGGATATATGTGTATTTTTTCCTTTTTTCTCCATTGCCAAGATGCAAACAGGCAGATTTCTTTGCTGTGTTTTTGTGTGTTTTGGTTTATTTCTTGCTCATATGCATGCACCATGTCTAGCTTTTTGTACTCTAGACTCAATGTAGAAATGGTCCACTTCAGGTGGTTCCTACAGTTATCCCCCGTCTCCTGTCAGCCATCAAAATCCTTCAGGGTTTGGCAGACGTCACTGGGGGAAGGTGGCATTCCCCTGTGCTTACCTCTCAGACTTCCTAGTTCCTATTAGTTTTTGATCTCTGGAAACATTTCACTTTCTTGCTAGCTTAGTGATTCATTAAAACAAATATTTGTTATTTTTCTCTAGCCTTTATACTATTTTCACTGGGAAAAGCCATACCAGTATTCTTATAAAAAATAGACTTACCAGCCTTTTCTTTTTGTAAATGTAATTAAATCATAGTTTACTGGTTGTAATTTTTGTCTTGGCACTGATAAGATCTTGAAATTAAAAGATGATTCACTACAAATCCTAATTCAAAATATATGGCTCTTCTTCCAGCTAAAATAACTAATATCTGTGAACCAAAAACTGGATGTAGAATTCTTTTCTGCCTTACACTGCATATTCAGAAACTAGCATGTGTCAGGATGAGGAATCATATTGGGGGCTTTAAAAATAATGATTCTTGGGAATAGTTTAACTCAAAAAAGTAAAAATACCTTCATTTTTTTTTTGAGCTCTGAATTAATAAAATTAAGCACTTCTTTTGTATTTCATGGTTTCGAATCTTTGAATATACTTTCCTAAATACTTAAGGTACCATGCTGTGTATCTGTCACTGAACTGATTATCTACCTTTCCTGTACCCCAATTTTCCCTCTTTGTAAAATGGGAATCTAATAGGGGTACTAGTAGTACTACTGTAATTACATCTAGTATATAATAATTTCAGAATAATTGAGAGCTGCTGTTATATCTGTTGCTGTTATATTCAGCTTCAGAATCAAAAGATTTTATTCTAATGCATTTCTCAGGTATGTACCTGTCAAAGATCTTGTGGGGATATACGAGAAACTCTATGGCCAGAAAGTCATTACTGAAAATGTCATTGTTGACTGTTCCTACCTTCAGTTCTTGGAAATGTAAGTGTGACCCAGAGGGAACTTCCCAGCTGATCTATGTGACTTTCTTAGGATGCTTTCATGTGTTAGTTCCTGGGAGTGGATTTTGGATTTACAGATTTTACTTATTTGAGGGCAAATGTGGGATAGTTGGATAGATATAGATGATATTTTCCCTTTATATTTGCTGCATTTCTCAATAAAAACTGCAATGCTCAAAACAATCACTCTGTTGTAGGTATGGAGAGATGTTAGCTGTTTCCAAGGTAAAGACTTTATTCTTTGAAATCTTAGTTTAAAGGAGTCTACAAATGGCAGGAATGGCACATGACTTATTTTTCTTTTCTCTCTGCTGTAGCTGTATTCCACCTACTCCACAAAGTCCCCGTTTTTGGTGGAACATTTCCAAGAGTATTTCCTTGGAGGACTGGATGATATGGCGTTCTGGTCCACCAATATCTACCGCCTGACGAGCTTCATGCTAGAGAATGGTACCAGGTGAATTTAGCATGCTATTTCTCACACCAATCCTCTTTGTCTTTCTGCCCTGTTCCCCAGAATAATTCTTAGGCTTTTTAACTAATCAAACAAAAACAAGACCAAACAGTCTTGTGAATTATAATGATATTCAAAGAGGGAAAGCATAGAACCTTCATCATCTCAGAAACTCAGTATGTTCCTACTCACTTGGCTTGGCTGATGTCAGACAAATTTTGGGCACAGAGAGGCAGATGCTGTGGTCTGTGAGAATTCAGATGGGAAAGAACCAGTCCATGGGTGGTGCCTCTGAATTTCTGACTGGGAACTCATGCTGGGGCAGAAGCACCTGCTCCCAGGGCTCTGAGGTGGCTGCACCACTGTGTTGGGGTTGAGTATGTGGCCACGCTCCTATCTGCCCAGACTGATCTCTCAGGGCCCAGGGTTGTAAGGAGTGTCTTACAACCCCTCCATCCTCGTAGTTGGAAGATGCAGACCACCGGGACCCTCTCCTCCAGCAGAAACAGATGGTTTGTGAAGTGCAGCCTTCCCTGGAAATGCAGTCAGCAGCCCAGATGGGACAACTCCTGAACCCCAGGTCCTTTCCTTCCTGACCTGGACATGCTCAGGACAGGAGTTAACCAGAGACTCGGTCCAGATACAGATGGGGTAGCCAGATCATCCAAGGGCACCAGGATCTCGGAGAAGCCGACAGCAGTGCTGGTATAAGTCCTCTACTGTGGAGCTAGGTGGCCAGGCAGGCCTGGGGAGAGCATCACAGGAGACACCCACTTTAGGGAAAGGGTGGGCAGAAGGTCAGGTGGTGTAGGATGGGAAAGTTGGCTCTGCAGGCAGGAGCTGATGGTTTCAGGCTAGGACCCTGGGAGTGGCCAACAGAAGCAGAGCTCTAGAACATACGCGGGGCGGTGTTCCTTTGCCTATGAACACATTTCCTACTGTTCACATGATGTTAACCATAATTACATGTTGTGTCGCTTTGAAACAAAATGCCCTTTGATGCGATTGACAGTTTTGAAAGCTTGTTTGGAAACCTCAGTAAGTAACTATTTGGCAGAGCTACAGAATCTAATAAAATGACATTTTTAATAGCAGAGAGGTCTCAAGTTCGATTGCCAAGCCCTGCCTCTGTGGCTGGAAGTTTTAGGTGCCAGCTGTAGCGAAGACAGGTTTGAGAGACCTGCCACTCCCACTGAGTTACCTGGAGCAACCTGCTGACCCTCCCTGAGCCTTGGTGTCTTCATCTGTTGAATGGGGCCAGTAATCATTCTGTTTTACCCAAGAGGGTGAGGAGTACATGAGTGTGCTCATGGCAGGGGCTTAGTATGTAGTAAGCACTTACAATGTTGGCTCCTGTTATTATAATTACTGTTAGAAGCAAACTAAGTCTGTGTTGGTAGGGTTTGTAACATTTGGTTGCGTTACGGTGAGTGACTTCATTTCTTTGTTTTATGTCATCCTTGTGTAATGACCCTGAAGCTGGAAAGCACACTTTGGGGTTTGTTTTGTTTTGGTTCCACACATAGCTAAGGAAGGATGTACTGCTGGACTGTACTCCTTACTCAGGAAAATATAATGGAAAGGAATATATTTCTCATCCCTTTATCTGTTCACCAAGACACAAAATTCTACAACTCGAATATCTACAAAGATTTGTCTGAATTCATAGAAATTTATGAGCAATTTTGAGAAGGCTCCAAAGAGAGACAATACAAATAAATTCATGACAGAAACAAATACATATCCTCTGTCTTTTTAATCTTAAATTAAAAACCATACACATATTTTCATATTAATGAGTGTTTTCCAACTGACTAATAATGAATTAGCTTCCCAAACTAATTCATTTTTTGAAATTATTACTTTTCTAAAGAAATAATGAATTATTGGTGGTTACTGTTTAGTATTCTGGTGTAATAGAGAAGCAAAAAGTACAAAATGAACAGTTTTATTGAGTTGAGGACATGGAAAGGAGCAAACAACCCATGGTGGCTGGGCTGTCTCCTTCGACAGGATATAGTGGCACGTGGGGCGGATATTGATAACGTGGAAGGAACCGATTGGAATTCTCTGCATGTGCAAACAGGAACGGGAGTTGCAGTTAGGGCTGAGGAAGAAGCAGGAAGTGGTAGGTGTTCCCGCTTAGGCCTTCCGCCATGTTAGACCACCGCCATAACTGTACAGTAATTTATACCAGGGCACGAACCTTTCAGTTACATCTTCAGCCAGCACTTTCTTTACCTCAATTGTAGGTTTAGTGCAGTGTCATCAGTTGCTTCTCTTTCTGTCTCTGTCTCTCTTTTTCTTTCTTCTTTTTTTTTCTTTCTTACATAACAAGGAGTGAACCCAGAGCCTTTGCACTGAGCTGCACCCCCAGCCCACCCACCTGCTCTTCCTCCCTTTCTCCATTCCTCCCTCCCTTCTTTATTTATTTAGAACAGGGTCTCACTAAATTGCTAATTTATCTTTTCAAAGAGATATAAAGTGATTTATTAGGAAGAAATAGGAAAGTACACACTGAAAGTGTGGCTCGCAACTGATGTAGGGGAATGAAACTCCCGACCTACTGTATGTCCCGAACAAGTTCATGTTCCCTAAAATCGAAGAATGAATTTTAGGAACAATGGAGGTTAAGAGCAGAAATATTTATTGAGAGAAAGAAAGCTTCTGTCTGAGAGACAGAAGGGGTCCGAGTGGGTTGCCAGGGACTATGTCTTTTGTAGGGATTTTTATAGAGTAAAACCGTGAGGTGAAGTGTATCTAAAGTTGGGGAAAACTGGGAACTCAGAGGTAGATGGGCGTGAGGTGGGACAGAGCTATGGTCAACCAATAAGTTTAATTGTTTCGGAAAAAGTGACCAAATCAGGGACAAATGGGGAAGCAATTCACTTAGCAAAGTGAGCATTCTTTACGGATCAGTGCCTCTTCCTATGGGGGTTGGGATGGTGACTTTTGGCTTCTCAAGGTGATCCAGACTTAATCCCTAAGGATTATGTTTAAGAGTGTGGTTGCATTTGTTTTGCCTTCTGTCTGAAGACCTGGCCCACAGCAAGACATCATCAGGCATCTGGTCCTCTGTGCCAGCTGCTTCGAGGGCCCAGCCCTGTCTGACTGCTGCAATATTTCTGACTAACTCAGCTGCCTGAAACACTGCAGTTTGAAGCTGGGAGTATTTGTGTGTTTTTGGTAGTGGAAATCCATGGAGTTTAGGAGTCTATAAGAAGTTGTATCATGGTCTTGGTTTATAGGGGAAGAGGGTGGCCATTGACAAAAAGAAAATGGCTCATTTTACAGTGGAAGGCATAAGCTTTCCCAATTTTTTGATGGATAATCTAAGATATTTTGCCTGAGAACATTTGAAGCTCTTAGTTTGTAAGAAAATTTTTCTGCTCTTTATTTAATCAAATAAACTAATTTATGAAGTGTCTTTAAGAGATTTTGAGTGTAATGAGTCTAGAAGAAAAGGCACACTGCTTATTTCCCCAGGTTGTGCTCTTATTCTCAATCCTCCTGCCTCAGCCTCCCAAATGGCTGGGATTACAGGTGCGCAGCTGCGCATCTTCTCCTGCAGTGTGGTCTCCTGAGGGACACTCGTAGAAGGCAAATGCTCTGCCCCAGTGCTTCTCTTGGGAACCGGGGAAACCTCATGGAAAGAGTCCACTCTCTGGTACCTCAGAGGTCTCTTTGCTTGTAATGGGGCTACTTCTTTTCCTATTTAACTGTTTAACTTGTAGAGGTTTTTTTTTTTTTTTTTTTTTTTGAGACAGGGTCTTGCTTTGTAGTTTTGGTTGGCCTTGAACTCACAGCAGTCCTCAGGCTCCTGAATGCTGAGATTATAGGCATGCACCACCATGTTGGGCTCTAGAATTGTTTTTAAAAAGTAAAACTGAGCAATTCAGATATATTTGAGTGGAAATGGGCATAACTGGGTGGAAGTTGTAGAGGGGAATGATTTGTATTGTCTCTGATTCCATGACATCTCATATTAGCTGAAAGTGGCTTGGTGGGGAGAGGCCAGGGAGAGGTGTGAGTTGGAGCATGAGGCTGGGGGACCCTTTCCCAAACCTCAGTCACCTTAGCCACTCTATCTGGAAAGACTCAGGCTCCTACTGGGTCCTCTATGACCAGGCAATGAGCACCCTAAGCTTTCTGAGAGGGATTTAAACTGCACTCTTGTCTCTCAGTAAAATTCATGCTTCGGAAACAGGTGGACACATGCCTAACTCACTGTACTATCCCCCAGCAACTGTGACCTCCCCAAGAACCCCCTGTTCATCGCGTGTGGCGGCCAGCGAAACAACAGCCAGAGGTGAGTGGATTCCAGAATCGGTCCTGGGAAAAGATCACCTTGCCCAGGGTGGGAGGGCGTGGTTGAGAGCTTGGGGTCTGTAGACCAGTATCTGCTTCAATTCTACCTCTGCCATGCAGAGCCGGATGACTTTTAAGCAAGATGCGAGTTGTTGAGGTGAAGATTCCTCCTCTGCCCCGTGGCCATAGCCTGGCTGTGCTTCATGAATGCGCAGTGCTCTCTGGCAATACTTGGTGTTCTCCACGCTCTGGTCGTTATCATTTTTCTCCATAGCCCTTACCCAGCTTTCATCCTGGCTACTGCTGGTATCTCCTGCTGGTGCCACTGGGTACCGAGCATCATTCATTCACTGGTATTATTAATAGAAATTGATATATGTCACTAGCAAAATAGCAGACTAAAATGGTACAAATACTGAAATGGCGGGTATTAGTCATGGGTGCCAGAAGCTCCCTTAGGTGTGAGAGGGCACTGTGGACGGGTGCCTCCTGCTCTCAGGGTGAGTGGCCGAGCAGGTGCCTGGGCACGGAACGAGTCATTGTAAATGTTCACAAGCCTAAGGAAGGACAGAGGCTGGGTGATCTGGGAATGTGCCCAGAGGGTCCCAGCTCAGGCTCCTGGAGAGTTGTGCTGGATGAAATGATGAGATACTTAAGGGTGAGCAAATATTAGAAATTCAAAGAGAGGGCCTTGTGATAAGAGGCCTTGAGGAGAATGATGTTAGTATTTCAGAGGAATTTATAAGATGCAGAAAAGTTATGTAATGTCTCATTGCTTTCCAAGGAGGTGAATTTGGTTGGTTTTTAAAATTTTTTTGAATTGAAGCTGGGTCTGGCAGCACATACCTGTAACCCCAGCACTCTGGAAGACAGAGGCAGGAGGATTTCAAGTTTAAACCCAGCCTGGACAATTTATTGAGTCTATCTCAAAAAAGAATTTTTTTAAAAAGGCATGGGAATATAGCTCAGTGCAAAAGCCCTGGGTTCAGTCCCCACTATTACAAAACAGAAACCGAATTGCACACCAGGGGCTCCCTGGCTGTGGATATCAGGGCGCTGCCCTTGGCACCCCCGTTTTTCCCAGAGTTCCTGTGGTTGTGGCTACTGCTGGCCTCCTGTTTCTTCGCTTCTAGAGATTTTCTGGCTCCTCTGGGAATCTGTTTTACAGACTGGTTAAACGATCTGATTACTACTTTTCCCACCTGTTGTAGACTTGTTTCTTTTATGTGAAATATTGAAATATTTTGAGATTATGGAAAATGTCAGGGTTTTTTTTTTTTGTGACAGTGATGCTGGGGATTGAACTCAGGGCCACACGCATGCCAAGTATGCATTCTACCACTGAGCCACCCTGCCACAGAGCAGCAGTTATTATAAGAAAGGATTTTTAAGCTTTGGAATGTATTCAGTAAAAGATTTTACTAGAAGGTTCTAGGATTTTTGCTTTTATATCATTTTTCTGGCCTACAGGTGCTGAGATTCTGGCATCTTTTAACCTGGGGTTAACATGACTATATTCTTTAATTCAGTAGTCCAATGGTTGGTTACTTTCTCAATCTTAACCATCTTATTCTTGTCTCTTTAACAGCTCAAAAGTGCAGAAAAATGGTTTCTATAGGAATTTGACTGCATCTGTAATCAAGCACACTGGAAAAAATATAAACTATACAGAAAGAGGCGTGTTCTATCACGTGGATTCCTGGACTCCGGTGAGAACCTTCTGCTTTGTACCTCCTACTGCTTGTGTGGCCCCCTTGTGGACTCCTGGGTATCAGCTGTCTAGGGAACGTTACCTGGCCTTTTGCCAGGCCACTGACTGGCCTTGGTCTCTAAACGTGGCTTGTTCTAGAGATTCCCTAAGTCAAGACCTCATTGGCCTTTGTCAAGTTGAGGGAGTCCAAGGCGGCCCTGGCCACCCTGGATCAGCCATCTTTGGCCTAGGTCCACACTTAACAGCAACATTGAAGGTCCACTGTGTGCAGCCTTATAGTGAGGGGCGTCACTTTATCCGTGGAGTCGTCTTTTATCAGGCCACACTACTATGGGGCTATACCATGAAAAGGAAATAGATCAACCTTTAGACTCCAGACTAATAAAAGTGACAGATTAAAAAAAATAACCACCTTGGATAGAGTGCACCAAATACCATGGTGGGGTAAAGGGATGTTAGATAGTCAGGAGGTCCTTTTGATCTTGGAGGCAATCAGAGGTGACTTCTGAGAGGAGATAACATTTGAGCCAGGCCACGGGAAGTTGGTGGTACTTCACTAGGGAAAGAGTATACTTCTGATTATGGCTTGGCGAGGTTTCAGAATGTTTGGAAATTTGAGGAAACTAGAACACAAGAAAAGGGACAAAGTACAGTGTGAGGCATTCAATCAGCTGGTCATTGACAAAGGGGCCAAAAGAATATGCTGGAGAAAAGATAGCATCTTTAATATATCATCCTGGGAAGACTGGCACTTCAGATGAAATGGGGTTCAATCTAGAACCTTAACTCCTGCCATGTGCTAAAACAATAAAAATGGGAAAAAAATGGATCAAAGACCATAATATGAAAATAGAAATGCTTAATCTGCTAGAAGATAAAATAGGTGCACTTGTTGAAGACATAGACAGAGGTAAGGACTTTGAATACCCTGTTTGCATGAGAAATACTATCCAGAATCAATAAACAGGATCAGATCAAAGTAAAAAATTATGCACAGCAATGGAAACAACCACCAGAATGAAGAAACAACCTACAGACTAGGGAAAAAAAATGTTTGCCAGCTACTCCTTAAATAGGCTAATCTCTAGAATATCTAAAGAACTCAACAAAATTAGACCCACCAAAATAAAAGACCCAATCCAAAATGGGCAAGTGAAATTAATAGACACTGCAGAAGAAGTACAAATGGCCAACAGGAAAATGGAAAGTGGAAAATGTTCAACACTGCTGACCAGCAGAGAATTGCAGCTTGAAGCATCCTCTTAGCTTGGATGGCTCTGGTACCTGGCCATCTTGCTCTCAGTATCGCAGATGCAGCAAGCACATTAAGGGTGATTCAGCTGAGGGTCTTGTCTCCTCCGCCCCAGCACACAGCTTCTGCTGTGCATGTGGCCTCTGTGCCACCTGTTTCTGGACATTCAAACTGTGGGCAGTGGTATCTCAATATGCGTGTGGTTTAGAGGGTGTTTCTGCTGTCTAGTTCATTTGTTTGGAGAAAAATAACTACATATATACAAACGCCATTAGGATTCTAGGTGGTGTGAACTTGTATTTTCTCAAACTTCAGTCCATAAAGATGGCTTCATTCAGTCAGATTCTGCAAATCAGGAGGCCATCCTGACTCGGTTTGGAGTACTATGTCCCAGATAACCTTCCCATGCCAGCCCTGCCTGCTGGGCTCTGTCTCCTGTCTCGCTCAGCAGACCATGGGGGCAGGGGAATTGATTGAGGACAGAACCAATGTTTTATTAATACTTGTAAAAACCCAAGTTTTGGGGTCTTCATTATTGTTATTATTTGTCTCTTATTTTTCTTATATTTTGTTTTGTTTTCCACTCTAATATAGAAAGGATAGATGTACATGCATAGGGTTATACCTGCCTAGAACTAATCCTAAAGCATTTATAAAAAATGATTTTATTACGTGTGGTATTATCAACAGCTACTTAGAAGAAAACGAGACATTATGGTAGCCAATGCTGATTTTCTATCATCTTGTTGTGAAGTCCAATACTGCCTTTATTCTTTGTTTTGATTGGTTTTAGTTTGTTTTCTATTATTTGATTTCAGTGTGTGTGACGGTATGGACAGCTATTTTGAAGAGAACAAGAGATATTTCAGTAGTCATTGTTGATTTTCCTATTGCCTGGTTTTGAAGGCCTGTAATACTTTCTTTCTTTTGTTTTGATGGGTTTTATACTATTTTGTTTTGTTTGAATTCATTGTGTGGGAAGATATGGACAACTATTTTGAAGAAAATGAGACATTCTGGTAGCCTCTGTTGATTTCCTGTTGTCTTGTTTTGAAATCCTGTGTTGCTTGCATTGTTTTGTTCTGATCTGCTTTGTTCTGTTTTGTTTTGTTTCATTCTCTTTAAAATAAAAACAAAAACAAAAGTTCCATAGCTTTCGTTGATTATGCTGTGTCTTTACCTGTCTATGATAACACTGATTTCAGGATTCCGTAACCTTCGTGTACCAGAATTTGGAAAGGAACCTACGGACCATGCTTATGGGCAGCTCCGAGAACTCCCTGAAGCATATCTCCAGGCCCTCCGGATCATACTACGTGTCCCTGCCCTATGCCAGGCTTGGTTGGTATGTACGAGTTTATCTGTCTTGGGAATAGTTCCTTCTATACCTCACTCACTTATTCACAAATGGCATCCCTTACCACTTTATTTTTCAATGAATTCATCATCAGAAGAATAATATAGATTCTATGGATAAGGTATTTTAAAGATGATACAATGAACTGTCATTTTGCTAAGTAAGTATGATAAGATAAGTCTTATTTTTTTCAGAGTATTTGTAAAGATCCAGTGCTCTTGGGGATATAGTCTCACAGATTTTTTTCTTTCTTTCTTTCTTTCTTTTTTTTTTTTTTTTTTTTTTTTAGCAATCTAATGACATTAGAAGACATAAGCAGAGGGTGATGATGGTGTTTTGATTACACTATAATTTTACAAATAAATTGCTAGAGAGTCCTCTGATTTTAAAATTGGTCTAAAACTTGGCCCAAATATACAAAAGTGACTGTTTTCTGGAGTATTTGGTGATGTCTCTTTATTAAAATCACATTTCTTAAATATGGGTGACAAGCCTTTTCTCAGGGCAGTTTGGTGACAGTCCTTCCTTTTTGGGTGCCTGATGTGTTCAACCTTGGCACAGGCGGCGGGGGAGGGCAAACCCTGACCCTTTTCTGCCATTCACTTGCCAACCATGAGCTTTGGCCAACTGCCTGAAAGGGCCAGACAAGGCCTGCTGTAATGCTAGCAGGCACATTAGGGTTAGGGTTAGGGTTAGGGCCTTCCCACGGGCCTCTGCAAGCCAGCACACAGCATCAGAGAGCCAGGAACTGCAAGGCTCAGCAGAAGATTCTGCTCCTCCCAGCAGGTTTCTAGCCCCCTGAAGCTCTCCTCCCTTCCCGCTATCCTATCATCTGTTCTCTGTGGGGCTCTTGGACTTTGTGATCCTGATAATGACCTTTGAACCTCAACTGTGCTGTCCATCTCTGCAAACTGATGTGTCATCAGTCCTATTTGGATGCACTCACTAAATATGCAGGGTGCTTGATTTGACCCAGCAAAGTTGCCCTGTGTAGGTCTGGTGGAAATAAATGCAGAATCATCTTTAATGCATGACACTGCCATGCATTGAGCAGATCAGAAAGCAGCTGATAGCTGTGTGGTGTTTGATTGTCCTTTGATCTCAGGGAACTAAGGAGATGGGATGCTTTGTGAAGTTTTGGGGTCCGAGACCCCCAGAGGCTGTGCTGTGTCTGCCTTCCCCTCCAGAGCGAGACAGTATGTCATACAGACCGTACAGCCTTGTAGATGATATTACTGTCACCCACAAGGCCGGGCAATCAGTGAGAGAAAATTAAATGTGGCTTCTAGAGAACAAAGAGGTGGCAGGCAGTTTCACTGCCTGCTTGGTGGACCGCGTGAGTCCTTCTCTTCCCAAGGGCCATGGCTTCAGCGGACCTCAACCAGGATGGGCACGGTGACCTTGTGGTGGGGGCACCGGGCTACAGTCGCCCCGGGCACTTCCAGGTTGGGCGCGTGTACCTGATCTACGGCAGCGACCAGGGCCTGCCACCCATCGACCTGGACCTGGACAAGGAGGCGCATAGGGTCCTGGAGGGCACCCAGGTGAGGCCCGAGCCATCCTTCTCTTCTAGGGGGGAAGAGGCCACTGCCTGCATCTGATGGCAAAATCTCTGGGATGAGCAAGCCGTAACAGGTAAACAGTTTGTGGACTACAGTTGCAAGCTGTTTGTTTTAATTTTTAAAGCCACATTCATGTCATTTACTCATGCATCCTTAACTTTAAGTATTTCATGGCTTCCTGAAACTCACATGCTGTTTAGGACTGCTTAAGTGACCAGTGAGGATGTGATTTTTTTGATTCTATAAAACATATATTTAAAACTTTCTAAGCATTTGAGATGCACAGAAAAGTATAGAGACAATACAAAGAGTTCTCATGGCTCCTTCCCCAGTTTCTCTGTGTTAACATCAGACATTATCATGGAACGTTAGTGAGAAAATGAAACACCCCCATGGGCCCTGGCCGTGATTAGATCCCAGTCTCTGTCAGATGTCACCCCTTTGCTTCGAGTGCTTATTCATTACCAAAGAAACTCGCAGGAGCTGTCCAGGTATGGTATTCCTCATGGACTTGAGCGCTAATTCCTCTGCGATTGCTGGGCCCGGAGAGCTTGCCAGGGCCTTGGTCCTCACCTGCACAGAACGAAGTGGGCAGAGCATGCTGCCTGTCACTGGGGATGAGGAGCCTTTGGGGATGTGGGCCGGGGCGTGGACCCTCACGCAGTTGGGGCGGGAAGCCTGGAACCTCATTCCAAGTCCAGGCTTCCTGCCTTGGCAAGTTCTGTTCCTGGGCAAGATGCTTCTCTTTCATAGTTGATTCTGTAAAGAGAAAGTAAGATGTGACACCAGGGCAAACTTTTAAAAAGCCAAGAATCCAATGGCATGTGATCAGTTTAGGTGCTAAGGAGTGCAGGCGTGTAAATGAGTTGGGCTGGCCAGGGCAGGAGCTCCCACAGTCCCACTGTCCCTCAGTCCCATAGGCTGTCCTTTGTTCTGGAGTTTCCTGATACCATGTGAAAGGTTTCCAAAATAAATGGGCCTGTTACTGTTGTTCTTACCGCCCCGCCGTGCCCCCCATAGGCCACGATGCAGAGTGTGGCCCCTAAACTCCTACAGATGGGGTGGGAAGCTTCCCATCTTCCTGTATAATCTTGGTGATGAGATGGAGGCATGGACCTGAGGTGCCATGAGCCTGTGCTGTGGCCCACAGAAAAAGGCTGAACACCCCAAGGCCTTGTCTCCTCACTCTTCCTGCTGATCAGGCAGACAGCCAGGTCCTGACAGCACAGCTGCAGGTGACAAAAGTCCCCACCCCGGCCTCACGTGCTGTCCCCAAGAAGTCTTCCAGTCTATCAGGTTCTTGCCTCATCAAAAAGTGTGTTCACAGGTGCCAGATGCAGTGTAAGAAATGATCTCATAAGTCATAGAGGGGGCACTGGGACACAGGCAGTGTGGCAAGCATCACTGTGTGAGACGCTCTCATGGGACAGGTTGGGTAAGAGTGGAGGACAGATGACTCAATTTTAGGCCTACAGGGATTTTAGACAGTAAGAGACGAAATGTGTAGAAAATCCAGCTAAGAGGAAAACTGTCACTGAAGAGTGAGTTTTCCATCTGTAAACGGAGTGGGGAGACAGCTCCCACCTTAATCTCTGTCAGGTGTTGAGTGCAGTGTACTGTAGCACATCTGCAGAACTTCCTGTGGGACTGGAATGAGCTTCCTGTGTGGAATGTTCTAGAGCTGTGGCGCCCAGCCTGGGAGCCAGTAAGTGCAGGCTTCTGAACATCGGAGATGTGGCCAGTACAGCTGAAGAACTGAATTTTTAACTTCTTAACACTGATCTCAAATAGCCGTATTTAGCTAGCAGCTATTGCACCAGGCAGCATGACGGGTAGTCAAGCCATGTCAGCTGCTGGTGCACGTTGTGCTTGCTGGAGACACTTTTGAAGAGTGTCTGGTATTTTGCTCTGGGATGAAAAGCACACAAGACCCATCTTCTACCAACTTGGAGCTATGAATTTATCCCTTTTGCTTTCTAGTCCCCTGGTGTCCCCTCAGGGTGGTCAGAGATGCCACCAACCCCTGGGGCAGAGCTACTCCACTGCTGTCACAGCTGTGTGACAGGTTGGATGGTTGTGGGGGCTGCAGCCTTGGTGGTGGGTGGCATCCAGGCTGTCTCCTTGGAGGGTCTCAGAGCTCTGCCCAGGCCGGGCCCAGGTTGTAACCTGTGCCTTTTTAGCCCTCAGGTCGCTTTGGCTCGGCTGTGGCTGTGCTGGACTTTAACAAGGACGGGGCTCCTGATCTGGCCGTGGGAGCACCCTCTGTGGGCTCCGAGCAGCTCACGTACAAAGTAAGGCTGGAGGGGTCAGGGGAAGTATCTTGTGAGGGGAGCCCTGCTGGGAGAGTCCTGGAGCAGGGCAGATCCCCACCCAGCTCCTGATGTGAGCTGGGGTTCCCGTGGCATCTGTTCCTGCCTCCCTAGCCTTATTTCAGTCAAGTATTTTAGTCTTGCTTTCTGCACTGCTCTAAAGTGCCAGCTAGCAAGGGAGACAAATGGCAGCTGGTGTGTAGCACGGATTCTCCTGGCCTCACCCTTTCATGCCCGGAACTGCCTGCTGCTGGCTTTCTTACCAAGGTCGTGGGCTCACCACGGGCTGTTTTCCCACTTGTTCTCCATACGTGATACAGCCCAAGCCCTGGGTGCATGTGACCTTGGAGGTCAAAGGCTTTTTGTCTGTTACCCTCCCAGGCAGGTCTTTCCACATTCTACATCCAGAAACTTCTGTCATTTCCCGAGCCTACTCTGTGGGCTCTCTCACTGCAGGCCCTTTGCTTGTCCAGCTTCCTTCCAGTCCATCCTCGAAGGCAGTGTCATGCAGTCCTGGGGCAGGGCCAATTGATGCTTCACGGTGCTTGCACAACTTCCTGTCCCATTTCTACCCACCATAGCTGCATCCTAGTCAACCTGTCCATCAGCTCTGGAGAGAGCAGGGAGGCATCCTGCCTACCTGTGTGCCTAGATCTTGGCACATGACGGAAAGTAAATGCTTATAGAGTCAAGGGGGATGGAGACAGATGAGGTGGAAGAGAACAGACTCATCACACAGAATAATAGCGCAGTGTGTCCCCTGGCCTGTGAACGATACAGATGCTACAGAACGATACAGTGTGGTGTGACCCTCAGCAGTGTGATGGGCTGGGTAGGGAGGCTTTGGGGAAGAAACTGACAGTGATCTGGGTCTTGGAGGAACAGGATTGAGTAAACCACCCTGCAGACACACTGCATAGTGACCTGACCAACCCTGAGCGTGATGTTGGGAGGCAGACACAACAATGACAGGTTTTGCTTTTGGGGCTCTCATTCTGATGGAAGGGACAGATTTTTAAAAATGTCATCAGCCCAGTAGCAGGGCACAGGCAGGTCTGTTAGGCTTACAGCGGTGTTAATTTCACAGTCAACTTGCACTCTGCTTTTAAAGGTAGCTGTCCCCAGCTTAGCACTCTGGTCTGTCACTGTCTGTCTTCATCTAGGGCGCGGTGTACATCTACTTTGGTTCCAAAGGAGGAAGACTATCTTCTTTCCCTGACATCACCGTCTCCTGCCAGGTATGCTCAGCACCTTGGCCAGGTGCAGGAACCTGGAGCTCTGCACCCCAAATGCCTCCAGGGCTGAGTCAAACGTGTTTTGGGTTCCCCCGCTGCAGGATGTGTACTGTAACTTAGGCTGGACACTCCTGGCTGCAGATGTGAGTGGAGACAGCGAACCGGACCTGCTGATTGGCTCTCCTTTTGCACCGGGTGGAGGGAAGCAAAAAGGCATGGTGGCTGCATTTTATTCTGGCTCCCACCGGAGTAACAAAGGTAGAGTCCCATGGGGCAGGGGACAGAGATACGGCTCCTCATTCTGTCTTGATACTTTTCTTTATGACCTTTTTCTTCCATATAATGTCACCAAGACTTTCCAACAGTGTCTTACAGATGATGTGGGTAGATCTTCTGAGTATACAAAAAGGGACCCAACTTCTTGCTTCAGATTCGAGGGGGCCAATTGGTTATTGTCATAGTCTCTCTGAATAAAGAAATGTAAAGGTGACTTAGGACCACAGACTTCCTGTTCTGATCTGTACAGAGAGGGGTCTTTCTAAGTAGTATCCTTACTGCACAGAAATGAGCTCTAGAACATATTTAGGTGTAAAACACGGGCTCTATGACTGATATCAGCATACTGGAATCAGTATGAAATCTACGCATTCTGGGGTAAGCGCAGGGAATGAGCTTGTTTCTCATCAGCCCCCTGTGGTCCTCACTGACTGTAAAGGGGCCACTGTCTTGTTCAGGAGAGCTGAGCGTAGAGGTGGCTGACTGGCTGGTAAGAGGCAAGGAGGACTTCGCCTGGTTTGGCTATTCCATGCACGGCGTCACGGTGAATGGCAGCACCTTGCTGCTGGTGGGAAGCCCGACCTGGCAGAATGTCAGCAGGTAAGGCAGGCATGGGCCCGGGGACCAAGGAGCACAGTTGTTGGGGGCCCGGGCAGTGTGGGTGCAGGCAAGGGGTGAGAATGTTCCTGCCCTTGGAAGGACAAGTGGGACTTGGCAGCCCACTGCTTCCCCATCTTAGATGAGAACTATGATCAGTAAGTTTATAGTTTTCCAGGGTTGCCATAATAAAGTTCCACAGGGTAATCAAACAGGAATTAATTGTCTACCAGTTCTGAAGGCTGGAAGTTCGGAACCAAGGTGTTGGCAGGGTTGGTTTCTTCTAAAGTATTTCCTTTCGGCCTGACATGTGCCTTTCCTTGGGACCTGTCTGTGTCTTCTCCTCATCTTGTAAAGTCACCCATCAGCAAGGATGAGGGCCCAGTCAGTGGGCTCATCTTAACTTGGTTGCTTCTTTACCCCGTCCTCAAATACAGTACCCTTCTGAGGTCCGAGAATTTAGGATCTCGGCACCATTCTACCTGTGACAGTAGCATCCCATATTTGCTGTCAGGTGGGGGCAGAATGGTGGCCGAGGGACCTGGAGAAGCTGGATGCTGCTGGGATCAACGCCAGCAGTTACCCCTTTCAGGACCAGCATCACTGGATGGGGTGTATGGGAGGCCTGTGTGGAGGTGGATCCCTGGCCACTCTGTGCCCCGCCCCCTGACCGAGCTCAGTCCACTGCTTCTTTCAGGCTGGGCCACTCGCTTCACAGGCACAAGGACACCCAGAGCCTTGGCAAGGTGTACGGCTACTTCCCACCCAGCTCCCAAAGTGGGTTTGTCATTTCTGGGGACAAGGTATGGCAACCCCTGTGTCCCCAAGACAGTGGATGATACTGTGGAATTCGCTGCACTGCATTGACCTGTCACATTTCACAGGCAATGGGGAAACTGGGCTCTTCCCTGTCAAGTGGCCACGTCATGATGAATGGGACCTTGACACAAGTGCTGCTGGTTGGGGCCCCAACTCGAGGTAGGTCACGTGCATGTACCTGCTTTTTTAAATTGTGAGTCTCCCTGATCGTGCCTCACTGGCTGAAAAGGCATGAGATCTGGTGCCAGACAGCACTGGGTTTAAGCTGGGTGAGGTGGCAAAGATTGTAAACACAGCAGCTGGAGGCTGAGGCATGAGGATCACAAGTTTGAACTCAACCCAGGTAATTTAATGAGACCCCGTCTCAAAATACAAAATGGGGCTGGGAATGTTATTTACTGCTTCAGTCCTCAGTACTACAAAATAAAAAACAAACTGGGTTTAATTTTTTTCCTTTTGATTTAGTAGGATGTGTAATGTCAGAATTACTTAACCCTTGCTGTGCATAACGGGATTGAATATCTGTTTCAAAAGTTTATTGAAAATGGCATTTGAAAATAATTGTTTTTATAGCCTCTACCCCTACTGACATTGGAGCTGAAGAATTTTACTAGTTTATGGGGAACAGGTCTATTCTGAGAATATATTTTAGTACACCATTATTTTGTTTACTTTATGAGAAAAAAAGTTTTAAAAACCATAACAAAAACCAACTCTCACTAGAATATAAAAGTGAATGATGCTTACTGTTATAACCTGTGAAACTAAGGAAAGATACAAAAGGTGGTAAAAAATATGGTGAGTGTTTAAATTTATTTATTTATTTTTGTCTTTTTGAAACAGAGTTTTATGTGCAGTTCAGGCTGGCCTTGAACTCACTTTGTAGCTCAGGCTGTCCTTAAACTTGCAGAGGTCCTCCTGCCTCAGCCTCCTGAGTGCTGGGGTTACAGGCATGCACCACCATGCCCAGCTATAAATTTAAGCCATTTATTATAGGAAAATGCCCATTGCCATCATTCTCCTTTAAAATTCTCCCCCTCATTTTAAACACACGTATCCCGTCATTCTTGTTACTTTCTGAAACAAATCCTCTTTTGTGGAAATCCTCTTTTGTGAGTGTCTTTACAAAGTTGTGATAAAAAAATTCAGTGAATTCTGCTGCCCAGTGCCATTCAGCAGAAAGGCAGGCTTGTAAAAATATTCCAGTGTGTTCACATCCACTTACTCCCCACATCTGTCACTGTGCGACTTTTGGCTCTTCCCCAAAGTCCAAATGACCATGAGAGGTAAATGTTTTGAATGGTCTCAGGATATGAGGGCAGCCACAACAGTGTAACTAAAGTCACTTGCGAAAGAGAATTTTGAGAACTGCTTTAGAAGGTCGCAGCAATGATGTAACTGACCGAAGAAGAATGTTTGGTGGGAGAATACTGGCAATGCGTCTTTTACCATAGCAGGTTTTAAAAATTTTTAATTCATACCAATTTTTGATCATACAATATATAGAAAAAATCATCCCTTAATCAGGTGTGTAAAAACTGAAGGTCACACTATATACTTTTTACACTTAGCTTTTAATTTATTTATGTCTTGAGCATGTTATACATTCTTATAAAATATGACTTTTGATACCTGTGCTGCATCTTTCTTTATGCATAGGCCAGGATCATATTATACCTGGAAACACACGCTGCTTCCATGTCTACTCTACTACTGAACATGCGCATACAAAGCCTTAGCTGCCTTTCTGATTGGTGCTTAGGTGGATTCCTGGAGGTAGAACTGTTATCTATATTTGTCACAAAGGTTTCAGTTTCAAACAAAATGGCAGAGGTTTGGGTAATCAGTACAAGTAACTCTGGCAAAGAAATGACTAAAGGTTTTATCGCAACGATTGAGGACACAGTATTAAAAAAAGGACACAGTATTAAAACACCAAGTCAGCATTATAACTGTGACTCAGCATCAAAGTTTGCTGATTTGTCATTGGAATAGTTCCTCGCCTGCTTATTTTTTTTTACAGAGTTTAGATAGTGATTTCTGAACTCTTACAACACACATTATTGATCTTATTTTCCTCACTGTTCTATTGGGGTGCCGGGAATTACAGCTCCCCAGATGATCCTGCTTTTGGTGCCTTTAATATCATTCATATAAATATATATATATATGTAATATGTTTGCAATTATAAAATAAAAAATGCAAGTTTAATTTATATGTTTATGTCATATACATTAAAAAAGTCAAACTATTTATTTTGAGTTAACAATAAACTAGCATTCAGTCAAAAGTACTTGAGAGTCAAGTAAGAGTTTACCCAGTTTTCCCCCACTATAACATCCTGCAAAATATAATGTTACAGCCAGGTTATGACAGTCATACAATCTGCTAGTTTTGCTCAAGTTTTCCATTTAAATTGCATTTCACCCACATAACACGTGAGGCCCAGTGCCAAATAAAAATGTGGGGCTCCTTGTTAAAGAATTAAAGATTACGTATGGGTGAGAACACCGTGCCAAGCCAGAGTATTCCAAACACGTGCTCTGTGTGACAGCACAGGCTACACGCCCTGTATCTGTGTCCTAACCATACAGCTCCTGTTGGGCATCTTGGAGCCAAGGATTATGTATATGATAATCCTTTGTTTTGTATGTCAGCACTGCAGTAAGATGGTAGGATTTGGGAATTCACCAAGGCCCTGGATATGGCCCTTTTAAAAATAAAGGGTCTTCTGTGTTACTTTTAAAAATAATAGAACAGAAATGCTAAAACATTGACTATTTTTTCCCCTCTTAGCTGTCTAAAATACATATGATAATCCTTTATTTTGTATGTAAGGTAGAGGTGTTTTCAGTGGCTAACTTTTAAAGCATCTGAACCTTTTAGTTCTAAACTCTGAGAATTTACAAAGCAGATACTCTAAATTATATCTTCTAATAGAATGTGGTGACTGTTCGCTTTGTAAATACTAATCACAATTCTTCCCCATCTGTGTCATTTCAAACCATAAGAGAAGTGGATTTCTGACTCAATTTGTTATCAAAATAAATGCCTTTCTCTCTTTTTTTTTGGCGATGCTGAAGATTGAACCCTGAGTTTTGCATGTGCTAGGGAAGTGCTGTACCACTGAGTGACTGTGTTCCTAGCCTTGGATTAATTTTTTGTTGTGCATACTAATTATACATATTTACAAGACAAGATTATAATTAATTATATAATACACAAATCAGGGTACTCAGTACATCCATCAGCTTATAGAGTTAGCATTTCTTTGTGACCAGAGCATTTAAAAACTTTTCTGCTAGCTGTTGGGGAATATACATTATTAACGATTGTCATGCTGCTGTAAAATTAGGACACTAACTATTCTTCCTTTCTCCTGAACCTCTGTACCTGTTAAGATGCATATTTCCTAGGAACTGTAATAGCTGGGTTTGAGAATGGTGCTGATGGAGGCAACCATATGCAGGCTTTTTGATTTTGCCTCCTAAGCTATACATGGGGTGGATTCCCTGTGGGAGAATGTAGTCTGCATGGCAGATTTGAATCTGCTGTCAGCAGATGAGGCAGAAGAATAAGGACCTGAGGCCTCGCCTGGCTGGTGGGTGGCCATGGCCCTCTGCTCCGCAGGCAGCAGGACCGGTGGCAATGCCCACCCTGCAGGCAGCATGCCAGTCCTCACAGTCCTTCTGGCTGTGGAAGGACAGAGGCTGGAGGCAGACAGACGGCTAGGAGTATTACCAGGGTCCTGTCACTCAGGGAGCTCAGGTTTGCTGCAGGAGGCACAAAAAGAAGAAAATGAGAATTTTTCTCATTTCTGCTGAATACTTTGGACTTTACTCTGAATGTTAGCTGTTGGGCTTTCTTAACTTTCTTGGGGGGTACTGTTGTTGGGTCAGATCATGTACTGCAGTATCAGAAAGCCCCAGAACCCTGAGATTTTACAGGACTCTTACGTATCTCCTGTTTTTGGGCTGTCATTTGTGATTATCACTGCAACTCTGCTTTGAGCCCTTAGTTGCTTCTAGTGGATGACCTGCCACAATTAGTCACATCAGTTGCATGCACAACAGGGATCAGGCCCTAGTGTGAGTCTGTTACCATCACTACTGCTGCCTGCATGTCCTGTTCACAGAAACCTCTCAGAGGACCACAAATCCCACCCACCCATAGACACCCTTATGCTTTTTTGAAGAAATCACTTATCTCTTATCAAAGCTGTGTTCTGAGTTATTATAGCAAAAATCTAACTAGTTTTGAATTTGTTCACAATTCGAGAAAAAAAAAACACACCTTGTATTGAGTGCTTGTGTGACTCCAGGCAACATACTAGATAAAGTACACCGAACGACCGCCAGGACCCACCCCATGTGGAATAGACTGTGTCACCCAGAAGGGGCCCAAGTGAGCAGGATCTGTCCTGCATGGGGTCTGAAGGAGGCGCTGGCATGGTGTGGTCCGGTAGCGGAGGCAGCTCCACCTGTGTCAGACAGCAGGGCAGGAAAGGCTTCCAGAAGAGGAACACTGTACCAACTTCTGGAGGAAGAGCAGGCGTGGCCGGTGGTGGCCTTGTACGGGGGAGGTAGAGGGTTTGAAAGAAGAGGTGCCTACCCCAGGCAGAGGCACATTATGTCCAAAGGTCTGGAGTTAAATACACTGGGTTGTGGTTTCGGTTTATTATAGCTGATGTGTAGTGAGGAGAGAGGGTCCCAAGTCAGTACTCAAGCCTTAAGAAGGCACTGGGTTGTGAAAGGCCTTGGGAAAAGCCTATTCATCCAAAGTCCACTCACATTTGATCTTGTAAGTCAGACTGTGATGTAAAAATAAAGTGGTTGCGTGGGGCGTCTACTAAACGGGGCAAGGCTGGAAGAAGGAACCTGACGGGAGCCTTTGACATCTCTGTCCCAAGCTACTTGTACCTTCCCCCTGCCAGAGCCCTCGGGCTTGGAAAAGGTGGTCCTGTGCGCTTCTGGGTGCACGAGGCCAGAGCAGGGTGTGCCGTGTCGTCTTCACCCATGATGCCAGCGGGTTCTTTGGCTGGTTTCAGATGACAGGTCCAAGATGGCTTTCCTGACCATGACCCTGCACCAAGGAGGGAACACACGGGTATACCAGCTGCTGCCGGATGTGCCACCTGCCCTGCTCAGCACCTTCAGCGGGGACCGCCGCTTCTCCCGCTTTGGCGGAGTCCTGCACCTCAGCGACCTGGACAATGATGGCGTGGGTAAGAGGAACGCCCATTCGGTCGAGCATGGAGTTCCTTTGCCCAATGGACCAGTGATCTAATTAGACGAGCGAGGCCCTGCCCTTATAGTTGACAGCGTAGGACAAGACCAAAACTGGACGTGTCAGAGTAAAGGTGCATTTCTGAAGATGCAGTGTAAGGGTCACAGTGTCAGCTGCTATGGATGATAGACATGGTGAAAAAACACCTTTTACTTTGTGAGGAGGAACCAGGGCAGAAAATTTAAAAGAAATGCTAATTACATGTGGGGGGCTGGGTCAGGATCCAAACGGGGAAAGGATGACAGGGGAGTCAGATACTTCTCCCAGTTTTTATTGTTTGCAGACGAAATTATAACGGCAGCTCCACTGAGGATCACAGATGTAACCTCTGGTCTGCTCGGGGGAGAAGATGGGCGAGTTTACATATACAACGGCCAACACATCTCCCTTGGTGACATGACAGGCAAATGCAAATCATGGATAACTCCATGTCCAGAAGAAAAGGTAAAGTGCTCTACAAAGGTCCTTCACCATGCGAGTGGGGGTCCCCGGTGATTCCTTATTATGGTGTGAAGTGTGCGCCGGAGACCCCTGCATTGAGTGCTTATCCTTGGTGTAGCAGTGTCCAGAGGTGGGGCTGAGAGAGGCGATGGGACTGAGGGGGCCCTGACCGCCCACGCCTTCGTCCATGGATGAGTTCCTGGCTGAGTGGGCTGCTGACAAATGGGGAAATCACTGGGGGCGTGACTTCGAAGTGTGTGTCCGGTCCTCAGCCCCTTACCCTCCCTGGCTCTTCTCTGATGCCCCCAAGAGATGAAGCAGCTTTCCTTGTCTGCACTTGGGGCTCAGGGGTCAGGAAATAGTCACCCCCCGAGTTGGCAGACCCCAGCAGCCTGCAGTTCTTGCAGCTGTGCAGCATTTGTGCCTAGATGTGAATAGAGCTGGCCTTGGTATCACGTTGGTCCCTGTCACAGCCGGTCACTGTCTGCCTAAGGACCCAAGCAGAGGAAGACAGGCTAGGGCCACTGCAGTTTCATGAAAATGTCCAGTCATTTGCTTCTTGTTTACTACTTTGTTTGGTCCCTCTTCCCGGGTGGGTTTCCTTAAATTACATACTCTTGAACCTCCAATATGTGGCCACTGCTATTTATTTGTTTGTTTATTTTATTTATGGTACTAGGGATCAAACTGGCAGGCACTTGTGCCACTGAGCTAAATCCTTGGTGATATTTTTAATCTAAGAAATATTTTTAAGTTACAAAATGATTGAAAGCTTGCTGTGAAAATTTAAGAAAGCCCCAGAAATATAAAGAAAAAAATTAAAAATCACCTACCTAAAATTCTACCTGTAGAGCTAGTGCATGTTAACCTTCAGAGTGTTTTAGCATTTTTTGTGAAACTGTTACTGTCTATTGTGCATTTATTTTCACATGCTAAGACTTACATATAATTTAATCTACACCAAAGCTATGAAGTTGCTCTTGTGTCTAATTACATGTAAAGAAATTAAAGGTCAGAGGAAATCTGTTCAAGGTCACATTGCTAAATGGCAGACCAAGGATTTGAAACAAGATCTAGTTCTAAAACTTTTCTTAAAAATACACACACTGTAGTAACTGTTAACAATTGATTTAAAAATCAATTCTGTCTCAAAAAAATAAAAGAAGGGCTGGAATGTAGCTCAGTGCTGAGGCCTTGGGTTTAGTCCTGAGATTCCTCTTTCTGATATTCTTATTCTAGAGTAACAATCATATGTATTAGGTATATGCCAGCTGTATAGTATTTTTATCTACAAACTAGTTTAACAATTATGCAAGTAACCATTATTAGTTACTTTTACCAGTTCTCACCGTTAAGGATAATAATGGCATACATACATGCATTTTTACAATTGGATTTTTTCTGGGAGCTAAACTTCTATAAATGAAATTTACAGGGTCAAAGGACATGCACATTTGTAAGGACAATCTGGAAACGTTGAATGTGAGCAGGAAGGTATAATTAAAGTTGATGAAAACTCCACATGAAGAGCAGTAACATTAACCACCCTCTTTCTCTTATTTGTTTTAGGCCCAATATGTACTAATCTCTCCTGAAGTAAGTACTTCTTGAAGGACTGAAAGAAAAATTACCAAAAGTGCCCTTTCCTCCTGTTTTCAACTTTTACCGTATTATGGTGTGTTTGCAAATGTCCATTAACAGGGCGTATTTTACAGGCAAGCTCAAGGTTTGGGAGTTCCCTGATCTCTGTGAGGTCAAAGGAGAAGGTGAGTACCAGGACTCATTTCTGTGACATTTGTGCTTGTTCCAGGGCCAGGATTCGATGATCTCACTTTTAAAATTTACTTAGGTTTTATTTTTATTTGAAAAAGGAACATACAGGTGGAAGAAGGAAAGAGGCACACACAATGCTATCACTTCCTTGTTTCTGCTCCACCAGAATTGGAGTGGTCATTATGTACTGAGGTGGCTGAAGAAAAATTCTAATAATATTTTGTGACATGAAATTTATGAGATTCAAATCTTAGTGTCCACAGATAAGTTTTTATTAGAACCCAGCCACCATCATGGCCTGCATACACTGCTACCTCGCTGTGGGAGCCTCAGAGACACACGTCCCACAAAGCCTAAAGGAGCCGTTATCCCGCCCCTCACAGAAAGCGTCTGCTGCCCTTGGCACTGGAATAACCACTGTTAGTAGTTTGCTGTTTTCTTCCAGACATTTAGAATTTTCTATGACTCTACACACACACACACACACACACACACACACACACACACACACACAATTTTGCTTCTTCCTAGAAAAAAAATAACACTTAGAACCCTGGATCCTTTTTAATAGCTATCTAGTATTTTACTATTTGGAAGAATGTTACTTTAGTTCTTCAGCTCAGATTTTCATAGATATTGTGGTTCCTTTTTAAAAAAATTATTACAGACAATGCTGTTGTGAGCATTCTTGACCTGTATTTTTATATAACTGTGCAAACATCCTTATAGGTGAGAATCATAGAAGTAGGATTATTAGATCAAAGGGTGTACACAATTAAAATTTTAATTATCACAGATTAGAGAGTTTTTCCTTAAAATGCAGCTTTAAACTTTTAATGCCACTCACTCATTTTAGGAAATGATATTGTATAGAGCTGTGCTAGGCAATGAAATATGAGCAAAGGAAAGACAAAGTCTGTGCCCTTGAAAAACTAGATTAATTCACATGGTAAGTTAGGTAAAACATGAAACAGGTTTTGGCTTAGATGTTAAAGGAGCATTACTCCCGGAACCAAGTCTCACCTGGTTTATCTTTACATTCACCATGCTTAGTGTATCCCAATCCCAAGTATTGTTTAAAAAATGGAAACTGACAGTTGGAGAATGATCAGTGTGGCCTTTCTCTGAGACTTACTAAAGTTACTATGATTTTGAAGACTTCCTTTTCTAGGATAAGCGAACAGTATGTAACTGGCAGCAGCAAACTGGATTACATGGCCCTAGAATGTGTCCATGAAATGCTGTCACTGCTCAGATTTCTGAACCTTGTCATGACACTGCTGTGTGTTTGTGATGTTCAGCAGGGAAGGGACAAATGAGTATAACAAGCAGAGTGTTACACTGAGCACCAGCAAGGCAGGCACAGAAGCCCAGACCATGGACTTGGCCCCCAGGAACACAGAGTTTAGGTGAAAGAATGAAACAGTGAGACCACTGATGCCAATGTATGCTGACCAAGGAGCCTGCAGTGGCAATCTGTGCTGGTGGTCAGGACAGGCCTTGCAGAGCCCATGGGCCCTGTGCTGTGCCCGGGAAAATGGAGACTCAGCTGGGCACAGGGCAGCAGCGAGGGAGCATAGGATTTTAGGAATAAGGAGAGCTTGATCAGGAAATGAAAAGGAGACTGAGGTCCCAGCCAGAGTACAAGCACATTTGGCAAATCAGTACATCCATAAGGGAAGAGAGGAAGCTGCTGTTTGGTTAATTTTCTGAAAATTTGGGTTTTCTGTTTTAACTGATACTGGCGTATTGAGAGTACAAAGGGCTAAGCCTAGGGCTTGACACATGGTAAAGATGCAATACCTGTTAACCATTATTATTTCTAGGCTCTCTTGGGGTGTTAAATACTTGTCAGTGAGAAACTGTTACACTTTTCTCTAACCCAAAGTTTGATCACCCATACCTCATGAAGCACGCTTGGGAGTATGAAGATTTTGCTAAGATCACTGAACGTGTTTAACAACTTGTAGCAGGTAGTGAAGGCAGCTTTAAGACTGGATCTGAAAATGCCTCAGCAGCGGGGAGAGCGTGTGAACAGACAGGCAGCCCATGCGGAAGTCTTTAGTATTATGCCTATGCTGTCAACATGGTACCACACAGCAAAGATCCCAGAACAAGCATGCATCGGTGTAGTTTTCTTTAATCTTTATGTGCCAGAGGGGATCCAGGTGAACTTCCTCAGCTGTGGTTCTTGTAGATCTGGGAAGTGGTAGCTAAAAAGGGAGGGGAGCATTTGTGCTTGAACTGTGGGATCTGGCTGTGTGCTGCGTCATTGCCAGAGCACGGTACGCTTAGATGCAGTAGGAACTTAGCAGATGTTATGAACCGCTCATGAATTCTGTTGTTTCCCACAGAACCAAGTTGTCGTTGCTGCTGGAAGGAGTTCTTTGGGAGCCCGGCTCTCTGGGGCGCTGCACGTCTATAGCCTCAGCTAAGAAGGTCATTCTACTTCCTCCCCTGGCCCTGGGTCCCCTGCTAAGTTGTCGCCAGGGTGAGCATTCTGGTGGAGAAGATGGCGCATCCAGGGGAGCCGTGGTGGGGCTCCTGAAGTAGACTCGCAATTTCCTAGAAATAAACTGACTCCATCAGGAGTTTGAAATAGCAGACACTCTGGTTATGCTTAGCCCTCTTCTGAAGTTTCCTTTCTTCTTTCCCTGCCTATTGCCCGTGCTCTGACCTGTTGAATGCTTGTCTCTCTGATGCCTGGAAGTGCTCTCTGTGGTCACCTCCTGGACAGGCTCTACAAAGTACCTCCTAAAAATCCCCTTTTTACTGCTAGCTATTAGATTATGTTCCAGGTTTGGCCCCCACTGAAGGTGCATTGGGAGGTGGTGGAGATGGCGGGGCTGGGCCTGGCTGGAGGAAGCACGGCGCAGGGAGTGGGCCATGAGGGTTGTCTGGGGACCCCAGCTCCTCACTGCTTCACCGCCACATGCTTCCACATGATGTACACCTCATCGCAGGCCCAAAACCTCCTCCCCTGGCCTGTGGTCAGGCCAGCTGACTGTGGCCACAGTGACACTTCCTTCTTTTAAGCTGTTGACTCTAGTGTTGTCAGTGACAGGAAGCAGACCAAGCCCGGCCTGATTCGGATTGAAGTTTAACAGCACCATACACAGAAAAAGCCCTTGAGGGGAGAGTGGAGGAAAAGCATGGGTGGGGGTAATCCACAGCACTTAGCGATCTGGTCCTTTCTGACAAGGACCAGTCCATTTTCTGTTTTATCCAGTAAGTGATGAATATAGAACTAAAATTTGATTAACTTTCTGTGCCCTCAGAAACTTTCATGGAGATGGCTGTTTTAACAGGTGGTAGAGCTCTGCTAGATTTCAGTGCAACGTTTTCTTTGTGCTAGGGGTCATTTGTTGGGCCTACAGAACTAAGCATGAGGGCCAAGGAAGCGAGGGACAAACAGGAGGGCTGGGGGCCTTAGTGTTACTTGCTCTCGGCTGGGCCAGGCTTCAGTGTGGAGCGTTTAGGGAGAAGGAATGCACACAGCACTTTAGCCATATGAAAATCCACAGGCAGGACAGCTAGCTAGCAGCAACCTGCTGGCTTTGCACTGTGGGAAGCTGTTTCCTCTGACACTGGTGAAATGATAGTAATGACAGGATCCCTTCTCAGCTTCTCTGGAGACAAGAGAACAGCAGGAGGAAAGAGGAAGGAAAATCTAGCTGAAAGGTTAAATCAGAAGCCAAGGAAAAGCTACTGTGGCTGTGACAAGTGTGGAAGGTGCTTCGATGTGGGGAAAACAGCTGTGCTATTTGTTTCCAGATAGAGCCGAGCTATGGGCTCCTCGAGGGACAGAGGCGAACAGGCAGCATCTGGCTTGGGTACTTAGTACTGGTGGGTAGAAATATATATAATTTATTTATTTATTTTTGGAACTGGGGATCAAACTCACACTTGCAAGGAAGGCGCTTATGCCACTGGGCTAAATCCCTGGCAATTATTTTTATTTAAAAGAAGGATTTTTAGTTGACCAGAAATCACTTATTCACCTGCAAGCTGAGACGTGCGCGTGTAGAACAGGACGAAGGTACATTTCTGTCAGTGCTGTAACTTCTCAGGAGGAGGGTGCTTCCTTTGTGGTGCCACTGCTACGTGTCAGTGTTTTCACGCTTCACTAAATGATCTGTGTTTAACACGTTCATGACAAGGCTGTCATTTGTGTCATGAGCTGGAATGTGTTAAACCTGACCATCACTGGCCTCAGAATTTGCATTCTTCTGAATGCCTGAACATTTCAGATGGCAAGCGTAGGTAAAGGTTAAATATCTGTAATAATGGGGCACATTTCTAAGTTTACAGGATATTTAGCCATTTTGTCCTGTCAAAAACAAGTCATACTTCTACTGCCAAAGGTCCTGTTTCCATTTCAGTAAACAGTAACTGCAGTTTAACCACTAACTCTGAAATAGTAACTAAAATAGAAAGACCTGTAAGGTTTTCTCATCCATACAAATCTGAACATGTACACAGTTCACCTTGGTTACCTTTGTTTTAAGATCTCATGATATTTATATATTTCCATTTTCCATCTGTGCATCTAGCAACTTCCTTCAAAGCTTGTGGAACTGTTTTGTGCCTTGGATCATGGACCTCAGAGATCAGAGTGATGTGAGGTGGGACTGGGAGCAAAGCCTAGAAGCCACAGGCCATACATCCTCCTTTAGAGCACTGCTGTGGCTATTACTGAAGGAAGGAGAGGAAATTAGAAGTTCAAACTGTGACTTTCTTTCTTTCTTTCTTTATTTTGAGACAGTCTCGCTATATAGTTCAGGCTGACCTTGAACTCACTATATAGCTAGTTTGGTCTTGAATCTGCAGCAATTCTGCCTCAGCCTCCTGAGTACTGGGATTACAGATGTACACCAGCATGCCTGGCAAAACTGTGACTTTAATACTGCCATTTCAAACAAAAAAAACTGTCGTTTTTGGAATAACACATAACAAGTAAGTTTTTAATGTGAAATCCTTTAATAGTTATTTCACAGTCCTTGTTTATCAAGAACGAAGCATGAGGTAACGAACAGCATACCAAAATGGTATCAGTTCTGCCCACACTGGGTCCGAAGCCCACTAGAGACGCACTCTGTTAAAACTGTTAGGTTTACACTTAAACTGCCCGCTTCTTCACATACTCCAGTGTTCGGCACTTCACCACCTCTGAAGTACTGAAATTTTCTACTTCAAAATTTACAATCAGTTTGCTGCGTTATTTAGCATCGGCTGTTTTATTCTCCACCAGAACTGTACTGTAAGCAGTACTCTGCAATCAGGAAGCAGAGCTCAGTGACATTTTGAAATCACTGCTGATCTAACCACCTTCAGTAATTTAAAAAAGTATTCATATATTCCATTTATCGGACTTCTGAGGTAGTTATATGACTTTTATAGTGGACATGACCAATTAAAATTATTTCACCCGAGCTCATTAACCAGAAAAGGAAAAGGACAAAAATTCCACCCTGGGCCTGATGTTAAACACTGCCCTCTGGGATTCCAAGCCTTCATAGATCACAGTATTATTGCTTTACAGTGATAAGGCCAAAAATAGTGCAGTGTTTTAAAATTAAGTCCATATGTTCTCCAAGGTGATCTTGCTAACCATCAGAAGGATTTACAGCGCTGCCGGAAACCCATATTCCCACTGCAGCATCCCTACCTTGACAGTGTCCTGACCCACAGAGGTGCGAGGCCACGGCCAGCCCAACCTGTTTCATCCACGCAGTCTCCAGCCTCCCTCAAACGGCTTCCCGCAGCCACCAGGGTTGGAGAACTCTAGCTGTCACTTTATGTTGCTTCAAATCAGCTCCTCTCACTGAACTACCCCATAAATGGACCCCTAAACTTCCTTATCACATTAGGGTGACAGGATACCCTCAGAACCATCAGGGCAGGGCTATTTATCCTCTTGCACTCCTGCCTGTGTAGCATAGGGCTGCTTTGGTCATTCTAGACTCTGCAGTACACACTACTTTTGAAGGCACGTTTAACTGTAACATTCTAATGTGACTGTGCCAAACCTCCAGAAAATATAAAATGTTAAGGTAAGATGCTAAGTAAGATACAGTCTTCAGCAAGCACGAGGCCCTGAGTTCAATTCCCAGTACTAAAAACAAAACAAAACAAGGACATCCTCCAAAACCAGTTTTCAGACTTATAAATATTAGCCATTTGTTTTAAACCTAACTTACTGTGAAAATAAAAGTACCAGAATGCTAACATTTAGATGTCCTCTTGTTTTACGAAGCCCATCTGTTAACTTCTGAAGTATATACATATAGATTAGCTGAGCTATCTACACTTTCATTTTGGGCAAGACAATTCAAACATCTTTAGAAATCAGAAAAACAAAATAAAAAAAAAAAAAGAAATCAGAAAATCAACTAATTTGCTATAAACAGTAATAGAATGGAAACACTTCCTTTCCACTTTACTTTCAAAGGCTCTATTTATCACCAAGCAAAGAAAAATAAGGATAAATAAAGTGAAATGCTGATTATCCTTTCTATCTTTTTACTTACCTTATATATGTAAAAGGGGGCAGAGTTTCTAACTCTGACAGGCTGTAAGGACAGCTACACAGATATGATCAATAACATAACCTTTTAATACATTTTCTATAAGAACATCCCTTTTCAAGGTATCAAGTATTAGCACTCACGGTAAAGGCTCACTTATAAAACATTCAAGGAAAGGTTATGCCCAGGATGGTTTTTAAAGCACAAACTTCCAGAGTTTAAGGGCAACAAGTATTATGCTAGTACTTGAGGCAACTAAGGAAATTCACTTGGATTCCCTGTAGTAAGATTTCTCTACTACGAGTTGCCAGTACCTGACCTCAGAAGCTATGGGTTTGAAAACTTCGAGGTTTTGGTCAGCATGAGATTGCACTTTTCTTTACATATAAATTAAATAAAGTCTATATAAATCTATTCTTGTATTAAATTATTCTCTATGTCCCACACCCTATCTATAAAAACTAAAGTATGTAGGAAGTGATTTTTGGCCTTACATAGAACAAGCACTTGGCTGTTTGCTCAGAGCTCTGGAAATGCAATCAGTTTCTAGTACTGTGACTGCCACACCATTGGCAGATATTATAATTTAAATATTGACTTTTTTCCAAATGTATGACTATAAAACAAAGTATAGAAGTATAAAAAAATATTTAGTCTCCACCAAGTTGTTGCTAACGTGTTGTTAGGATATTTCTGTTTGATCCAAATCCATTCGGCCTGAAGCTGTTTTTCACCTCCATCCTTCTGTCTGCCAGCAGGGTCTTTTTAGGTAAAGAAGACATCTAAAGAAAGCAGAATAAGCTTAATTTTAGTCTGGGTCTTTCTTCAAAAAATTACCACTAGTAAAATGATACAGAGACGGGAGGACTGTAAGCCTTGTGTCAGTATTTTAAGCACTGATGCCTAAGGAGTTATCTTCAAATACAACCATGAAAAACAGGAGGAAAGCTTTATATTTTTCTTAATGAGAACACTGTGAACGTTCTCCACATCTCAGTTTGGCTCTGATAGAACTGTGTCCCAGAGGTACGAGCACCTATCTAAATGCACCGTGCCTGCCAAAGTGCTCTACACAAAACCGATTTATTTGCTGTGCCAGGCAGTGTGCCAAATCCATTGTCTCATCCAATCCTCCCAATAATCCTATGGAGCAGGAGTAATGAGTTAACTGACAGGGGAAGTGAGGGAGATTTAGAGTTCAATAACTTGTGCAGGGTCACAAAGCCCAGCTTGTGTGACTTCAGAGTCCCTGATTGTAACTCTCTGAGACAGCGCATCTTACCCTAGGAGGCAAAGGAGACTCTAGCTGTCTTCCAAGGAACGAAAGCAGACGCCTCCAGATGAGGCCACTTCCCATGAACATGAGCCCTGTGATCAACCAAAACACTCTGTGGTCCTGAAAGAGAGCACAGTTCATTTCAATCACATAAGCCAGGTTCCTTGAAGCGTCTTCAACTATCTCTGCCTCAGAGTTCCATGGAAGCCTGTGTTAGCAAACCTAAAACAAATACCTCTGTAATCCCCAGAGGCCAAGAATCAGAATACACCAGAGGGTAAAATTATTTCAAAGTTTAAACATGCCTAATCACCTATAAGCCATGTGTAACTGCTTTTAGTGTTTCTCCCCAGTCTGCATTCATAAACAAACTTAAATAATCATGAGGACAGACAACTTAATTTCCAGTGTACAGTCCTCAAAATTGGAATTTTTGCATATACATATGTCACCAGGAATCTAAGCACAGAATTAATTTATGCTCCATATACAACTTATCCACATGGCCTGAAAGAGACTGCATACCATGTTCTTAGTGAGCCTGCACTCTGAGGTCTGCCAGGTGAGGTCCAATTTCTGCCACACCACAGCCCTGTCTCTCTGCCCTCATTTTCTGTCACTCCTGTGCCCTTTCTTTGGGCCTCGTGGCCTTCTTGCTGTGGAGAAGCTCAGCTCATGCCCGCTTTCTGACACGGTGGCTCCCTCTGCTCAAAACAATCTCCCAGATCTTCCCACCTCCTCTTCATTCAGGTGTCCACCCAAAGTGGCTTCCTTAGTTGGCCTTCCTTGACCACTCTCTGAAATGTTATCTGTATCACTGTCTGGCATCCTCTGTCCCTTTACCTGCTCTAGTTTTCTTTGTAGCACTTAGCTTTTAATGTACTTATTTATTACCTCTCTCCTTTGCTATAATGTAAGCTCCACTAGGGCAGGGACTTGCTGCTGTATGGGCCTAAAGCAGGGCCAAGTAACTGACATCAATAACTCAGGATGTGTGATCAAAAACTAGTGAGTATTGAAATTCTAAAAATTTATTACAGTAAAAGACGCAATGCCATCATTCTTTCTCAGAACAGTGCTTCAAACACACTTATCCCATCGTTCTTGCCATTTACTAAAGCAGTTTTTTAAGTCCTCTTTTATGTCCTTAGTTGTGCTGGCACGGTTATCTTTGATGTCCTGAATGGATTCCAAACATGTAACTTTTGTGGTCATTTTGACGCTGGGGAACAGCCCCAAGCTGCATGGTACTAGGTTCAGTGAACCATGTGGACAAGGACACACTGCCCTGTTCTTACAAGTCTGCCTTTCCATGCTTAGCAGCAGCAGTCACTGCCATTTTCAATCACCGCTAGGAGAGACACCCATGAAAGAATACCTCCACAACTGCTTCAGCAAAGTAACAGTGGGACACTCGGATTTGAAACAAGGGTGAATATTCTGAGGCAGGTTCATGGCAATGTCTTTTACTGCAATAAATTTATTTAGACACACATTATATTTTTTGAGAAGCCTTTGTATTGTGAGGAGAACGAACACATGTATTCTCCCTTTCTTTTGTATTTCATCACAAGAAGTATAGTAATGATCAGTGCTCACTTTGCATCAGGGACCTTATGATCTTTTGCAGACTTTAAAATGAGTGCTGCAAAATTGGAGCGTGTGCAGAGGGAAGTGTAGGATGTAAGGAAATTACTTTTTTTTCTCTGAGTCATGAAGTGACGGGGAAGTTGAGTGCTGCGTGGTAAGTAGGAGTGTACTGGGCAGTAACGGTGGGAAGGGAGGGCAGCAGTGCAGAGGCAGCACGTCTGGGGGGAGACTTCCGAGCAGCTCTCCAGAGGGGCTGCAGCCGCAGGGGAGTGGACCAAGCCAGCCACACAGACCAAGGAATTTTCTCTTAAGGCTAGCTGAAAGCCACAGAAGTGTGCCATACTATTTATGTTTTCAAAAGACTGCTTTTTAAAAGGTCCTGATGAGACTGGATCAGGGCGACAGCCAGAAAAACAGACATTACACTTCTGCAATGATGTGCAGAGTTGAGTGTCACAGCCTACCAACTGCACATTCAGAAAACCGAGCACTAAGCCAGTCTAAAAATACTGGCTCAGTCTCTAAGCACTCGGAAGGCAGGAGGGCGAAGTAGAATGCTGTCTTTGAGTTGAAATCCTAATTCTCTTATTTTGTAGCTGTGTCCTGGGGCAAGTTACTTAATTTTTTCTGTTTCCCCACCTATACAGTAGAGATGATATACCTATTTTTAGAGTTGTGATGATTGAGCCAAATGCAATATACAAATTTCCAGGTATACTGCTAGACACATAAAAATGAAAATAAAGCCAGATGTGGTGGTACATGGCTGTAATCTTCAGCTCTTGGGAGACTGAGGCAAAGTTTAATACCAGCGTGGGATAGAAAGTGAGCTCAAGGCCAGCCTGAACTGTATAGTGAGACCCTGTATCCAAAAAAAGAAAGAAAGAAAGATGGAAATAAAAACCAACACTGTCTAACAGTGTGACAGTGTGTTATCACACTTCCTCATATATAGTGACATGCTTTGGGGAACAAATGATGTAGGTGATGTTTATATGTGTGTTGTAATGGGGTCTAAGATACTACCCTGAATTTTGAGATACAGTGTATATTTAGCTCACTATGTGAGTATATATATAGCTTAGATTAAAAAAAAAAACCATTAAAAAACAGATCTTAAAGGCATTACAAAATAACTCCTAAACTGTTAAAATAAAATTTTCTTACCTCTTCAAGGGAAGATTCCAAATTCATGCCAAAAGCAACTCCTATTAGTCCAAAGAGTGACAGAGAGAAGGTTCCCATTGTCAACTGTAGATTCAATCTCATCATCACATTCCGGTGGCTTGGGAGAGAACAGCTCAGATCAGAAGGGTAAATTCATAAATAATCTCCAAGACCACATGGATTACGATAGTATACTTTCTTCCAAAATGACATTTCCTTAAAGGTATTACCTTACAACAATTACTTTGTAAGAAGACTCTTCCTATTTTATGGGAGGCATTCTTACCTGTCCAGATTGATAAAAATAATGCTCTGCGAGTCGTCAATCAGCACCCTGAGCTCCCGCGCTGCATTGGAAAGGTCTTCAGCTAACCGGTAGTAGTTTTCCAGCAGCAATTCCATCTCCTCCGCGTGGTCGATTCCTGCACTGCTCTTTTCACTACAATCCGAGTTAATAGAGTTAGCCTGCCCACAACAGCGCATCACGGGTGTTTGTTCCCCAAGCTTCCTTCAGCCGCCAGTGAAAAATGAGCCTTGGGTCTTTTCTTTGCTGTGTCCTCTCACACAGGTCAATCTGTGACAGGCTGTGTGAGCTGAACCTAACCACCACACAGGTAAGTCGACAACCAAGATCCCAGTGTTACAAAGACTAGTTAGCTTCACTTCTTCCTTGGTCCATTCTAAGAGATTCAGGTAAATGTGTGCCATCTGCTACTTGAAAATCCAAAATCCAAAACCATTACCAGGTAAAACAAAGCCGAAACTAAAAACAAACATGAAGAGCATTTCCCTTTCACGGTGGAAGTATAATGTTAAATTGTGAATGAAGTCAGTGTGTATTTTGGTCTCCTTCATGTTGGCAGGACTAACAGGGAAGGTGAGGGAGAATGAGGCACTGTGTGGAGATACGTCAGCCAGGGCAAAGCAGGTAAGAGTGCATTCAAGTTGCTGCTGTCCCCAAATGCCACAGACCAAACAGTACACAGCCCTGTTTGTGTCTGTTGCTTCTGTGGTCAGAGCCTAGAACCTCCTGCACGCTAGGCAAGTGCTGTGCTGCTGAGCTACATCCCCTGGTCCTACTGCTTTTTATCTTGATTATTTCCTAGTTAGGCTATAAATAACCAGCACCCCAGAATGTTTTCCTGTACAGACCAGGGAAAGGCTCATTACAAAGAGGTACACATATAGGAATTTCTCATCCCACTCCACAAAGAACAAAAGCAAACATTTAAAATGTAAACATTAAAAACAATAATAAATAAATAAATAAAATGTAAACATTTAACCTGAGTCCACAAAGAAGAATAGAGGATTTTTAAATTTCCAAGAGAAGAAAGGTTTATAACATGAATATTTTTATAATAGAAGAAACTTACAGAATTTATACCAGGGTGTTAACCCTTTCCTTTTATCCTGCTGTCTCCCTCCCTGATGCTAGTTTCTCTCCCTGCCTTGCACTCTACCTGCCAGGCAAGCCACTTTAGCAGGTGCATGTGCCAGCGTGGTGGCCAGGCCCCTGAAGGGAAGGCCGCTGAGGGCTGGGGGTGGTGTGCATTCAATGTATCATCATCAAACATAGTCAGATGCAGCACTGCATAGGGAAAACCTGAAACAGCTGGGGAAAAACAATGCTCATGTTCTCTACTTCCCAACATACTCCATTCTCAATGGCAAACCTTCCTGAGGAAAAAGACGGAAGATGCAGACTGAGGGAATAAACAACACAGCAGCATCATACTTACAAGATGTCAGGGTCATTCCACTTTGTCAGACAGAGCTCTTCTATCAACTCTTCTTCATCCAGGATCTCCAGAATCGATTCTTTAAAAATTTTAATATCTGTTTCTAACTCTGATAGGCTGAAAGAACAGTTACACCGACATGATCAATAGCATCACCCTTTAATACATTCTGCTGTAAGAACAGTGCCTTTTAAAGGTATCTTATCAAGTACTAGCACTCATAATAAAGGCTCACTTATAAAACATTCTAATCATCATAGATTTTAAGACTTAATCCCTGATGGGTGTGGTGGTCCACGCCTGTAATCCGAGCACTCAGGAAACTGATACAGGAGGACCACCAAGAGTTTGAGGTCACCTAGGGTACACAGTGAATTCAAAATCAATCAGAACTATAGACTGAGACTCTCTCAAAAACCAAAACAAACAGGGTGTGATAGTACATGCCTTTAATCCCAGCATTTGGGAGGCTGAGGTAGGAGGATCCCTGTGAGTTTGAGACCAGCCTGGATTACAAAGTGAGCTCAAGGCCAACCTGCACTGCATAGCAAGACCCTGTCTCAAAAAAGACCAAAAACAAAACAAAACAAAATGAAACACAAAAAATCCAAAACCTCAATTTGCAAATCAAAATTAAATTGTTTGGTAAAATTAATCAGTTATATGAACATAAATTTTAATATCTCAGAAATATAAACACTGTGAATTTAAGATCTTTCTTTTGTAAGTTCATGCTGTGATAAGGACGGAATGTTTACTGTGCTGGAGATGGAGACCCAGGGCCTTCGGTGTGGTAGACAACTGCTGTACTGTTGAGCTGTACGGCCGCTTCAGGTAATTCACTTTTAACTTATAAAACACCCTGATATTCAGAAATTTAAAATGTTAGTTCTTTTTTGCGGTCCTAGAGATTGAACCTGGTCCACATGCATGACAGACGAGAGCACTCTTCCCACCTATACTACCTTCTTTTAGAACACTGTGAAACACATAGTTTTCATAATAATTAAAGTAAATATGACAATGAAGACACAGAGAATAAATCATAAAGTAAAAAACCTTACACCAAAAAGAGTTGGCATTTTTTACAACAAGTAGGAATCACACTAATTTTGTCTGGGATCTCTAACTCCTGACTTGCTCAAGCACCCATATTTATTTACCTTTTGCCATTTTGTAGTAAGATGTGCAGTTTGCTTTTGTCTACAGAAGAATGTTTGGGATCCACTAATGCTTCCAGTGTCTCAAGGATCAGTGGCTGCAAGACGCCAAGTTTCCCCTGAAGGGTGTTGATCTAGACAACAACATGACCTTTCATAAGAATTAAAACAACCTTTTTAGAATACTTAGGATCAGTTGAGTCCTTTAGTTAAATACAGAAATTTCTAACAGCTAGAAATGCTGTTAACATGTCAGAACACGGTCAATGCCAGAATGCCTCTCATACATGATGCAAAACTACATTTCCTAGGTTAAAAAACTATGTAAGGTCATCAATAGGCTCAGAGTTGGTTGAGGGAAATTGACTATCAGAAGAGTCTTCTTTTACAGACAATTATTATGAAAGAAATGGGAAACTGATTTATTAAGATAGATCAATCCCCCTTCAATAGTTAAAGCACAAATTTTATGTCTGTTTACACATACTTTGAAAACGAAACACAGCTCAAAATTCCTACTAAAACACTTTTTTTTTGAAAAACAAAATTTAATTTGGGCTAAAAAAACTCCAAGAAAATAAAGTCAAAAGTATACTTTTGGGTACTGATACAAGTATACTAATTAAAAGACAGAAATACTTCTAAACCAACTGGTAAACAGCATACCTTTAAATTAAGCATAAAATTAGTTGCAAAGTGGTATCTTGGTCACAAACTCAACTCTTTGCAGGATTCTGGTTCTGAGCCAAACTGGATGAGAACAGAATCAAATTTCCCCATCAGATCAAGATCGAATCTAACCAATGAATCTGACTTGGTTCTTTCCAACTCAGTTTGTGACTGGAACTGTGGAAAGAATCAAGTTCATAAACTGAGGTACCACTAGCATAACACTATTTGCCTCAGAAGCACAATTATGGTTGAGGCTAGGATTTTCTGATTGGGAAGTGCACTGTAGACATCCTGTGTATTTCCACAGAGAGCTGCTTCCAGGTTCAGAGATGGTGGGTGAGAAGGTGGACAAAGTGAGGTAGACCTAACGTTTCGGTATCCAAAGGAGACACCACATCCTCTTTCCCAGTAAGGCTGGACTCGGCCACTGCCGACTGTCACAGTCCACATGTCTGTGAGGCAGACTGCTCCTGATAGCTCTCGGTTCTCAGGTGGGCTTGGGGAGCTCCACTTTATCTGAAGATTGCTCCTTGAGGGGCACGGCTGACTCTTTGTTGTGTTAACACTGTTTTTGAAGAAGTCTTCTGGGACCCCATTTAATGGCAAGAAGAATGTGCATCCCGCAGACAGTCTGAGCTCCCATGCATTCTCCCCTTGCCTGATTTCTAAGAGATGGGGTGCCCTCCCTTCTCTTGAAAGCTACCTACCCTGGGCGGTCTGTCACAGACCACCGTTTCCACCTGTGGTTACCTGTTTAAATGTTCACAGCAGGGCTATAATTTGTCTCTCTTGCTGCTGGGCAGCTTGTTCAGCGCTACACGTGCGACTGTTCCACTGGGTGACTTTTTATTAGTCAAAAGACTCAAAATATGATTAGATTCATTCGTACCATCAGTGGTTCAAGCCAGTAGGAATCTGTTAACCCTGTTAACCCATCTCTTTTCTCAGTTAAGCAAGGCAGGCAAAAGAGAAGGACACCAAGTTCACCTCACCACTGGGCATGGTGACACATGCTTGTAATATCAGCACTCAGGAGGCTGAGGCACGAGGATACTGCAAACTTGAGGGCAACCTGGGTTACAATGTGAGTTCAAGCCCAGCCTGAACTACATAGCAAGGCCCTCCCTCAGAAACAAAAAACAGAACAAAACTAAGTTCACCTCACCGCACTCACCTCATGTCCTCTCTGCCCTCCTCGCTCTCCCCCTCCCACTCTGCTGAGTGCCTTTGTACCACTTGTACCTGTACTATCATTAAGATGAATGAGAGTCAGGAATGATAATGAAGACTGGCAGGGGCCAGGAAAGCAGCACGCCACTCGTGTTTGGGGCGTGACAGAACCTGACACACCCAATGACTATCAACTTAATAATGGGTGCTTAGAAGAATGCACGCAATTCCTATGTCAAAACAGAGAGAAGGCTTAGCTGCTTCAAATGACTGTAGGAGTAAGTTGAAGAATGGGTTGATGAATGATATAATAGTCACCATATATGTAAACAAGCACTTTCATAACGTACAGTTTAGAGAATAAAATGGAATGCATTTAAGGTATGATGTATGTGTTAATTTCTGTCATATTTAGCATAGTATTTTATATTATTCCAAAATATGGTTCCTAAACTTGAAATGAGCTTCATTAAATGTTATACTCTACAGTCTTTAATTCTCCTCGATTGAGTAGTAAATTTTAAGCATTAGACATTTTCTTCATCTAGGATGTGTAGAAATGGTTCTGTCTAGAAGCATGCTGAAACGATACTAATGAATCAACACTCAATAGTATACGAAACCCTAACAAACTTAACTAAATAAAAACAACTTACCCAGTATTGTAGGAGTGCTTCAATAGCTCTGAACTCAAAAGGCAAAGGGTATGTGACAAGCTGACCACCTCCAGCCAACTGTGACGGAAGTTCCCGGAACAGCCACTGCTCTAAGTTTAAGTTACGATAATCTAGTATCATGAGACACTCTGGCGTTATCACAGCTTTCAGATACTGTTAAAACAGGAAATAAGAGGATATAGGTACATATACACACACACATACAAGCACATGCATATATATGCAGATTATAGAGCTACAGGAAAATAACAGCTATAAAACTTGCTTAACATTTTACTAACTTTGGATTAAAACTGAATCAGTCAATGTTCATTTGGTTTTTATACATACAAGAAAGATGTATTTTTAAAAGAAGAAAACCTAAAAACATAGGTAAGTCTTGATATCTCTAACTTATTCTCAGTATAAGTGAATTTATGCGAATTATGTATTTATAAAGACGTCCAAAGTAACCATGAAAAAATAGGGGATAAAGGGATAGTTTTATTAAAACTCAGATTATTAGTTAGACTTTTAGAAAACATTTACTTTGGTCATAAGTAGTGTGGTTTAAAAAGAACAGTTTCCTTTTAAAAACATCAAAGACATTAAGCTAATTTGACATAAGATAAAACACCACCTCAGTGCTCCAATATAAAACATATGAAATTAGAACTTTCTCTGGAGATATATTGGCAACTTTTTATGTTAGAAGAATAGAGGTAACCTGCCAGTGACTGTCCTATTAGTGACACAGAAATCGGGAATATTTTCTATTTTACATTTTTCCTTTTTTTTTCTTCCAGTATCAGGCATCAGGCTCAAGACCTTGTACTTGCCAAGCAGGTGTTTATACTGTTGAGCTATATCCCAGGCCATCTATTTACATTTTTATCAACATTTTATTACAAAAGCTTTATATAAAAATGTTGAGAGACTGCACTGTGGACACCATACAGCCACCTTTTAGATTACAGCATTAAAAATGCTAATTTTTTTGACTGCACACCTATCTCTTTATCAAAGAGATTCTGTTCTGAAGGGTACTAGGTACTCCTCACAAGAGTGAACAATGTTTTCTGGAGAAAAAGCACTGGGAGAAGATGGTTTCCAACATGATTATTTTTATCAGTTCCAGATAAATGGATACAAATCAGTTATCAAAGCAGTCTTGAAGAAAGCAAGTCATTGCCGGGCAGGATCACCTCGACCTGTGACCCCTTATCTTCTGTAGGACCCTACACCTCCACCCATCTGTTAACTCTGAGTCACTAAGGAAAGCTCAGTGTATGTGGGGTTCTCATGAATACACAGGAAAGATACAAAGTAAAGCTGTCAACAAAAGTTTAAATTGAGGTCTCAAAATTTAATTCTAAGGGGCTGGGGATTTAGCTCAGCAGCATAAGCACCTGCCTTGCAAGCAGGCAGTCGTGAGTTCAATCCCCGGTACCGATAAAAAGGAAAAAGACACAAAAATACAAAACAAAACAAAAAAACAGAATATGCTCTTGGTAACTAAGATTACACTATTTAATTATACATAAGGATATAAGTGAAAATGTATCTGTTACATATATATGTACTTTTTTTTGGTGCCGGGAATCGAACTTACAACCTCAGGCTTGCCAGGCAAGTGCTGTGCTGCCAAGATGTATCACTGGCTTCTATAAATATTTTTATTTTTATCTTTGGTATCAGGAATTGAACTCAGGACCTTGTATTTACCAGCAGGCACTTATACTGCTGAGGTATATCCCTGGCACTTTTTTTTTTTTTTTTTGTCTTTTTGAGACAGGGTCTCACTATGCAGTTCAGGCTGGTCTTGAACTTGCAGCAATCCTCCTGCCTCAGCCTCTGGAGTGCTGGCATGATAGGCATGCACCACCATGCTCAGCTACAAATATTTTTATAATTTCAGAAACTAGTGACTAAACTCAAACAGTAAGAACATAATTTTTCCACCATAACACATATGCCTGCTGAGCATATGAATACAATCCATGTAAAATGAGTTCTACCTAAATTGTGTTATGTGTTCTACATAGATATTATTACACTAAAATTACTATTAACCTATTGATTAAGGAGTCTCCAGGTTCTTTGATAAAATGCAGTGGAGAACTACAGATAAAAAGAAAACCCTTTACCTCCATCCTCATGATGATCCTGTTGTTCCTGGTCGTGATGCTCATCACATGCTGAAATCGCAAATCTCTGGCTTGGAGACCTAATTCTTGGTATAATTCAGTTTTTTTCCTTTCTATAAAAGAAGTAAGAATGAGTTAAACTAATAAACCACAAATTTATTTAGATTTTCTGTCAGAGGACCCTTCCCAGCACCATCAGGACAGTTTTCTACTACTGTAAGAAATAAAAGCTAAAGGGAATGCTTTAATAGCCAATGTCAGCTCAGAAACCCAGCCTGCTAATTCTAGCTTTTCTCTTCGCTTTTTTAGACTTGGTAAAACTACTCTGCCCTTGGAACCAATAAAAAACAAACCACAACCATACGCCACTGCAAGTCACAGCAGCAATTTCTTGCTTTAGGGACAGGTCATCTTTCTTGAACATGAATTTTACACAACTGCATTTTTAATGTTTTTCACTACATCATCTTCAGTATTACAAATGTGTGAATTGGTAAGTTAAATTTTCTTTGTTCTTGGAGAAATACAGAATGAGAAAATTAGGTCTGTTCTCATACCTGAGAACTGAACTTATTTCCTAAAAGAACACAGCAGATGGGGCTGGGGATTTAGCTCAGCGGCATAAGCACCTGCCTTGCAAGTGTGTGCTTGTGAGTTCAATCCCCAGTACCGATAAAAAAAAAAAGACAAAAAAAAAAAAAGTACAAATTAAGAACACAGCAGATGACAGAAACTCAAGACATTACACTAACAACAGCAGAATCTGTCCCTGTAGTGTCCAACCACACCTGTGACAGGGGTATAAGCAGAACAATCTTCTGAAGGAGACACTGAGCAAAATACTCAGATCTCAGCAATGGCAGGACTAGAGTCACATGAATGGAAGCACAGGAGGATCTAAAACCAAAGTCTCCAGCTATACACCTTTAAAAGTAGCTGTCTGCAGACAGCACTCAGCAGCAGAGTTTCCTGCAGCTGCCACCCAGTGCCCTCTCCTAGCCTGTCTTTTGTCACCCACTCAGTGCCAGAAGAATTATGTGCTTTTACCTTAAACACAGTTCAGAATGAACATGAGGAGGGCAATTTAAAAAATAAAAAGAGAAACAGGGTGAAAAAGGCATCTCTATCCCCTGGCCCCACTCTCTAAAAATACTCCTTCACCATCTCAGGTACAGTCAGAGAGTCTCCTGCCAGAAGAGAATTCTGAGAGAATGTGCAGTCTAGGTACCATCGGTTCCAATCAGGACCAGTGGAAAACTGGCAGCAGAGACCTCCTTCCATACCCCTGTATCCAGAGCTTTCCACTCAAAACACAGTGATCTAACTCCACCAGATTCACTCATTCACTGATTTTTTCTCATGATTTAGAATAAAATAAAGATGCTTACCAAAAGAAGTAACATTTCCTTTTTCATCAAATTTTGTCTGAAAATAGATCATAAAAACAACATAATTATTTTCTAACTGGTATACTATTTAAGGCATGATGTACAGTCTTCAATTATAGAATGCAGAGATCAGTATAAAAATGATCTCTGGGTTAAATGGATGCAAAGGTTAAGAAACAATCACCCTTTCCTTTGCTAGGATAGGCCTGGCTTGGGCCTAACTTTCTATCTGCGCACCTCTAGACCTGTAACAAAGGAGTATCAGTCTGGTCCTTGGTGACACTGTTTATGGTGATAATGACACTGACTTGTGGGCTGCACTGGACAAGGAAAACTATGAAGGAATTAGACACCACAAGGGATGCCATAGCTCTGTCCTTTGGAAGCTGCACCTCTGAGCAGGTGACCAGGTATGCTAGCATAGAGGAGAAGCGGGCTACTGAGCCAGAACGGATGTCACACTTTCCTCCAATAACTGATAACCACATTTCCTTACACATGAGCTGTCACTGAGCAGGCAGGAGAAGCGCCAGGTGGCTATGAGGACTCGCTATGAAGAAGAGACGCTGACTGGTAGCCTGAACTGTTCCCTGTCCTTGGCAGCAGATTGGACCTTGTGTGGCCTGTCTCATGAATCTAAACATCTACTTGAATCTAAGAAGTCTATCTTAGGTACTGCAGAATTAATAAAGGTTTACATATGAGCCCTCATTCTGACAGTTTGAGAAGCCATGTTCCATAATAAGCACTTATTTCTTAATGTAGAGAAATAGTTTTCTGTATGCTTATCCACTGTCAAGTCTAAAGTTATCAAATAATATTTAATAAATCTGTGTGCTGGGCAGTCCTATTTACTATGAAACATACATTTTCAGAAAAGACACACTGTAATGCTCAGTTGTGGGTACAATACAGGTCTTTGGCTATTACTTTGGAAAACATACATGCTGTGTTAGGACATAAGCCACAGTGTATATTAACTTTCTTCTCATGAGCAAAGATAAGATCATTATGAATATGTAAGTAGCATAAAATATCAATGTTAAAGGAAAATTTATCCAGAAGCTCTATATTTGTATAGAACAGACTAGCTTTCTACCTTAAATTTATTTTATAAACACATAAATCCACTGCAGAAAATAAGCAATTTATCAAGTAAAACTAAGCCATAGCATGACAAATTCTACAGAAAACCATGCTAATATTTTACTGATTATCCCAGTCTTTTTCCATAAAATGTATTCATTACACATACATTCTTGCACTGTCTTCCACTCCAATTTAATAACATGTATTAAATATTTCTGCATCTCAATATGTATTATCTTTTTGTTTAACAGGTTTATTTTCTTAAAATTATACAAATATGATTTTTAAAATGTCTGCTTTATAATCAGCTTATTTCTAGACTCATTATTTCAAATAGCATCAGATTTCTTATGTTCTTGGTAGATAATTATTTTATCTGCAAAGAATTTTTTTCAATATTTAACATAAGATTTTATATTCTGGTTTAATGAAGTTGGCCAACTCCTCTAGAACAATGAATAAACATAGTAACCTCTAGATGTAATTTTGTATTAACATGTACTAACATGACAAAGAAAAGTCAAGTTAATAAGCCTAAATAATCTTTCTTCACAGCCAACATATACTGGATTTTTACAGTATGTAAGGCTCTGTTTTAAGGGCTTTCCATCTGCAGTACTTGAATCCTCACAACAATACTATAAAGTAGACTTAATCCTTGCAAGATTTTTATAAAGCAGTTTACAGATGAGAAAACTAAGGTACAAAGATGTTACCATAACTTGTCCAAATCTACTTAGTTAATACGAACAGGCAGAGTTGAGATTTGAATTTAGAAAGTCTAGCGCAGATCAAGCACTTTGTTCTGCTTCAGGATTTTAAAGACCACAAGTTCAAGCCCTGCATAGCTAACAGTCTTTAAGGGCTTCTAAATGGGAGGAAGCCATGAACAATGACTTAAATAAGTTATTCTAGTATTTAAGGAGCTCCACAGTCTTTAGCAAAGTTTCATGATCACAAATTACTAAGCACAACCTATAAGCAATGTGACAAAACAATTCACTATAAAACAAAAGTAATCAATAGCTTGGTCAACAGTCCAGCAGTAATTAAGTATGAGAAGTACTTTCTATAAGTTATAAGATGTACCATATACTCACCACAGTAAACACGGGGGCCACACTGGCTAGAGTGGCTTGAGAAATATCAGAAGTTCTAAACCGGTGCACTTCACCTGAGAAAAAATTAGAGAATTCCATGTAATCACACAGTTGGTTTTCACATGAAGCACTGTATTATCATTTGAACCTCTTTCCTATGTGAAGAATACTCTTATTTGATAATGTAAATGTTTGCAGCTAATTATGTTAGATTTGACAGGGAATGATTTTTTAAGTAAGGCATTATTAGTTAGGGGAAGGCATCAGAAAAGCCCAAGCCAATTAATTTTTCCCCTAATTCTAATTTCTACTCCAGAATTGAATGAACAAATGTACAACAGTTGAGATTTAAACGTCTTTTTTTGCATAATTTAAAAAGGCTTCATGAAAATTATATTGATGGATATCCACCTGAGTTTTCAGCACTCCAGGATCAGGATTATCTTTTGATTTATAAATTATGAAATCTGTAGATTTTATTTTCTACATGCAATATTTCTGATAGTCTGTTCAACTGGAATGAAGACAAGTGTTTAGTAGAGAATAAGGCTATCTGAAACATGTGATGGGATTGAGCGGAAGCTGGCTGGGAAGTATAATGGCTGACAATGGATACTTCACACTACTAAATATCAGAGGAATGGTAAAATATGATAACAATTATCATTATTTTGTTACTAAAGTAATCACGCTGGCTCTTAGTCTGAGATTTATGATCCTTTTTACATCTTACTCCTTTCCACTATTTATATATAATAACACAAGCAATTTTTTTTTTGAGATAGGGTATCCTAAGTAGTTTAGACTGGCCTCAAACTCAGGGCAATCTTCCTGCCTCAGCCTTCTGAGTGCTGGAATTACATGGGTCAATCACCATGCCCATGGTAACTCAGGTAATTGATAACACTGATGTTCCTTGTTTCCCTTTTACATAATACTATGTCGCAAGGGTTAGTTGAACAAAATTAAAAGGCAAAGCTATACACTGAGATTTGACAATTAGTTACAAAACAGATAAACTGTCACCATGATTACTATTCTAAATTTCAATGCTTATGCTAAAAAACTCCCCTTGCTTGTACAACTGCACTCCCAAGTATCACCAAAGGAAAGACAACTCGCTTCTGAAAAGACAGTTTGGAGAAAGAGGTGCTGACCGATGGTAAGTTACTCTGGGAGACTTTGATGTACAATTGTAAAAAAGTAATTGAAGATATTACTATATTTTTGAGATGCACGAGTACACATTTCAGTATCTTTTGTTTCTTAACTACACACACACTCACATATACTGACTAGTGAAAACTTTTGTTACCACTTTGCTTTAACCCCTGGGTAAAAATCAGCAATGTAAAGCCTCCCCCTCTTTTTTTCCCCTCTCCAAGCCCTCTGGCTGTCAGCGCAAACATTAGCTAAAAATAAAGTCAAATCTCTTTATGGGGAGCTCTCAGCATGTGGCCTCACACTTTTTAGCTTCATTTGTAGGTGTGTCCACAACCTGTACCTGCGCTACTGTACAAATGTATGAATTTGTTTACAAAAGAAACAGAAGACAGGAAAGCGAAATGAATAGTTCATAAGCAATCCAAAAAAACCCAATTTCAATTTTGACTTCATAATTATTATGACGATTTAAGAACGAAAGCTCTGATTTAAAAAATCTCCCATAAGACAGCTTAAGGAACCACGCGCATGCTGTAAACAGTACCACCCATCTCAAGCCCCGCGGCAAGCGCAGAGGAGCAGCAGCCTGGGCTGTCCCGGCGGGCGGACGCGGCAGGGTGCAGGGCAAGGTCGGGCTCCGGACTGGTGAGCGCCGTCAAGACACCCGGGCTGGAATCTAAGGTCGGGCTGGTCGTAGAGGCGGACAAAGCGGGACAGGGCGAGCCGTACCTGCCACACGAGTCCAGCTGGGCCTGCACAGCGGTGCACGGCGGTTTCTTCCCAGCAAGTGGGTCGCGCGGCTGCTCGAGACGACAGGACGAGCCACAGGGCAGAGGCCCAAGGACAGGGAGCACAGGGTCCGCCGGGGCAGCCCCGCCGTGTGAGGCAGGAGCCCAGTCAGGCTCCGCAAGCACTCCATGGTCCTGGAGCGAGGAAGAGGGAGAAGCCAGGTTACAGCCCCTCATGCCGTAGGGTGGCTGTCTAGTCGGCCCCGCGCAACCCGGCGCCGTCCCCTGGCTGCGGTCGCAGCATACTGGGCATGCGCAGGATGCGCCCAATCATGTGTTCTCTGCGCTTGCGAGCTGCTCCTCGCGCATGCTTGGGAGGTGTTTCTGGGCGTGCCTCGTGCGTCGCTCGGAGGCTGCTGGGAATTTGTCTTTGGTGCCTTTTTTTTTTTTTTTTTTTTTTTTTTTAATATTCATTTAATGTAGAGGGCTGTTTTGGGAGTTGTGTGGGGGCAAGTGAGATGCTTTCTTCGCGTAACTTTTAGTCCAAATGTCTATATAGCAACCAACACTGTTTCCTTACCTGTTTACTTCCGTGGAATGCCGTTTACCAAATCCTAGCTTCACCCTCTGCATTTTGCTCTCACCCAAAAATGTTGAAAACAACATCTGGGAATGTTGTCCCAGTAACTCACTCCCTGTCCACAGCCTCCTCGAGGCTCTACACCCAGGTAGCTATGTTCTCTCACCCACCAGGGCCCTCCCAGCTCCTCCTCCTCTACCTAATAAAGATTATGTGCTTGGTCACCTGAATCACTATGACTAGGACTTAGAAGATGCAGGACTCATCATTGGAACACACTCATAGGAGACATTTTATTTTATCCTTTGCAATTTCTTTCATCCTGCCAAGGGAGTCCTTTTACTGCAGACTTGGGCAGGAATAGGACTTTTCTGGTTCTCTAGTTGTGTGTTCATTTTTGTCTCAAATTAGCGTAAAATGTGCAGTCTATGTTCCGTTTTTCACTTTAGCAATTTGCAATTTTAACCTGATATATTAATCAATACTTTAAATGAATTGATTCCTCTCTCGTTGTTCTATAGGTAGGTGAGAATTTTTGGTGCAGGTAGAGACCCTGTGCAGTTTCCAGTCATCCCTTCCTGCTGTATTTCTTACCCTGCTGCTTCTGACTGCTGGGTAATAACATCAAGTCTTTATGACTGAGTAGTGCCTTTTCATGTTTTGTTGGAAGAGGGCATCTGACTGTCTAGAAAGGACAGGTGTTAAAGTGGACTCATTGTGGGCAGTTTCGTTCACACTGTGGGGGTTCCCAGAGGTCATCTCTCTGCCTTTTTGTCAGGCCCATCTGATTGCCATTCCTTTTACAAAGGCAGTGACCTCTGGGTGATTTTGACTTTGGCCCCTTCTTTTCTCTATGACTAGGTTCCTTTCTCCCTCACATCTGTACTCTAAGATTTATGGACCTGAGAGAGAAAATGGTTACTTCTGCTGTATGAGCCTGTAAAACTCTCTGATCTTAGGGGTAATCAGTTTTTTTTTTTAATTTTAAAGAACAAAAAACACAAAATTTCAAAACAAGATAATTAGAGGGTAACAATGGTTATTACACTGCATATTGTTCTCTTTAGTTACTCAGAGTACACTATAGTAGCATTTAGTTGTTCAAACAATATTAGCACAAACCTCTCTTTTCAGTGAGCTAAGCGAAATTGGTAATATAACTATCTTAACTATTATATATAAGCTTCTTACACTAGAGAGACATCATGATGTTTACATGAACAATTCTGATTTACTTCACTTATGAGTATCATCTCCAGTTGCATCTATTTACCTACAAAAGTCTTGAGTTCACTCTTCTTTATGACTAATACTCCATTGTATGAAAAGACCACATCTTTTTTATTCATTCCTCGGTTGATGGGCATTTTGTTTCCCAGATCTAGCTTTTACAAATTGTGCTGTTATAAATATTCAGTACACATATATTACTGTGATGTGATGTTTTTAATGCTTCTGGGAAGATACCCAACAGAAGAATAGCTGGGTCAAATGGGACCTCCTGTCCTAGTTTTTAAAGGAATCCCCACACTCATTTCCACAGTGATTGTACCAGTCTCACTCCCACCAACACTGGGGAAGGATTACTTTCTCTCTACAGCCACTTCAGCATTTGTTATTGGTTTATTTCTTGATAATAGCCATTATTTCTGGGATGAGATAGAATCTCAATGTTGTTTTAATTCATATCTCTTGAATAACCAGTGATGTTGAACATTTTCTCATAAATTTATTTGCTGTTTGCATTTGTTCATCTGAGAAGTATGTGTTCATCTAAGATGTCCATTTTTGGATAGTGCCTTTACATTTGGGAGGGATTTTTTTGAGTTCTTTATATGTTCTTCATAGTAATCATTTGTCTGAGGAACAGCTGGTAAACATTTTTCTCACATTGTGGGTTGTTTCTTCACTCTGTTGGTAGTTTCTCTTGCTGTGCTAAAGCTTTTTAATAAAATGACATCTCAGTTGTTGGTTCTGTGTGATAGTTCCTGTGCAATTGGGGTTTATTCATAAAGTCTTTGCCTGCACAAAAATCTTCAAGAGTTTTGATCTATTCGATCATCTACCAGATTTAATTTTTGTGTTTTAATATTAAGTCTCTGATCTGCTTCAAATTTAGTTTGGTGCATGGTGAAAGATATAGGTCAAATTTTAATCTTCAGCATGTGCTGAGGCAGTTTTTTAAGCACTATTTGTTAAAGGTGCCAAACATTGGCACCTTTGTCAAAGATAAGGTAGCTTAGAATGTCTGGAGTTGTTTCTGTATCTTCTAATCTGTTCCACTGATCTTTAGATCTTTTTTTTTTTTCCGGCACCGCACTATTTTTATCACTGTAGATTTATAGTGCAATTTCAAGTCATGGATTATGATGCCCTGTCTCTTGCCTTTATTTCCCTGAATTGTCTAGCTATTCTAGGTCCTTAGACATATTTTTTTATTTTAAAGAGAAAACAACAAAGCAAAATAAAATAAAATAAAGCCAATAGAATAAAATAGAAACAAACCATGAAAGTGATACATCAAAACAAGGTAACAGAAAATCAACTAAGGCCACTATATTACCTCTTGCTATCCTCAAAATAGTTACCCATATAATCAGACACAACAAAATAACAAAAAAAGAACAGCATAAAACCAATCAAAACAACACAATGAAAGCAATCATGATTTAAAAACACCATGATAGGAAATCAACAGTGGCTACTATAATATATCTTGTTACTTTTGAAATAGCTGCCCATGCTATCGGATATAAGAAAACTGAACCAAACAAAGCAATGAAAATGATACGGAACTTTAAAACAAGATAATAGGGTATTCACAATGGCTATGACTTTCAAAAGGAGATACCCCCATACTTGCTATATTGCATATTGTTGTCCTCTAAATAGAAGCTCAGACTACTGAGTTTTGGGCCTGTAAAGGCAACTAAACAACATGGTGCTAATTGTTTCAATTTACTTATGAGATAGTTGTTTCGTTTTACTTACTAGTGCTAAGAAAAAGCAAGACAGCCTTCTATCAAGACTTAGGAAAGGTGAACCGAGCATGAATGGTCCTTTTAGGAATGACATTTAGGCTGAGACCAAAAGAATGCATGAGCATTAGTATGCAGATGAAAAGGAGGAGCTAAGAAGAATTTCAACAAGATTAAAATTTGTTGTGCTTCTGTGTCCAGAGATGGTTATTCCCAGAGCAGGATGAGTGAGAAGCTAAAGTGCTGCTCCATGAAGCCAGAGGTTGACAAGGACTAGATCACGGGGGGCTTTGTTATCCAAGTTAAGATGTTTTTATTTTATTTCTTGAGGAATGGGGAACTCTTGAACTCATTTCCTTAAAAGTCAAAGGTTCTATATTCATTTACAAAGAATCACTTTGATGTACCATTGGAGATTGGATGGTGGAGAAGCAAGAGTAGAAACAGACCATCAGAAGGCTGCAGTGGGCATCTAAAATGGGTTTGGCTGGGGCTCGTTCTGGGGCAGGTAAGAGACTTATAGAGAAAATAGAGCCACTAAGAGGTAGAGTGGATAGGACTTAGTGAAAAATGAAGTGGAGAAGGTAAATTAGTTTGCTAGGACTGCTACAGTAAAACATCACAGAATGGGTACAACAGTAGAAATTTATTTTCTCACATTCTTGGAGACAGTGAGCCCATGATCAGGATGTCAGCAGGTCTGTTTTTTTCCTGAGGTGTCTCTTCCTGGCTTGCAAATGGCACTTTTCTCTGTATCCTCAACATGGTCTTCTACCTGGGCACACTCTTATCCTTGGCGTCTCTCTGTGTCCTAATTCCTTCTTTTAATGACCCATACAGGGTTGGGGTCCACCTTGGAAGACTTGTTTTAACTTAATTAAAGATCATATTTCCACATACTCAGGTACATTCTGAGATACTAAGTTAGAACCTCAGCAAATTAACTTTAGGGACACATTGTTATGTCCATAACAACAACAACAACAACCACAATAACAACTCCATGTTTATGGCAAGAGCAAAAGGGTGAATTATGATGGTACGTACTATATTAGGAAAGATTAGGAGTTCCACATAGAGCACATTGAGTTTGAGATTGCCTAGTAAATACACAAAAGAAGAAGTATTTCTGAATCTGGGAAGAATGTCTATGCTAGATATATAAATGTGGGGACTTTGAATTAAGGATAATAAATAATGCTATAGGGTATGCGAGACATTACAGAGAGAGACAGGGAGACTGATACACACACACACACACACACACACACACACACATATATATATATATATATATATATATATATATATATATATATTAGAGAGAGAGAGAGAGAGACAGACAGACAGACAGACAGACAGAGAGATCCAGGCTCCAAAGGATATCTGTCAGCACTCCTGGGGTAGAATAAGGCCCAGTGAAGGAGAATGAGGAGATTGAAAGGATGGGTCCTTTCTCTGTTCTTAGAACATACTTACTTGAATGGTAGCATTTTAGTTCATTTCATGTTGCTATAACAAATACTTGAGGTTGGATGCTTTATAAAGCAGAGATTTATTTAACTCACAGTTTCGGAAGCTGAAAGTCTAAGATCAGACAGTTTCAATTGAGATAGGAGAGTAGGGCACAGCACAGATGGCTGGGGAGATAGTCATGATCTGTTAATTTTAAGATTCTTGAACACATGCACATAACAGTTTTCAAAGCCTTGCACAAGGACTTCTTGAGAGAATTCAAATAGGTTTTCAATTAGATGGCCTAG